GTGGATTATGATAAAGGCTTTGAGGTGTTGCATCTTGTCCTATACCAAGTACCTTTCCTTTTTTGAAGTGTTCAATTGCTTGTGCTCGCATCTCCAAAGGTTTCATGGTCATAAGATTGATCATGGTCTCACCAGTGAGACCATGCACAACAAAAGGACACGGACCTTCGATAGTGCCATCATCTTCCTCAGTATCATTAACAGCAGAGGCCTCTGGTAATTTTGTGCCATCATATGACTGGTGATAATCTACAACGACTGGTGGAACATCCTCTGGATACTCTGCAAGATTTTTCTTAGATATAACCAGGTCAGCATAGTCAACGTGATTTAACTTCAGCCAATCAAGTGCCTTGGCTACCTTATTTTGACACACAAGAAAAGGAGTTCTTGCATACTCTATGGGTGTAGGCTTTGAAGGACCTATATACAGGAAGGCAAGAACCTCATCGAGCTCTTCTCGACTTGGTGGTAGCACACTATATACCTGAGGCATTGGCACAGAATGACATACTGCATTAGCCTTCATTTTATGCATATGCGATGAAGCAACACGTGCAACACAATAGTTGTGTTTTACTCTAGATATTAACATCTTCTCAGTCCACGACAAACCTTGAAGCTCCAGAGGAATATCACCGATCCAAAGGCCATTAGCAAGTGCGTCATCGGGTAGCTTTCCCTTTTGTAATGATTTATAACAATTAAGGCACACTTGATTGTGATTGTCTAATATTATGGGTCCCGATCGAGCCTGGATATCATCCTTAACTCTTTTACGCTCTCATCTGGTAATAAGACCATCTGCATCCATAAGTAGTGATAGATTTGACCTAACATTATGAAGTGGCTGCATCTCAGCCACTATGTGAAGTTGAGCACATACCGCACAAGCCTCTTCAATTAGTTTGGTTTTGGTGATATCATCACAATATCCTTGCATAAGTTGTATAAGAGCCGTCGAAGAGAGTGGACGTGGTGGAAAATCAAATGCATTTGTTAATTGATTTGAGAGAGGGGGATGCATTTTAGGCTTTTGTGCCCCTTCTGTAGTTTGCCTATGCCTTTGTTGACGTGCTACATCTGTCTGCGCTGGGGTAACACATTTAAATTGTGCTACAAAGTCTGGACAATGTTCACATGAATGGTTAGACAATAAAACGCACAAATCATTTGCCCTGAGACGATTACCAGAAGGGACATGGATCACATGAAGCTTACAAATGGTCCGTAAAGCAGAGATTGGTAAGCGTCCAGTCAACTCGGTTAGTGGTATCTTTACAGTCAGTATATCATCACCTGATGTTTGTATAAGAGAAACTAGAGTATAATTCCAGTATATATATCGTACCGGTTCTTCCGTATAGTTCCTGGCAACTGAAGTGTAAGGCTGAAGCTCTTCCACAGACCAGAATTTTGATTTTTTAGAACGTGCACCACCTCCAATAAGATTTAGACAAGAATTATCAAACCTGCACTTCACTGTTAAGTGCATAGACTCGCCAGTATTTAGCATCAAACCTCTCATACAAGATGGACTTTGATGAGAAGAGGTCAGCTTACGAGTAGATGCAATAAAGTCATGACATCGATATAGATGCCGTGCAAGCCTCATAGCCACATCACGGATGATGTATACAGAGTTTTTGTAGGTATATAACCCAAATATTGCAGCATAAAACTTTCAGGGAGACACAGGCATGCCCTGACCTTTGGAATGATCCAACAATTCCATCAGCATGTGATGACAGTGTCCCTTACCAATCAACTCCACTGTCCACATGCTTGGATAAAGGGTCCAATTACTTAAAAATCAAACAATAAGCTATGAGCAAATTGCTTATGCTATCCTTCTACTCATGCCTTGTCAAGGTTTTTATCAATAATTAAGCTCAACAATGTAACCACAAGTAATGAAGGTTGTAAGATGAGTAACCATAATCTACTCACCTTTATTATCGTGAACAGATTATAAAGCAACGAGGACAGCATGGACATGTTCCATCGGAAACGATCGAGAGAAAGGAAGTCACATCAGGTCATAAGATAGAATGTGTCATGTCAAGTCATCAGATCCAATCTAGTTGATAATGTTATCTGACGTTAGCCATATGGCCAATGCTCGTCAGAATATATGCATACAGCTGAACGCACCATCTAGTTTAAACTTTAATGTCAACTTATCAGAGATGGCAGTTACAATATGATGTAAGGATGTTTAGAACCTTACTAAGTTGAACCTTACCGATCTGCTCAGCTGTGCGACAGTTCCGGTTAACTATGATGGAAATCAGGATCCAAAAAAAAGAATTTCACAGTTGTGAGGCACAAACAATAGGGTGAATCTGATGTGAACTGTGTCTAGAACACACTTCTGCAGATGTCCTAATGCCTAGATGGTTATGAGGTAAATCTTCATATACTAAAGACGCAAATCGAATATCAACCTTGAACCATCTCAAACGACACTGTCACAGGATGGCTATCCAACTTATGCTGGAAAAGCGAGAACAATATTGTCAGTTAATTGCTTGTCTTCCAAAAAGTACCACTGACGTGTCTTATAGGTGAGTTTTTGATTGCAATGATGACAAGTCAGTCGAAGGGAGGCAGAGAAAGCCAGCAGTTAGTGTTTATGGCAGACGTAAGTAATGAGCATCAGCAAAGCTATGAAGTAACTTAGAACTGATGTTACTTACAACCTTTAGCGCGAACGCCCTAGGATATGCACTGAAACATTCAGTCCTCGTGTGGGTGAATGTGTCGATTTTACGTGGCCCTATGATCCGGTGACTGCAAATATACGTGATGAGATGGTAGGGGTATGTATGGGAGAGGATGCTACCACCTGTAACTCAACACAATCAGTGAGCCTAATTAGAATTTCACAAGTTCTTTCTCACCAACAAAAATGACTAGACTGCCAACACATATTATTTCTGCCAAACAATCTATATCACTTGCGGGGCTTGGTGCAAAGTCTTTTGATGATGGTATTAAAGCTATAATCAACCTTCATCAGCTCATGTCGGAGAGGGTGAACGGAGTGACACTTACACCCTGGACACCGTGACGCATTCAGAATGAAGTACTCCTCGACTTCTCCAACCGATACTTCTCTTCGCCCAAGGATGCTGTGGGAGAGGAGACAATAGAATTTGACATTGAGATTGACCCATTTGGAATCTTGAAAAACCAGATGGAAGGTTACATTCATACGACTGACAACAAGGTGCTTTATTATGAAAGGAGCACTCTAGATGAGCACGGCAAAAGGTGAGGGATGAAATGGCCTCAACATATAAGGCTAATGACCTATCTAGTCATACACTCCCAATACAACCCGCTGCGATTCAGATAGGTCATATGGTTGAACTGCAGGTGTCCTTCTGTGCGATGCCTATATCTAAAGGGAAGTATCGATTCTTGCACAAGTTGAGATCAATTTGTATACTGGATCGAAGGGTACAATCGGTGAGTGGTATGCTATTTCAAGATACAGATCACTATAACTGAAGTCAACATACCGTAGGATTTCAACCAGATTTTAGTGGAGCGTATTGTCCATCCACAGTTGTTACCGACTCGTACAGTCAAACGTAAGATCGGCTATGATTCTGATTCTGATGCAGATATGGAGGAGGAGGATGACCATGGAAAGCGACGCCGTGTAGAATCTTCGATAGAGGCCATAGGATCATCTACATCCAGACTAGACATATCGGACCCTGTGACTCCACAGATTTAGAGTATCACAATCTTAGTACAAATAGCATGAGATGCTACTGAATGAATATCGTTGGGGAAAATCCGCCGAGTCATGTGTTGCACGACACTCATCTCTGAAAGAGAGACAGTCGTGTGGAGCCAAATTAACCAAGTCATCGCATGAATCTTGTCCCTGAAAGAGGGATGGTCTTGTGGAGTACAATTAGTGAAGTCACCTCATGATTATTGGCAGTGTGTGATAATGAGAAGGACATACCAGATCCCTGGTCTTAATGGGGGGGGGGAACATCCATGTTGTCCATTGCACTGTGGAGCATTAAAATTGAGGAGTGAACATAGAAGCTCCAATGAACAAGAACAATTAGCCTTGGTGAGAGCTTCATGGCAAATATGTAAGGAGTACAGGTGTGCTATGCATGTCCTATGATATGCTTAGATAAGCTGTGATACCATACAAAACAGGTTGAATCACAAGAAGGGCCATGGATGCACAAGGGAGGTTGGGAAGATGATGGTACTAATCTGGAAAAATCACATTAGCTACATTAACAATCCACAAATAGGTGCATGGTGCTACGGAGTGCTACAGCTACTCGTCCCACAATGACGATGATGATGACGATGAACGTGGCCCCCACTCTTGAAGCGAGGGCATCCTGGGTGTCGTTCTCCATGCCCTCTTGCAGGGCATGGCCTCCGTTCGGAGGTTGTGGGCGGCGATCGTGCGAGGGAGGTCAGAGAGGAGGGAGGAGGTGGGGCCGTGCGTCGCGCGACAACGAAGACGAAAGACACCCCCGCTCTTGAGTCGGGGGTGTCGTTGGTGTCATCCTCCATGCCCTCTTGCAGGGCATGGCCTTCATTCCAAAGTCAAGGGCGGCGGTCGCGTGAGAGAGATCAAAGAGAAGGAAAGAGGCGGGGCCACGTTCATGTCGTCCAGCATGCCCTCTTGCAGGGCACGGCCTCCGTTTGCAAAAGACACCCCCGCACTTGAAGCAGGGGCATCATCGGTGTCCTCCTCTGTGCCCTCTTGCAGGGTATGGTGCGCGTTCCATCACGCAGGGCGGTGGAAGCACAAGGGAGGAGGAGAGGTGGTGGTGGGTCGGGCCGCAAGTCGCACGATGATGATGACGAAAACGACCCCCGCTCTTGATGCGAGGGCATCGTCAGAGTCGTCCTCCATGCCCTATTGTGGGGTATGGTGCACGTTTCACCGCGCAGGGCAGTGGAAGCGCGAGGGAGAGGGAGAGGTGGTGGTGGGTCTGGGTCGTGCATCACACGATGACGACGACGAAGGACGCCCCTGCACTTGAAGCGGGGGTGTCGTCGGTGTCCACCTCCATGCCCTCTTGCAGGGTATGGCACGCGTTCCACCGTGCAGGGTGGTGGAAGTGCGAGGGAGGAGGAGAGGTGGTGGTGGGTCGGGCCGCGAGTCGCATGATGACGACGATGAAAATGGCCCCCGCTCTTGATGCGAGGGTGTCGTCCGAGTTGTCCTGCATGCCCTCTTGAAGGGCATGGCACGCGTTCCACCGCGCAAGGTGGTGGAAGTGCGAGAGAGAGGAGAGGGAGAGCTGGTGGTGGGTCTAGGCCGTGCGTCGCACGATGACGATGAATGCGAGCCCCGCTCATGAAGCAGGGGCGTCGTCAAAGTCGTCCTGCATGCCCTCTTGAAGGGCATGGTGCGCGTTCCACCGTGGAGAGCAGTGGAAGTGCGAGGGAGGGGAGAGGGAGAGCTGGTGGTGGGTCCGGGCTGCACGTCACACGACGATGACGACGAAAATGGCCCCCACTCTTGATGCGGGGGCATCGTCCAAGTCATCCTGCATGCCCTCTTGCAGGGCACACCTCGCGTTCCATCGCGCTGGGTGGTGGAAGCACGAGGGAGGTTAGTCAGTTGGGATCTGCATGAGATGGTGTGAACTACACACCAAAACCCCGCGGTTCACGTGGGGGTGTCGTCCAATATCTCTGGCATGCCCTCTTGCTTGGGACATCCTCCGGATGGTGGCGTGGGGTGGAGGAGGACCGAGGGACAGCAGGAGGAGGAGGCCGGTGTAGGGACTTAGAGGATTCTGCGCGGTTGACAGGCGCTTTCCCAGTCACCTTAAATTATAGCTCCGCTCCAATATTTATCCCAATTCGGTAATTTCCTCAGCCACCAGAGCGCTGAGAACGAAAAAAGTGTCGATGCGCTTGATTTTCTGGATCGCATCAACACTTTTTTCGTTGTCTGCTCATCCGCAGTCTCCGCTACCTCTCGAATGTGGTGCCCACACTCGCAAACTCGACACAAAGTCTTTCCCTCCTGAACCTCCTTTGATATCGGCCTTCTATCTGTCCTGTAGAGTGCTTCTTTACATCTGGTGAGTGAATCTTGTCGTAATGCTTCTGATTCCATTGAATACTGACCTTAAATTCCATGACTGTAGAATGCTAGCATCAACAATGTCTTCTCTCGGTGTGTTGCCATTGTTTCCCTTTATTGCTGCAGTCTTTGACCCAGCCGAGGATTATAGACCCTATTACTGGTCCACTTGTGCACCACGGTGAACTTGTGAACATTCCTAACTGACACAAGATGCATCCTCACCTCTTTGTGGTGAACGACCATCCCAAGAACCCCTTTCCTGGAGTTGGGACGGTGTATGTATATGTCCAGGATACACATGTAGAGGTGATGGAAAAGTTATTCGATTGGGCTGGGAAGTAGCAGTTGCCGGGGTTGACAGCTGAGCAGGCTCGATTGGCTGGTGCGTAAATGTTTCCGTTGTTCCTTTGCTCTTCTGATTCTGTTATATCAGGCTATGTTGAGATGAAGCCTGGAGATTCTGTGTTTGCTAGAGATATGTGGGGATCTGGACAACCAGTGGATGATGTGATTCAGGCGTGGTACGTGCCCAGGTTTGTAAGCCTTTAATTTTCTGATAATACGCTCACGTGATTGATTTTATCTGCAGTTACAAGATACGGAAGGAACTTATCGATGCGATTATCGACTCTCGCGATGAGCCCAAAAGAATTGCATACAGCTGATAAGGCTGTCAAGGTCAGTGATTTTAAGTGACAATGTAAAGTAGATCGAGTAGAATAGCTGATCATATATATTGTCAAGCTTGGTGATAGCTATACTGGAGGTATCTAATGGGAACGTGATCCAAATGCCATTCACGTGTCAACTTCCAAGTGTTGCTATACCTTGGGCCAATCCTTCCAGGGGCCTCGTAACCTTGCATCTCCCTCTCCTGGTGCTAAAGTATACGGTGACGTGTTGACACCACATCAGCAGATGCGTAAAAGGGCTGTACAGGTGCGTTCTTAATCATACTAAAGCATGCAGCATATTAATCGTAGTGAAGGCATCTACTAAAGTTGCCATACAGTGTCTTGAGACTGGACCTCCAGAGGTATCAGAGGTGTTGAAACGCAATGCCGATGTAAAGAATTTGCCACCATTGGGGGCCAATGACAGTCAGATATTTATAACTACGCTTATCCGACTGTGCAGTTGAATATTTTGTCCACAAAAAATGAGGACGAGTATGCAGGCGTATTATATTTTCTTCTTTAATGCTCATGCATATTAATAAGAATCATAGAGAGCAACTTCCAAGAAGATCTTGGAAAATTTGCAGGCAATCACATCGATAAAGGTGACTGGCCTGGTGCTTACACGGTTATGATTGGGGCTTCTGATCTTGGCCCTGATGACTATCCTGGCATCTTCTGCTTATTTGACATTGGAATTTTTGTGGAAATGGGCAATATTCCTTTGCTTTGCTTTGGAGGTGTACGCCATCATGGTGGCACTCCTCCTACTTCTTCTGACCCTTCCGGTGATTCTTACTGAGTGGCATTTATCAACTATCCTCCAAAGAGTCAGATGGAGGGTCATGCTCTTCTTGGACTTGCAGCCATGCCTGATCACAAGCTGCTGACTTTACGGCCCGAAATGATTGACCCGCGGTGAGTACATATATATATTTTCCGCTTTTTTTATGTTTTGCTAAGTGACGTATAGTTATGACAATACGGACATCGTCTATATAAATGAGGCCAACTGGGCGACCGACAGCTTGGCATTGAGTGATCCCAAAGCCTTTTTTCGCTTTTATACAAGAGGCATCACCCAGTACGCGCATTTCCTTCTTCGTCAGGTGCCTTCCACGCTTAAGGCGAAGATGGACGTTAACAAGTTCCTGGACACATTTTCAATGGAGGTTGATGGTGAACATGTTACACCTGGCCCTTGAGAGCTTGGTCCTGGTTCTACTGCATACTCGGAGACTTTTGAAACTACTCGCGCTGATGCGGTGAAGTCTTGGGACCATCTAGCAAAGACTCGAGCTGCATTTATTCCTTATCTTGCTGGAAAGAAGAAGGGAGGGGCTGGTAGTGACTCTGACTCTGATGAGGAGCCCGCAGCAACTGGTGATATTGAAGCAGTCATCGTGCCTGCTAAGCCAAGTGGTCGACCTTGTACGTTTTTTTTGTTTGAACTCAAGTATTAGTGACTGATTGCTGTTCTGTAGTACCTAAGAGTCTGTATTGATATCACTCATTTCTGCATTACGTTCTAATTTGTTTGTGATTATAGAAAATTCCAAGAAGCGTCCTCGAACTAACTTACAGCCCAATTTGGATGCTTCTCAACCAAAGAAGATGTGCAAGGATTATGCAACTGGTATGCTTTACTTTTATTGTTTCTGCTTATATCTAATACTGGTTTTCAGAGGTTGGGTTACAAGATATGCTGAAAACTATCGGGCGTACTCAGACAATCGATTTATCGACCAAGACTAAGCGTCGCAGCAAGCGTTTGGCCACTAGACATGAATCCTCGGACACAGACAATGAGCAAGAATACTTGGGCCTCGTTGGTGGTGGCCATGATAATGGTGATGATGGAATGGATGTAGATTTGTCTGGTGCACAGAAGGGCGTAAGGTGTAGCAGTCGCCTTGGTGGAAAGTCGGGTGTATCGTCTCGTTAGTGTTTATATATCTGAACACCTTGTATACAATACTAAATTTATATTCCACTCAGACATCGAGCAGCATGTTTCTGATGGCTATGAGCCTGACGAGGATGACGATGATGAAGACAACTATGATCAAGAGCCCAGGAACACTGAACAGACACCTCAGACTCGAAAGAAGAAACAACCTTCACACAAAGTCTTGGCATCTTTCTATGTTTCTGATGAATCTGTAGAAGAGGGAGAGCAAGGTATGTTTAATGTATTTGTTTATTCTTCATTCAACTTATGCCTGCAGTAGACCAAATAAACAGTGACCAAGTGACAGAAAGTGAAAATGATTCAGACACTGATGACACTGGTGCGTTTTTTGACTGGATTAATATAATGTTATTTTGCTTATTTGTTTATAGTTCATGCGGCGGTGCTCTCACTCTTCAAAAAGTGGAACATCAAGGCATCTCATTCAGAATTCAGTAATATTCTCCAAGGCATTCAACAGCAGTCTCATCAAAAATACGTCACTGCTCAGCAAAAGCTCACTTGTTTCCTTAACAAGTTCAATGGTCAGCAGCGTCCCAATGCTCAGTTTGCAGTTTCCATCTCTCAAATATGGGAGTCAATGGAGGTTCTCTCTATCAAAGGCAAAGCCATCTCATTGGAGAACATTCTTGCGCAGAAGCAGATTATGCTGTCTAATGGTGTTGCCTGGAATTGGCTGAACATCATCTGTCTCCGGCGTTGTCAGAAACTCTTTGAACCTCTTCATGCAAGGAAACTTGTAACCTCATCCGATTGGTTTACCTCTCTTACTATCAAGATCTACCAGCACTTCGAGATTTCTCGCCGCTCCAGTGACACACTAAATCCCTCGACTTATCTTCCTGGTCTTTCAAAGTCAATTCAACCTTGGAAGTTGCCTGTTAATGCTCTTAATGGTGATGAGCTGGAGACTCGTGTTCTCAGCACACTGCGCTCAGTCCTATGCAGTTGGCTTGGTTATCCAAATGATACCTCGATGATGCGAGGTGTCTTCGTGACTCAGATCATACAGACATTTCATTCTGAGAATGTTTTACTCCTTCAAGGCGTATGGTGCATATATTCTGAAATCAAGGCGAAGGTCTTGGGTCCTTCTTTCAAAGGATTGCGTCCACACTCCCTATGCCCTAATATGCTGGATACAATCTTTGACAAGCTCTCCAGCCTGCCACTTGCTAGCCTGGAGTCCAAGGAACATTCTTTGTTGGAAGACATAGGAGATTTGGTGAAGAAGGCCCTGGAGCTCATTTCATACCCTGGTGGTAAACCCACTGCCCCTACACCAGTAGCGACTTCCATTCCTTCTGGAACTGCATCCACCTCTCAGATTCCAACCCACCAGGGACTCCAAAGCCTTCTTGACTTTGTGTTGGAGCTGATTCCTCTGGTGGATTCTACAACAGCATTTCCTTCCACTAGAATCCAATCGCTTGTACTCCAACAGCTTGACAAGCGTCTTCCCTTCTGCAAGTGCGCACCAAGCAAGTCACGTGTCAGTGGACTTGATGGACCGCTTCACCCAGACAATATCGACAAGCCTGGTGCATTTGTAAGTGCTTGTATATTCTATGGAATCACCTTTGGTTGTCCCGTTGTTCAAGAGAAGCCAACCTATTTTTCCACAGAAGCAGCGTGGGAGGAGATGCTTCTCTCTTGTCCTCGTGATTCATCTGGCAATATTCGCAAAGGCTATCTCTGCGACAAGACTGCATACAGTTCCTGTATTAGTGGTCGTGATCCAAAGCGCGCCCACGACTACTTCATCACAAAGGAATACTTTCACAGATTTTTTAGAGACGGAGGGTAAAGATGGCCAGATTGGCTTCACACAATTTTACACCTGGGTGACTAGGTCTATGTGAACTGATCGCAAGAAGATTCTACTCCAGATGGGCGGTTTAATCTGTCTGCTCTTGGCAGCTGATCTTTGCTATGCAGGCAAGGTCAGAATGCCAGATGTCGATGAGATGGCCAAGGTGGTTGCTCATGTGGAGAAGGGTGCTATTGTTGGTCTATCTCTTTGTTCATTGACATCTGCAGGATCTAGTGTGGAAGAAGTTGAAGAGGCATTTAAGATGACATACTCATTTTTGGACGCTCATCTCACTGTTGAACAGAAGAGACCTATTGGATTTGATCCAATTATGACAGAACATTTGCTCTGTAAGTTCCAGTGAGTAGATAGGGTAGCAAGTAGAAAATCTTGACCGTTGTAGATACTTTGTAGTGGTCAAGTCAATATATACAGAATGTAATAGTCACAGATAATATTCTGGGGTCTCAACTGGCAGCTGCACTTGAGAACAGCTTCTTTACCCATCATTGTACATTGGAATAGCAGCAGATCAAGCCTGAGTTTGTCCATTTAGGTGAGTTCTTCATCCTCCTAGCTGTCCTTCTCTTCCTGACCCCAAACTCTCTTTACAGCATTTATCTGAGCATGAATTGTAGATTTGACCTTCTTCCCATGTTTTGGGGATAATGTAGGTGAATACAGCCCTCTGGATTGTCCGGTGTGTCCCTGTATTCACTGTTCTCACTTATTTTCTGTGAGCCAGACAATTAAATCAAAATTATATTCTAGGCTTCCAACCAAGGGCTGTACTTTGGAACGGCTGCCTTGCCCATTATTGTACATTGGAATAGTACCAGATCAAGCCCTCGTTTGTCCATTTAGGTGAGTTCTTCATCCTCCTAGCTTTCCTTCTCTTCCTGACCCCAAACTCTCTTTACAGCATTTATCTGAGCATGGATTGTAGATTTGACCTTCTTCTCATGTTTTGAGGATAATGTAGGTGAATATAGACCTCTGGATTGTCCGGTGTGTCCCTGTATTCACTGTTCTCACTTACTTGTGGGGAGTAGGCCACTGCTTTGCATAGCAGGAACGATTCCTAAGGTTCAATGTTTCTACTTTTATCTTATTATCTAATTATTTTCACATGCTTTAATTATTCTATATTACTCCTTAGTAGTTGATTACTTGTGAAGAGTGGTCCATTGTATTGCATTGCATAGCATCTTGTATTTTTATTAGACACCTATTTAAAGGTTTCACCAGTTGTATTCACTCAAAACAGTCACCTTAGATGAAAATCTACTAAAATTTCATGTGATACTAATAAGTATAAAGAACTTATGTCTTTCTTGTCAGTATATTATTTTTTGAAGCTCTAATACTCTGTTTTTATTTCAACTAAATTTATGTGACAATTCATTTTATACAGATACTAAAGAAATAAAGTATTAGAATAACTTACAATATTATTTGGATACTCCAGGTATCATGAACAACTGCATTACAATATTTAGTATGCTATTTATCTAATATTTTACTTACAGATATTTGGTAACAGTACTGCAATAGTCCAGCATGCCATTTATATGTCTATACAAAGTAGTTACAAGAAAATGCTAGTGCTTTCTAAATAAAAGCATTATAATAGTGTACAATCTTATTCAATAACTGGTAGATTGCTTAGTAATATATAGTATGCTTGTAACAATATTATACTCGTGACTGACTTATAACATGCCGCCTAATTATAGTTTATAAGAGCCTTATAATATGTTATGTTATCACATGAGTCTTATATGTCTACTATATCATCTACCAACTTTTTCCATACCATTTAATATCAGTTAATAAGCAGTATAATATAGATAATAATTTATTTATAGCTGCCTAATAATAGTCTAACATATTGCTAAGTATCTCAGAGTGAGATTATTTAAAAGATGACTTTAAAATGATATTACTCGGTCCTTTTATCAAAACTGTATAAGAATGTTACTAAAAATTGTTAGTACGCCTCTCCTGAAAATGCTCTTCAAAATTGCGTTAAAATGATATCATGTTGTTCTGTAAAATGTATATAAAAACATTACTAAAAAGGTCCTAGTATGCATTTTAATAGACTCAGCTGAAAAATGGCTTTAAAATGAGATCACTATGTTGTTTTGCAAAAAGTATATAAAAATGTTACTAAAAAATGACTAATATGCATTATAAAAGACTCAGGCAAAAAATGGCTTCAAAATGATATTACTATGTTGTTTTGCAAAAAGTATATGAAAGCATCACTAAAAATGACTAGTATGCATTTTAAAAGACTCAGCCAAAAAATGGCTTTAAAATGATGCTACTTTGTCATTTTATAAAATTGATATAAAAACCTTACTAAAAAGTAACTAGTATGCATTCTAAAAGACTTGACTGAAAAATGGCTTCAAAATGATATTACTATATTGTTTTGCAAAAAGTGTATAAAAATGTTACTAAAAAGTGATTACTATGCATTCCAAAAGAATTGGCTGAAAAATGGCTTCAAAATGATATTACTATGTCATTTTATAAAATCTATATAAAAACCTGACTAAAAAGTCGTTAATATTCATTCTATAAGGATCACCTTCATAGCCTACTATGTCATGTACCTACTCCAAGGTAACTATCTGATAGAAGCTTTTTAGAATCTTAGATTCTATAGTCATGCTACAATTTTTGTGATATTTTTATAATTTTTCGGGATTTCATAATGTCTAGTAAGCTCCTACAATATCTTACTATATACTTTACTAACCTTTAGCAAGTTGCTTAGTATTGTAATAACCTCATAATAGCCTGGTATGCCACCTAGTATTTATTTGTAAGGCCTTATAATAGTCTGAAAGGCCACCTAGTATCAGTTTGTAGGGGTCTTACAACAATCTACAATGTTATCTACTGAATTTATACCACCTAGAAACCATTAATAAGCTCCTTATAGTCTAATATATTCTCTACTGACTGCTAGTATGCCATATAATAATGTCTAGTAAGCATCCTAGAACCACTACAAAAAATGATGCAAGAAACTGTTACAAATGTGCTTGTCTACAAGGATCACTACAGACAATGACCCTAGAAACTGTTACAAATGTTTCTACAAGAATCACAACAAAAAATGTTACCAACGGTCTATAAAAACCACTCCAAAAAAAGGTTACCAACATGCTTATAAGAATCACTACAAACAATGACACTAGAAAGTGTTACATATGTGCCTATATGAACCACTACAAAAAATGACACTAGAAACTGTTGCAAATGTGCCTACAAGAATCACTACAAAAAATGTTACTAATATGTCTATAAGAATCACTACAAAAAATGACCCTAGAAACTGTTACCAATGTGCCTATACGAACCACTACAAAAAATGACACCAGAAACTGTTACAAATGTGCCTATAGCAAGGTATCTGTATACTCTATAGTGTCAGTTTGTATTGAGCTTACAATAGTCTGTATATGTTACCTGATGTCACTTGTAAAAATCTCCAGTAACCTGCAATAGTGTCTAGTAATCTCTAGTAAATATCCTAGTATGTGAGTTTATAAGGGCCTTACAATAGTTAGATATATCATCTAGTATCAGTTTATAAGATGCTTACAATAGTCTAGTATACCACTTAGTATCCATTGGTAGGGGCCTTACAGTAGCCTACAAAGGGATATATTGACTTCTAGCATGTTGTATAGTAACACTTCGTAAGCCTCCTACAATGCCTTATTATACTGTTTATTGAATTCTAGTACACCCTCTAGAATCAGTTTGTAATGGCCTCATAATATTCTGATCATCTAGTTTGTGTTGTAAAGGCCTTATAATAGTTTAAAATGTTACCTAGTATGGGTTTGTAAAGACCTTACAATTGTTGTCATAACCTGTACTTATACCAAAACTCCGAGCCTATAGTGTTTAAAAGCTGCCTTACAACAGTTACTAATGAAGCTAATAACCTGGAAGTCAAGCTCTATAGTGGTTCCGGGTATACCGGCTCTTTAGTCCAGAAACAGAAGCTGACTTTGAACATGTTTCTGCATTTAGTAATTCTTCAGCCACCAGAGCGCTGAGAACGAAAAAAGTGTCGATGCGCTCGATTTTTTGGATCACATCGACGCTTTTTTCGTTGTCCGCTCAAACCTTAACCAATTTAGGCAAGTCTCTTGCAACTGGTTCCCACACTTTCAGCCAAACTTGCAAGGCCTGTAGCTCACTCAATTCTACTCGGATTTTGATGAACCAAGTGGGCATTCCGACCAGTTCTTTGAGCTGAATCTGATGGTACCACTTTCAGAACACAGGAATCACTTTCTGTGGTGCTACAATCCATTTTGACTGGAAGCATTTGTTTCTACACATCCAGCCAAACTTGCCAGGCTTGTAGTTCAGTCAATTCTGCTGGAATTTGGATGAACCCTGTAGTCATTCTGACAGGATTTTAAAGCTAAATCTGACAGTGTCACTTTTAGAACAGCAGAATCACTTTCTGCAGTGCTACAATCCATTTTCTCTATTCTCTCCCACTTTTGCTTGTTTCTTCAAGGAAAACAAAATGTGCACTACATGTAAAAAACAAGGTGCCCTGTATAACATGTTTATGTGCATTTTAGAGTCATTCGAAAAATTTTCTGGCATTTGTCCAATTTTCCTGCACTTCATGCTGAGCATTCTAATCTAAAACTGAGATATTTCAACCAGTTTTACTCAGATTTACTTGGTTTAAGAGAGCATTATACTCCATTTCCTTCACAGATTACAATGATACTGCTTTTCATGTGTTGGAATTAGTATGTGCTTCTATAATTTCACTGACTATGATGCATTAGTTCTCTATGGCTGCTGTGGCACTTCTGTTGATCACTATTTGTGCAAGTCACGCTGGTTTTCACTACAATCACTTTGAGAGACTGACTGTATGCAAGCTGTAGTACAGTAACAACAGGCACTACAAAGTTTGTAGTTAAACCCTAGACCTAACCCAGGACTAGGTGCAGCCCATGCATACAAATTTGTATTGAAAAGTTGTTCTCACGCATAGGGGCCGTGTTACAACGCTCCTCACTTGTGGCGCGTCTTTTCTTTTTCTTTTCTTTTGTTCCCTTTACGTTACCAGACCACGTGATCCAACACGTGACTCATCGGAGCGCAACCTCCGATTCTTTATTCAGATGTCCAGAACCCCTAGTCTAGGGTTACACCGGATCCAACTCCGAACCTTCTTCTTATCGCACATGCAAGACGTGCATGTATGCCTCATCTTTACCTCGTTCTGATACACGACTCGTTATCCCCATTAGTACTGATTATCTCTCACGACCTTACTCAGCTTTCCCATACATATTACTTCCTCGCTGTTACCCTGCTTAGACATCGTTTCACCTTATCTAGCCAATGAACGATCCTGCATTACTGCGTAGTACTGCGGATACCTTTTGTATAAGTAGACGACCTTGTCGAGCTGGATCCCCATCTCGACCTGGTTACCATTAAACCAGCTTTTCACTTGCCTTTGACTGAGATCGACCGTCAGTAGCAGACAGCTACTACGAGTCATAAGAACGAACTCTGATCGACCTTCAGTGCGAGGACATCGCCAGAAGTGTCACTTGAACGGACTTGTGTCTTAGACTAAGACCTTGTCTCGTGACGACTCGACTAGACGCTCGTGTTTCGCTGCCGCGTAACATTAGGTCGAGATCTTATTACTCTCTGTGACTTCCTAGAGTCTAACAACGAACTACCGACCGGACCGAACCTTGAAGACTGAACGATACACCCGATTCGATTGCTAAAGCACCGTTTGAGATTACTCTGTAATCGAGGTAGCTGAAGGGATAGACTGATCACTCATCTTCGGAGAGGGGTCTGTCCGAGAGACCAATAGGCCGAGGAGGCTGAGGTAATCACTCGAGCAATCAGCAAATAGGTGTATCAGTTTGAAGACAGAAGACACTCTACGGGCTTGTTAGCCGACGACGAACGAACCCACTTAGTTAAGGACGGTGTGCAGTCTACGTGTAGACATAGGCCACACAGAAGAATTTATCCACGCTGGATTTTAACTACATCAACCCGACCGCTCTTCCAGAGCAGTACCGCGAGCACCTCCCATCTCAAGCGGAGTGGAGCACAGAACGAAACGCACATTTCATAGGAGGAAGGCCTGTATTCATCAGGCCAGACAATCACAACTTCGACTACTCCCCAGAGGAATTTGAAAGGACACTTCCCCATAATCTTGGTGGAATAGTGCTCCAGCACATCGCAGACAGCGGTATAACGACCTCCTATCCAGGAGAAAGACCAGACGCCCCTTGGAACCCCCCTGCCCAGAATCCTGTACCCCAACCGACTCTTGCACCAATCGTACCTGATTACATACCACCGATGGCTACAGTTACCATGGATGAAGGACGTCACCATGTTAGCCAGAAGGAACTTGGTTTTAGAAAACCCGAGATCTTCAACGGTTCAGACCGTTCGAAGCTTAGGGAATTTATAAACCAATGCAAGAACTACATGGCCGGAAATAGCCATGTCTACCAGGAGGACAATCAGAAGATCGCATTCGTGCTATCGCACATGCAAGGAGGAACAGCAGGATCATGGGCACAGAGCTTCATAGAAACGGAACTCACCAATGACGACTTCCTTTCTTATGGGAGTTGGAGAGACTTCATTGCAAGTGTGAACAAAGCATTTGGCGATGAAAATATTGAAGAAACCGCTCGTACCTTGCTGCGTAACATCAAGCAAGGAACTCGTACTGCGGACGACTACATTGCCGAATTCTGATCGCTTGAATCCAAGGCGAAACTAGAAGATGCCGGAAATATCGAGTATTTCAAGTGGGGGCTTAACGACCCACTCCGACAAAGGATATATGGGATGGAAAGCATGCCCAAGACACTTGACAAGTGGTACGAATACGCCTCGCGGTTTGATAACCAATGGAGATCTGCTCAGATCTTCAAGCGAGGAGCCACTACGACGACGCGAGGAAAGGGCCGATCTGTCCATCGTCCCTACTACTCGGCTTCTGCAAAGGATCCAAACGCGATGGATGTTGATCGTGTCAATATCTCGCGCTTATCCCCGGACGAGCGACAAAAGAGAATGAAAGAAGGATTATGTTTCCTATGCGGAAAGAAGGGCCATATAGCCAACGACAGACAATTCCACCCCCAGTCTGGAAGTTTCACCCGTGCTAGAACGATACAGCCCGGATTAGACACAGACACGATCACATGGATCAAGAAGATGCGAGAAGACCTCGCACAGAAGAAGGAGACGTCGAAGGAAGAAACCAGAGAGGAACAGATCGCCTATGTGCGAAACGTCTTCAACGACATGACTGATGAAGAACGAACCCAATTGGGTTTTTGAGACGACGGCCACTAGTAATGCATGGACCGTCGCATCTTACCGTATCTCCCCTCGTTATTTGTAACACTAGCGGAAATTCAATCACTGTGAATATTTCGTTGGGAGAGAAGGAAGACGTTACAACAGAAGCCTTGATCGATTCCGGTGCAGCCGAAACGTTTATGAACATTCGTTTTGCGGAAGAAAACGATTTCATCAGATGAGAATTACCGAAACCGATTACAGTCATAAATGCAGATGGCACACCAAATCAAATGGGTACCATTACTCATTGTACCTGGAAGATGATGAAAATCGGAGGAAGGAAGACGCTTACTTGCTTCCTCTTGACCGGCATTGGCAAAGAAAACATACTTCTCGGCATGCCGTGGCTTAAACGTCTCAATCCAATGATCAACTGGGAAACCAGTGACTTTTGGTTTGGTAAAGACGCCAAATGGCCACCGAAACCCACCGTCGAAGATGCACCAGATGAAGAAGTTTCGATTTTCAAGAAAGATGGACTCCCAGAGTTAATCACCACCGAAACTTCCCCTACCTCGTTTGGGCATTCGGAATCTATCAGAGAAATCATGGCCGATAACACTGAGCGTGGCGAGTTACCCACAGTGCGGAATGATACCGAACCAGATGACCCACTATCAGAACCCCCTATGGATCAGCTCGATGACGACGATCTAGTTATATCCTATATCGCAGGAGAGCCAGTTATTGGGATATTTGAACCCATCAGGAAGGAGTCACCTTTGACGAATGAAGAGACTGAAACTGCAGTCTTCACCATACGAAGAGGCCCCGCCATTGGAAGAATGACGCACAGTACCCGATCCCCATTATTCTATAATGCACAGAATACAGTCTTTTACAAACCATCTGGTAAATCACAAGAATTGGCACAACAGGCACATAAGGAAGCATCAGCTGTAGACAAACCCAAAACTGTCGAGGAGTTGGTCCCCAACTACCTCCACGATTTGAAATCCGTTTTTGAAAAGAAAGCAGCTGAACGCTTTCCAGAAACCTGGCCTTGGGACCACGCCATTGACTTGAAACCTGATTTCATTCCACGTGACTGTAAAGTCTATCCGTTATCGCTCAAAGAACAAGGAGCGATGGATGACTTCCTGGAAGAAAATCTGCGAAAAGGATACATCCGACCGTCGAAATCTCCCATGGCTTCACCATTTTTCTTCGTAGGAAAGAAAGATGGAGCACTACGTCCCTGTCAGGATTACCGATACCTGAATGAAGGGACGGTGAAGAACGCCTATCCTCTTCCGCTCATTTCTGACCTTATGGATCAATTCAAAGACGCATCGATCTTTACAAAAATGGATTTACGCTCCGGATATAACAATGTCAGAATCAAAGATGGTGACCAATGGAAGGGTGCATTTAAGACAAATCGCGGACTTTTCGAACCTATGGTCATGTTCTTTGGACTCTGCAACTCCCCGGCGACTTTCCAAATGATGATGAACGCACTCTTCAAGGACATGATCGATGAGGGATGAATAGTCATTTACATGGATGATATCCTCATCTTCTCAAACGATTTGGAAGAACATCACGTTCGAACCCAATGCGTACTCCAACGACTTAAAGACAACGACTTATTCCTTAAACCGGAAAAGTGTTTCTTTGACGTTAAAGAAGTCGAATTCCTAGGCATGATCGTTCGAGAAAACTACATTGGCATGGATCCTATCAAACTTAAAGGAATTGCAGAATGGCCTGAACCAAGCACGGTAAAAGGTGTTCGCTCTTTCCTAGGGTTTGGAAACTTCTATCGGAAGTTTATTGCCAACTTCTCAGATATTGCCAAACCATTGATGAATCTTACGTGCACTGCCGCTGGATCTCCACCTTTTGAATGGACAACAGAATGTCAGACAGCTTTCGACACATTGAAGCAACGATTCAGTACCGCCCCGGTACTGTTACTGCCTGACAAGGCAAAACCCTTTATTGTTGAATCCGACGCTTCCAAGTTTGCTACGGGTGCAGTTTTACGCCAAGCCGATATCAATGGAGACCTCCATCCTTGTGCCTACATTTCACAGATGCTCAATCCAGCTGAATGGAATTACGAAATCTATGACCGTGAACTCCTCGGAATCATTCGAGCCCTCACTGAATGGCGCCATTATCTTGAAGGCTCTCCCCATCCCGTCGAAGTTCGCAGTGATCACAAGAACCTCACGTACTTCCGTACAGCTCAGAAGTTAAACCGCCGACAAGCACGATGGAGTCTCAAATTATCACAATTTGATCTTCACCTCATCCATGTCCCTGGCACTCAGATGATCCAATCTGATGCGCTCTCTCATCGTAATGGACTCGATGACAGTGAAAGTGACAATGAAGATCGCATTCTTTTACCCAACGCACTATTCGTGCGATCCATTTCCCCGACACTATTCGACGAAATCAGGAATCACGCAGCAAAAGACCTCATTGTTCACGAAGCTCTCGAAGTGATTGCGCACAAAGGGCCATTCCCCATGAAATCATCGCTTTCCGACTGGGAAGTTCGCGATGGTGTCATCCTCTACAAGGGAAAGATTTACGTTCCACCATCCGAAACTCTTCGTCATGACCTCGTTCGACTACATCACGACTCCCCTGCCATGGGTCACCCTGGAAAGTTCAATACTCTTGAACTGTTACGTCGTGAATTCTGGTGGCACGGCATGTATACATTTGTCTACAATTATGTTGAAGGCTGTGCCGCCTGTCAACAAATGAAACCGAATACTCATCCAACTCGTATTCCTTTGGAACCAATTCCCGCCGACCCACACGCATTACCATTTTCCTGTTGCACCACCGATTTTATTACCGACCTCCCCGTTTCCAACGGTTTTGATTCAATTATGGTCGTAGTAGACCATGACCTTACGAAGGGGGTGATTCTTACGCCCTGCCTCAAAACGATCACAGCCGAAGGAACGGCCAAGATTTTTCATGACAAAGTATACTCGCGATTTGGATTACCCAACCGAATCATCTCGGATAGAGGACCTCAATATGCATCCAAGGTCTTCCAAGAGTTAAATCGACTACTCCAGATCAGATCATCAATGAGCACAGCTTATCACCCTCAGACGGATGGAGAAACAGAGCGAGTCAACCAGGAGCTGGAAATCTATCTTCGACTCTATTGCGGAAACAACCCTGGAACATGGGCCGACCGCCTGCCAGACCTCGAGTTTTGTCATAACACAAGGGAACACTCGGCATGGAAGATGAGCCCATTCCGCATCATGATGGGATACGAATCACGTGGACTCCCTTCCGTATTTCCGACCACGAACATTCCATCGGTTGAATCCAGGCTTGACATGTTGCAGAAGATAAGGCTAGAAGCACTAGCCATGCACGAGTTAGCCCGACAACAGATGGCGGACCGAGTCAGACAAGGATCGCCGAAGTTTACACTAGGACAGAAGGTCTGGCTAGACTCGAGGAACCTGAAGGTCAATTACGCCTCACGCAAGATAGCACCAAAGCGTGAGGGGCCATTCGAAATTGTCGAAGTCATCGGACCAGCCAACTATCGTCTCAAACTCCCGAAGACCTGGCGAGTTCATTCCGTATTCCACGCCGCCCTTCTATCTCCTTATCGCGAAAACGACATACATGGTCCGAATTACGTGAACCCACCACCTGATGTCGTTGATAACGAAGAAGAGTACGAAGTCGAAGCCATCCTGAATCACAAGATGTACCGAGGTCATCTGAGGTACTTAGTCAAGTGGAAGGGATATTCTTCAGCAGAAAACTCGTGGGAACCTGCCCACAATTTACAAAATGCCAAGCGAATCCTCGATGCATATAAAAAGACCAGGAGAATCCAGTAGAGGAGAAGAAACCCGGAATGACTACCACGACGGTTTTCCTCATCATCTTCCTAATCGTCCTCCACTGCACAACCCTCGCTTTTCTTTGGATCATCCACCGAATCCTTATCAGACGACTCATCGAACACACACTCTTCACGCGAGACAGCCCGCACGCTAACGGCTGGGGTGATCAGAACGATGCCTGGAACTGATCAGGCAGCTCTTATCTCTGTGGGAATACTCTTTATCGTCCAATGGATTTTCATCTATTTGATTATTACCCAGATCCACGACATTCTATTTCACATCACAGATAACCGCGATCCCCTTAACGACCGAAAGGTATAAAAGGAGGAGAAGACGATATATCATCAATGCCCACTTCCGCTATAGACGACCTTGTTCACAATATACTCGCTGAAGTCGCCTCCACAATTATGAGCATACCCGCATCGCCTACACTTGTCAATGGAGTACCCTCTCGAGCACAGACACCCTTTATCCGCGCCTCATCGCCCTCACCTTCTATCGAACTCAGTCACGCATCGGACGAACAAGAATTTGCCACACGTCTGGTCTCGGCTATCCGTGTTCCTGTCGACTTCACAGATATCCTCGTCGCCTTACGAAATCGCCCGCAAGATCGACAAGCGGTGGTTTCCATGCAACGAGCATTAGAAATGGTCGAGTGGATGCAGACGGCCAGACAAGAGCTCATCGCAGCAGAGGAAAGGACGAGTAGAGCCCGAACCAGAGTCGACCAAGTCTGGTCATTAATGCGCAGTACGGTCACTCGTACAGCACAGGAGATTTGGAGGGAGCATGGGGACGAAGACATTGGACACATCCTCGGATACACCACTAATGGAATACCCGCATCCACTCCTCGCTCGTCGCCAGAACCAATTCCCGTTCGACCTCGCCCTCCTCGTTCGCACATACCCAGTGGACAATCTCCGTTATCCCAACCATCTTTCTCGACCGCATCCACTTCTTCGCATCGCAGTCACCCCTACAGGGATGGACGTATCCCTGAATGAGGATCACGAACCAGCCGGCGGACATGCTACAGATGTGGAGGAGATCATTATGTCCGCGACTGCCCCCGACGACGATGAAGATCGCAATATTTCTTGTGGGACAAGAAACGTTAGACGGGAGCTGATGTTACAACGCTCCTCACTTGTGGCGCGTCTTTTCTTTTTCTTTTCTTTTGTTCCCTTTACGTTACCAGACCACGTGATCCAACACGTGACTCATCGGAGCGCAACCTCCGATTCTTTATTCAGATGTCCAGAACCCCTAGTCTAGGGTTACACCGGATCCAACTCCGAACCTTCTTCTTATCGCACATGCAAGACGTGCATGTATGCCTCATCTTTACCTCGTTCTGATACACGACTCGTTATCCCCATTAGTACTGATTATCTCTCACGACCTTACTCAGCTTTCCCATACATATTACTTCCTCGCTGTTACCCTGCTTAGACATCGTTTCACCTTATTTAGCCAATGAACGATCCTGCATTACTGCGTAGTACTGCGGATACCTTTTGTATAAGTAGACGACCTTGTCGAGCTGGATCCCCATCTCGACCTGGTTACCATTAAACCAGCTTTTCACTTGCCTTTGACTGAGATCGACCGTCAGTAGCAGACAGCTACTACGAGTCATAAGAACGAACTCTGATCGACCTTCAGTGCGAGGACATCGCCAGAAGTGTCACTTGAACGGACTTGTGTCTTAGACTAAGACCTTGTCTCGTGACGACTCGACTAGACGCTCGTGTTTCGCTGCCGCGTAACAGGCCGTTTCATCTGTCCCTCAGAATTTGGCGGAAGCCCTATCCCATAAAGAACGATTCCTTCGTACCTCAGGAATCGTAATTTCCTCTGAGCCAGACAATTAAATCGAAATTATATTCCAGGCTTCCATCCAAGGGCTGTACTTAGGAATGGCTGCCTTGCCCATCATTATACATTGGAACAGCAGCAGATCAAGCCCTCATTTGTCCATTTAGGTGAGTTCTTCATTCTTTGAACTTTGCTTCTCTTCCTCACTATAAATTCCTGTTACTACAAGGATCTCTGGATGAATGGTAGATGTGACCACAATATAGCATTATTCCGATTTACATGATCCAATATTGCAGTATGTCCATAACATTCTATATATGCCAGTAGAAGCAAAGCATGCTAAGGTGAAGAAAAGAACATTAGACCAAGTAATGAGTCTGTTTTGTGGTCAGATATTCTATAATATATTTGGAAAAGCTCCCGTACTACAACATTGAGTTTTTAGTATAAGGATTAAGTATAATAATACATAGGAATGTCGATCAAAAGTTTAAAAGATGTAGGTCTGAGGTCAACTGTGATACTCTATCTTCAAGTATGAAATCAATAAGCCAACCTAAACGCATCTTAATGAGTACTATCTACTATGACTTTGAGTTATTTAGAATAAGGATTGTGAAACATAGAATTAAAATCACAGAGAAACAGAGGTCCAAGGTTAACCATAATATGGAATCTTACAATGCCAGCGATTAAATAAAAACATGAGTGCTATCTGTTATCTAATCTGAGTGCCCTAGCCACCTATCTGTTGATGGTGCTTTGTACAAGTCGTGTCAGTTTTCAATACAACTTTTTTTGAATGTCCACCTGTAGTTACAGTGTAGTGAAGTAAGTAGAGCTACTACAACGTTTGTAGATGGAGCTGAACCCTAACCTTAAGTCACCCATACAAATTTGTAGCCAAAATTCGTTCCCACAGTTTGGGGAAAACATCGTGACAGGACAAGCGCCCATTTAAAGCTCATCCTGCATAAGAACGATTCCTTCGTACCTCAGGAATCGTAATTGTCCGCCTTCCTCTGTTCTTTCTCTCTCTGCTCACACTTCTGCCAAGCTTCAAACTCCACGATGTGCTCGTAGAACCAGTCTCCTGACAAGAGGACTGGTAGCCCGTCACCCACAAGTTTCCCCTTCCCTTTCAGCTGTTTCTTCTTCTCCTCTGCAAATGCTAGTTGCTCCCGTAGAGTCTTGCAATACACTTCATTCAACACATTTGTTGCCTGCAGCTCCAGTGTACGTTGGCGGAAATATGCCACTTGTGCTTCTGCCTCTCGCAGTGCTGCCAACAGTGTGATCTCGTTCTTTGTTTTGGGAGTGATATAGAGATTAAGAGCGGTAGGAGGGATCATTTGCCGAGTGTTATGTGGGTCTGGAGTGGAATCTGTGGGAACCTGAATAAGACGAGCAAGTGATGACTCCGGAAGGTGTCAAACTGCTTCCTTAATGACATCTGCAGAGTTAGCCACTGTGGACGTTAATGTTGACACTTCGGCAGGATCAGTGTGGGAAGATGGTGGATAACTGATTGCAACACATGGCTGCCCCTCTCCGACATCTCCCTCATCACTGTCACTGCCACTTTCCATGTCCAACACACCCTCTATCTCCTCATCGCTATCGGGCAGATCATCTTTGATGCAGAGGTCATGTAGCATCTTTGCGATGACACGCACTGACATTGCCAGAACAAGTGGAAGCTGGCCTTCGCAGGATGTCTCCTTGCTCAGTGCCATCATCTCCTCTGTGACAACGAGTGGGTTAAATGGCCAAACCTCAGTTTTGCGGAATGCAGCTTTAACAGTTTCCGGTGTTATTGCGCGCATGTGAGCTCGTCTGTAGATGGTGAGAAAGTTTTCCTTCTTCAGCTTCTGCCCTGTCGACCTTTCCCACTTATCTCGTTCCTCTCGGATATAGCGTTTGAGAGTCGCAAAGACAACAATGTCAAGTCCTTGGTAGACATGGGTCCCATGTGAAGGATAGCAGAGGATGAGAATTTGGTGCATGCGTGCATACTGGAGGAAGCTGCGAGTGTAGTGCGAATTATGACCATCAACCAGAAGAAGCCAATAGCAGCCTGCTGCCTTTGTTTTGGTGCGCTCATCGAAATCTTTGATCCATTCCACTCCGATTTCTCCATTTGTCCAGCCCTTTTTCGAATACCCTATCCTGTGCATTGTAAGCCTATTGCCAAGCTTCAGACAGAACAGAGTAACACTCACGATGCATTGGCAGGATTATCCTGCTTCCAGCTCACTTGGTAGCCTTTCCCCTTAAAGATCACAGCTGAAGGTGTAGCTGAGCCATCGGCACAGATTGTAACGATCACAGTGATGTTTTCGCGATCGCCACCGATCTGCTGATATTGCGGGCCCTTTTTGTTTGCTCCAAGAACATGCTCCGATGGCCCTGTGCTGCCGCTGCAGCCTATTTCATCTGTACCATAAGTCATTTTGGGCACAATGTCATAGTCCCTGATGGTATCCTCGAGCAGCTTGAACCATGCCTCATTCGTGTGTGGGTTCACAGCACGCCCCCTCTTCTCTTCCAGTGGCGAGGCCCATGATGCTTTTATCTGATCTGAATGCCTCTGAATGAAGCGGTGAGTCCAGTTCTTTCCCACACCCTTCGCCAGAAAAGTGTCACCTAGGTGTGCTTGTAGGATCTCATCAACATGCTCCTTCAGTCTCCTGTGGCTTAATGGAAAGCCACGATTTCCTAGCTCGATGATGTACTGCAGAACAAGCTCTACCTCCGTGAGTGTGAGCCAGCCATTCTCTGCGTCGTGCTCAGTTCGAGGGCGATGAAGCCCTCGTGCGTGGTTAATGATTGTAGCATGATTGAACTTAATTTCGGTACCAGTTTTCTGCTTGTGCTCTGCTGTGACATAATCACATATTGCTCGAGCACCACGCGCTGGAAGCCCAAGTGCCCGCTTCGCCAATTCCTCCTGATATGCGGCCACAGCCTGTCTTTGGAGTGATGCCTTGATTTTCACCTGTATCTGACGCTTCTTGCTCTCGGATTTGGGCCGTCCAACCATCAGAAATATCAGGAGTGCATAGCAGCAGTAGGAGAAATGATGAAGTGTTGTCAAACAATGAGGCTAAAATCTGTAGAATTGCAGACTCATAGGCTACGGCGGCGCCGTCCCATTCTGAACACAGGCACTGATGGGCAGCAAAATTGTATGGCTTGCTACACAATATCTGGTATGTACAATGTGTGCAGGTGAGTTACTACACTGTATACATGATCTGGTTTGCCATTGCGAGTGGTTCCGGGCAATATGTGTGTGTGGATCAATGTACATCGTGAAGGCAAGATTTAACATATGCCAATTTAGGCAATCACCCGACAATATTCCGTCGTTCTCCGATTTGTTTTAAGATTAAATATAATCCCTATGTTCTCTACAGTAGCTCTAAGTATCATAGATCAACCTCTGATAGTTTTTGAAGCAAGTGCGACCAGTGTTTGCCCTGGCAGAAGCAAATGTATAACTCAGTAATGATGTATAAGCAGATGGGTGATGACTGTATATGGCCCGGCAGACAATGAAGGGCATGACATGGACGTGCTCATCGGATATACAGATGCGGATTTTGTGAATAATGTTCGCGACCACAAATCTATTTCAGGATACATCTACAAAGTAGAAAGGGGCGCGATAACATGGAGTTCGAAGAAGTAAGCAACGGTTGCTTCTTCATCCACAGAGGCAGAATATATGGCATCCGCTCTCAGAGCAAGGGAAGTCATACGGCTACAAAATCTATTTAAGGAAATAGGTTTCGACCAGGAACAGCCGACAATTGTTTACGGGGACAACATGGCTGTGATCTCAATCGCCCATGATTTACAGTATCATGCACGCTCAAAACATTTTGATATAAAGTATCATTATGTACAAGAAAAGATAAACGACAGGAAAATGGAAATAATCTACTGCCCTACAGAAGATATGGTAGCCGATATTTTTACCAAACCCCTCGCGAAGCCAAGGCACCAAAAGCTTATGGAAATGCTTGGGATGCTCATTGGCCCAAGGAGGAGTGTTGAGAATGCCCGGAGGAAGCGATCTGAGGGCACCCATGGAGCCCGCCACAGCAGGGAATGATTATGTAAGGGAACTTTATATAGAATGTATATAAAAAAATCTATTTCGGGAATCCGGCTGAGTAATCGGGTCTTCCCTTTATCTGAGACATCATCGTGATATTCTCTGGGAATTTACCTATTATTCTCAACACAATCCATTTTGTCTCAAAGCACTTGTTTTCACACATCTGGCCAAACTTGTCAGGCTTGTAGTTCACTCAATTCTGCTCGGATTTGGATGAACCAAGTGGCCATTCTGACCGAATTTTAAATCTTAATCTGACAGTATTACTCTTAGAATATCAGAATCACCTGCTGAAGCACTAAAATCTGTTTTCTCAATTTTCTCTCACTTCTGCTTGTTTCTTCAAGGAAAAACAATGTGTACTGCTTGCAAAAAAATAAGGCGCCCTATCTAACATGTTCAGGTGCATTTTACAGTCATTCCCAAATTTTTTGGACATTTATACAATTTTTCTGCACTTCACACTGAGCATTCTAATCCAAAACTGATATCTTAGCCAGTTTTAATCAGATTTACTTGGTTTATGAGAACATTATGCTCTATTTCCTTCACAGATTTCAATGGTACTGCTTTTTATGTGTTGAAATTAGTATGTGCTTCTATAATTTCACTGACTATGATGTATTGGCATTCTGTGACTACTGTGGCACACTTTTGTTGATCACTATTTGTGCAAGTCGTGTTGGTTTTCACTACAATCACTTTGAAAGACCAACTGTATGCAAGATGTAGTACAGTAAGAACAGGCACTACAAAGTTTGTAGTTAAACCCTAGACCTAACCCAGGACTAGGTGCAGCCCATGCATACAAATTTGTATTGAAAAGTCGTTCCCACACCTTGGAGAAAAGTGCGTCCCCCAAAAGTTGGCGGAAGCCCTATCCCATACAGAACGATTCCTTCGTACCTCAGGAATCGTAATGTGATATAAATATTTGTGTGCCTCTGTGGTCACACTTGCAGTGTCAAGGCCAATCTTAATGTGTATTGAAGTACAGCTGATATCTGTTATCTAATCTAAGTGCCACTGCCACCCATCTGTTGATAGCTATTTGTATAAGTTGCATTGATTTTCAATGCAACTGTTTTGAATGTCTGCCTGTAGTTAAGTTGTAGTTAAGTAAGCAGAGCAGTTAGCTCGAGGGTAACCCTAACCTCAGGTCACCCATACAAATTTGTAGCTCGAGCATAACCCTAACCTCAAGTCACTCATACAAATTTGTAGTCAAAATTTATTCCCGCGGCTTGGTCAGAAGTTTGTCACAGGATAGGCGCCCATTAAGGGCTCATCCTGCATAAGAACGATTTCTTCGTACCTCAGAAATCATAACACAAGTGAGACACATACTCCTTCCCGCAATACCCCTTCCCCCCTTAATGTCACATGGGAACATGAGCTACACAGCCACCGCCACAATCAGTGTGGTGATCACCATCATTGTGTGGCATCGCGCAAAACCTTAATTACCCCAACAGACTTTGTGCACTCCTTTGGACAAGACCTGGACTACTTCATGTCCAGGAATACTGTACCATTTCAATCTATTCAATATGTCACAGGTCACATGCCCTTCTGTTGTGTCGAAATTTGGCGGCTGTCACAGGTCGCAGGTAGTACAGTCGGAAGGTCTTTGCATGTCACTGCCTCAAAGGGCACCCAAAATGGGGGGAAAAGGTCCAAAATGTCGAAAATTTCGGCCGGTCACGGGTGTCCAGCCGAGTTGTCTACCTGTCCAATCAGTACCATGCTGTCACACATCACACCAGGTGTTGAATAGATCGAAATGGTACAGTAAGTTTGTCCAGTTCTAACATCCATTCATATTTCCCCATGGTGGTTCATAAAATACAACCCACAAGACTGAAAGCCATTTTTGGCACAGAATGTGCAGTCACCCCAACTCTTATGCAAATGGCAATAAGCTAAGTAGGCAATACAAAATGAATTTGTCAAATCTCAGTCACTTTACACTTTCTCCTTGTACTGCACTACCAAAGACACAGGCCATGGTGTCACCTCCCCATTTGCATTGATATATGTAAACTGTGAAATTTCCTTTGATCCAAGAACAAGTCTGTATAAAAATTACAATTGTTGTGAATGCCATAAGTATTCAATGAGGAACACATACTGATTCATTTGACCTGACTGGCCTGACACTCTCTTTATATCAGCCAGTAGAAATATCACCTTGAGAATCTGGTATGCTGTCTGTATAATAATATGTTCAGTATACACATTATGCATGAAACATTGCAGTACCTTTTCGAAGAAACAAGAACTGAACAAGCTAGATACCATGAATAATGTTTCCACTCTGGCAGCCGCAGTTAAAACATACCCATTCATTTCCAGCTATATCACACGAAGTTTGTTAGCAGTTTGTTCAGCAATGAACAATGCACGCACAGCTCGAGAAACATCCGATGATTCGACAAAAAGATTATCACCCGACCGCACTTCACCGATATTTTTCAGTGAGGCAGGCACTCTGACCACTCGATACACCCCAGTTAACTTGTACAAAGGTTAATCATGGACATGGGTCAGCTTCAGGAAATGGAATCATACCGATGGATGACACCCTAACCAATTGATGTGTGAGCACCAACAGAGAGCGAAAGATTTTTACACTCACGGAGTGCTTCTCGAACAGCCTTCACTGTCTCATCTTCAGATTGTTTGTCATTGCTGGAGATCACTTGCACGAACTTGTCTCGCCTCTGGTCATCGAGGTAGTAGTCGACGACATGAGCCAGAGCATTAGAGTAGAGCGCGGTGGTCGCAACAACCTCAGCAAATATTCCGGCAGCTATCTCTTCCGGAGAGCTGCCATTGGCAGCAGCCAGAACGCCTGCCAGAAAATGATTACTGTGGTCGTTTGCGCCAGCGATCCAGTGCTTGACAGTGTCGGCGATGCCGCCCGACGATAGCTAGATTCTGCAAGTTACCACAGGAGGAAGGATCACGTGTTGATACTCACTGTTCCCTCACTGAGCTTCGTGAGATGACCCCGAATATACTGGCAGACTTGATTCGCAGTGTTCGTGGCTCGAACGCGCAGTGAAAAGTCGTGTACCGGTGACAAATCAAGATAAAGATAACTATGAGCACGATTGAGTAAGATACCGGACATAAGAGGCATTAAGACAGACTTCGCTGCATCGGCAAACATTCCGAATAATGCTTGTTCCCTGAACTCTCCCCTTGGATTCTCCAGAGTCTTCATTGGTAGACCGGCCTAAAGTCACGAGTTGTGTGGATGAGAACTGCGACCAGCACAAAGAGAGCAGCAGAGAATTACAATCTGATCAGCAACCCAGTACACAGGAACCAGGTTGATGACATCCCTGACGATGTCAACATATTTGTCTGAGGTGCCCACATGATCTAGTTCAATAGACTTGCTACGGATTAGCTGCTGCGTAAGCTGCTTGAACGAGTCACTCCATCTCAGTACTTCGGACTCGTTGAACATGACTCGTCGAACCTGTAAGGAGTACCGTCACGAAACAAGGACCTGCCAGAAAATAAAGTCGCTTACTGATGCACGGTCCGGGATGACCGAGTGGAACAAGTCCGCCAACCGGACATCACTGAGAGGGGAGAACTTCTCCGTTTCGCTCAAGACCTGCGTAACTGTCGGTTCCACTCGAACGACAGTGACTGAAGATTTCACAGGTCGACTCCAAACATAGCTGTCGACGGGGCTGTCAGGAAGGCGAGACATATACTCCTTCATGCGCGCCGGTACCATGAAGGGGAAGTGGGCATAAGCGCAACCGGCAGGATAATGTTGCGGCAAAGCACGGAATAGAAGCTTAGTGAGCATACCGCCATATGAACCATCATGCCTGTCAAACAAGCAGTCTTGATAGCCCCACGAGGTCAGATTGAACGCTGGGAACGAATGAGAGATTCGCTCAAAGAAGCGGCGATTGTTACTCACGCGTGAAGTCGACGGTCAAAAAACGGTCACCCCGCGTTAGACACACTGCATCTGCCAGAATCGCTCTGGAGATGGTGTATCCGGGACACAACCCTGCGCCCGGCATGGGTATCTTCGCCTCTTCGGCCTGCAATCCAACCTGTGCAAATCCTGGTCAACTTCGCGCTGTCCTGCAGTTAGATGTTAAGTACTTGCGTGAAGCTCGAGATTGTCGATATCGTGATATAGTGCTTCAGCAGCGATCTGTAGAACGTCAATGCTCAGCACCGGTCATAGGAAGTAACGGATCTTACGTAGACTTTGGGATCGGGATTCCACTCTTTAAAGTCGGCATACGCTATTCAAGTCGTCAAGAGACGCTCTGCAATCAAATCCTACCAGAATCAAGCGCGCTTACGTCTCAAACCTATGAACTTCCGGAACTCGTTCAACTGTGGCAGATGAACGGTGAGTAGGGCATAGGGATAAGACGAGAACGAACGCATACAGAGCACGTTCCCCAGCTTCTCGCTTGCTCGATGCCCAGAATTTCTATGACGCGCAGCGCCTCAGGAATACCGCGAGCTTTGAACGCACTGGCTGAGGATTCGGTCGCGTCCTGCAGGAGTTTTGCCAAATCATCTGCGGAAGAACATGTGACTACAGACACCATCCTCTCGCGCGGGATGCCGTACCATCGCGGAATGACCCGTCTTCATCACGTTTCAAGCTAAGAAATGGACACAATGTCAGAAACAGGACATCAGGGTAGACAGACGGAGAAAAAGGTCACATACTCGCCGAAGGTCCATGACTTTATGTCGGAAGACGGTTTGATCAAATACTTGTAAACGGCTCCTTTGAAGTCTTTGATACCGATCTAGTACCCCTGGCTAAACTGAAAACATACAAAGAACTAACGAAGATTTTACCTTGCTGAAATCCTTACCATCAAACAACTTATTGAACAAATTGGAGATGAATTGCTCGTCTGGAATCGATGAAGTGGCGTGCCACCGGTAGAGCAGATTAAATTCAACTGATACAGCATTCCCTTCGCCTTGGGGGGCAAACTCGTGACTAAGCTCACGCATGGTCTTGATGAAGAAATATAATGGTGTTCAGATGGCCCGGAGTACGATCCCAGAGAGACATGCCTACCTCGAGCGGATTGAGACGCCAAGCCGATCCATCTCGGACGAGACCCAAGATGGCGGCGACGTAGTCGCCCAAGATGACTTGCATGAAAAGACACGTGTTGACCAAACGTGAACGTTGGAAGATCTCTTCATCTTGAACATGTCTGGCAGCATCGTCCAATTTTGCTGGATTGGAATATGTTCTGTTCTCGTTGATCTTGAGAATCATGTCGGCGACATACTGACGGAAGGAAGGCAATAAGAAACTGATGAACGCCGCACTACATGATGACTTACGTTGTGGTTGCGACAGAACAGGACTAATAGAGCGCATGCAGACGGTGGCATAAAGAGCAACCTGTTATCGGCAAATACATCGTTCCAGAGTCTTCCAGTGCCATCCTTCCCTGTCCGCTAGTTAGTGCGATGCACGAGAGTATGCTATCCGCGGTACTCACTTCTGACGCTATCTACTTCGCGATCGGAGCTTCCATACAGAGGGCTGAGGTCGAGATAGCTGCTTGCGTCGTTGATAGTCCAGTCCATGGCATTCGTGTTGAAAATGCTGTGAATAACTAAATCTGCAAAGGCGAAGAACAGGCTAGAAATACCACCTGAGTCGGAGGGTTAATCGGAGGTCGATGCCTAGTTGAGAATGTCTTACCGGGATGCGGAACGAATTCATCACGTTTGAGAAGGGTGTCGAAGACGAGTCCAGGGTCTGGCAAGAAAGACGGCGGCAAAGGGTGGGTTGAAGGAACAGAGCGAGCGTACGGCGAGCCGGCCTTTCCCAGCGATGGTAACAACGGATTGTAGTTTGAGCCATCGGCACTGCGGAAAGCGTACTTGACCGCTTGGGAGGATGCGTTGGCCGCCGACTTGACAGTATCGCGAGGTAAAGCCAGATAACCACTTGGGGGATGAGGGAGATCCTTATATACTGTTGAGAATGGTAGACGACATTGTCAGTCAACGCTCGTCGTACGTGACCTCAGTGCGACTCACAGACATCGACAAAGACGGATTGCAATCTGTTGGCAAAAGTAGAATCATCGGGCAAACGTGACATAAGGGTGACCAATTTCTCCAACTGTGAACTGGCTGAGCGACGCATTAATCAGGTCATTTTGAGGAGATTTACCAGAAATTTGCGATCATCTATGCCGGGACCATTCAGGTTCTTGGCCGCATCGATATAAGCGGGCTGTTGAGGAAGACGGAGGTTACTAGACAGGCTAAACGATTCTAAGATGGACCTACCAAGTCTTTCGCGGTGAAGGCCGGTCCTCGACGGACCATTTGTTCGATATCTCGTATATCCTGTGAAAGCTCTGGAGGCAACGAGTGGGCGCCATCTTCGTCGACGGGAGCCGCGCTGAGCGCGAGGAAGTCAGAGACGTGTTTAATCGATCTTAGGGTGTTCATTTTACAGCGCTAGTATGACGCGAGGTTGGGTTGGAGAGCGGAAGATGGGCAAGGTGAATTTCGAAGTCTGTTGTCTTATTATACGGATGGGATCGCGTGGATAACGGAAGCACTAGTCGCCCCGGGCGCTGAGAAGAGCGGCGCATTGCGGTGTGGAGAAAGAGTTCCAGACATCAGGGAAGCGCAGAGTGGACAGATGGTCCTGACCTTACCATCCAAGTTCGCGCGGACAGTGCACGAGGGGTGAGTGCCGGAGATGAACAGCCCTGAGTTCCAAATGTCGGAGATATGCTTCAGGCACGTCTCAACACGCGTCCACTCTCTGCCGCGTCGAGTGCCTCCAAATTGTCCGAGGTGTACCTGCAGAGTGTAATGTACAGTACAGTAACGCTCGAATCAAGGGCTCAAATCGAACCAGTAGTCCTCCGCGCCCGCATAAGTTATCCTCCACCAACCTCAACACCATCGGCACAACGTCAAATGAGCGATGACTAGTGCTGTCAGCCCACGCGGTAACGTGAACATCACAGGCAGGGAAGCCCTCCAAAATGAGAACGCAATGCGTCCAGAACGTACTGCGCGCTTCGTCGTCGCCGAATTGTCGTCCGCTATCACGCAGGTCGCCGCGTGCGCCTAAGGTGAAGGGATGCCATCTCTACATGACCACACAACACGAATTTTGCTGTTCCGGCACCAAAGTTAGCCTTGCACGCACTTACAAACGCGTGCAAACATACCTTCTTCGCTGTCTTGTAAAAGGCTTTGCTTTGCATCGAGAGAGCGTTGGACCGATCAACGAGATCGTTTATCTTCTCCCCTCGCTGGAGCACGGATTCAATTGTCTTATGCTGAAGTGCCCCGTGTTAGCTATCTCCACCGGGAGCGCACAATCCCAACAAGCGCGTCTCGATTCTGGTCCGCGCTCTGGCAGCGCCCGAATGATGTGGACCGCTCACCAAAATGATCTTGGTCTCATCCAGTTCCTGTTGAACCTTCATGATCGCGTCAGCCTGCCTGGGATCCTGGTATTTCTGCAGATAGTTGTTGACTTCAGGAAATGATATGGAGGCTGGAGTCGAGTAAGCAGACATGGGGACTTTGGCGATGAAGTCGTCAATCAGCTTCGTCAACAGTGAGAACGCTGATCGGACAGGGTATTCCTGGTCTGTGACGATTACGGCTGTGCAGAGGTGGTCGCTCTGTCAACAGAGCAACAATTGCATGAAGGACAACCCACCCGCCAGCTGTTCAGCCCCCCCTCGGTTGTAGACATGCGCGGTATAATTGTTCTCCTGCACGCTCTGACGTTGGCCTTGCGGTGTTCTATCGACGATTGTCTTTGTGAAGAAGGCCATGAATTCGCCAACGGATCCTCGCTGGTAAAAGGAAAACGTCGAGAGATCGGATGCGCTGCTGAGGACGGTGCATGGCTTGCTGGGTGGGGCGAGGACGACGGCGAGAGAGAAAACCTTCATGTTGGTTCGTCGAGAGGGTATCTATCTGCCAGCTTGCCGCTGCCCGCGTTGGTGACAAGTTGGCGCAGCAGTGCACTGTAACGTGACACTGTAGCTGTGACATGCTCGCCGAGTCACGTCTTGTTTGCTCCATGCCCTCACACCATGTAGAACAACTTCAGGCCTTGTTCCTCTCCCTCTGTGTGTTCTGGGCCGTCGTACATCTGCTCTATCGCATTGTATCTCGCGCTGTCCGTCCGAGGTCGATTTTGCCAACAACGTCTGGGGCTCCCCGGCACGTGGGCGATTTCTTCAAGCAGTCCCTCACGCAAGTATCCTTGTGGAAACTTCACCTTCGAATACAGACCACCGCGTTCAATTCCCTACACGATGGAATCATTTCCTCTTTCAATCAAGCTCGAGGGTCTGTTACCAGAGGCGCACTAGTGGCTCTGTACGACTTCGGAGCTGTCTCAGGTGTGGTCGGCCTTCTAGGCTCGATGCTCCTTCTTCTATGGACGGCCATGAAGTCCGCATCTTCATTACGTTACTTCTCCTCAGCTGTCAGCCTGAACTCTATATCCGCCCTAAAGAGGAGAGATTCATTGTCGTCTCAGTCGACCAGGTTCGGCGAACCTTCACGATTGCCCATCCAATTGATTGTGAGTCACCTGTGGTGGTCGTCTCGGGTTTCCTCTTTCCCCCTTCCAGCACTTGGAGTTGCTGTATCAAAATTACAGACTCCGTGCCTTATGACACTCGGTCTTTAATCCACGAATTCATCTTTATTCATAACCTGGTTCTCGCTCGAACATGGTCGACTGATTATTCATTGCAGATACCAGGACTTACAGTCCCCCTCGTGCATCTTCCATTGATGCTCTTTGCTCTAGTCGTAAGCCAGGTGGTCCACGAAGCCGGTCACACAGTGACAGCTGCACTGTACGTCTCGTCACATTAGTGTGGATATCGCCGTCCGTCGCAGCCCGTTCTGAGACGGCAGCCTAGGGAGTCCGTGCCTGTCACCTCTATCGGGGCCACCTTGACTGTGCTGTTTCCTTCGGCCTTCGTCACACTCTCCGCACATACTTCCGGCGCGCTTCCACCTGCTGCAAGACTACGTGTCAGTTCCTCTGGCGCGTTCCACAATATCTTATTATGGCTCCTTACTGCCGTTGTCTCAGCCAGTCTTTCGCCATTGTTTTTGTCCATCGGGTACATCGACATCGGTCCATGGGGACGGGTTGTTACTGATATTGTTGAGGTTGTCTTTGTAATGCGAGTGAAATTCTTACCCGCTGAGATTTCTTCATTCTAGGATTCTCCATTGCGAGACCACCTTCCCATCGGGGCGATAGTAACTAGACTGGATGATGTACAACTAACGCGCGCAAACGCTTCCGTGGATATATGGTCTTCATACCTATCGGGATCTTATAAACTGCTCCACGAAGGCAGCGAGACTAACCCGGGCTGGTGTGTAGAGCGGGCTTGGTTTGCAGGTAAGATTATACATCACCGTCGCCGCCGAGCATCATCTGATAATGTTTATTGGTAATAGATCAAGCGGATTCCTGCTGCAGGTCGTTTCCGAACGATGGGTCGCATGGACAGCCGGTGTCATGTTTCGTCTCTTACGAGCCCGCTGCTCTGGAAAGATGTGTGGACCCTGTCCCTTTCCTCGACGAATCCACATCGTCTTCAAACGCGAAACGCTGCCTTTCCTCGATCGACTGCGGAGGGAACTTCCTGTGTGTCTGGCCGCGAAGCGACCAAGAACTTTTGCGACTGACGTTACAGTCTCCTCCATCGCTGCGCCAACCCGAACCCCAGCGAGAGCACGTCGTCGTATGGAGCGGGTCACGTCTGGATATCTTGGAAGAAGGTTTGTTTCAATGCTTGAAGGGCTCACATCTCGCAGCGCGCTGATAACATTACTTCACAGTCGAGGTCAGCAAGTGGATGCCTCGCATCAGGTATCTACCACTTCGTCTACCTCGTGTCGCCAGTATATTTGTGGAGTAAGTCAAATAATCACCCACTGTTAATTCGAACCATGTTCGTCTGATGAATAGCAGGTATTTGAAGCTACTCAATCTTTCGTTGTACTTCATCAACCTTCTCCCCATGTCTCCCCTCGACGGGGCCCAATTTCTGGATGCTCTCGCCGACTACGTTACTTCGTGGCATACATCTGCCTCCTCTGCAATGGAAGCTCAAGAGGCTTTCATTCACCTTGAAAGTGGCCCTCAGTCCTTGGTCGCTGCTGGGGCTGTTCCATACTACGGTCGGTGGAAGCATCGGGTCCAGCGGATATTTCACATTTGCGTGATAGTACTGCTGGCGTTGTGTATTTCCTCGGAAGTTTGTAATGCTCTCACCTCTTGAACTCTTGTGTTTGGCCAAGGTTTCCATGTCAACTTAACGTTGAGGGCTGACGGCGTACAAGTAAGGTTTGTGTCAATCCTTCACTCATGAATGAGCACAATTGGAGGATCCAAGACTAAGAGCAATCAGGAAGGCATACAAGTTACGAAAAAAGGCAATATATGCATAGATATCTTAAGCTGCTGAGACCACGGAGAAGAGCAATACTAAAGAACTACATAGCAACGGGCGACAGCAGATGTGCTCTACTTCTTTTTAGGTGTCTTCTTGATTTCGCTGACACTGAGACCTGCCATAGTCGATATAAGCAAGCATCTAGACAGACGACAACAGACTAGACGTACCTGGAGGTAGGCTCTGCTGCAGCTTGTCCGCTTTCTCGGGATCATCAAGCGCGAGTGTGTAGAGGTATCGCGAACACCGAATCTTGAACTTTGTCTTGGTTTTGCCGCCTGGTACCGGCGAAGCAATCTTCTTTATGCGTGCCTCTGTGATTGGCACAACACGACGAAGACCACAAAGGAGCGATACGAGATGAATCATCAGTTCAGCGCTGGACTAAAGTCATACGAGATAGTCACACCCTTAGCATCCTTCCTCCTGGCAATGTCGAGGAATTGCTTGATGTCGCGGACTTCCTTAGGCTATGAGAACAAAAATCAGCATTCCGATAGAGAACAAAAGGTCGGGGTACTTGCCATGATGAGTCCAATGTCTTGTAGAGCCCTGGTGGTCTCGATTGCCACTGTAATTATTCTCGGGTGGCTGAAACTCAGCTGTACAGTACGATCGGCAATTGCCGTCATTGACCGCTTTACGTCAGCAACACCAACAGAGAAAGTAGTACTGCAGTGATGGGTTTACGGAGATGAAAGCAATAGCATAGCGGTAACAACACAGTGCCATATAGATATAGGGTCAAGCGTCCATCATAATGATACACATAGCTGTTAGTTGCGATGAATACTGGAACAAAATGCGAGGAAAACATTGCACGATCGTCAAGTTCGTAAGATGCGTGGCATTAATTTCGTTTCACTTTCGTGGAGAGCTCACAGGTGAGCCGAGCATCGCGCTGGAAGGACGCTCCAGGCGACTGCGCAGTCGCTCGACTTCCCGTTCCAAACTGATATACTTATATCACTCAATGTTTCCAATAGAAGTCAGGAACGGGCTTACTTCAATGATTTCTGCTTGTAATCCGCAGCCTCACGTTCCGTTCTCCTTTTCTCGAGCTGCAAGTTATTCTCCGACGTTTGCTGGGGTTGAGATACATGTAAGATGTGGGTAAGGAAACAGCTGCTGAGGCACTCACCAGTTCGTCCATGGCCTGTCGCATGCCAACGAGCTTGGTTTCATATGACTTGACCTGCTCCTCCAGTCGAACCCGTTGGCGATCTGCTTCAGCCAGTTGGAATTTCGCGTCGCGGGCATTCTTGTCAGCTGTGCGATAGAACCTAGAACTATCCTTCGAATTTTGGTTGAGTTGGTTGGTAAGCTCCTCGACCCTACTGTCGTGCCGTCTGGATGTGGAAGCAGGCCTTGGAGAGTTAAGTGATCTTGTTTCCAAGTCTACAATCCGAACATTCAAATCCTTGATTTGCTTTTCCAGGCTAGCCTGTGAAGTTTAACATTCAGCTACCTACCGAAATCAACATCGTTAAACGCACGTTGAATTTGTCAAGTTCTGAATTCTCCACTCGCAATTTCCCTAGTTCGACCTGACATTCATTAGTGTGACCTTCCGCCTTCTTCATGCGCTCAGATGCCATGGCGACGCGATCTTCTTGCTCTTCCAAAGAACGTTGAAGATCTTGCTTCTCTAGCCGAAGCCTCTGCAGCTCCGTATCTGATGATATCTTGCTGGTATCCACGCTGTCCAATTTAATTGCCTCGAGTTCAGCTTGCAAAGCTCGGCGGGCCTTCTGCAGCAATGCCCTGTCTGCTTCTGCGTCATTCAACACTCCACGCAGTTCGCGGACCTGAGAATGTAGTGAGACAATTTGTGACTGCTGCTCAGTTTGCGCAGCCGAAGATGCGTCGTAGGCTTTAGTCAGGTCTTGTATCTTGGTCTCCAAGCGTTCCTTGTCTTTCTTCCAAGAGCCGCCATTGTACACCTCGTCGTCGTACCTGAGTTGAAGCTCATCATGATCAGACCGAAGTTTCCTGTTCTCTTCCCGCAGTCTGCTCATAGTGTCACGCTGGGATTGCAACTCTGGAAGGGAAATATGTCACTCAGCACACTCACTGATACTTCGAGATGAAGACCTACCTTCAGAAAGCTGGGCTAACTCGGCTGAAAAACAGACAAAAGATGAGGACATACTACCGTCAAGAGGTTGAGAAGTGAGTTATACCTTGGTATTTCTTGCGGGTCTGGTCCGCTGTAAAGTCACGTTCAGCCAGATCCTGTTGGTGTTGCTTGCGCTCGTCCTCCATCTCCTCGGCGAGACGTTGACGCAGTAGCTCGAGGTCAGAAGATTCTAGTCCTTCGGCATCGAGTTTCGCCTCCAGGTCGCGCGCATGATCTTCGGTGGCCTGTAATCGCTCGGTCACAGCTCGTGCTTCAGCCACTGCCTCTGACATGCCCTTTTCAGCGTCGTCCAATGCGCGGCGGGCTGAACAATGATATCAGGGACGAAGCTCCCACGCGTCAAAAGTACAAACAAACCAAGAGACTCAGCTCGAGCCGCCTTGGCTTTAGCAATCTCAGCCTCATCCAATTTCTTAAGGTACGAGTCGGCCAACTGCTTGTATGTCTCCATAGCTTGTTGTAATTCTGTATAAAATATCGGTGAGAGCGAGTTGATGGTAAACAGATATTAGTTAAAATTCACCGTTATGGATAGTGGACGATGCAGACGACGTGAGTTCCAGCTCTTGCAAACGGAGTTGTAGCTGCCTTTTCGAAGCTGGAAGTACTTAAACACATCCGAGATACTAGACGAGGCCATGAATCACCCACCTAACTCGTCATTCTTAGTGACAAGTTCCGCGTCCAGCCGTTCTGTCAGATCAGCAATCTGAGACTGAAGCTGCTTCTTGGAGAGGGAAAGCTCTTGGACTTGGTGGCGATGATCTTCCAGTTCAACCTGAGTGGCCCGTTGCTGAACCATCTGGAACAGGATGAGTAGACTCTCGGAAGTTGACACGAACGACTTACGAGAGCTTTTCGCGACTCTTCCAGACGGAAGTTGCTGTCCCTCTCTTCTTGAATGGTAGCTTGGAACTTGTCCCACATTGCCTGCACTCCGTTAAGCTGTGCAGCTTCGGCTGCACGACGTGCTTCTGCCTCGTCCTCGAGCAGCTTTGCAAGGCGGGAATTTTCCCTTGCGAGACGTATTCTGCACTGGTCGAGGGATTGTTTGGAACCATCGCTACTCTCCAGCTCCGCTGTTACATCTCTCAGTGACACCTCTAGGTATTGGCGAACCCGATTCGAGGCTGCTATTTGTAGCTCGAGAACTTGAACTTGATTCCGCAGAGCGTTGATTTGGGCGAATTTATCTGGGGTGCGGGAGCTATCAGGAAGCGATTCACGGCGCATTCGTGCAGTTCCATTGGTCGGACGATTGGATGACGCGATATTAGCCATGGTGCGAGTGGTCGAACCTGTATTGCTGCGAATCTGTTGAGAGCGGTTGGACAAATCCCTCCCCATCTCTTCATCTGTTCGTCGCAATTCCTCCAGTAAACGTGATTTGAATGATTCATCGATAGGACTGCTGCTCATAATAAGACGACGAATCTTCGTATGCTGGCGATCGACATGTTCTTTGATCGTCGCAGCCATCGTCTTTGCGAATGTTTCCTCCTCCAGTTGCCCTTCGAGCTGACCGATTCGAACTTCGTACTGGCGCTGCAGTTTCTGCACAGAATGAGAAGACACTGTCTCGTCCGCCAGGCGGGTTAGTTCGACATCTAGGCTGTCCCTGGCCTTTTGGACAGTGGATAACTGAGTCGTGACATCAGAGAGTTGACCTTCAGCCATGTGTAGAGCGCTCTGTAGCCGCTTCAGTTGCAATTCGGCTGCCTCCCTGGCCCGTCGCTCCTTTTCCAGATCAGCGATGGCACGAGCGGCTCTCTCTTCTTCCGCCTTGATTTTTTTGCTCTTGGCTCTCAATTCGACCTGCTCCTGCTCTTTCTCGCGAGCCAAGTCTTCGGCTTCCGTCATGAATCTGCTCTTCGCCTTCTCCAGAGATCGGATGTAGACCGCGTTCTTCGTGAGTTCTTCTTGAGCGTCGGCCAGCTGGCGATCAGTGACGCGTTTCGCTTCCTCAAGCACGTGTACATGTTCGACGATTGTCTTGTCCTGTTTAGATTCCAGTTGCTTGACCTCCCATTCGCGTGCCTTAAGGTCCGACAGCGCTTTATTGAGATCTCTATCCAGTTTGACATTGTGGTCTTTCAACCTAACGAGCTCGGCCTTCTGATTTGAACTCTGACGCTCCAGTTGAGTACGCTTCGCAGATTCTTGCTCTAGTTGCTTCTTGACGACGTCTAGCTGTCGATCATGCGCTCCCTTATCGCGTTCCAGCTGTAGTACAGCGTCTTCAAAATCTGCATATCTGGAGTGCGCTGTGACAAGTTGGCGTTCCAAAGCCTGTAATCATATATCAGCTTATGAGCCGCTACGGCGGGGCGGAAGTTCACACCTCTTTAGCCTTCTGTAAATCAGCTAGCTGGCTATCAGTATCGATCTGGCGGGAACGGATGGACTGCAGCTCGGATTCCGACGCCCGTCTCGACTTGTCAGTCTCAGAAAGGGAAGCTTCAGCATTTCTTAACTGTGCTTGGACCGACCGCTCGCGCTCGGATAAGGACTTGTGGCTCGCAAGTAATGAGTCGTATTCTCGTCTGATGGTATCCAGGTCCACCTTCAACTTATTCTGGTCTTCGGCTGTAGTCCTACGATTTTCCTCAAGCTCTTCGGACAATTTGCTGACTTGGCTGCGTAAGTCAAGAAGCTCCTGGTCCTTCCGCTTCTCCACCTCCCCACGACGAGTCTCCTCGGTGGTCTTGGCTTCGAGGAGTGAGCGCAGTTCATCAAGTTCTTCCTGCAACTTCGTTTGAGCAGCAGCGCGGCGTGTACGGTCATTCTGCTGAGCCGACAATTCGGATGTAAGGGTGTCAACTTTGACTTGAAGCTCGTTGATTTCCTTCAATGAACGATTGCGCTCTACTTTGGATGATTCCAGCTCCGAAGTCAGCCGCACGATATCGTCCTCCTTCCGCTTAATCATGTTCGAATACTCTGTAGCAGTGCGCGACATTTCGGAGAGTTGCTCTTTGACCTGGCGAGCCTCTTGCTCTACTGAGTCCGCTTTTCCGCGGAGTGCGTCCCTATATCACATTCATGAGTACCTTCCTGCACCAAATCGCTACTCATTTACCTGTTCCTCAGCTCTGCGCTGAGTTTGCCATCCAATTCGGACAGCGCCACATCCATCCGGTCCTTCGTGCGAGACAGGTCCTCTTCGCGCTGCGCGAGTAAACTCTTGAGGTCGTCATCCTGCTTCTGCAACCCGTCTTTTGCAACGTTTAGTGCGTCAATCTGCTGCCGCGCTCGGTCCAGGTACTCAGCAAGTTCGGCTTCCCTGGCAGACCACTCCTGTTGTTCAGTCTCCAACCGAACTAGATGCTCGGCGGCTTGGTCAAAGGCTAGCCGGAGCGCCTCGTGCTTCTCCTCACTCTCCTTCTGCAGCTTGAGGGCTCGGTCGAGTTGTGAGTCGAGCATATCGAGGTCCGCCTGCAGCGCAGCAACTTCATCTTCCAGTTCTGCTTCGCGCTTCTTGCCGCGATCAAGGAGTGAATCCTTGTCAAGGTTAAGGGCGCGTTCGGCTTCTAACTCATCCTCCACCTTGCCCTTTTCGGCTTCAAGGCGCATCTTGAGGCTCTCAAGAGCCTCCTTCTCCTTCTGGTCACGTTCCGCTCGCTCTTTCGCGAGAGCAAGTTCTGCCTCCTTCTTGTGGAGCTCGTCGTCGTTACGAGTGGCTGTCAAAAGTGGGCGAACCTATATAACCATCGGCATCGTATATCGACCTTGAAAAAACATCAGTCATACCTTGGTATAAAGCTGCCACCACGGCCAATCTCGCAGTTCTCCATAGACACGAGCATTACGTTGAATGGTGCGAATTGCGACCGCCCGGTTGAGCACCTTCTTCATCTGCCGCCTCGCCGTAAACATCCTGGCCACAGCTTGCAGCCTGGAGAACACATCGAAGAGCAGCGCATCCCGCCGTTCTTCCAGCTCCGCCAGTACACCTGCCTTGAAGAAGATCTTGGAGGTGCCGATTCTGAACATCGACTTGTCCAAGTCGAGCGCATCTACCATCCGGAGGCACGCCTTCCGGCCATCCATGTAGCCGCGTGGGATGACGCCAGGCGTGAGGACCTCGTAGCGCTGCCGGAAATCAACAAAAGGAAGACGGTTGGGGTATCCGAGGCGCGCGATACGGATGCCTTCAAGGACGCCGTTGCACCGCAGCTGGTCAAGGACAAGCGGGACGTCGACGCGTCCGGGCTTCTTCAATGCATTCGGGACGATACAGCGCACGAAATGCGGCTGCGTAGCTTGGAGTTGGGTCATCAAGCCAGCCAGCTGTTCCTTATGGCGCTGGCCGACCGTCCTGAATGCCCCCTTCTTCGTAACGCGCTTCTTACCCACCGTGAGCGCGTGGACGTAGCCAGAGACTATGGATGGTGCGTCGCCGTACTCGGAGAACAAAGAGGATACGTATCGCTCCGAGGACGACGCCAGCACACGTGTCAGGTTGTCGTTCAGCGGATCCTTATTCTTCTCCAGCCATCCGTCCGTCCTGTACTCGACTCTGCCGGCGTAATGGCGAACTATGAAACCCTGGTCGAATCGCGCAGACTCGTACTTCGAGCATCCCGGATGAGGCTCCTCTCCCGGGAGCGGCTCGCTGGCCCACAACCCGTGTAGCTTATTCGTGAACGTAAGGTCAGTCGCCTTCGGCATAATGCACTCCTCGTCAAGAAGGCTCAGCACACCAATTGTCGCACCGCTGGTCTCAATGAGATCAATGGTGGGCTGGAGATCCAGTCCAAAGTTGACATAATCCCACTCGATCCCTTCGCGCGTGTACTCCTCCTGCTCAAGCACGAACATATGGTGGTTGAAGAACTGCTGCAGCCTCTCGTTAGTGTAATTGATAAGCAGCTGCTCGTACCCGTTGATATCGAAGATCTCGAACCCGGCAATGTCAAGGACGCCGATGAACGTCGACTTGGACGACGGCCGGTCGAGCGCGCGGTTGATGCGGTCGACGAGCTGCCCGAACGACTTCTCGTAGAGGGTCTTGCACAGCGCAGACAGCTCGTCCAGGGCCTGCTGCTGCGTCCGCGCCTGTGTGACCCACTCTCTACCGGCGAGCACGCGAGGGCGAAGGACGGCCCTGGTGAACTCCGCAACCGGAACGCCCAGAAGGTGGCAGACACGTTCCGCCTGCGACGGATCTGGCATGACCGCGTCGTCGGAGCGCGTCGATGTGATAGTGATGTTGCCAATGTGTAGGATTGCTGCAACGATGCGGAACAGCTCGAATTGTTCCGCGGCTGAAAACCCGACGACATCCAGCGCGTTCTGCAAAAGAGCGTTAGCTACTCCGTCGAACAGCTCCTCACGTCTTTACCTTGAGTGCCTTCCACTCTTCGCTATCATCGATGCCGTCTACTTCCCTCCTACTCTTGTTCAGGTATTCGTAGTCTTCAACGCCGCCGTCCAGCAGCAGCGTTTCTAGAACACCATCAGCATGTTTCTCACCGAGTAGATTTCGACTAACCTTTCAGATTACCTCCGCCCTCCATTAGCTGATAGAAAACGTGGAAACTCCGCTCGGCCTCGGTACGAACGACAACACGACTCTTCTCCAGCAAATACCAATCAATGTTTGCTCCAGCAATGCTGCCGTCCGGGGAGAAGCTTATCCGTATGAACTTGCCGAACCTACTGGAGTTATTGTTCCTCTGTGTCTGTGCATTGCCAAACGCTTCGAGTATAGGATTTGCCTGCAAAATCTGCCGTTCGAGCAGTCCAAGACGGCCTTTAGCGGTGAGCCCGGAACTCGACGCAGACATAGACGTCTGCTTTCCGTGCTTCTTGATAAGGGAGCTGTTCCTCGGGAGACCTGTAGAAGATACTATTGCGCCAAACGACGAGGAGGATGTGAGTGATGGTGAGGCAGAATGTAAGGACGTAGAGGGTGGGTGGGTATCGGTCGCGATCGCTGCGAGATATTGGATGACCTTCTTGGTGCTTTCCGTCTTACCTGCACCGGATTCACCGCTAAGGAGTGAAATCAAAATGGACTCTACGCGTGAAGACTGGGTGGACCTACGTGATGAGGATGCTCTGGTTCTCGCGCTCGTCGCCCATGTTGATCCAGGCGCGTTCTGCTATTTCGAATATATGCGGTGGGTTCTCGTCTCTCCGTTTACCACGATATTGGTGGACAATAGCGTCGGAATAAAGTGGTAGTGCCTGGTATGGGTTGATGGCGACCAGGAATAATCCTGAATATGTCTGGAACACAAATATATTGAGATGGGATGCATCAGAGAGGGAACGCGTCGTCGTGCGGAAATTCATCGTTATGCACAGGCAGAACCGTACGGCGCGTATACCACTGGCTTAGAAGAGCATCAAGCACTCACGTATATTGCTCCGGAACCATATCTGAGACGAAGATTATGTACAACACTAGCTTCGTTGAGAAATGTGAGGTCTGCGATATCATCTACGCGGTCGAATTTGGGCGGATTCATCTTGGAGAGTGCGTAGAGTGGGAGTCTGCGGATCTGCGTCGAGATTGAACGTATGACTCTCGGGCAAATACAAGGCCGAACCGCACCTCTCCTCCAGAGGCAATCACAACCTCGCCGATATCCTCCTCCTCCTTGATTACCCAGCCTGCGAGATAGCCATCTTTGTCGTCGGGAACCCAAACCCACTTTTTCTCGTTGAACTCAGCTTGAAGAGCAGCTGCGCGAGCGGCCTCTGCGCTCTGGGATGGCCTCGGTGCGGGCATGCCAGGGAAAATGGCTTGTCCGCGACGGGAGGAGGTTAAGAACTGGTGGAATGGAGGAGACGAACGAACGCGAACCGTGACCGCCTGAGGCGCGCGGGGGAACGCGTCCCGGAATGCCATATTTGGGTGCTCAGTTCGTCCCGCCACTCTGCCCAACATTGTACGATCGTAACTGTAGCTATTACGCGTAACATATATATGATAATTCGCTGTTTGTAGATAACTCTCAGAACATTTGCAGTAGTTGAACGCGCCTCTGGACTCGTCGTAGACGTCCACTGGGGAGGGTGAACCGGCGGAGACGTCGGCGCTGGGCAGAGACCATCACTGCTTTGTCTCCCGCAAATCGACTCAGAACGCGATCTTCGTGCTCTGTTTGTTCTTTCTTTCCTCCACTCTCCTCTCCGCGTCGCCTCAAGTCTTTACGTCCTTCCCGTTTGCAGTAACTCGTACTTGACATGAAGGAGGACCAGATGGATGTCGACTTCCCATACGTCTCGTCCTCTTGGCTTACAGCCCAAGACTTCGAAGAAAATGAGGTACCCGTCCAGGTCGATTCTGTCAAATGGCAAGGCTCTCAGTCCCTGTGCGAACCATTGAATCTCCTATTAACTGAAGCGTACGTTCAGAAAGGTACGTCGCCATGCATTCCTCCGATGTTACCATTTACATGTCTTTCAGCATCTCGTGCTGGCTTCACGAGCACATCTCCTACCCAAGATGCACTCACATCGTCGCAAACCTTAGTGTCGTCCTCCACCTCCCATTCTCGTCATCCTGCACATGTCCGTACGCGTTCACGACCAGCCCGTACGCGATCCTTGACTTCGGTGGCAAACCCCCTGCCCGGATCCTCTATGTCCGGTCTACAACCCGACACTTCCCAGCTGCTCACCCTACTGAAAGACGTGTCGCAGAAGGTCGATGAGAATGCGCGAAATAAGAAGCGCTACATGGAACGTCAGAAGAATACGCAGATCTGTGTGCCTCCGAAAATGGCAGAGGCACGGAGGGCATCGCGCACTACGCTCGGCGACCTGCGGGATGGATGTTTTGACAAAACCAATGTCATGCGCGGAGCTGGCAAAGGCAAGGGCCAGAACTCGTCATTGCAGCAGACAGAAGATTTGAACCCAGACTTGAGCATGGCAGATACAAATGCAGATGATATCTCGTATGTACCTGCTCGTCTGACAGCAACTCTTACTGCAGGACCATCGAGAAGAACAATGATAGACCCCCACCGAGATCGCATTCCGGTGAACAGCACCTCATCCATGCTCCCTCCTGCAACCCCGCAAGCAGCGCATCCACCCACGAGCACCTGTCCTGCACCCTCCCCTTTAGTACGCTCACGACCTGTTGTTCAGCCGGCACCGAAACTCCCCATCACTCCTCCAGCTGAGCTTTTTCGTTCAACTCGGTCCAAGACCTCCGCCCCATCATCCGCTGTCCCACCCTCTGCATCTTCCTCTACTCCACATACTACACAATACCCCCCGCCGCTCGGCATGCGCCGCGGGCGTTACTCCGTTCCCTCCAGCACGTCCTTCCTCCCCTCGCAGAGTCTCCCCACAAAGCGGAAGGTGTTCAAGTCCCCGCTGGCACGCCCCATACCACTGAAACACCCAGCACTACCCCCAGCCCCGGCTCCCGTGTCTGCGCGATATGCCCCCCCATCTACGTCTCGGAAAGACCCCAGTGGCTCTGCGCCGCTGACACCTGATCCCTCCCCCCCGGGCGCGCATGGGCAGAGCACCCGCCTGTCCGTCACTTCTGCAAAGGCACCACCCATGGATGAGCGCTCCTCATCCCCTCTTGCGCAGGAGGCAGATTCGAGCTTCGGTGATCTGCCATTCCTGTTAGAGCCCGACGATTTGCACGCGTTCATGCGCCAATATGATCATACGGGCTGATCGGTATCTCGCCTGTCAGTTTTGCATGCCTCCCGTTTGCACAAGATGTTCTTCTCACTCTAATTTTGCTTTTGCCCTCGAAATGCCAATTTCCATTGCTCACGACGACCACAACCACTACCAGTCCACTACGGTCTACATTAGATATGATTTGTTTGAGATACTTTCATCTAAGCCCACAGACTTTCTAGGCATAGCAATGTGCGTCCACGCATCGATTACGAGCTTGAGTTCGCCAATCACACGACCGGAATTCCAGCGTACTCGTCATACCCCAGTGCCAGATTCAAGTTCTGCAACAATCCCAGTAACATACTGAGTATACTAAATACACAGATGAATCCACAGGAACGTACCTGCAGACATTGTGTAGCTGCACCCTTCAGTAAGTTATCCAGGCCACCCTGGCGGCAATCTCAGGCCCGAGTAGTTTCGGCGATAAACGAAAGCGCACTCACCACCACGACAGCACGGTCACCCTCGCTATGCACCTGGAACCCACCGACAGCCCACCCGTGCTGGTTCTCTACATCCTGCAGGACCGGCACCTCACTCTTGATCCTCACAAGCTTCTCTCCACTGTACTTCTGCTCATACAGCGCCCGCACGTCGCGCGCAGACACCCTCTCGCTGAGCGGCATCGACAGTACGGAGAGGATCCCGCTGAACCACGGCGCGATGGACGGGATGAACGCGACCTTCACTGGGATCGCTGGGCTCGCAAGCAGGCGAGTGAGATGCCGCCCGGCCTCGCGCTCATGGATGTGGTCCGTCAGCGCGTACGCGCGCATACCACCCATTAGGCTCTCCGGTGTCACCTTCGCGATGGTAGTGGGGCGGCCGTCCGCGTCATTTGGGCCCGCCACGGTGCCCGCGCCGCTGTAGCCCGACACGCCGAACACGGTCGGCCACGCATCCACCTTGAGGTACGGCAGCAAGGGCGCGACGAGCATCTGGGACGACGTCGCATAGCATCCTGGGTTCGAAATGCGCTTCGCGCTCCGAATTGCACTGCGCGAGTACAGCTCTGATACACAAGAAAATCGATAGAGTAGATTAACATGTAGCTTTACGGCGACGGCTACGAAGAACCCTCACCCGGGAGCCCGTATGTCCACCCACCCTCGAACCTGTGGTCTGCACTCAAATCCACCACCACACTCCGCATGCCGTTCGTGCGCATCTGCGAACCGCGGTCGACGGCATCCACGAAGGGCTTGCACACGCCGTTCGGCAGCGCCATAACCCAAGCGTCCACTTCGCCGTCCTTCTCCATCAGCTCCACGTCCGCCAGTGACAGGTCTGAGTACGTGACGGGCGCCTTGGTGTAGCTGGTGAGTGGAAACCCCGCGAGCTGCCGCGACGACACGTGGGTCAGGTCCAGGTAGGGGTGGTTGGACAGCAGTGTGGTCAACGCCTGCCCGGTAAAGCCGCGTGCGCCGACAAGCGCGAGGCGCTTCGGTTCGGTCGATACAGGAGTAGCAGCGGTGGCATAGCCTCTCTGGGCACCGGGAGTGTGCCGCCGCCTCGCCATTGTAGAGAATGATCGAACACCACTTGGAGCATCGCCGGCGCGGTGTGGAGGGGCGGAGGGCCCGACGGGGAGGTAGGTCCTGCCGATCCTGCCCCTCTCCTCGAAGCCCTTCACGATACGTTCCACCTCCGCAATGTCGTGCACGCCATACCAGAAAAGACTTTTGCCCGCACGCGTGAAGCTCCCGTCGGCGCGCTCGAAATGCCACGACCGATTCTCGTCGTCGGCGCGGGCGGTCCAGAAGAGTCGCCGGTGGTCCTTCTTGATTGCGTGAAAGACGTTGTCGACGATGCCGTTCATGACGCCACTGCGTGATGCGAGCAGCTTGGTCATGACGGGCGTCTCGCCGGCTGGACGAGATACGATCGCGACGACGTCGAGCGGCTCGTCTCCGTAGATGGTGTATGGCGTCTTCTTCAGGTCGCTCAGAATACCAGCGACACTGTCGTCGCCGGACAGCACGCCGGGATCGCGATCGTTGATCACTTGGCGGAGACGGTCGGCGCCAACAGAGTCAACGGCGTCATGACTGAAGAGCTTGTACCCGCGGCGAATTAGGGTACCAGCTCCACTGTCAGTGAACAGCTCGCGCTGCAGAGAGTCTGCAGAGATGATGGCGACAGAAGACGAGCGAGGGAGGTGGTCCAGCAGCTGCTTAAACTCCCGGAGTTTGAGCTTGGTGCCAAACTTCACCCACGGTTCCTTCATGAGCTCATCGTACTCCTGCAAACAAACGGATGAGGGTAGGAGTAGTCAATATAGGAGCCAACAAGTGCTATCAATATAAATACCTCGTCTAGGTTGATCACATCCAACTTCTCTCCCGTAACGCCATGGAACAACCCACCCTTATCGTTCAGGAAGACGATCTTGAGAGGCTCGAGCTCCTTTGCGAGCTCACCCGCCGCGACGTCCGCGTTCACGTTAAGGATCTGGCCCGCATCAGACTCGGCTAAGCTAGTGAGGATAGGCAGAGCGCCTGCTCTGATGGAGGCTTCAAGTGGACGCTTGTCGACGCGTGTGATCTTTCCGACCAGACCGTACTTCTCCTTGTCTAGGTAGTCGGCGGTGAAAACGCCAGAAGTGATAGGGCGGGCGCGAGTGCCGAGCTTTTCCAGGGCACCTACCAGCTTTAGGTTCTCCTCCAGGAATACTTTACGGGCGATCTGCAAAGTCTTCGCGTCTATCGAAGCGGATATGAACGAGAAGGTACGCGTTTCCTGTGGGGAATGACATACCTGTGACCCTGATACCATCGATGTAGTCTGGTACAATCCCTGCGCTTTCAATAATTTCATTGAGTTGGGGTCCAGCACCATGCAGGATGACGGGATAGAGGCCGACGCGGTAGAGGAAGCTGAGACTGAGTGCGAGCTCGTCGAGCTGATCGAGAACGGCGCCCCCAATTTTGATGACCGCAAATTTAGCGGGGTGGGATGCATCGGAAGAGGAGGAGAATATCCTGAGGTACCGTTCGACCTCGCGCTTTGTACCGATTGAATAGAGGAGACGGGTGATGGTGTCCTGCAAGAGGGTGAACAGGCGATCGAAAGGATATCGGCGGGAAGCGGATTTACTCTGTCCGTCTGAGCGACCGACTGAAGTCCCCTGACAGGAGCCCAGCATCTGACGGCCTGGACGGCTGCCTGATGGGAGCCTGGAACGAGAAGAGCGCGGTGCGGTGGGCGTGCACGCAGGCCGAGTTTACTTGCACGACTGATTGCATGCATTGCGCCGGCAGAAAAGAAAACAAGCGGGAGGTTCCCGGCCAGAGAGAGGAAGGAGAGAGAGGGAAGGTGGAAGGGGTAGAGAAGGTGGAGGACGGTGCAGCCGCTCAAGTAGATACAGCCTCGCACCCACTGACTCCGTTCTTCGCGCTAATTGTGCTAACGCGCGCAAATGTATCTGATATTACGTAATGGCTATGCTGCCTTAATTACAGTGTGCAATTTAGCGCTTTGTGCCTCCTCCTTCCGCCATCCAGCATGGCGTCTCCCTGTACTCGCGACCCGCGCAGACCCTCCCGCCTACCATCTTTCAAGAGATCTTTCGACGAGGTGGGCAGCGACTCTGACAATTCTGACAATCTTCTATCCAGTGGCAGCGTTGCCGTTCGCCAGGCCGTCCACGCCGTTGAAGACCACGCCGACCGCAACAAGAGAGCGAGAAGCGACACTCCCTTATCTGACCCAGGAGATATCGACGAAGCCCTTTTCTCGTCCGACACGTCCTCCTCTACTTTCAACGGCTCGCCGAACAGTATTGGAAGCAACGCCGCTTCCGAAGCTCTTCCTTCTGGCAGCGCGGTCCGTCTATTGTCCATACTTGTTTTTAGACAAAACAGCCGTTTAATTTTATTTAATCTTCTAGACCGAGCAGTTACCATCTCCCACTCAGTTTGAAGCGCGCACGGGTTTCACTCCGGATTCGCCACCCGCTCCCAACCCGAGCGAACAGTACAGGATTTCTATGGAGCGCTTTGATGCATTCGAGTCCAATATCTCTGTCCTGCGACATTCCCACTCCCCTGAACATCGCTCGCTTCCTGTCTCACATTTAACTCAGGTACCTTCATGGTCTGCGTCGTCAGGCACTTCGGTGCCACCACCGCATCCGTTTACCCATGCTACTATAGGATTGCATGCGATTCCAGTCACGGAAGAGCTAATGTTATTGGGGGAGGACTCAATATCACCTACATCTTCCGCACGCAGCGTCCACCAGGTCTCCCGTGACCGTAGATCCCCCCTTGTAGCCACGTCTTCTCGGGCCGCATACTCTCCTTCAGCATCCATCTCGGCTAGTTCGAGCGAAGACATGCGCAACTGGCTGGATGAGAACGAGGATCATCTCCCCCCTCAGATTGACGTGATGTTGGCAACGCCCACGATGCCAACATTTGGTGAACCCGTCAACTCTGCGAGTGATTCTCTCCTGGCAGAAGGAAGCAGGTCCCTGCGTTTTACTGATTTGGGGGAGCGCATGGATCTGTCTCCTGTTCTTCCGAGAGCCAGTCGGGGAAGAACGCCTTCGGTTGCATCCCAACCTGCCGTACGACGAACTTTCATGAGAGAAACTTCCTCGAGCGGTAGTTCCTCTCGAGAGTCAGATATACGTACTTCGAGGCCAGATACGAGAGAGGCACGAGACTCCGATGATGGAATGTGGGATGTGCGGCTCCATTGGACCTCTGGTAATGGCTTTGAAAAGGCAGTACGATTTGTGGCTGACTCTTATCGACAGATGGAAATGCAGCACCTTACTCTTCTGACGGTAGTCGTTCCGTTGCAACACATACCCGCCCCTACCGCACGTCTGGTAAAATCCACATTGTCTATTGTATTCCCCTCATACCAAGTCACTCACTCTTCGGCCAGGTACTTCCAATCATCAATTGCACTCCAGACGAGAAGTACCATTCCGCGATCGCCGTACTACTTTGCCTCGCGATTTCACTGGTGAGGCTTCTCCCACAGGTAGGATTTTCATTCATTGATGTGACATGTCGATAACATACGTCCTCCTTCAGAAGCTGTATTCTCTCGAGGTTTTTCCGGCTGGGATCGGCTCGTATCCGAAGACCCCTATCGTGAATTTTATGAAGACATTGATGAAACTCGAGCGGTAGCTCCTACACCTCGCTCTTCTCTTCTCGCCCGTGCTTACTCGAACTCTGGATCCGAGTCTGATGATGTCGAGCTCTTGCGACGACATATCCGTGGATCCGAAGACTCTGACGGTTCGCTGACGGGAGGTCTTGTATACCCACCTTTACGAACAGGTGTGTCTTATATGGTGCCGTGTTGCGCACATTCGTAACGTCATCGTTAGAGGTATCAAACGTCACGTCGAATTCACCTGAGGCGTTCCCCCCGCGGAGAACGAGCAGGGGAGATGACAGCGTTAGGACAAGCAACGGTAATACACATTCCCTACTTCCTGTCATCGGCATGCTGAAGGTCATCGTTAGAAACGACGCGCCATTGGTTTCACCCTACCCATGAAAATCAGTCACATACAGCGGACACGTCGTCTAACCCGTTCGCCGCCCATCTTCAAGGGCGCAGGCCATCCTCTCGCCTCTACAGTACGAGGCCCACGCCTTCCAACACTCTCATGTCTGAGAACGCATTTGAACACCGCCGGGCCTTAGCTCGCGAGGCAGTTTTCTCACATCGCCCCGGTTACGCGTCGCCCACTACCACAGGTGCAGCTGACCGTCAGCGCGTTCCATCTGTTATAACATCCGCCGGGGACGTGGTTCAGTTCGACGAATGGTCGGATTCACCTCATCCCCATCGAGCGCATGGCACCAGTGACCGCAGTGGTGCCCACAGCCGGTCTCGGAGCACCTCTTCGCCTAGCCGTCCTTGGGGATCGGAGTTATATCCGCCTTCCTCCCCTCACTCCCCGATGGTGATCGATGACAATACGTTTCTAGAAACCGGGGGCCCACCAGTGGAATCACCTGACTTGCCGCCAGAGCCCGCAAACGATACCCAACCCAGAACGTTGAATTCACGCACATACGCGTTTCCGTCACTCGTTGATTGGGCGGTAGACGATACGGATACTACTCCTGTGACTGGTAGGCCTCGCCCTTTATGGTATGATGCGTCGACTGGATTTTTCTATCCGACATTCACCGATCAACTCCCCGTATCGAGTACGAGTTTTTCATCTTCCAACGCAGAGGCGTCACACTCCTCCAGCCGTCCGACTTCACGGACACCGGTCCCCTCTGAAGTATCTTCTCTAGAAATCGGAGGGCAACGCAGGGCGAACGCAATTGCAGATCTGCCCAGTGCGCGGGTAGAACTTGATCGTGTGATACTGACAAGAACAACACCCGTCAGTCCCCCCACGCTAGCGAATATTCGACCAACGTTTGCGTCAGACTCCCACAGCCACAGCGCCCGCGAACCCGGCGTTGGTCTACGCCCGCACACTCCTCCGTTTCGTACCAATTCCAGATTTCCCTCGCATGTGGTGCTCCCCATAAACCTGAGCCCTTCCTCCTTAGCCTCCAGTCACACAGAGCGGGGTCTTACGTCCATTGCATTCGGCAGACCGTACAACGACATCGATATCAATGCCTACCACGATGGCCCGTTCCGCGACACGGTGGCAAGATCCATGGAGATTGGTAGGAGGAGGAGCACTGCGATGCGTCGGGCGGAGGGTACAGCCTCGCGCAGGCCTAACCACCCTTCCCTGCCGCCGTTGCGTATCGGACAAAGCCCACTGAACCCGTCTTCAGCACCGTCTCGACTGCGTCTGGTGCGTATCTCCATGAACTTTTGTGTTGCGAAACTGATTTTTTTCTAGCCGCCGATCTCGCATGTGTCGGAATCGACGAGCTTCGAGGAACGTGCGGAGACTTCGCGTGATACGCATGTCCAGGCGGTAGATACGCCCATTAATCCTGCCTACTCGGATCCCTCTGTATACCCCGGCAGCTTGGGTTTTACTGCGAACTTCGATAGCCGTGCGAATTCCACGGAGGATTTCTTGCAAATGCCGCAGTACAGGGCACCAGACGAGGAAGACGCTCAGGCTCCTTACAATGACCTGCGCCGCATCATTGCACGCAGTACGCGTACGGCGGCTTCCCGCGTCGCTGATGGAAGTTCCAACACGCCTGGTGGCGAGCAGGTCCCAGCGTTGCGTGCTGATGGTTCTAATATTGCGCGCCAGCACCAGCTGATTGACCAATACCGTCAGGATAGAAGCACCCAGCGGCAGCGGACAAGTGGACTCTGGGGAGACATAGATGGCGTAGACGGCCCACGCGGGCCTACGTTCGGCTCGTCCGAGGCCCTGGAGGCATGGAGACATCACTCGGGTAATCGCAGCGGATATCTGCAGCCACGCGCCCATAATCCTTCGGGCGACCCGGACGCATCTCGTACGAGATCCTTGCAGCACAGTCGTGCGTCATCTACAGGTGGGACTGAATTAGCTGAACGTGCTGTGCGTACGTCGAGGATGCGCGTGGCGCGCCAGCGCAACGCTGAAATGTTTGAGCACCACCAGCATGGGTTTGCCACGCATTTCGGCCTTCTCCCGCGGCTGCCTGCAATGGGCTTTCGAGGACGAAACTTTGGTGACTTCGTGGTAGGTGTCTTGTCCGAATCATAAGTTGGATCCAGCTTAATGTTTTTGCTTCTTCTTGCAGCGAGATGACGAGCTCGATGCCTCGTACGAAGGCCTGCTCAGCTTGGCAGAGTTCCTGGGCGAAGCTAAGCCGCGGGGAACTCCGGCTGATGTTGTTGCGTCTCTTCCCTCCGGCGTATACCGAGATTGGGCTTCACCAGGCAATACCGAAGAACGGTGTCCTATTTGCCTCGACGACGTACGTATCTGTAGCAATCATGAGCCCGAATTTTCACTCATTCTATCACAGTACCAGCCGACAGATCCTGTCCTCAAGCTCTCTGCCTGCTCACACTGGTTCCACAAGGGTTGCATTGAGGTGTGTTGCAAATGGCTTTCTCTCCCTCGGACACTATTCTGACTGTGCTATCCCAGCAATGGCTCAAGGGCGCAGGGACATGTCCTGTGTGCCGCGGTCGCGTTGAGAATTCGCGCCCACGCCCGGAATGGTACAGTGCTAGTGCTCAACCTAACCCACCATCCACCAGTCGACCTTCTCCCAGCGGCAGCGGTCAAGTAGGCCGTGCGGACGGAAACGGAGCACTTGAAGACTGGGACATAGAGCTCCACGACCCGGACATGATTATTCGCGATCATTTACGTCGTCGTTGGCGGCGGCGCCATTGAGCGATTGCTGGCATCTTGGATTACCATACTGATCTCTTGGCGTAGATTGGTGGATTGGCTTGTTCGGTTTATGTACACTTGTACAGTTGTCGAAGTTGTGTTGTAGTTGCATATGTATGTCTTTACCAGTGTGCTGTAGTTCTAGTATTGTATAAAATTTAGGGTACAGTACCGTCACAGGAGGGCTAGCGAAACTCAGAAAATAATGTCAGAACTTTCATTTGAAGTGAAAGCGAAAATAGGAATGGAGCGTTAGCTGGGGTGTTGTTCTGCGGTTGACTTCACTCGACGGGATATGTGAACCTCTCCTGATCTCCAAAACCCGAATAAATTGCGGTGCTCTTTCCAAGAGATCTCTGCTGCTCCCTGCACTTGTTATCGCCGACTCGATGCCATTATGGGGTACTTGTTCGACTGTTCTGTGCGGAGACTTGCAACATCAGGCATGTTGTCATGCTTGTAGTCGTGCTCAGTACCTTGTCATCCAATGTGCGCAGAAACAAACCTTCATAGTAATCAGCCGTCATAAGCCTGCAAAAGTACGTGTCAATCGAGCATTTAGCAGAGCAGACACAGAGACAATTACAATTCCAGTGCAATTTCAGGCATCACACGCTCCGTAAATCCCGGAAGTTCTCGCGAAGGCACCCCCTCATAAACGGATTTATATGAGAGATATTCGCACAGTTTCTCTACCACTATTGGCCTGATCAAAAGAGAGACGCGGGAAGGTGACACATCGTTCTCGGCTGCTGAGACACAGCTCACATACCGCTCAAGGATACGGCATGTTTTGGAGACAGCCTCAGCGAAGTTGCCTGAGAAAAAAGTCGCAGTAGGATTGGAACTTGAGGTAATAGTCAGTGTTCGAACGACTCACTTTCAGAGCTGAGCATCTGCCTGAGGGTGCCGCTTCGCACCGCGACCTTGCGGCGGATGAGGAAGCTGTGTCCGTCATTACTGACGAGCTTCACCCACTCCATGTCATTGTTCTGTTGACCCTACAAATACGATCACGGACGTGAGAGCTAAGGGCAATGATTTTCGTACCTCCACCATGCCGAATGCTTGCAAAGATCTACCCACAATGATTTGTGATATAATTTGACAGACAACTTGCACCTCATTAAATTAGCTCCCAATTTGGTGATATAGACGCCGGACAGTGGGTGCAGCCCTCACTCACCCAGTACTCTTCCAGATTCTCTACAAATGGCTCTTCCGAAGGTACATACGCTGAGAGAACCTTAGCAATGTTCTGACTTACGATTTTCTCATTTGGATTTCAGCGGATCATCAAGGTTCGTACCATCCAAGTCTCCACACGACCAATACCGTCTTAGCGACGGGGCCATTCACCATTGGTAGGAAACGGAGCGACTCGTTGCAGATCCTGCGCCAGGCATTTCCGCTGCCCCTCATGAGGACAACCTTCGCTATTTCGATGTTACCATCCAAGGTCCAGACGGAAGTCCCTTCCAGAGTGCGTCCCCATCGACATGTCTCGATGCGTTGCAGACTTACATCTTCGTATGTATTCTGGTGATTGTGCCTATTAGATGGAGTGTTCCGGCTAGAATTGTTCCTCCCAGAAGAATACCCAATGAGTCCTCCGAAAGTGCGCTTTCTGACCAAGATCTATCACCCAAATATCGGTAAGTCATTCACTCGTGGCGAAACGCTCGGAGCGAAGACCCATTCCTCCCATTCGCAGACAAACTTGGCCGTATTTGCTTAGACATCCTGAAAGGCGAGTGTATCGTCGATATGCGGTAGTGGCAGCTGACCGAAGCCGTCGATGTTGTTCGCGTGGATTCCTCCACTACAGACAAGTGGTCACCCGCACTTCAGATCCGGACCGTGCTTCTCTCCATCCAAGCTCTCCTGAGCGCCCCCAACCCGGATGATCCTCTGGCCACCGACGTTGCGAAGCACTACAAGGAGAACGAGAAGGATGCGCAGCGCGTCAGCCGCGAGTGGACTGAGAAGTACGCTTCAGCTTGATTTTCCTACGAAGGAAGCACGTTTTTGAGGAGTGTGTATGTGTGCCGGCTGGCCAGCATGATGGGCGTAGACAATAGACACATGCGCTAGTGGAGGAAAGAGAGGTGTGATTTGTATGTAGCTTTACTGGTCGTGTACTCTACTGGCGAGGGGGATTATAGTAATCCCTAGGCGACGCTTTTTGACATATACCGTGCGTGTAGCATGTGCAGGACGCTATGACTTCAAGGCCTGTTCAATCACTATGACGGAATGACATGGTATACAACAGCTATTCGTTCACGGAATGAGTACAGTACATACGACAACAGCTGGGTATTGATACAAGGCCAAGTTATCTGGATAGAAATGCGACGCAGCACCATTAACAACACCATACCATGATCTGTTTAAGCAGTCTCATATCTCTTCAAGGCTCGAGGCCGGCCTGCACTTCGTCTGCCCCTTGCGATCCGATCTGCCAGTCTTTCAACCACCCCGCCATCCCCTAAGCCCTCCTCTTCGAGGGCCCCCCGGATGAGAGCCTCTAAGTTTCCTCTGTCGCCATCCTCAGGAAGCCCCGGCAAGCGCATGCTGGGGACAGGGACGAACGGCAGCGTAGACGATGACCTGTAATCGAATTTCGGGAGTCGCTCGTTGGCGATATCCGACTGACGGGCGTCGTCGAAGGATCGGATGTATCGACGCGCTTGTATCGTTCGCACACCGAGTGTTTCGGGCGCGGCAAACCCGCCAGGCCAAGCTGTCGGAGCGCCTTGTTCGGACGGATGCAATTCGGTAGCATTCTCTGCCTCTTCGCTAAAACGGCCCGTTAAGAGAAAAAAGGTAAGACGGATGTCTGAACATCACCCACCGTAAAAGTCGGAACACCCGCTGCATTCTGCCCACCGCCATGATCTTGCTCTTGATCTGCTGCCTTCTCTCTGAGATTTCATCCGGAGTTAGGGCCAGATCTGCGATGGTTCTCGTCTCGTCCTCCTCATCTTCTTCTTCTGTTATGTCAGTAAGTGCGCGTGCCCGCTCAGCATCCTCTTCCTCGGAAGATAGCGAGGACGATTCTTCGAGCTCCCTGTCCGAGCACACCGACAGGATCGCAAGCAACATCTCTGTGATCTTCGAACCAACAAAAGGAAGACTCCACGTGAATGCGTCCATGAAGTTGGGGAGCCAGTAAGGGTGGGAGTTTGCGTAGTATTGCCTACAAGACCTCCGTATCAGAACTATCACTAAAGCTGATGCCACAAAAATTACCGGATAACCATGTTCTTGTTGTTGTACTTGATAATCGCTCCCTTGTTATGATATAAGTCGAGATAATTAGGTGCGCTGAACACAGTGATCACTGAAGGAAACTTCCTCGACGCCGTCTTGCGATGCATGGTGTACCTGACACCAAGTATGAAGTAGACGCCACGGCAATCTGAGCGAATTGGCCACGAAATCCAAACAATATCGCTATCACTTACCCCGCATCTTGCGCCTCATGTCCACGAAACATGCCCAGCAACTGGTTCCGCTCTAAAAATGAGCACACCGCCTCGTATCTGTTACACTGACATCACTTTCGGATTGCAGGGAAGGAATAGCAGGACGACGGACGTGTAATAATAACTGCATCCGCGAGTGTGATTTGGATAAAACATTTTTTCCAACGGTGTACCTTGTCGCCACTCGTACGCTGGGTCGTGCTGCGAGAGAGGGAGTACATCAATCGTGATACAACTCGGGAAACGATGGAAGACATATAAAAGAACGTTCGTTGAATGCCACGCGAAAATGATTGCATGATAACGCCGAAGTCCAAGGCCGGGATACCCTGTGATACGTGCAGGAGAATGCCCCAAAGAAAACAAGACGAGAATCAGGGAAGAAAAGAACAACTAGAATACCTCGGTTCCGAAATTCGGCACTGGATCTGCCCACAGCAAATCACACAGAAGACCTTGAGAGTCAGGTTCGGCGAAACGATTCAGCTGACCGGACGTCAGAAATTTGAGGTCATCTCCAGAATTGATTTCGTGCCTTATCTACGTCTTCCAGCAGCTGTAGCTCCGGCGATATTCCTCCGTGCACGCAAAAAAACTTGCCATCAATTAGCGCCGCCACTGGGAGACTCTGGAACGATTGGATGCACGCGTCGTAGATCGTGGCAGAGTACTTGTGCATGCCTAATTCGGGGGAACCATGGTATTAGCCAGGACATCGATTCGCGAGGACGAATGAAATAAAGATAGGCCTCACATTCACGTTTAAAAGTGAAATATTCAGTGAGGTGCCTACACTCATGATTTCCCCGTAAAAGGAGGAGTTGCGTTGGATACCACAGCTTCAATGCATAGAGGTATAAAAGGCACTAAATTTCACGCATAAGTATCTGACTTAATCGCAGCGAAATGGCCGAGGTACTATGCCCACGCTTCGCATACACCCAAAAGGAGCACTGACCTCGATACTAAAGTAACCTCGATCCACATAGTCACCCAGAAACAGATAGTTATTCTCTGCGAACGAACCGCCCAATTCGAGAATTTTGAGCAGGTCATACTGTGGTATCTCCTTCAAGACACAAATCACAACGGACGTAATCAATACGCACAAATTGGCCATGTATATCACCGCAAACTGGTGCGATGTATTCCAGGATAAGTCAACGTGTCCATAAAGCGGTCAGAAGATCACAAGCACGCACCTACGACTGGACTCCTCGCATGAAGCATGTTGGGTTCCTGACTCAACAATTGAGTTGTCTGATCGAGAATAAAAAGGGCCTGCTCCTCCGTTAGTCTTCCTTCATTCAAGAATTGGTGTTTAAGTAAGTCAAGGTTGGGTCGGTGAATACTGGCGTGGACATCTGCAATAAAGAACTCCTCGTCTGTAGGACATTGTACAATCGGGGGTGGCACCTAGAAATCGAGAAACGTAAAGTCAATACAAGACGTCAGCACAGCGCAATTGAGCAAAGGCGTACATGCTCGACTTGTCGTCTCTTTGTATCGGGGGATTTCGAGTATCCATACTGCCCCGGTGAGCCTTGGGTAACAATAGGTGGCCCGTACAGAGGCCCCGCCCCGTGGGGGGAAAGGTATACAGACATTACAAAGGAGCAAGATATGAGGCGAATCTAATGGCGGTAGGAGTCAATGAAGTTCGCTCTCGCGTCCTTGTAACATCCACGTGAACTCTCCACAAATTACGTAAGAACTTTTCACGTAGAAACGAAGTCGCCCCCTCTCAGACGCCGATGTGTGAAATTTGTCCCGACCCTGCGCTCAGCCCCACACAATAGCCCTCAATCAGAAAACCTCTGTAAAGAACCGAGTCACCTTCACTCACCGGTCCGACGCCCATCTTACAGACCTGCCATATCCGGACAACTACACAGTCTAAGATCGCCATCTTCCATAAACTTACCACTGGCACGATGATACCCCTCAGGGAAACCCGATTTTCATGTCCAATCAGACGAATGAAGACAACCACGCAGGAAATGAGCAAGACTCATTTATTAAGGAGTGAACTATATTATAGCATCATGGCAATTAACCAACACAAAGCACGGAAACGACAACTGCAATAAATGGCAGTAGCATCAGCCATAAGTGGCATGTAACATCAACCAGTACCAACCTTTCAGATAGAAAGGCCGAGGACCGCAACAATGATGGTGATGTTGAGTGAACCAATGATGGACAGAATGGAGGAAATCAGAGGCACGAGAGCGCCAACCAGTCCCACCAAGATATTGTCAACAAGCATGATGACCGCGCATAGCAGGCAGCCAACGACCTCGCTAAATTTTTTTTAAAGGTCGATTAGCTCCCAATTCGACATGTAACAAACACCACATACGCAAGGGAGGCAAGCAGGTAGGTGACGGAGGGCAGGATGTCGGCAGAGACGATTGTCAAAACAAAGCCAAGCGCCTCGAAGACGAGCTGCGCATGCGTCAGTACAATTTCGCTCTCACTGCCTTGAGGTACACTCACAATCAGCAGCTCCGAAACGACCTCAGCGAGCTCAGCGACGGTGATCAAGACGGTTCCCTCAATGGGAGCGAGAATGACGTCGGTCGACTCGCACATAAGACCCTGAACGTCGACGAGGGCTGTACCCAGAACAGTCCTAATGCCAACAACGATGTTACTGATGTTGTCAACCGTCGCATTTTGCGCAGTAAGGAACGCTGAAAACACGGCAGTCAATAACTCTGTACAAAAATAATCGACAACGATGAACGTACTGAGCTCAGCGACCTGAGGACGAATTGTCTCGGTCACAGTGGTTATGACCTCATATACACCCGCAGTTGCACGAGGAACCAACGAAGGAACATCGGGGACGGCAACGAGGTCTTCTACGGAGCTGACAACGCCGGTAGAAGCGAAGGGTGCCGCGGACGTGAAGGCGCTGAGAGCGAGGGTCGCGAGGATGGAGAGCGTGCTGAAGGCAAACATGTTGTAAGGAGTGTGAGGAGTAGAGAACGACTGGGTGAGGAAGTGCTGAGATGAGCGTACAGGCTGACTGGAAGTCAATAAATAAAAAGCCGTCTGAGCTGCGACTTTTATATGTTGGATGATGTGACTTAATCACTACCGTGACAACTTGGCGCAGCGGCACCGCTAAATTTTTGAAACACATCCCTGCAGGCCAACGACAAATCAGTTCAGCGGCACGATGAGGAATTCTGGTCCGATGCTTCTGGAGATCTGGAGATCTCGCTAGATTGTAGGGTGGCCACTTACGATCACGAAGCTCCAGCCTCGTGCAGGCTGAAGGTGGGAACGGTGTCTTCCGCTGACCGTGTAAAATATGCAGTGGTAATCAGTGGACCTTCAGCATCTTCTCCAAGAAAAAAAAACAATCCTGCATGCGCAACGGATGGGTGTATCACCTTGCAGTGTCTAGTTCTCGCCACGGTGTTCCAAGTAAATCTAGAAGAAGGCGAGACTCTACATTCCCGATGGTCGAAGAAAGCTTGGAGGTTTAATTGCTTCAAAATGGCGCCGGAGCGCGAACGAAACTGGCGTCGATCCATCTCTGTGGGCCAATCACGTACGGGAAGAAGACCGGTTTGTCACTCGTGACCGTCGGTTGTCATACGCACGCGAGAGAAGCACCGGCTTCCCTGCCAGATAACTTTTTCCCCGGGATGTGCACATAATATCGTAGCACCCACGTTCCCCTCGCCTGCACCAGAAAACATTGGGACTTACAAGAGCTTGGGCGTCGACTCAGACTACAAAATCGTGGCAGATGTTTGTCCGAAGTCAGCGGGGGCCATCGCAGCGCAATTATTGATTACGTCAGCGCCGCTGGTCGAACGATTCCTCTGAAACATCCCGGGTCTCTTGGGGTTTCTGGGCGCCGTTTCCTGATCAATAGAATTATATCCACGACGTGTTTAAATTTCAAACTTTGGGATCTTCCGCTGCAGTTCGTTACGGGAGCACCGCGGCAGGCTCTTATGGGCTCTCCGCCTCTTTTACTCACTGGAGACACCAGTACTTGCGACATTCAAAGGGAAATTTGCTTAGGGCCATTATATCGATGCTGAAGTCATTTTTTCCGTGTGCGGTGAGGGAGTCGGAGAACAGAGCGGTGGGCGGCAGCGCTCCCGTCGCGTTTCCCACCGGCTATTATAATAAGTAGAGGATCGCCGTTGGATCTTAGCTGGAATCCATTACGTTTTGAACTGAAAATCCAGTCCTGCGAAAACAATCTTGTGGCATCGTGACGGAGGCATGGACACTAAGGTATGTAGGTAGCAAGTAGGTTACCAGGCAGGTGCAAAGATTCAAGAAGCAAAGAAGTAGAGGCCACAGCCTAACAAGGACAAACAACAGCCACCGTGGAGCATTGTGGCACTTATACTGTCTTACAGAGGTCTATCTATCCAAGGCGCTGCGCGTAGTGAAGAAGTGCATTGCTATCTATCATGTCCGACAACGCGTCGAACACCTTCGTATCAAACCTTCTCCCTACCATCGAAAGTTTCGCAAAAGTGAGCTCACTGTTGTCCTTGTTGGCTTGCAACATGGCTCAGATACGCCTGCGAACTTCAAGGGAACCATCGCCACTGCTGCCGGACTGTCTACAGTTGGTATGGTTGCTGCTTATTCCTTCGTTCTGCTTGCTGAAAGCCCGCAGGATTCGGTCTGCTGTTCTTCGGGCAAAACTACCTCATCTACCCTTCCGCATTTCCCCCTGGATCGAGAGTCGGTGCGCCACACCATTTCCGTCTCGTCCGCGTTTGTTGTATTCACAGCGAAACTGCGCAGAGGTTCCCACTCCTACCGACTTTGGTTTACCATATCAAGGCCTAGAATTACTGACGCCAGACGACGTGAAGCTGCGATGCTATCTGCTAGTCCAGAGGAAAGAACTGTCCCACCTTGGCGGAGCAGCCGAGGTCAGCGGTAACGGCCAAGAGACAGACGAAGAGGTGTGTGTCTCGTACTTGTTATGTGGTTATCATTTTGCGTTATCGTCTTTGCACGTCCCTGAATTCTTTCTGCGGCGTGTTGTCCTTGTGGGGGCTAATCATGTCTCTTTGCGAGTGATAGTTCGCTGCTTCCCGTCCAACTGTCATGATGTTTCACGGTAATGGCGGCAATGTTGGACACCGAATACCCCTCGCCAAGGTGTTTTATGCAAAGATGCGATGTAACGTTCTAATGTTGTCTTACCGAGGGTGCGTTTCCCTATTTTAAACTCCTATTTCATTTGTATAATACGCCGTGCGAAACAGGTATGGCCATTCGGAAGGATCTCCGTCCGAAAAAGGTCTCGCCCGAGATTCTTCGTCGTCCATTCAAAAGGCTGAGCGAATTCGTCTTTATGTCATACAGGCATCCGGACGGACGCCCAATGTGCCCTTGACTATGTAACGTCTCACTCTGTACTCTCACGCACACCAGTCGTACGTACAAGCCGTCGATCACCTTCCCCACCTGCTTACTTACGTTTCCTGCCATACAGATTCTCTACGGCCAATCAATAGGCGGCGCAGTCTCTATTGATCTTGCGAGCCGCAACCCGCATGTCGTCCGTCTTGTCCTCGTGTCGTGCGCACGAACCATCACTGACGCTGATCCGTAGATCCGTGCGCTCATCCTGGAGAATACGTTCCTCTCCCTCCCGCGCCTCGTACCCAATACGTTCCCAATCCTCGGCCCGTTGTCGTTCCTGTGCCACCAGAAGTGGGACTCCGCCTCCATGGCGCCCCTCATCCCTGCCGAGACACCTATGCTCATGCTCAGCGGGACGCACGACGAGGTCGTGCCCCCCGAACATATGCGCCTACTGTGGGAGATCGTGCAACAGAGGATTCCCGGCGGGCGCAGGGCAGACGGCACTCCAGTACAGGATGCAGAGGAGGCGAAGAAGGTGGACCCAAGTCCAGGGTATTCCAGATTCGTGGAGTTCGACGGAGGGACGCATAGTAAGTGATCCAGTTCCCCGGCTGCCATGTGTAGTTGACGAGAATTTTCAGATGATACGTGTGTACAGCCGGGATATTGGACCACCGTGGCCGAGTTCGTCGCCGGCCTCGGGGAATCATCTCGCATCGTGTGGTGAGAGGTTGGAGCGTTCACGTATTTTTAGTTACTTATTCTGTTCGTGCCGGTTCCTTCTCTTGTACACGTCATGTTGTGGTAGATGGTATAGCGGATATACACCTAGCATGGATTTCGGACTTTAAGATGTGATCCATACATCGTACTAGCCCTGTTCCCGGCGAGTTCCTCTTGCGCGTCAAAACTACACGTTCTACTCCTCACTGGGACCACTCCGACGCACCTTCTGACGTTGATTACTGCAGCAAGGTGGTTCCTCTTCCACGCTGGAACCACAACCACAGGTGGATACGTCTGATACAGTGCAACGTTGCACTACCGAAGAATTTCTAATCGATTCTGCCAATCTATGACATCGCGACTAGTAACAAACCGACACAGTTTGATGGATTACCCACCTGATCCCCTCCCAGAGCAGCCAAGACGGTAGGCGGCGGGGCAGACTGAACAAGATGACTGGGCGTTCTGCAACCTCAAGCATCTCAACGCACCTCACTTCCTACTTAGCCATTGTGTGAAAGAGCAAGCACTCATCAGCTTCAGCGACAAAATGGCTGCGTGAGCTCCACCGCTGATCCGCAGCATTGGCAGACGCTGACAGGCATCTGGTGGTTGCAATGAGCCGCAGAGTGGTTTGGAGTTAGCACTAGCCGCGACTCGACGTGTCGATGTTATAGGAGTGCATGCTCGCAAAGAAGTTCGAAGTGCCCACACAACCCACCGTAGGACAAGCGTCTACGATACCGAAGTTTCACCGCAGAGTCCAATGGGCATCTGCGAAAGGAATACGTTCAGTGCTGTGCGCAGGTGGATTACTCACAGAGTGTCCAGCTGACATGAGGCCGTCCCAGGATCTCAGAAACCTGTAGCAACCCTTCACAACTGGCAGGATAGATAACACCCTCAATTGGCACCACACTCGTGGATGCAATCAGCCTCCTAGAGTGAGAAGAATTAGGGAGTCAGAGAAGTGTCCATGAACAAAAGAGTTACTCCCTCCAATAACAAGCAAGCATGGTAGGCTATCAGGTCAGCAATCCTTAAACGCAGAGAACTTGCCCACCAACGGCGCGAGGTCGATAACTTGATCCGCGGCACCTGTAAACGATGACTGCAGCAAGCAATATGCAATCCAGCGGCGCGTAACGTGTAGTACCTAATTCCCTCCCAGTCATCCAACAGGGCAAGAGTAATCAACGAATGGAGAACATCCTACGGTCTGCGATACGCGCATATGCACCAGAACCTGCGGATAGTTTTCGGCGGACGATGTCGGCTAAATTTCGAGGACAAGGACGCAGGAAAACATTCGGGAGGTGACAGTGAGACGTAGTCCAAGTTGGCCAGCCCTCGGTTACGATCCGTGCTCACCTCCTCCAAATTCCTCTCTCGTTTCCCATGTTGTCGGACATAGGTGTGAGCCATTCGTTGTAGGTATATTCTTGCGTTCCACTCGAGAATCGGCATCGTGACCGCGCTCGCGTTGATCATGAGTTCAAACCACCATGACAAGCGGAAGCACGTCCAAATTTGGCAAGTCAGGTAGTTGATCGAGCCACCGACGACCTCATGGTCATCATCCTCGTCCTTGCCACCACCATCTCCGTTAATCTTTGGAGTTAATCATACTGTTTCACTGTTTCCGTTCATGCTTGCTACCAGCCGGTCGAGTCCGAACATATGTGGACCACACACTACCACCAATCTACAAGGATCCGTGCGCCTTCCTTCTCCGATGGACGTGCCGCTTGCACCACACTTACTAATTGACAAGAATAACTATCCACCGCTATTTCTGTACATCAGAATGATTCAGCGTCTTAACCTGATGGGTTTCGAGATATTTGCCACTAAGGGTCAAGGTTGACCTGACACGTTTTCCACCATCTGCACGCCTGCGATGCCCACCTGCTGTATCGTGACGACGGTACCTGCTCTCCTCATGTGAATGGCAGCCAGTAAAATGCAGAGGTGAGACTCGCTGAGAGCCCTTTTTTCCTTGCGCAAGTGCTAGAATCGCTTTTGCGCGCTCGATGACTTAGGTTGCCTCACCTATTACTGAAGGGGCATGTCCATTGGCTCAGGGTTTATCTGGAGTGACTGAGCGGAAGCGAACTTTGTGGCTCACCCTTGTGTTCCAGGACGAAGTTTAGGGTCCACGTCGATTTCCGCAGACTAAGATGTGGTCCTCATCTGTATCATATCAACTTGTGGTTCCTTGACAAACGCCACGTCCCCTTATACCGACAGGTCCCTCTAGGCCCTTGTATAATTCAGTACGACAGAGAGATGCGATTAGGATAAGCCGATGTGCCCGACTGTTATTCAGGTAAGGTTGAACCAAGCTGGTGAAACACTTCGGGAGTTCTGCTGATACTGTGGTCTACAAGGAATTGCGCGCTCCACCAAAGATTCGTCTTGACAGGCCATAAGAGGGCTCGGCAGGAAATAGAGTGCCTGCTGTCTCTCTCCTCACGGTTTCTGCTCATTGCCACCCTCTTCCTAACATTTAGCTGATCTCAGCCAAGATGGGCCACGGAGACTGGGCCGTGATTAACCTGCAGAACCACAGCGACCTGGAGCTAAAGATAAAGAACGTCAGTCTGTCGTGGGGCAAGTTGTACACGGGTGATGCCGATCTCCGCTGTGTCTCGCTCTGTGACTGACATGCCCGATCATGCGCAGAGGGAGACAAGCATCACGAGATATCCATAGCAAGCATAGAGGACCACGTCGTTCCTGCGAGGGACGGGATTGTGGTCAGCTCGTGTGGACGGGAGGAATCGCCAAGTGGCACGGAAGGGTCGTTCGATGTCGTCGACACGAGCACGGACGCATTAGTCCGCACGGTCTTTTGGGACTGCCTGTATGTCAGGCACAACAGGTTCGAGACAAGGGGGGGGAACAAAGCATGGATCGTTGATCACTCCGATGTCTCGAAGGAGGGGCACTCGGAGAGATCAAGGTGACGTTCTTGAAGCTGTGATGGGCGTACGCCAGGTCTGTGTTAGTGTGCTATCGGGCTGAGACTTGCACTGACATGTAGTTTGCACGTACCCGGATAGAATTGACATAGAGGTCACCCAGAATCTTGAGAGATCCGCTGATTGTTGGACTGGCTAGTTGTCTTGATTGTATTTTAGTATGCCCTTTCCACCGTCGATATATCTATGCATCATTCCAAGTCACCTTTTCGAATGCATGGTCGATGTCTCGTTACTGAGTCTGCTAGAAGGTTGCAGAGCCCCAACCATTCAGTGTGGCTTGAAGTTGACGATCCGGCTGCTCCAATCCGTGTGATCCGCACGACGCGACTGTGTTTCGGATATGCAGATAGATGCTTTAGTTACGAGCAGTTCACACATGTCGTTGAGCACCTGCCGTGTCACGGTTGACGCAGTCGAGCATATAGGTCCTAACCCTAGAGTGGGGCTTGTGAGTCGTGCGCCACTCGCGCTCACTCTGCGGACATGAGTTCGCTGAACAGTCCGCCGACGTCGTCCTCCGAGTCCAGCCCAGCGGCGGATACGTTCTCCACGCACCAGGCGACGCGCCCGCTGCCGTTCGTGCACCCGACCCGCGCCGTCTTCGCCGCCCATCCCCGGCCGCCCTCCGAGTCCTCCGTCGTCGGAGCGCACTGGTCTGCCCGCTCGTCCCGCAAGAACCGGTATCTGTCCCGGCCTCTCGCCGTCAAGCCACATCTGTCCGTCGTCCTCGAGCAGCGGCTGCACCACGCCCACGCCCGCTTCAAGCTCCACCTCGCCTGGGACCTCTCCTTCTGGGTCGCCCAAGTCTTCGTCCTCGGCTCCGCCCTCTGGGTCATCAACGCCTTCCTCCTGTATCTCCCCCTCCTCGATGTTGGCCCAGCCCACCCCGATGCCGCCGCATGGTGCGCCTTTGCTGGCGGGACGTTCTTCGAGGTCGGCAGCTACCTCATGGTCGTCGAGGCTCTCAACACTGGACACGAGCAAATGTTCGGCCCTGCTCTATGGGGGCTCGTCAGCGGCGAGAATTTCGATTCCGAGATGCCAGCCAAGCCCGTGCAGTTTCGCTGGTAGTGAGTATTCGCCCGTTCTTGGACGATTCGTTGCTCAAGAACTCTCAGCGGCGTGGGCTCATGGCGCGAGCTCGGCTTCCTCGCCTGCTTCATCCAGATGATCGCCGCCACCGTCTTCTGGATATCCACCATGTAAGTATCTCGTTCTTATCGGTCCCGTTGGACTTGCAGCTGGAATTAACGAGATCTGGTCCGTATTCATGCACACATTCCTCAAATCCACTCACCCATCCTCCAGCACCGGTATTCCAGACGTGATTCACAACCTCAACACCGACCCTCCTACCGCCATCACCGATGTCTTCTTCTGGACCCCGCAGGTCGTCGGCGGGACAGGATTCTTCATCTCGTCCCTCTTCCTCATGCTCGAGGTCCAGCGTACGTGGTGGATTCCCAACATCGGGAGCCTTGGGTGGTGAGTATTTACTGCTTCTCCACATGTGCCCTACACAGGGCATACCACCACGTCCCACCTTACGCATACCCCTTCGCGTCCCTCTAAATGTCTCTGCCCACGCCCTTCCCACATTCCTTCTTTCACCCCTCCCCGTGTCCTCTTTCCTTGTTCCCTCTTCCTACTCGGCCCCGCTTCGAAGCTTGCTGCTGGTACAAATTTGACTAACTACCTTGCCTAGGCATATCGGGCTGTGGAACCTGATCGGTGCCGTCGGCTTCACGCTCTGCGGTGCGCTTGGGTACGCTGCCGCCACCTCTACCAAGGTATGCTCTACTCTTCTGTTCAGCCTTCCCATCCCCTTAGTACATTCGCTCTTTCCTCGCTCGCTCGTCCATTCACTTATGTTCGCCGTTTTCAATTCGCCCATTCCCCCTTCCTTTTTACGCACACTTCGCGTGTCCACTCATGCTAACGTCCGCCCAGGCAAACTACCAGTCCGTACTCTCGACTTTCTGGGGCTCGTGGGCGTTCCTCATCGGGAGCACCATCCAGCTCTGGGAGACCCTCTGGCGCGAGGACCCCACAGCGCCCGCGCCTTCTTCCCCGGGAAGGGAGAAGGGGAGCTAAGGGAAGGTGTGAGACCAGTGGACAGAAAGATTCATAGTGCGATGTGTGGACATTAATTACTGGTAACACACGAGTGCGTGCTAGACCTCTATACCAGGTTGTATTGTATACCTATGCCACATAATTGGCTTGCTGATGTCCGCGTTGAGTTGGAGGTTCGGAAGAGAGTTCGTATGCTGTGCTTCGGAGCTTAGGTTATAGACATTTGCGCATGCGCTCTTTTTCTCAAAGGTTGAGGCACTTCATGACCTGACGGATGATTTTGCCGGAGTGACTTTACTGCAGTTCACTCAATCGAAATGTGACCTTCGACGTCGAGCGTCGCCATGATCTTCAATGCTAAGCAAGCAATCACTAGAGTAACAGAAGATTGGTAACCTTCACACTTGATCCACACATTCCAACTTGAAACGAGCGAAGCCTGCGAAGACTTACATCAACCTCAGTGAGATCGGTTGTCTCGGAATCTGGTCTATTTTAACAAATACATCCACAGTGCAGCCAAAGAGTAACAGTGAACGTAACAAACCGAAAGGCCAAAAAAATACTTGGAGAGGCCCCAAAGATCGTTCCCAGGTCATCAAGCAAATGGATCATTATCATCAAGGGCGTCTTCCCCAATCATGCCCGTTTGTTCCTCGACGGCGTCTTCCCCGACCAGGAACGTTTCCTCATCGGGAACCTCTTCCTCTTGGACTCTCGCCGGGTTAAGCTCCTTTTCGTCAATCCAATCATAACAATGTGACCCAACTTTCCAGTATGGCTTGAGGCGGCGAACAAACGTGAGATAAACATCAGCTTGTCGCGGATGTTCGTCTAGGAGATCTCTGCCGCCCAGAAGGACCGCATAATGATGCTTGTTGTCGACCATATCGAACACTTTCTTTGAATATCCGATGACGCTGATAGGGTAGCGGGGATGTACGCCTCTTTTGTGGTGAGGCGATCGGCCCTGAACGGTGAAGCGGGAAGGTGTGGAAAGTACGCCCTTCCTGCCCTTGTCTGCAGAAGCGTTTGGAGTTTGGGATAGTGCCGTCTTCGAAGCCTTGGTCTGCACTCCCAATTGCATAGAGATTGTTATGTATGGCCTATCGTCCACCCTGCGACCCTTGGGGAAAAATCCTTTGCCATGTCGAATGGTCGCCTCGTCGACAACGATGACCTCCCTCCTCTCCTTGTTGCGTACTTGAATCAGAATTCCCGACATAATTTTCTCGCTCAGCTTATCGTCTTGAAGAACTACGGGCACGATACAATCGATCACGTCCTGGTTCGTCGAGCACTGGATAGCCATTCCACGCACGACCGCGGCGTACGCTCCATAAGAGGTCGACGAGCTCTCGTCACCGTTCCTCGCGAAGTGGGTGAAGCGCACCTGCGCGTGCTTGAACGCGTCTTCAAACTTCTTTCCGCGAGAGTCGTTGTCGGGACAGCTCTGTTTCAAAATTTTCAAATTCTTCGGGCCGAACAAGGCCTCCAGGAAATCGAAGAGATGCACAGACCGGCTGAAGGATAGATCAACTTGGTCGCGCTCGCAAGTCTTCTTCGCCGCTTTGTCGTAGGCTTGCACGAGAAGAAGTCGCATTACGAGTTCTCCTTTCTCTCCTTTCCCGATAAGACCATCAACGACGAAGTCCGCGAGCTGTTCGGGCACCGTTCGTTTCAGTTCGTTCATTGCTTGGGCAGCAGCTTCGGCTAGAATTGGCTCCGATGGGCATCCTGATCGAACGTATTCGCGGTGTTTAGGAACACTGTATGCTATGCGCATATTCGCTTCAACCAATTGTGCCTCCATGCTTCGAGAGACTTCTCGCGTTGGCTCAAAATCTAGAAGTAAGCGTGTGCTGAGGGCAGCCAGAAGACCACGCTTGCTCTGGTCAATGTCCTCGGTGTATTTTTCCATGCCCATCAGCTTCATCCGTGCGAGCTCCAACAGCCACTTCTTCTCAACACCGCCTCGAAGTTGCGCACTCCAGCTGCAAACAGAGCTCAGATCGGCTTAAAATCCGCATGAATGAATAGCGCTCACAGAGGTCGGCCAAACATGGCCATAAATCCAATATCGGCAACTTCAGCAAGAGTCTTCTCCTTGGTGCCAAGGATAGGTTTGCCCTCTGGCAAGCAATCAAAAGGTAGCTCTGTATATGGAGGCTGAAGAGGATCGCTCAACCCTTCGACCACGCGAGCCGAATGATGTCTCTTCTGCGGAGGGGAAAACTTGGTGAGGTTGGAGTTCGTCGAAAGTGTGATGCAAAAGATGGGCAATGTTCTCAGCTGATTCAACGCACTGCATAATGCGTCGTAGCGATTCGTCTCTCCGATGTAAGCATCTGATAGTGAGTGCGCCTCGTCGAAATACAACACGATTCGTAGATCATGTCGTTCCGGTTGTCGATTCGTGAGCCGATTAACCGTCTCTACCAATGCTTGGCCTTGTTGGATGGCATTTTGAGCGTGGTCTTTGAGATTTTTCCCAATTCCCGCAGGCTCACGTTTTTCGAGCCGCTACATCGCCGCATAAGTGATTATTCAGGAACGTTACAGAAGCATGAACTTACCGAAACAACATCGCTGTAAAGAACTTCTCGCTGGCCATTGACTTCTACAGAGTCTTGCTGTGGGTTGAGATATTCTCGCCAGGCTGCCGCGAGCTCCCGAGATGACTTGTACTTCTTGCGGTAGTGTGGCATCCTTTGGTCAAGATGTTCACGTACCACGATGAATAGCTGCTCAAAAAACTTGACATATGCAGCAACCACATCCAATTTGAACCACTCCGATTCTTTTGGCGAGTTGCTGCAGACATCGAGGAGATGAGCGCGGATAGCATCATCGGGGTGTGGGAAGGGGTGCCCTGTTGCGTTATCGTCTGTGATTTGGACATGTACAATAGCAATGATCCTCACCACTTTCGACATTCTCCTCTCGGACGTTGAATGGAACGGTGAAAACAAGACTAGCCAGCTGATCTACAACTCGTGATTTCCCAGTTCCCGAGCTCTGAATAATGGGGACGTAGTTGGCATACCCCTGGTCCCCGCGAGTGCGATTCATCTCTTTGATGGCATCCAAAAGCGCTACATGAGCGTTGCCAATGTAAGGACTATACCAAGCAGCCATTGTTGCTAGCCATGCACGTCAGCAGACCTTCAAAGTGTAGACAGTGGTATGAGGGTCACCTTGCTCTGAACGAAAATACAGTAGGTATTAGGAAGTGCAGGAAACGACGGGAATGATTCACTTACTTTGCATCGTGATAGAATAGAAACGCTGATTTGCTCCACCGGTGGTTGGCTTTGTTCGACGCAGGATCTCTGCACGTTGAGTCTTAAGGTGCGTGCTCAACAGGAAGCATATCAAGACGTACTTATGCACAAAATCCTGCAGAAGTCTTCATCCTTCAATGCCTTGCTGAGTTCAATGCGCAACTGATCGTTTTGCTGCAGCAACTTGCCAAGGAACTCGATATCGATAGCTTCTGGAATCATGTCCTCTTTGCATTGCAACAGGATTTTGTTTAAAAGAGCTGCAGCAGATATACGACTGTTTTTCACCAATTCCGACGTGAGGCCAAAACTCTTGCACATCTCCAGCACTTCCGCGCCGAACACCTTGTGCTGTTCTCGCGTGTACGGGTCATCGACTAGCTCCAATGTGTCTGAGAGGGTAGACTTATCACTCCGAGAGGAATCAGAGGTGAAAGACAGCGATTCTGCACGATTCAAAGGCATAGTGCTCGAGGGAGGGGAGGTTGAACGTAGGTAAGTTCAAGTTATGATGCACGCCACAGTGAAGCCACAACCGCGCACGTTCCACGTGACAACAGCAGGCTGGCCCCGCGCACGAGGCTACATAGAAGTATCTTCATGGTTCAGAAAAACATCTGTTAACTCCACTATGTACTAGATTGTTACATACAAAGCTCTGACCAAGACTCGTTGAGGCCATTCACGAAGTCCCTTGCCACAGCTATGCAATCTTTGCCCGGTGCGGCGACTCGGGATCCCTTAGATCACTCCCGCCGCTTTTGTCTCATCCCCGGGCAGCTTCAAGTTCGGCTACCTCAGAAATGCGCGCGTGAGTGCCGGTGCCCCACCTGGCTTGATACGCATGTGCTGGCAGGCGTACCATACTACGCTCAGTGCAGTCGGTATAGAAACTGCCAGGATCGATGACCATGACCTTGTGTGCGGCGATCAGGACTGACTGTACTATAAGGATGTTGCAGAACGACTCCACCTTGATGGTCCACTCCGGATCCAGTTTTGCTACGAGTGACTTGGTGAAGCCGTCGATAGCTGCATAGATTTCCAACTGTAAATGTTCATTTACTCCTCTCGCGAGTACTACTTACCTGTCATGGTTGCCACATAGTATGGTAGAATTGGAGCACTTCTGAAAACTGCGATAGAACCGCTTGGCAGTATTCTCCCCCAGGAGGACTGCTAACCTCGTGAAAGACACACACGGCCTCCCTGCTGACATTCGCAGCGCCCCAGAAATTGAGGTCAAACTGGGCCCGCGCGCGTTTCTTCCGGCGCTCCCTCAGCCTCGTTCTGGGTGCTGTACCCAGCATTGTTGAATAAGACGTTAACGCACCCGAATGCTTCCACGACCTTTGCAAAGGCGGCAGCAATTGCCAGCGCGTTCGAGATGTCGACCTGGACGACGAGCAACTTGCTTGTGGAGCATACTGCCGATAGGGAGGAGAGCGCGGATGGGTTCCTGAGATTCGTGACAGCAATGTCGCCGTCCTTGAGGACGTGCTCTGTTACAGCGCACCTGAAGTGGACGAAGAGCTAGTGACTTAATTTTCCTCGGTGAGTTATATGTGTCATAGTTTAAGCTTACTCACTAAATCAAATTTTAGGCGACGACATCGATCTCTGTGAAGGCTGCCAGACCTTGAGAAAGGATCCTTAGTAGCCGATGCATCTCTGCAGCATGGTGGCCATCTTTATACTGCGCTGGTCGTTCCCGAGCGAGGTCAAAGTACTTCACCGCTGCTCTTGTCATTGTGCGAGCGGCCAACATTGTGGGTTTGAGTACCTGGCTTATCAGTGACTCTGATTTTTGGCTCGGTTACTGTCAGTAATCCGTGCGATCTGGAGGGAAAACTTGCCGGAACCTCGGCCTGAGCATGACACCGCCTAAGCATGAACCTGGACGATTGTTCCCAGATGAATGCAAGTCGTTAATGCTGTGACACCAGTGAAACAACATGCAATCAGGGAAAGTTTCATATGCAAGCGGTACACCGAGTGACATTGACTCAAGAACTGTAGGCTGCATCTGCGGCGCCAGGCCGATGACGTGCTTGTGTGACGATCTGACACGCGGTGCGGGCGCCTTGTGACGTACGCGTCTTGTTGTCACGTTCCTGTCTCAGAGGTACTCCCTACGGTCTTCTTCGTCTCCTGTCCCTTCTGGAACTGTCGTACGCGCTCAGGATCTTATAACTTATATTATCAATGTTATAGCATGTAGCAGCTGATGAGCCGACATGGAACGGTGTCGTGGTTATCGTTGTTGAACAGTGGTTTTCCACAATCTTTTAGACAACGTGGCCTCCCTACTAGCTGTGACAGTACTTGGACAAGACATCTGGTAGTTCCTTACCGAGCTTCCGTTTATTGTAACATCGTTGACCCTGTCGAATTCTTCTTGTAGAAGCTATCTATACACCGGAGCTCGTGACTACTCCGCATCATCCAAACCGACACGCGTTAAAATGCCCAAAAAGCTCTCGTTGTTTGATTGATTTTTTTGCCACCTGCTCAGATGCTTCAGAAACTGCCAGTTTATAGATTGAAGAGCGCACTATTCACTGGCTCAATTCCAAATACAGTATGGCGTACGCTCAGGTCGAAACTCTACTGCGCTTCCGCGCTTCCATAAAACTTTCTATGGAGCTACACTGCGCCGACGAATGTTCCAGCCATAGAAGGTACGCACGACACCACCTTCATAGTAAAATTGTATGTATCTCATCACTAAACTTGGTGATCCGCGGCATACTTATAGCTCTTGCAGCCTTCCTGATATCCGTGCTCCACAAACGTGAACATGCATGCATGCACAATGCTATTCTTGGCGAAGGCAAGGCCAAAGGATTCTAGCGAAGAAGTGGCGGTCACCGGTGGCAGTACCATGGCACAGCACGAGCTTGCAGGTGAAGTCGGAACAGTTCAGCCCGAAGTTCAGTCGTCTCTCACTTACATAAAGGGGGTCTCATCTCGGTGAAGGACTCATACTAGCGGCGCACTCTTCCCCACGCCGTCTCTGCAACTTTGATATTTCACCATGGGCTACTCTCAATGGGTTTCTATCACGCTGCAGAACTCCAGCGGCCAAGATATCCAGACCGCGAACGTCAACCTGCCCTGGGGAAAGTTTTACGCAGGTGGGATCTACCTTCTCGCCACGACACCTGTCTTGTACTGTAGCTGATGCTGTCATTGATGTGTGGGCACAGATGACAACAAGGGCCGTGATATCCCGGCGTCAAGCGTCGTCGATCAGGACGTCCCCGCCGGCGATAGCTTTACCGTCTACTCGTGCGGGCGCGAGGACTCCCCGACAGGTACAGAAGGCTCGTTTGATGTCGTCGACGCGAGCTCGGGTGCCGTTATCCGCACGATCTCGTGGCACTGCCCCTACGTAGGGGATAACACTTTCAAGTTGTTGGACTCGAATGATGCATGGGCCGTGGACACCTCGGGATTCTCGCAGCATGGTGCCCTTGGTCAGATCACGGTGGCGTTCAGCCAATTTTAGAAGCGAGGGAAAGGTACGTGCTCGCGTTTGGGTGTTTGGGCATTTCTTTGAACTCACCGCTATGTTTTGTATTCCACGTAGAGATGTGAATTCTTTCAGTCGTGGCGCAGATGTGAGCTAAATGTACGATACTATTTCTTGGTCGAATTCAATATGTGTATTCATGCTGGATCGCGCATTCTGATAAACATACAAATGACATATGTGCATTCTTCTGTTATGTACGTGTCTCCGCTCATGTCTCGACACGCCGTCGTATTGCTACTTTATCGGCTGTAGTTGAGTGTGACAAGTAGAGTGACGACCCTGCACGCGGTGTGCACGCCTTGTGACATACGCGCCTTTTCTGTCACGATTCAGTACCGGTCGGCTGCACTAGTACTCTCCATCTGTCTTCTATCTCCACATCTGTTACCGCTTCCGAAAGCTGTTGCACACTCTCATATTCTCTTACTGCTCACCAGTATTATTATGCCAGAGCATGCAGTGTCTGACCGTGGCATAAAATATCATCAAAGTGAACAATCCTGACGATGGGAGCTTTTGGCCCACTGGCAGTCAGATCCGCGGTGTATCATCAGAGCATTGACTGTGCGGCCCCAGAATAGGGCTTCCTTATCAAATGCAAAGTTGTTGGTGAGTTTATTGTTTTCTCTTATTCATTTTTCCCATCATAAGTCCGATCCTGCAGGACTTCTACAATGCTCTAGTAGCCGTGGACAAGCTTGCCTTGGAGAATGAGCCAACATGGAACAGTCTCGTGGACATTGGCATCGTAGAAATTGTTAGCCAGAATCTCCTGGATGACATCACCTCTCTACTTTCACCATCCCAGAGGGCAAAGCATCTGGTGAATTCCCAGTTCCCGCTGACTTTCATATTACATATTGTTGACCCCACATTCATCAAGATATAAGTGCTTCCTCTTGAGGTACTATACAATGCAACTATCCACTTCTTGATTCATCCCACGCCGATGTACGTGAAGGTACTCAAGATGTTCAAGAAGAGAAGGGCCGAAATCACGACTTTTGTCAGACTCCCTATGTGCCATCTCGACTGAAGAACTGACCGATGTTCATGGTGTACACTCATTTGCCAAGAAGTCTATGAACCAGAGCACACGGTGGTTGCCCAGATGATGAGCTACATGATCACCACTGATCCAACTTTCCTGGCGTAAGCTCAACTTCACAAAATTTACGCTGACGCTCATGTGCTCACAGTGTCATGGATAATGAGAAGGACATGACAATCCAGGTCTTAACATGGCACTTCCTGCATGGCACCGGATGCATAGATGCTATTCAGCCCTCGCTGACAATGGTGGAGCTAATTCGCCCCAAGGACCCACACCTAATCGTATACAGATCTACCAATCCCACTCCCCCTTCGTTCATGTCCAATATGATCCAAGGTGCATCATCTCCAGAGAAACTGCTGAGCGGCATGACATCTCTCCTGGTGCATTTCGATGGGGGCGACACCCCGATGCTGGTAGACATCCTCAGCCAAGTTCATGACCTCGCATGCATGCAGAATTTGGACATCGTTCGCGCGTTCTGTAAGCACCAGGCAATCTGGGATGCCCTCTTCGCGCTCCTGCACCGTGCGGCCAATGGGAAAGATTCACCTGGGAACTTGTTCACTGGCGCAAGATGAAGGTGAAGCATATCCATTCCGTAGGTACATATCCATAACTTAGGAGAATGCTTCGCTGTAGTCAGGCCACATACTAAAAGGATGTAACACTGCATGAGCATGGTGGTTAAACAGAAGTGGAGGATGCTTTACAGAAGCATGGTGAAACAGTGACCGTCCAATGAAAGATCGGAGGAAAAGTGACTGCAAGTGAATTCATAAAGTTGTTCATCATATCTCGGCAGGTAATTGGAAGACATAACTGCATCCAACCATCTTGTGTAGTATTGTAACTAAGCTTATATTAAGTGCATACTCTCGGAGTGACTCAAGACTCTAGCTCGGGGGATAGAACTCTGGTTGTTCCGCATGACCCGAGAGCTAAAGTACGAAGCCAAACAAGTGAAGGTGAGGTAAAAACTGCTCACTTCGGGACTATTACTGCTGAATATACTGAGCGCTTTTTTGTTTCACATGCTGAATCTGCGCAAAGGCACCAAGTAAGCACCTACTTTGCAGGGATACAAAGCGAGACTCGAGAGTCACTGACAATCTTGTCAGAAAAGCGAAGCATCAGTAAGGAACACACATAGGATAATGGAGGAGCCAGTATCACTGGGGCATGTACATCAGGAAAACCCAACTTTCTCTTATGGACTTATTTAGACTTTTGGGTCTGAGAACCCTTATTTAAGGCCATAAGTGTTCAAATAAGTCGAATTTCAGACACTCAGGGAATATGCCTTAGGCCCTTTTTGTCCTTATGTTCTTAAATAAGGACCATAAGTCCACTTAAGTTATTTAAGTGTCCTTTTAAGGAAAAGTGGGGTTTTCCTGATGTATTTGACAAGTCTAAACATTATATCTTGTACATCCGAATAAAGTCTCAATTGTCCTGGACCAATATCTCTGTGACAGCAACATCGGTAGTCATGCTCCTGAGAGTTATAAGTGCTCCATTCACCATTACAGTAAAGGGATCGTACTCACATAAAAGATACTTCCACCTCCATCTTCAATCACATTCATTGTCTCGCTGAGCGAAACATGAGCACTGGAGAAGGCTCTCATCGTGATAAGGAGAAACATGTGGCATCATACCAAGATCCCCTATCACAGGTCTCATTGCAGCGATTAGTCTGGTCAGAAAGAAACTGACATCTTTCGGAACAGACAACTTGGTGAGCGTTGTCTGCAGAGGGGTGTGTCTATTGTCATGACACAGCAAACTATATCAATCCAAACGAAGTATGGAGGTGGAACATCCACACCTATCAGCCAATATATACCTAAAAGTCCATATAACCAAGGTGGAATATTTTGTGTAAATTTCCATAAAACTGAGTGTTGGCCAAGAATATGATATAGAATGGAGATATAGGGTTGGCCAAGAGAAGTAAGCTATATAGGCTAAGTCGTGTATTTAGGAGTTAGCCAAGGGAGCCGAGGTTTAAAGTCTATATAGGTTGTCGGACATTTTGGGGTTGGCCGCCATTTCTCTATATAGATTTTAGCCAAAATAGAGCTATTAGCCAAGAGTCATAAAATTTTAATACTATATAGAGTTTGCAGACAGTTGGCCTTGGCTGAGTGGAGCTATATAGAATTGTTGTGAGAATGATCCCCTTGGCCAAGGCACATGAAATTTCGATCCTATATAGCATTTTCTGAAATCTGACCATGGCCAAGGGTGCCCTATATAGATTTTTGTGAAAATAATGCCTGCAGCCAAGAGTCAAGAAATTGAAATCCTATATAGAATTGTCTGAAATTTGGTCGTGGCTAAAAATATCCTATATAGTTTTTATGGAAATGGTGGTCTCGGCTGAGCGTTCTGGAATTTCTATTCTATATAGAGTCTTCTGAACTTTGGCATTAGCCGAAAATGCCCTATATAGTTTTTGTGAAAATGGTGGCCTTGGCCGAGGATCTAGAAATTTTCATTCTATAAAGAGTTTTCCACACTTTGGCCTTGGCTGTATAGATTTCTACACAAATGGGGCTTTAGGCTAAGGCAAATGGTCTTGCTGGCACCATGCTTCTTTAAGGTCCTGGAGGATACACTCGTTCAAATTTAAATAGCCAGTCACACACATTTATTGACTACTTTGCATACCTACCTTTGCAACTTGCAGACTATCTGACAATTATTTGACCATTAAATGCCTGCTGTGATTGAAGTGCAAAGTCCTTCCACATTGCACCTTGCTTTGCTGCATAGGATGCATGATCACATAGACCTGCACTCACTGCCTTCATCTCCCTGGTCTGCTACTCATGCTGCTTGCGTTCAAACCACAGGACAGTCCATAACATCTCATATCACACCTTCAGTACCTCCTCCTTGTATCTTTTGTCTTGTGCCTTTGCTCTCAGCCAGTTAACTCGATCAACTGACATGGTAATTACAATCTGTGAATAAGTTTGACCAGGCATGAACAGATAGTCACTCACCCTCCTTCATCACTTAGGTAGTGCAGAGCAGGGGTATACCCCTGGGTACTTTGAGCTGTACCTCTACTCTTACCCTCCAAAGGTACATACCCTTCACCAGGGGTAAGGATATGGGTAAGGGTACCAAACCCTGAGGGTATACCTCTCAATATCTGCCTTATTTGAGGGAATGACATTATACACATTACGTTTAAGGCTTGTAACAGTCTTCTTTTCCCTTTGGAGCTTCTGAATACATAGTTTAAGGCTGTATCTAGGCTGTACTTAGGCTTTATTCATCATACAGTTACTGCTTACATTATATATACTATATGCAGTGATACTCTTCAGGGGTACAAGGGTCTGGAAGTTCATACCCCTACCCTTACCCTCCAATACCCTTATTCCTGACCCTTGAGGGTTATCCATACCCCTGCTCTGCACTACCTTTATGGCATTTCGACCGACATCTTCTGTATTATTGTCCACACTTTCCACTCATGCATTTTGAGCATTCTCACCTCCAAGTTTCCAAAATCATGCCAATCTATCATTCCTCTGCCCAACTCTATTCTCCTCCACAATGTCTCCAGGCATCTTTGTGTCTTCTTTTTGAATGTCAAGATATCGTGTCAACAACTGTTCACTTGCTTCTAAACAGATCAGGGCTTTCTGAGCATGCTTGTATCATCTAATGATTTTGCACTCTTACTGACCAATCTTCCTGAGCTTAGCTGCATTTCAAGTTTTGTGCCATTGAGACTTATTATGTCTGAATTTGGTCTGGAAAAGCAAAGACTTGTGACTCAAGGGTCGTAAGTCTTCAAGACAGTTATTGGCTTGGCCAACCTGTAGATGTAACTCCTGCTGTGCAATGCTCTTTCATCCCACTGTCTTGCATTGATCAATGCCAAGTGAGGAAGGAAGCAGGAGAGTGATGTTTTCTGGCAACACTTTCTCTTCAATATCTTTCGAGTTCTCCTCCACATCCTTCACGGTCCAACCCTCTTCATCTGCCACCTCATTAGAAGAGATTTCTAAGTGCTCAATGTCTTCATCGTCTAATAGCGCTGTTGCACAATTGTGAAATCCATCAATTCTTTTCTGTGGTGAAGCTTTGCTTGGTGAGGTGTTTTGCCATTACTTGTATGTCATCTCTGAAGCACAGACTGAGCGAAAAGACAAAAGTAAATGTCAACTGGCTCACTGTGTCTTTTCAATATTTATTCCAGTGCTCAATCAGGTTACTGTTCCACTTTTTAGGACTCTACCCTCCTCATTAAGTGACTGCCTTTTTTTGTGGTGAGCAGAAGGTGAATATCACCCATTGATGGAGCTATGGTTCAGTTTGCTCAATCAGATGAAATCTGGCTTAGAGAAAGCACATACTCTTGAGCTTTACCAGCTATAGTTGATAGTAGAGCTTTTGAAATGATGAAAGTACTGAGAATGCTGTTGTAGCAGATGGGCCAAGGGTTCAAAAAGTACACATAGTGGTGCGTGATATGATCATGTGACTGAAGTGCCCGTGCATCGCCCGGCGTACCGGCATGGCTTCGCCTTATTCATGCTTCATTGTTACAAACTCAAGTGTTACAAATTTTTCTAACTACAAAAATTAAAAAACACAAAAGGTGACTTGTGATGACTGAGGGCGGGCCCTCCCTCATTCGCCATAAGCACCAGAAAGAAGGGAAAAGAAAAAGAAGATAGACTACAAGAAAAGTACAAATACAATCTGAAAAACGCCAAAAGGAGGTCAGAAGACCATCACAAAATATTAGGAAATGCTCACCTTGTGCGCTGCATTGCTTGCACTGTAGTGACCATCATGCATTTTGAGTACATGTGTAACAAGCTGTAGAAACATCAAGAGGTCAATATTCTTCAAAGTGCAAGGGCAAAAAAACTCACCAGTTTTCTCAATCCACTATAGGATTAGGCCTAGTCTTCACTACTACCATAAAACCCACTATATGCTAAAGAGCAGTTGTCAGTACCTGTATAAAATGCTGTGGAGTACTTACCACATTGTTCTTGCACTTCCTGTACTGGCACCATACCATACAAAAGGAAACAAACAAGTAAAAAACACTGACCTTGTGGAGCAGGCCAATGGCGGCTCCACGCACGACTCACACAGCACAAGGCTGATGGCCAGCGATAATATAATGTGCAGAGCACATATGCACCTAGACGCAGGCACGCCGAAGTACATTGGCACCAAAGTGCAAAATCCCCCAATTCCCATATAGCAGGTGAGAGACACAAGTGGGTCGCCCCCACAATGTGGAGCCCTCTGCAGCTCATCACCGCATGCCCAGTGTAATTCCCCAAAACTCAAATACCAGGTGAGAGGTGCGAGTGGGTCGCCCCCACAACACGGAGCCCTCTGCAGCTCATCGCCGCATGCCCAGTGTGATCCCCCAAAACTCAAATATCAGATAAGGGACATGAGTGGATCACCTCCAGAACATGGAGCCCTCTGCAGCTCATCACCGCATGCCCAGTGTGATCCCCCAAAACACAAATACCAGGTAAGGGACATGAGTGGGTCGCCTTTAGAACATGGAGCCCTCTGCAACTTGTCGTTGCATGCCCAGTGTAATCCCCCAAAACTCACATGTACCCCATGACTGGCCAAAGACCAGCCATGGGATGAAGTCAGTTTAAGTTTAAGTAGCTCTCTTACAGAATACATGTGTTAGCATTTGTGCTTCAATTTATTTAGTTTAATTTGAGTCTCACTCATATATTTATAAAAACTCCGCAGGTTTATATAGTCGGACCTTATATACCTATACTATGTGTACAGGTTTCACAGGTCCAACAAACTCATACCTGAACTATAACATTTACTATAACTATACTTGGACCTTTGCATAGTTTATTACACTACTATGTCCCTGCCTAGACTGAGGTAAAGGTCTGACTGGCAGGCTGAGCAGGCTGTGCATGCTTCTCAGACTGGCTGTGCATGGTAGAATATACAAAAGTAGCCAAATAGATGTGTGAGAATAAGCAGCAGAAGCACAGCAACAGAAATATAGCAGAGCAGAGACAGCAAGGATAGAGCAAGAGAGAGAGAGAGAGAGGGATAGATCAAATTACAGTGATTGCAATCAAAAGGACTTGTGCGTGCAAACCCATTGAGATCACATGATATGCTTGGAGGGCTGGACTTTCTGAAATCTAGTGGACAGTGGCTGAAATTCGATCTGAGTCCGAAAAAATTCCAAATGTAGTAATATTTCAGCCACCAGTGTGCACCTTTTGCATATGGAAGGTGCTTGACGCATCTGATGTCTGGGGCACATGACCAAACAAACATGGCCAAATAGTTGGTTTTATGAGCTGGCACAACTTGCTCTCTCTCTTCCTTCTCTACCACCACCATCCCCTTCTAGCAAGCCGGCCTCAAGTGGCTGAGCTTTGTTGCTGCATGCTGCCATGGGCATGCAGTGTCAAAGCTCAGTTATTTGTAAGTGCCTTTGTATGGTAAGTGTTTCTTTTCCTGTAGACAGTATTATGTAATATGTGTGCTGGCGCGCACTTTACTTTGCATGTTAAACTTTGCTCTTAAGTACTACTTTACTTGAAGACATGTCCAGGATGTGTAGTAAACTACACATAGGTACATACATAGTAATAGTACAGGTCATAGTACAGGTTTATCTTTTATAAACCTGTGACCCTCATAGACCTGTACTATATGCAGGTCTATGTACCTGTATGTATAGTCAGGGTCAGGCCTTTGTACTACAAAGGTAGACCTGTGTCCCTGCCTATACCCCGCAGTCTGGTGTTAGGCAATCTATCTCCAATCTGCACTCAATCCTGGAGAATCCTGCATTTGTGGGTACAAGTCAGGACCAGCATCAAGGTTTCAATCTCAATCAGGCCAATCAGTCAATTGGAGGAGGCATCTTATACTGTAGATCTGTGCCACCAGCTTACTACCATGGCCGACCTTTGCAAAAGGACAGACCAGGTATGTTTCTATATTTCTAATAGTGAATATGTTTGTCAAGTAAGCAACATTTCATTTGATATTGTGATGACAGACTCTACCCTGCATTCGCCGACACCTCACAAGCAGATACTATGTCACAATTGACTCTGAGTGTGGATGAGATGATGGACATGGATAATTGGAAGCAGTTCCAGTTGAGAGGAAGCAGAGATGACAGGGGGAGCATTGTGTATAGAGGTTTGTATGAAGATGTCAATGAAGATGGTCAGTTGAAGGGGGAGTTTCTGAATGATGACTCGGACAGAGGTGAGACATTTCTAGTAAATCGAGATCACACCAGTAGCCCACCTCTGTCCAATGATGAATCAAAGAAGAGTGATAAATTGGACAATACCAAGGAGGAACATAAGGAGACAATCCACCAGCCACTGAGCTATGCACCTGTGTCAGATGTCAAGGAGGATATCAAGGAGGATGTCGAGGAGGATGTCGAGGAGGAGGGCAAGGCCGAGGCCAAGGATGAGGATGAGGATGAGGCAAGTGTTCCTGCTCTGCCCTTACATGTTTTCAGAGCCACCAATTTGTCGGAGTCATACACAGGCCGAAAGGATGTGCAGCTGCTGCTAAAATGGATGTCCCTCGATGCTGAAGCAGTCGACTCATACGTGATCCTGCAGTGTCTATCACTGCTGCTGTTCATGAACATGAGAACAGCTTACTCACCTCTAATCCAACTATACCTCCTTCTGCTCGTGCTCCTAAGCATCAATGTCACAAGGTCTTCCAGATGGCATAGAAGTCTGTGGGGTTGCTGACAGGTGAACATGACTCACTCGACAATGGTGTGTTGTTGAATTTTTGGCAGTGCATTTTCATTCTTATGACATTAGCTCCTGAAATGTTACAAGCCTCCGGTGACCTGCATGTGGGCTCTCAGCTGTTAAGCCCAGTGCCTGTTGTCTCAAATGTCATCTCCAATTCTGATGTGATGTGTTTTCTCTCTTTAACATATGCATCTTGCTAACACCATGCACCTAGTATTGCTTTCTCTGCCAACAAGGCAGAGTCTTGGTCGACTGTGACCATCCAAACTGCAGCAGAGCTTTTTGCTTGCATTGCATTCCAAATCTCCGACAGTGGAATATGACTGAGCAGATGCAGTTTGAATGTCTGGCCTGCACCATAAAGCGTGACAGAGGTGCAATGCAGGTATACCATGTAGGTTTAATATGAATTCTTTACTCACGCAAAAGCTGATATTTGAGGGATATTAGGGCCTGTATAGTGTCCCATCCACTAAAAAATCTTGGGTACCAATGATAAAGGGTCTTTGGATTGTCAGCAAGCCTGAGATAGCACTGACCGCAAGGTTGAATACCTCCTCTTTGGTTTTGGTTCATCTGCACCTGTGCTCGCTGCCTGTGCATGGTACAATCGCCAATCTTGTGGAGGAGTACCTTCGAGCCTATTACGTTGACCACAGCGAGTTCCTAAATCGGCTGGATGTTGTCTTTGACTTGGAAGGTTCAGAGGCAACAGAAGGTCATCATCTTCATATGCTCAACATAGTGTCAAAAATTTGATCAGATGTATTTAGATTAAATTCAGTGGCTCTGAATCATTTGATATGAAGGTCTCAGAATGTGACAGCAAAGGACTGCCCAACTACTACTACACAAACCCTGAAGGTGGTCTGACCTGGCTCATTATAGCTGATGGCATCACATGTGATGAAACCTGTACATATACACTTGGTAAAGGCCCCAGCTTTAAAACTCCTATGTGTGAAGAGAATTTTGCCCTTTCTGATCAAAACAAATAGAAGATGCTACTTGGCCGAAGCCAAAGTGTGGAGAATCCTATATAGGATACAAATTTCAAGAGTCTCAGCTGAGACCATTATTTTCAAAAACCCTATATAGGGCATCCTCGGCCAATGCCATAGTTCAGAAGACCCTATATAGAATAAAAATTCTACTACCTTCGGCCAAGGCCAACATTTCTGCAAGAACTATATAGTGTATATTCAGCCAAGGCCAAAATTCAGATCTCTCTATATAGGTTGAAATTTGATGACTCCTGGCTGAGGCCACCATTTTCACAAGAACTATATAGGATATCTGTAGCCGAGGCCAAATTTCAGACAATCCTATATAGAATGCAAATTTCTTAACTCTTGGCTGCAGGCATTATTTCCACAAAAATCTATATAGGGTACCCTTGGCCACAGCCAAATTTCAGAAAATGCTATATAAGATCAAAAATTCATGTGCCTTGGCCAAGTGGAACATTTACACAAAGATTCTATATAGGTCCACTTGGCCAAGCCCAACTGTCTGCAAACTCTATATAGGATTGGAATTTTATGACTCTTGGCCAATGGCACTATTTCAGCTACAATCTAGATAGAGAAATGGCGGCTGACCCCAAAATGCCCAACAACCTATATAGACTTTAAACTGCACCTCCCTTGGCTAACTCCCAAATATGTGACTCAGCCTATATAGCCTACTTAACTTGGCCAACCATATATCTCCATCCTATATCATATTCTTGGCCAACACTCAGTTTTATGGAAATTTACACAAAATATTCCACCTTGGTTATATGGACATTTGGGTATATATTGGCTGAATGGACTCCACATCTGTATTGGAGGCATCGTACAGTTGTGAATGTAGAGCCAGAATTTCAACAAGTCTTGGCCTATCCGCTGCACTTCCTGGCAGGTGAGCTGTATCCCATGCATGTGGCTGAAAGCGGTCAGGGCAATGGGTCCTGCAAGCTGGAGATCTGCATGTGGTGTCCATCAAAGACAGAAAGCTCACAGTGAGCAAGATGATGACAGTAGTCGAAAACAGTAAATTCACCGATAGACTGCAATTCCTGTTTCATGCACTGTATATCATGTCGTGCAGATCCACATTAGGTATTTTTTGCTGAGATCTGCCCCATCAGCTTCAGGATCTAGTGTAGGTACACAGCTTGTCTCAGGGACAGCAACAGATCCAAGTTAAGAGACTTTGCATCATCTAGCTATGACTATGTCTTGGTAAGAGCAGATTGCTGAGATGTATTGGCGGGCAAGGTCTCTGGTGAGTCTGCAACATCATCGGTAATGCAATGTTGCAGGATAGGATGAGATCGTTCGATTGCATAGGTAGCCCCCGATGCCAGTAGTGTCTAGTGCAAGGAATTAGTGGTGTTCTTGGTTAGGTCACTCAACCTCTTCATGCAGCAGCGAATGAGGTGGTGAGTCTCGAGTAGGATGTGTCTCTTGATCACCTATGCCTTCAATGGGAAGGACAGACACCGAAGATGACACTTCATCCGAGACTTCGTTCTTCTCTTGCTCGCACAGCGTAAGCTTCTCTGCAACTGCTTTCTCCAAGTCCGGAGTGTATGTGCAAGTATCAGGACCTTTGGTTGGTGCTGCAATCAGCACGTCAAAAATATGTAATCAACCGAAGACTAGTGCAGGGAAACTCACATGCAGAAGACGCCTTAGGATGGAGCATGACAACATATGAAGGTTGATGAAAGTGCCGAGAACATAGGGAATGGTGATGATAAAGGGAGAAGATAACCTGTTGGTCTTGACATCCCCTCTGCAGATCTGGATCGAGCTGTATATCAGCTGGATTATAGTCACTAGGTTATTGAAACCGGACGACAATAAAGCGACTGCTACATCACTGTTCGCCATGATTCCTACGGGTATGGACCGGTATTCCGCATTTACATCGACTGGCAAGCCATCCACGAAATGAGCAATCCTCTCACCCACGTTGACCATTCTGTCTGAACCAATGGGTTCGGCTTGCACCCTCAGCTGCTCCTGAATCTCTATTGCCACGGCCCCACAATGATGGCCGACTGCAACGGCCATCTGTTCTTCTTATTTCCAAGCATCGCGTGTCTTCCAGAATTCTCGCTCACGAGCCTGCCTCACTGTTTGCGACAAGCATGCATAATGTCGAGCATCGTGTTACTGCAAGTCATGCAGCCGATGATATGGGAGAAAATCATGAGAATGGATATGACAATTGCCTTCATTGTCTTCTGAACTGGGCGTGTTTGGTGATTGGTCAGAGCGTGGGCAATGATGTTGATTGCGAGAAAGGTTGTAATGTTGCATGTAACATCAAGGGCCGACACTGAGCAGGCAGAAATTTTTTCTGGTCACTCAAGAAGTATACTGAGGGACAAAACCGGTATTTCACCAGGTAGGTAATATTCAAGTAGCGGTAGTGCGAAGGCTGCAGAGAGTGGTCTTCTTGAACAGTCAGGCTAACGATCATATTAATTGACCAGTAAAATTAATCAGTGAAAACATTGTACTCACTAAATACTGCTACTTGAGCTGTCGGGCCAGTATATTACTGCAAGCATGACGGTGAAGGAGCCAGTGCAACCCGAACAGTGGACAAGCGCGCATCACTAAGACAGCCCACGGACCCAGCAATAACAAACATGCTGTCAGACTAAGCAGGGGGTTCATCCCGCATGGCTATGCCTGTATCAGTACTGTGGTCCATCAGGATACGATCGGTAAGCTTGCAACACAGCGCTGCGTATCGCGCATGCATGAAAATTGCATTTTGTTGAGACTTGGGGTCAGGTACAATCTTCATATTGGAGGAGGACATGGCATTCACAGTCGAAGTTGTCTATGCGCTTTGTGACTAGTGGATTGCAGGGGTGATGAAGGTTGACATTACAGCGCTTTTCATGTATATGCGGAATCGTCATCGAAGAGTTTTGCGTCCGAAGCGCCACAAATCCAGGACCCCAAATACTTGAGCGAGTTCGCAGATGAGGCGGAGGACATCGGGAGGTTCATTCGTGATGTAATTTCCCAAAAGCAGTTGTCCGAGGCATGCCCGATGCTTTTCTAAGCTACTGCATTAGGATGTCACCCAAATGGCGCATGACTCCATTGGTTCATGGGAGGTTCTGGACAAGGTCTCTCCCACTTTGGCTAGACTCGGACATTCGGACCTGATCAATTGGGTAATTTAGCGGTGGCTGCAGTGGCTGAAGGTTTGGGGTCCTGGGTTTGAGGCACCTCAGGCCCAAAACTCTTCGAAGACGATTCCGCATATACATGAAAGGCGCTGTAATGGTCGACAGCGGCTGTGCCGCAGGGCCGCTGAGAGAACAGTAAGAGCAACGCGTCAAAGAATGTCACGTGCGCGCTTTGAACATCCAAGTCTCCAGCGACGAGAAGTGCTCCCACAACAATTCCATACACTCAAGTGCTATATACTCTATAACTACCAAATTCACCGCAACTGAGAAACAGTAAATAAATCTCCGTCCACTATTGGGTTACCCCAACCCCACCTGCGAATCACAAAGAGCCGATGTCACTGTCACTCTCCATACGAATGGAACTTCTCACACACAACAGGTTACTGGGCGGTACCATCCTCCTTCGACGACGGATTGATCTCCTTGTTGACCGAGGAGTGTTCAGAGTCGCCCAACTCAGCCTCCTTGCGTGGCGATGTGTACCGCATCCACGTATTCCCGGGGCCCAGCAGGCGTCCAGGGTGCAGGACATTGATCGTGTACATCGCGAGGGTGATCATCGCACCGTCGAAAACGTCTATCGACCGCAGATTAGTATCGCGTGACACGTGCATGGGGAGAAACGCACTGAATAAAGCCTGCGTGTGAATGATCACGCCGGTCCATCCGTTCGCCAGTTCCTGTGTATTTAAACAGTGTGAGCGGCGGCGTCAGAATAGCTATCGCATTGTAACTGACGATTGTTCTGTAAATAGACCTGCAGGGAACGCTGTCAGCTTACGTACAAGGATCGCGCCGCTCGTAGCATTACCGGATGTAAATGAACACGCTGCTGGCAGCCAGCCCGAGGAGCATCAGCTTCATGTTCTTGTCCATATCTGAAGTCCTTGCACCGGTACTCCTGGCGCGCACTGGCCAGTCCTTGAGACTCCGGGTGATGAATTCCGCTGCTAGTCCCATGTAACAAGTGATGGCAGCTGCAAGGCGAAAATTAGTGAATGCAATTTGTATGCATCGAAAGCAGACTGACCAAGCTGGAAGGCAATACCCGCCAGCATGACGCGTCCTCCCTAGTGCATTGTCAAGGCTGGTTCGTGGGGAACCTGGAGGCACACTCACGGATTGAGGACTGGTGCCTTTCGAGACTGCAATTGCAGCCTCCGCTCCGCCGGCTGCTTGGACTATGAGTGCGATAATGTCCTGGCTCGGAAAATTAGCGAGAGAAATAGCACACATACGTTGTTTTACTTACACAGCTCACGAAAACGGCGGTGTCTGTCCGCTCATGTCAACAGTAATTTAATTGAAGGCGAGAACGAAAGGACATACACCATTTGGCACTCAGGCGACTATAGCATTCACCCAGGCGAGTGATTATCTGGCCCAAAATCACAAAGTTAGCAGCGACGAGTGGTGTAGGGGCTATAATAGTCGTCGTAATCCTATTTCATGACACAGTGAGTGATCCCACGCGACTCGTCTACCCAGCACTCACTGCATGACATAAGGAGAGAACAATAAGTCGTTAAAGCTGGACCATAGTCTCCCTCCCCATCCGAGGATCTCCAAAATTCCGCAGACCACCGCTGTGACGATGAGCCACCACAGACGATAACGAAGTGCTTGGGCGAAGTGGAGAACTACACAATGCATTCAGTGCTTCCCGTCACATACGGTGGAGAGGAGACATTTACGAGTAGTTATCGAAAAAAGGACGATGTACAGAATGCACACCCACTCCGTTGGGGTGTATCCATAGCGCGACCTCTTGGGTGCAATCGGAGCACGGACTACAGGTGTCGTGGTAAAAGGAACAGCAGGTATGGAAAGGCGCACCAATACGCACCTGCCAGATCCATTGAGAGACGAGAGGAAAGAACAGAAAGAGAGGAACGTTGGGGGAAGTTATAAGCGCTTCGGCCACGAGCGGCCAAGAACCGCAGTATTAGCTTGTGAATTGTAAGTAATAATTTCGACAGAGACAACCCGGAACTTCCGGTCATCTTTTTTATACTGGCATCCGTCGTTCCTGCGCTGAATCCTCACGATCAGAAGAATGTTTCCGCGCCTGAGGCGCAAGGCGATGCCATCCGCGCTCAGCAGGGTTGGCCGCATCAAAGCTGAAGACGTCGAGCAACATATAAGAGCAACTGGTCAATGTTGCAATCGATAGAGCCTGCCGTGTTTGACAGTGGCTGCGAACGTCTTGGCAATTTGATTGCTCTGCGTGGGGATTGCAGCAGCGCCACACTGCGCTCCGATCGATATTAGCTGAGGGAGCCCGAGGAACGAGCGGTTGTGCAAGCTTCCGCAGCACCTGAGCTTGGAGAAAATAACCTTGGCACCCACCTGCCAGCCCTAGGGAAGCTGCGACTCAAGAAGTATTCGGTTAATCTATTAACATACCGTGCTCCCGGCGCGGTAGGAAAGCTTTCAATTAGTAGGTCCTACCTACCTGTGCGATTGTTTGCGCTCGCGAAAACAATTGCAGTTCGGCACTGCGCAGCTGTAGCTAAGAGGATCATATGCTGTCGCGCTCGACGAGATCCCAAGTTACCCGTGAAGGGGCGGACTTACAGGATATATAGCCTGAGATTTACTTCCGAGATATCGATCTCTCCGAGGGACCTGAGGCCCGAGCGCTAATTTATCCGGGGTTCTCGGGCATGCGTCCGAAGTACTCCTTCTCACGTCCTTATTTGACTAAGTATTTACCTCCTCGACATTGCACCACACCAGAAACCTCAACGGCCCGTCTCATGTACTGTGATTGTTCACCATGATACAACTCGGAATCGACCCCTATAAGGGCCAACCTCGGGAACGTCATCCGCAGCCGGCGTCGGTCAATATCCAGGACGGATCCGGACACTCAATATTTGCCGAAGTAAGAGATCTTCCCCGGCCCGTAGGTACATATTGGCTCCCACCTTGATCCGTCACGCGTCACGGACCTCAGTGAACATTGTCTCTGGACGAGACGGTCGCCACAGGAAGCCTTGAATTTAAATGCAGGGACACGACACAAGTGGTAGGATTTGTGCCTCCCCACCAGCTTCAATCGGGTTTTAACTGGGGATCTTTGGTCTGGCACCACACTCGCCTGATTCTGCCAATTTCTAGAGTGCTCCTCCCATACCACCGTCCTAGTACTGCGCACCAGATAGAACAGGTTTGCGCAATCCTTTCAAAAATAACATCACTGAGTAACTGCAAAGAGAGGTTCGGTTGGGCGACACGCTACACCTATGTGTGGCGGCAGGACGCATTCATTGTTGCAAAGCCAATGGCTGATCTGCACAGAGATGCAGCATGAGTGAACACGCTGCACGAGATAATTCACATACCACCGAACGTGACCTGCCATGGAGTGAGCACGTCTGCGTAACGGAGCGGAGGGATCAAGGTCAGTAACATTCGCCAAAGGCCCGCTATCTGGGGTCTGAGTCTATTGGACTGAGGCTCAGCAAGCAGCTACCTGGGATCACCAGAGACTGGCAGAGAACAAATTATTCATGACTCAAACGTAAGACAGTATCTTGCGGAAGGAGGTGAACCGTGACTGAGAATCAAGTCGTGACTAGGAAATAACTGGGGAAGTCGTCTGAGAGTGCCTCGCCCTAGGGGAAACCAAATATTGGCGTGCTCCTCACCGTTGTGGCTTCCTGCGGAGACAGTTAAGTTTTCCTGATATGCGCAAGCACCACCGCATAGTTGTGTTAGCGCGCGGATTCATATTCTCTGGCTTTAGGACCCCTGGTCCTCGCGCTATCCCGGACCCACCGATTCGCTGCAAGATGGTCAGCAGCTAAATTACCCTCAGATTGACATGCGGAGGGGCCAGGTGCCATAGTGTCCTGCAGCTGCTCATCGAAGTTGTTTCGCCTACGCAAGTCATCAAGAGACACATGAGAAAAGCCAGACTAAAATTTCGAAACTACAAGTACATCACCGAGCTTGAAATTCTGTGAGCGTGGTCTCCCCAGGCGGAATAAATACTCTGCTTCAACCTGCACGCCTCGGGATATCCTAGCTTGCGGTCACGCGAGCGTCAAACCGATAGACGCTCAAGTCCTCTCCGCGAGCATTGCGAACAAATTAGATCTATCAACATCCCTCGAAGAGCATGACCTGAGTGTGATAGGGAAATTGTCTCCCTTAAGTGAATATGAACAAACTGGTTGGCCCAAAATATTAGAGTACATCATGAACTCAGCTATATCGTGAGCAGCAACACTTTGCAACCGACAACGAACAATGTCTATGCCGCACACACAGAGGAACGTTCTGATAATCTATACTCCTCCTTGATCTTATCTTCCCCTTCGTCATCCTCTTTCCTAGGCGGAGAGATAGCTTCTCTCCATGTTTGTGCGGGCCCGAGCAGGAAAGCAGGATGAAGGAAGTTGAGGGTGAACATCGCTAGAGTAATCATGGTTCCATCGAAGACATCTATGGAGGGTACGAGCCGTAAGCCGAATCAGGGGCACCGACGGTCGCAGAGACTTACTGAAATAGACCTGTGTGTGTATGATTGTGCCACTCCATCCATTCGACAATTCCTGAAGCACGTAGCGTGAGCTACTCGAGAATAGAGGGGGGACAAGACGCATACTATTGTCCTATAAATTGATCTTATAGAAGACATAAGATACTGCGTCACTGTGTCGCAAGTGGATGGCTTACCGGAAGTAGATGAATATACTGCTAGTGGCCAAGCTGAGAAGCATCAGTTTCGTCTTCTTGTCCATTCTATAGTCTCCTAGAGGCATGCCAGTCGCGCGAAGCGGCTTGCTGTACGCGCATCGTATGACGAACTCAGAAGCCAGGACCATATAGAACGTAATTGCCGCTGGGAGCAGGAGCTTAGATCGGATGGAAGGTTCACAGCGGGCACTACGTACCAAACTGGAATGCAATACCGGCCAGCATAATATACCCACCCTGCATCAGGCAGGGAATGAGTGATGCGAGTTATGGCTGAGGAAATCTGGATGGCTCACAGTCTTGGGGTTGTTGGCGTTCTGGACGGCTGTAGCCGCTGTTGCACCACCGACTGCTTGTATGACAAGGGCGACGATGTCCTATAAACAACAGTTAGCATAACATGGACTTGCACATGCATATGCAGCACATACACAGCTGATAAATACGGTTGTGTCTATAACCAGCTGTTAGCGACCGTCAAAATAAACGGCTTACCAAAAGTTACTTACACCACATGGGACTCAGGCGACTGTAGCATGGTCCTAATCTGCGAATGATTTGTCCTAGGATCACAAAATTGGCTGCAATTAAGGGTGTCGGGGCTATGATGGTTGTCGTCATTCTGAACCCCCACCGATCAGGATTATAGCATGAAATGCCGGAAATATGCACTCACTGCATGATATATGGAGCCAGCAGATCCACGTTAATACTCGACCACAGCCTCCCACACCAGCCAAGGATCTCTAATATTCCACACATAGATGCGGTAACGATGAGCCACCATAAACGAGAATATATTGCTTGAACGGTGTGGATCACTGGCAGTACTGTCAGTGTTCTGCAAATACCGGGTGATCAGAGGGACATACAAGAAGTCACACCGAATAGAACAATGAAAAGGATGCATAGCCACTCTGTGGGGGTGTATCCATATGGCGAATTCTTGAAGGAAGTGACCGTGTAGAGGACTACGAAAGAAAATTGTTAAGCTCGAGGTCAAAGTCGACAAGTGAGAATGGCCATACCAGACATATTGGCGCTCGGGACGAAAAGTGTGTGCGGATAGTCAACAGAAAAAGAGTAAAGGGGGGATACAGTTGAACTGTGGAGAGCTTTTCGCCCTCATGTACTGATGTGGACAAAGATGTCATGCTTGTCCGGTGGAGCCAGTGGGAATAGGGAGCTTCAAGCCTGATAGTTATATTGCCCACGCAGTCATATCCAAGGGACGTCCGGGCTGGGTCCTGACTGCATAGAGAACGACAGCACCTTCCTCATGCAACCGCATGTGTAAGGAGGCGCTACCCAATAACAGAGGATGCCGGGTGCGGCGTTTGCGGTTCGCCCAATAGCGAGCGCTTTTGTGAGGAGAAGCTGCGGGTAAAACGGGCAAGAAGACGCACTATTTGTCCGACGGTGATAGAGGAACTATCGAGAATCCAGCATGTTTTCTCCATGGAACTATAATCTCACGCGGTACCGAGTCAAGAATCAATTTCCGTACCGCGCCTCTGCCGGTCTGGATTGAGCATCACTTCCACGAGCATCGTAGAACCGGGAGAGGGTCGGAATGACTGAGGTCATCGCAAAGTCATTCTGCAGATGTCAGCGAGGTCGCCACCATTCAACCATTGCTATGCCCGACACCAAGGTCCTCCAAAATTTACTCGTTCAGATCTCGGCGCGGTTCGAAGCCTGGCATGATGGTCTCGGCAGAAGGCAGAGCACATGATCAGCATCGAACTTGAGTCGACGTCTGCTCCAAGTGGTAGTGACCAACGTTACCTAGGCACTCATGTGAACATCGATGACCACGAAATAGCGACAAAAGAATTGTGAAGCCCCACCTCCAAGACACCTGAGATCCAGTGCCTCAAACATGACAGCTGTGTCTTGGAACTTGTTCCGAAGAGCTCCAAAGCTCCCGAATGGAGAAGGCTGGAACGGAGCTGTGAATCCCAGACACGTTCCGCGGCCGAATTGGATAGTGTTTCATTTCCGGACACCGTGCGGAGGGCCTAACACCTCTATGCTGCCGTAGAGCGGTCGAACCGTCCTTCTATCTCACGATATCGACCACGCCGCTTGGGCCCGCATCACCTCACCAAATCTGTGCTTGCAAGACGTAAAGCGCATGGTGCATGTGCCAAGGAGTTCGCGCAAGCTCCCATAACACGACACATAGCCTTTCGAGGGTCGGTTGATTAAGTACTGCCGAGTCGACTCGGAGATGTGACGGAAGATGCGTCGATTGTCAAAGACGATGGCATCTAGTCTCGATTCCAGACGTTCACCGCACGGAGGCTGATATGTCGGAAATCGAAAAAACCAATATGCATATGGCAGCCTCCTTGTTAGAACTGTGCTGGCTGTTTTTTCGATATTGGGGTCCGGCAGCCTCCCAGGCGGAGCCGAGGAGCGGCACAGTACGATCGTCTTGCGAGACTAGATGGCGTCACGAAAAGGCCATATTCGCTCCGACGATCCCGTCATGCGCCGCGCGATCATGATGCATGACATTGACATGGTAATTAGGATTGTTCTGCAGCCTCTCTAACTGCGGCGACGGTGATTTTCCGGCGAGCGTTGATCACAGTGAGCGCTCACAAAGTCAAGTCAAGATGCTGGCAGGATGCACTCCACCGCAGTAGCTAGCAGACGGGCCCGGATCTCGAGGAAAATGACTAGAAGAGGAGGTATGTCGTCGTCATGATGATCCGGGCAGTTTCTCAGAACAATACTTAGGCTGCCCCGTAGCCACGTGGACCTAGTCAGTCAAATGTCAAACAGCAATGTTTAACGAACGCCGACAGATACTTTACTCCGGTTACGAGACCATCCGAGGGTGGAGGCTCTACCACTTGCTATGTATTGCAAGTCAGATCTACCAGAATGTGAACATGTTGTAGACCATGCGGTAGCCCATGGGGCAAGGAAAACTATTCTCGTCCTATATATATGGGGTGATTATGCTACTGTAAGCCACAAGCCACTCCGCAAAATTAATTTATTCTGACGACCTCAGAAACTTCCCCTTGTCGTAACCTATCGAAAGGGCCTCAAAATACCTACATGTGTAGAACTACTGAGTGCCTAACCCAGTAGTAGTTCTTTGGTATCTGATTCACCCCTTCGACTGACCCTGCTCGTAAGCACGATTCGGTTATGCCATCCTTCTCGGACGGGTTCGAAGTAGACCGGCGCATCACAGACGCTACACGCTATCGTGATACGCTCAAATTCAGCAAAGGGAAGAATAGCAGAGGGTAAAGATCACAATCATCCTCACGACCGTGGAAGTTTACATTGGCCTGATGTGCGGCATTTCTCTTCGAATGATCAGTAACGTCCGTCGTCAAGAAACTGACGTCAGTTTTAGGCTCTAAAAGTACCATGTCGAAGAGGCGATTTCGGAAGCAGATCTGGACGACATGCATCCACTTGCAGTGGCAAAGCAATTCCGTCTCGTTTATCAACATTGTCTAGAAAACTCATCCCTGAGCCGATAGCACCCCTCAGATCGATCTCGGGACGCCCAAAGCTCTAAGACGGCCGCGGATGTGCCTGGACGTACTATACTGAGAAGACGGATCACCTCTCGGTAGGTAGAGGCGGTCATGGGAGGCCATGAATTGACCCCGCATTCTTCTTGGCTCGTTCCGATGAGCTACGCGCCCTCAAGTTCAAGTCAAACTCACAAATCCTTGCTACACATGCAGCCAATGGTCATGAAGACCCGCTCACTTGAATTACAATAATTTGTGACGTGCAATTTTCCTGAGGAGACGCACCAGCTCCCAGATTCCCATAGGGTATGTTGTATGCACCTTAGGGACTCGTGGCCGTTAGTTTCCAGAAGTCCTTTAAAGCCAGTCTCTCAATCCTCGGAGGCAAACTATAGTGCAGTCGAGCGCTCAGCTCGACCTCCGCCATACCTTCGCAACTTTGTTCCTCGGGTACTTATGCGCACAGTGCCTGGAAGGCTTCCATCCAGCATGATTACTCCGTCGACATTTGGTCCATCGTCTCAAGCCGCTGAACTGTCAAGAACTTTGGCCGTTCGGGCCGAACATGATTATTTTAAATTTCACTTGGCTTGACGCGATGTTCTAGATTGTACAGGCGCTGTGGAGATGGCTGCAGACGTTCACGGCCTACAGCAGAACGAATCGGCAAGCGCGCCGTGATATTATCTATGCTCAAGTGAGCGCGCATTGCCGTAACCATCCCGGACTTACGTTGACACGTCCATCGCCACCATCACGTTGTGACTGTTCGAATTTAAAACTCGACCTTTCTAACGTCGCAGCTACCAATCCCTTAGAAAGCTTCTCCATACCACGGCCGCCGAGAAGCTTCTAAGCATCAGTTCACGCGACCTGCCAATAGCTCGCGCGATTTTCCGGCAGTCCTTTCAATTGGCGTGTGCACGTACCAGTGAGTGGGTGCGCTTCCCTTCCGCAGGTTCGAAACTTTGAAGACTATACCATCGACGTTGGCCTCGATTTCCTGGGTGATCCTGGCTTTCCTCTTTCCAGTCCAATACTTGTCTCTGAGCGCTGAGCTATCCGGTGAATTGGTAGAAGGACTTCGAGGGACGACATCCCAATTTGACCAGCTGTACTGTTCAGTCGTAAGTGTTCCTTCGTCCTCGTTGCCACGGGTCCGTCGCGACTCAGTGGGTCAACAGTATTCTGATATGAAGGATTTCCAGACAAGCTCTCTGCGGCGATAGCACGGTTGCGCGACTCGTGCCTGCCTAAAGATGGACATAAGTGCGACTGCTTGTGCAATGGACCCTCCATAACCGCCACTTTCCCCGACTCTGCGAGCGTCATGATGCATGCCTGCGCTCGATCAGACCTTCATGCGAAGATATATGATGCAGTAGTACTTCCCCTGAGGCCGATGGTGTTTCGTCCCCGCGCTTGGCATCCCGGATGTTGCGGATGTCAGGTATGTGCGTGCTTCTACAATTTTCTTTCTCCCCCAGCTCAAGGCGAAAGCGCAGTTTGTTTCTTCCGACGTACCCCATTGAAGCCAAGCCGCATCAGGAGGGAAAAGGTAAGTCGGGAGCCTTGTCAAATGAGCCATGCACCGTCCGATCCGTCGTGGAGCATTGATCAATATTAATCTCCCCCGATCTCAGTATGGTATACGTTGTACATTCACAGTAGTGTACGCAAAGGACCTATCAGAGAGTTGTCTCTCCGGATTTAGCGGAAAATTGGTCTGACCACTCATGGGTATGTATATACGTGAAGGCGTGCAAGATCTGTCGCATGCAAATATATCGCAGAGTCTATATTCATGCGCCACACTCCCCAGCCCATGGCCGCACCATGACACCAGCCAAAGTCCATGCCACTCTTTGGTGTCCGCGAACAAGCCTAATATACTCCAGGGACTAGCCTCCATCGCACACGCTCTGCATACACCTCCCACGTCTTCCCGAACGCGCGATGCAGCTCCTCGTCCTCTCTCGCCAGTCTCACCAGCGTACACCACATTGCATACGACACCTTCACCACCCAGAACGTGAGCGCAGCCCACGCGACGGTGGCCCCGACGCGCGGCACGCACAGTACACCCACGTAGGGCACGCACGGGCGGAGCCAACACTCTCGTAGCCACGCACCAGGAGCGAGCCCGACGGCGGACGCGCCAACGAGCGTGAGGAAGACGCCTGTGTAGCTCGGATGTCGCACAATCGCGTAGGGCCCGCCGGAAACGAGCCGATGCGAGGGCGTGATAGTAAGCTCGAAGGTGAATAGAGGGCCGAGTGCGCGGAAACACGCTAGACGGATGACGGCGCCCGAAAGGACGGAGAGGGTGCCCAGCAAGAGCAACGGGTGCGACTTGGTGAGTGCTAAGGGTGGGGTAAAAGGGCAAAGGAGGCGAGAGAGGATAGGTGAGAGTGGGTATGCGGGGTAGACGTGTGCGAAGGTCGCGAGGATGTCACAAATTGTCTCCGCCCAGATCATCATCTGGGGGGCACAATGCGAGGTCGTGTCAGTCAGCGCAACTTTGGATATGATGATATTCGAACTCCCCGGTCGTCTCACAAGTGAGTGGGAGTGAGCTCAGGTACGCACTTTGCTGCAGAATGTAACGTGCCGCACACATCTCTCGAAGAACGTCCTGCGCTCGAGACACTGCGTCTTAGGAACAGGTGGATTGGGCGGTGAAAGAGAGAGATGGCCGGAGACACCCGTCACGAGCAGGAGGGCGATTTTGACAAGTCCGTAGGATGTATTGTGATCAGAGAGCATCGCAGCAGACGTTCTGCTGAGCAGCACGCTTGCTTGTTCTCAACGATGGACGTTGTCGCTAGAACGAAGTAAAGTGATCTTATAGCAGAACGGTTCGTGGTGACGGTGTAAGGGGCCGTTGGTGACGGCGAACCGTAGAAGCGTAGAGAAGAGAAAACAACAGGTACTTGCTGGGGCCAGTACTTATACCACGTACAGCAGAAAAGTAAAACCAAAGCGCAACGGGAATTCAACGAAACATGCCGGATTCTAAAAGCAAATTATACATCGGATAGGCCGAGTCGAAGACCAATAAATCCGGAAGCAGCTTCGGACTTGAAGTCGACGTCCGACGTGCTGATAAGTGCTCAACGAGAGCAGCTGCAGCCGATCCATGAGAGCAAGACCACTGCATCCGTCCTCACAGTGTCAAGCAATAGGCATAAGACTGCAAACTTGTGGGTGTATTCATCATGTTGTCGCGGGTAGGTGCCTGGAAAATCCAAAGAGCTATCAAATTGTGTTGGATCCATCCGATATGCGGAAGCCAGGCAGTCGGTGGCAAGGATCCGAAACCAGACACGGACCTCACCATGTTATCTTGTCTAAGTTCCGTCGAACAAACATACCGACATCGGCTTCTGACGAGGGAAAATCAAGGTCTTGCCCGACGGCTCTCGTCACATCACCCAATCTCCCGTTGTGGCGCAGGATTTGCTACCGTTTAGCGTGTTGGCGCCGGCAAGCACCTCACCGCTTGTGGTTTCGAGGCCCATCCTTGCATAGCCTTGCATGCGGTCTCACCATGCCTTGCGGCAAATAGCGAGCGTGCGATAGAACTGGCGAAGAATATCAACGGTGAGAAACGTGGGAGTGATCCTGCCTTGCGGTTAAGGTCCACACCATACCGTCAGTAAATCGCTAGACCTCATAGCATTTTACGCATTACAGCAGAGCTCGTCTGATAGCTGTAGAAGCAGAGGAAGATAATCCGCGAAGATGTTTCAACGCCTCTCGTTTGTCTGAACACTGGCCGGGTGCTAAATCGGGTACCTTTGGATGTCACGTGATAAGCCGTACGGTTGAATGTTGACTCTAAGTCCTTCTGTCTCTCCGTCTCTCCGTAACCGGACGGCCGTCGCCGCTCGCGGTGTGTCCACGACGAAATATTGTCCACCCTATTCTCGCTCTATTCTGTGATCAAGGGCTGGACGGGAGAAATGCACACTGTCTTTGGCTGAAACCGTCTTGGCAAAAATAACTGTCTTGTCGCACGCGTACGTTCTCACGACCACCGAAGGATGAATGGATGAATCCTCTCTTAGTAAATTCTGTGTCTTGCTGCGCATGGTTGCCAATCTTCGCTCTCGCCTATGCATATGCCATCATGCGGGGCCACCACGCATATGAACTCAGACACGCCTGCATACCGCACATCTCTAGACGCCCAGAAGACCTTTCGGCGGTGACCCAGGCTTGATCGAAGTCTCTCCTTCCATTCTTTCAGACGTTGGTTTGTGTTGCGAAGTCTGAAAAATTGGAGGTCTCGTGCTTTGACATGATTTCCACTTGGAAGGCATCTGGCGCCAATATGCTATCCGCTGGCGAGTATCCGCCACAGCTGGTGGACACTTGAACGTGATGTGCTCCCAGCCTGCGCTTGTTTCCTTGCGTGGGAATGGCGCAAAATTAACTCAAGACATGCCCCGGCTCTACATGCAGCAGATTTGAAAACATTCGTGACATGAGAACAGCAAGATGCCGAGCTGATTGTCGCGGAGTGCAAGCGATAGTCGGCGGCGCTATCTCAAATTCGTGAAAACCATGGGATCTATGATTGACGACATTTGTATTCCGTGAGGAGCCGCAGGGTTATGAAACTTCAGTCGAAGACTTCATCCACCTCTGCGGTCGATTCTACTTCAGTGAAACACATCCGAATCCGACTTCCTGCAATATCCATCCATGGAATTGGTTTATTCACGGTACATGAATACATGATACTGCGACGACGAGCGGAGGGTGCAATTTCATCAATTCAACTTCTCCATCAACATATTCAAGGATCGCATTGGTTCAGTGAGTATTACTCAGCTATAGCTCTGCTCGAGATTCCTGTGCCTTACCATGTGTCTCGACAGGGGGCCCACACGGAAGTCACCGCGATCGCTCTTTTCTGGCATAATTATCCAACCCTCTGAGCTGGAGTTCTCACGAAGTCGAGCGGTTCACCCTGCACATCCAAGCGGTCGTGTTGAATGGTAACTGCTCTTCCGTACTATCCTCCTTGTACCCCTTCTGCTCTGACAGGCCATATAGGAGCGAATGAACTGCTGAAAGCTGAGGTCGATGCCGGTAAGATTTGTAACTAGATGGCGTACAATTGATTTACTTTTAGAGTGCACACATCAGGGATATTGTACTCAATACTGGCTCTATCCATTGTCGTTTATGCCTTTGAGCTGCAAGGCCATTAGCATTATGACAGAGCCTGGATATCCGCCCAAATATTTCAGGTTATGTTGTGTCGGTTCGCCCTCGTGGATCTTATTATCCACCAGGGGTCATAATGTAACAAAATTGTGTCTCGATGCAGTCACCCTTGCTTACTTGCAGTTTTACTGTAACTCACTCTAATCGGCAAGGTGTCGTACTGACTGCTAGCAGAGTTGTTATGCATTTGCAGTAGCGCCTTCATGATAACCTACAGTACGACCGACCTCTACGACAACGTGGCCCCCTGGTCCGCGTTCTAGCTCTTAATATGTGAGCACCACCCTTCCTACTAAAGTCCCCTTCTTCATTTGCTCAAGTACGCTGTGCGACGGTCAGCCATACATAAAGCCGATGACTCTGAGATGATCACCTACCTGTTGAGCTCTGCGAACGGTCTCTCTTCATATTGGCAGGTGACTTTGCCACGGGAAACCAGTTGAAGCGCCTCGATGGTTTCTTGGCGATTGCTGTTTGGCATGATTATCGAGGTTCGGTAGTTGATTGCGGAGGATGCCAATGTGTCGGCGCGTGAAGGAACGGGTGTATGCCACTGAAGTGAGTCACATATTCTGACTCTGGGTTTGTAGCGCACATACCCCGTTTTGGACCCAACCAATTTGAGGCCCTTCCCAGATGAATCATTAGTATTTGTACACGTAAGAGTGTGCCAACACACGCACCTTCCCGATAAACATTGTCAATGACAAACCTGACAGTGGTTCCGGAGGGAGGCCAACGCAAAGTATCGTTCCCTGCGGTCGAGTATAGTAGGCAGCCTGGATGTACGCTCTATTCTGTCAATTCACGAATTATCATCACAGATGTCATCGTGCATGTATGGCTGTTGCCCCAGGAAACATACGGAATCCGTGAGGACAATGGCCGCATGAGGCCCCGCTCCGTCCGCTGCAGCAATAACGTCTTTAACGACGTTAGCGCTCTGGACAAAATCAACGAACTTCTCAGCGCCCAAGGATAGAGACAGCGTGCGCTTTTCATCCCCCGCATCTGTTCACATCAATTTTCAACATGAGCATCGCTGCCAGCTCAGTGCAGCGCGGCTCACCAATAGCAATCACCCGGAGACCCATAGCAACCGCATATTGGATCGCTTGCATAGTACGTCAGTTGGCTTCACTTGTGACGCTTGGGCTCAGACTGACACACGCACCAAGGTGACCAAGTCCTCCTCCGGAACCAGGGATAGCAATCCAGTTACCTACAGAAGTATTACCCAGTTTCAACGCCTTGTACACTGTGACACCCTGTTTCTTCCTGTGAGGAAATTCGACTCCTTGGTATAACGAGACATACGGCGCAGAGGATGGGCGCAGCTCCTTGACTTGGGATGTTCTCAGGAATCGGTACGACATGATCCACGAATGCAACCTACTTCTGAGGTGAACAATGCAACCTAGAATGGCGGACTTTCAGACTCACAGTGTATTGCGTGAATGTGCCATCATCTTGATGTCCAGTCACCTTTTCTTCGGGGCAGTCTGACATCCCTGATATCAGCATTTCTCGCGGCTTCAGGTGCAGATGGCATGAAGCCCTTCATCTCGGCACCTCGTCGTTCTGTCTACGTACGCTGTGGAAAGCCCGTCCGACACATCTCGCACTTCAGGCACGAGCTGCTAACGTACTGGATGCCGACTCTGTCACCGATCTTCACTTCGCCCGGAGGCGTCTGTGCGCCGATGGCCAGCACGCGGCCGATACCTTCATGCCCTCCGGCACTGGGGAACCGTGGCTTAAAGGGCCAGTCTCCAGACATGAAGTGAAGGTCTGAATGACAGACTCTGGGCTTTTAGTTCAGTGATACACTGGCAAGCACGGTTGGGTTCACCAGGAAAGATACTGACCCTGTACATTCGAGTTTGACCAGGCATTCACCCGGCGCGAGTTTGGAAGGCTGCTTCACTGGGTACTCAGTTGTGAGTTGGGTTCGGATCCCAAGCTCATGAGTGAGAGCAGCAACGCCCTTGGTGGGAATTCCCTCAGTATTCATAGTGGACATGTCGACAGCGTGAATGTCCAGACGAGCGGCCTTATATATGAGGATAAACTCGGAACATCATCATCACATGCATTATCCGAAGAGGGCCACTGTTCCTCCCGCCTGTGTACTGTGAGATCCTTCATTTGCCCCTGAGAACTTGGAATACTCGCCGCGTACTCGATCAACAGAATTCAGGCTGGCCGTGGTGACTACAAGTACTAATACTGCTTGTCGTCAGATCAAGTGACGTCTCGTAAACCATGTGGTTTTCTCATCCATACCTAGATCCACTGCTATTCAAGCCGTCTTCTCACTATGTAGACGATGATCTTTGTCCTCACCATGAAATGAGGTTGCTGATGCTATACTGATACGATGGGAATCAAATCAAACACACGCAATGCAGTGGGCCGTTCTTCCACCCCAGAGCGCACAATGATATCAGGTTCGGAGTTCATTACTCCATGGACGCACGGTGGCGGAGGCATCCCACCGCGATAACTCGCGATACGGTCTCGTCCATCGCATAGGCATCGGAGGCCATCACCGGGAAGTATCTGCGCAAGACAGCCAGTTTGGAGATGCCGAACCTCGATGAAGTTGGTATTGAAAAGTAGGATGTACGGTGGAAGATGGGCGGCGCACTCTGCTGTCCCTTCCCATTCGATCATGATTGATGGTCTGCTCGGGTCTCCGTGTTCATCCACGTAAAGTCCAAAATCTTGACAAGGATGAGAGGGGTGTCAAGGTGGAAAGTGCCATGATCGTACTGTCATAGCATAACAGAAACTCCTCCGAGCTCACGCGGAACATCCCTCGAGGCCTAGAGGATCTGCATCTCTCTAACAAAGGTTTATAAGTGCGATCATCCGAGTGTGGTAACATCACGCTGTAGGGGCTGTTGCGAGAGTAACGACAATAAGGGTGTGAAGGACACGCACTCCGGAGGATTTGCACCTACTCAGATATCATCATGATTACAAACCCCTCAACACAAGGTATGGCAATCTTCCTCCGGAGGAAGATCACATCGAAGCATTCACACGGAATGTAGAAATTCTGGGTGAGTGTGTGAAAGAATGAGAGGTTATGAAGTTAGGCTGACAGCGTACTGTGTGAATCTTGAACCATTCTTTGAGCCCGAGCTCAGCCAGTGTAGGTGTTTTCTCAGTCCTTTTACTTATATCCGGTTCGAGGGCACGAAATGTGGTCTCGTTCTTCATAAATTTCAGGAAACGAATGTCTGGGCTGATCAGGAACAACATCCGACGTACCCGTTTCCATTTGGCGTAAATAACCAAGGTAGTACCATTGACATTACCCACCCTGAAGAAGGCGACATCACCTTTGCCACTCAATCTCTGAGGTGTCTTGCGCGCCGCTGGTGCAGATCTCCTTGATGATGGCACCAATGCCTCCAGATCATACGCGTACAAGGACTGTAAGACATGAAGTAAAGACTCGTCTGAGTTGGAGCGAGATCGATGCGCGAACCTTATCCGCGAGCACTAGGAAAATACCATACTCTTCAAGTATCGCACATTGACTGACCATCTTCAAGTTCAGCATGCGGTGAAATGCTGAACAGACAGTTCAGGTTGCATGAGACTGCGAATGGCTACAAAGGAACTCACGCTGTGGATCGTGTCGGAGACCAAACCACACACCTGCCTCACACCCAATCGCAACAAGGTCTCGACCATCTGCCGTAGCTGCACATCCGTCAGAAAGACGCCTAAATTTTGAGTGATAGGACTTACTGAACGGGATAGAACAAGTCATCCTTGCGTTGAACGTAGTATTACGCTCACTATGTGCAGGCGCACTGATGCTTGATAGATGAGACACATCTATGGCAAAGACACTGACGTCAAGAATCTTTCTCAATACCTGCGCTGATTTCCGTGAACGTGAGGCCTCTTCCAGTTTCAATCTCCACTCGTTGCGTATGTGGGGTGTTTCAGCGCACAACGTCACGAATCCGCCGTGCTTGCCTGAATGGCGAATAGTGAAGGCATAGACAGGGGAAGGCTCCGTAGACGTGCTCATGATTGGAAACCCGGCACGCAGTGTGAACGTGCGATTGCCACGCTGAGCAGAGGCGCGCCGAAAAACGCTGTTGCGGCGCTGGACGGGAGAATCAGCAGAGCCCATTACTGAGACCAGCTCTAGAGCAATAGGCTAGATGAACAAAGACTTTGAACAGGTAATTCGGCGGATCACTGTGATATGACTTGCTTGTCTGAGGACACGATATCGCCCAACTCCGTTGTTCTCTTCGCGTTGTGCGACGATGACTGTCAAAGAGCAATGAGCCTCGACACTGATGCGTACTGCTTGACTTACGGTAATTGTCAAGGACCAGAACAAAGACTTCTGTCCATAGACCCGATCCAAGGCCCGCGTCGGAACGCTCCAATAGTCTCCCAGTATGTATCACAGAGCGATCTTCGTTCAATAAGTCGAGGTCCTAGACGCGAGTGAGTTCCGTCTCTGATGCGAACATGACACTGCATACTAAACCCTCGCCCATTCGGAATGTGAGACTCGTATTTGTGCGCCAGAAGCTAATATCGTTTTCCTGCGACATGAGTACAGTAATAGAGGGCGAAAGCTTATTCCCGAGTGCAGCGATGTCGTCTAAAGCCGTTGGTCTTGCGAAGAGTGAGTGTCAGAGCTGTGTTGAGACGCAGTAACCCAGTCGACTTCGTTTCGAGAGAATCGGAGGCTGGCGAACATGAAACAAGACAACGACACAACGTTCCCAAGAATGGATCAATGTCGAAATTCAGTCAATGATAGAGAAACTCTAAGCATCGGTCTCGACACTCAACTTGTTCACTACTGTATACAAAATCGGACGACAGGCGGAGTCCCCCTTTAACCATCCGAGGGCACAACTTCCAACTTTATATTGTTGACGGGTGGGTTGTTCCCGAAGAGCAACTTGTGTAGCAGGAAGCTGACAGCTCGGAGGGCATCAAGAAGGGAAACCGTTGTCGTGAGGAGTGGACGGAAATGCCCTGAGGCGTGAGGTTCGCCTGTTGGTAAGTGCAACGGTTCCCAACTGCACAGCATCCACGGGATGTGTATCTTGGGTGCTACGGTTGCACATTATTAATTTGAGGCGCGCGGCCTCCTCCGACTACCGTCGCCATATTGCTGTTAAATAGCTTTTAGATGTAATCCCCACCAGTGTGCGGCCAGTGGAGGCGATCGTTGAGCAGGACTGACACATGCTGTCACATTGAGGTCGATAACGTGACCGACGCGTCTTTTCCGCCGCATCAAATGCAAACCTCTGATCAACTGAATCTCACACAATGCACCAACTTTTGTACTCGATTCGCGCAGCTCGAAAGCTTGAAAGCTTGACGTATCACGCACTTTTGGAGGTACAGACACAGCTAGCTAGAAATACAACAATGACAACAACCACCGCAACCACTTTACTACTCTCGCAATGCGTAGAACTTCGGCACATCATACGTCCCCTCCGGATCCTGGCCATGCTTATAGGCGTACTCCTTATCCTTCTCCGCCTGATGCATGACCTGGCTCACGAGCGCGTGCGCGTCAACCTCGACGTGGGGGTTCGTCGTCGCAGCCCCACGCACCGCCGCGGCCGCGACGTGGTACCGCGACGTGTGGTTCAGGAGCATCATCGAGAAGGGCGACGTCGTCGTGCCCTCCTCGCGGTACCCCTCCATCGTCACCCGGTCCAAGTCCGGCCGCCCAAACAGCAGGCCCTGCGTACACAAAACAGAATCAGCCAGCACCGGCGGACGGACCGCGAGGGGTGCACGCACCTTGAGCTCGCCGGGGTACCCGTGGTAATTAAAGTGTACCGGCTTATCCCTCGTAAACAGCGTCTCAAAGTCTAAATCGCTGAGCGCATGCGGGTGCGAGCCAAACGGGCCCAGGATCATCAAGTCCGTCACGTTCACGACGCGCACACGAAGCGCAGGGCTCATCTTCCGCAGGAGCGCCGCGGCGGCGATCACCTCGAACGTCATCTCGACCCCGATGCACACCAGCACCACGTCCGGGCGCACGCCCCCCTCCACGCTCGCGAACTTCCAGACCGATGCGCCCGCGATGCAATGCTGCAATGAGTGTGTAATCAGCGAGGGGTCGCAAAATGTAGCAAAGGCGAGCGCACCCTGTGGGCCTCTTCGGGGCTCAGCCACACCGGCGTCGGATGCTTGCTGCCGACCATCAAGTTGATATAGTCCTTGCTGCGCAGACAATGCGCGATCGTCGTCAGGAAACAATTCGCGTCGGGCGGGAAGTACACCCGCGCGAGCGCCGGCTTCAGATCCAGCACCGCGCCGATGAACGACGGGTTCTGGTGCGAGAACCCATTGTGCTCCTGGCGGGTCCAGGTGGACGTCTCGAGGTAATTGAAGCTGCCTACCGGCTGCCGCCACGTCGTCTCGTGCGCTATCTTCACGAACTTGCTGTACTGCACCATCATCGTGTGCACGATGCCCAGGAACGCCTCGTAGCTCGGGAACAGGCCCGTGCGCCCTGTCAGCGTGTAACCCTGCAGCATCCCCTGGCACGTGTGCTCCGACAGGATTTCGATCACCCGCCCGCCGCGCGCGCGCGACGCCTCGTCCCACTGGAAATTGCGCGAGCTATCCCGCAGGACCGCGTCGAGCTTGTTGGACACGAGCTCGTCGGGCGAGAAGATGCGGAACGTGTGCGGGTTCCTTCAACAACTCGTCAGCGCGTATAAGGGTAGCTCTAAGAATCACGCACTCCTTGATGACCTCGTGGAGGAACTCGCCAACGAGCTGCATGCAGCTGTGCTCCGATCCCTTCTCGACGGCCAATGGCATCCAGTCCGGCACTGAGAGCGGGGTGTACGCGGCATATACTTCCTTGCGCTGTCCGAGCTTCTTCGAGTCTTCGGTAGGGATTACAGAGAGAATTCTCACATTCGGCACGCCGTGCTCTCCAAAGAGCTCGCCGGGGTTGTACGACGCGAGCCAGTCCTGGAGCTGCTTAAGCTCGCCGGGATCCGTCTTCGCCTCGGGGAGGGGGACCTGGTGCGCGTGGAACGAGCCCTCGATGTACTCGCCATGCACGCTCTTGGGGCCGGTCCAGCCCTTGGGGGTGCGGAGGATGAGCACGGGCCAGCGCGGCTTGACGATGGGGTGGCCGGTGCGGGCCGCCTGCTGAATGCGCCTGATCTCGCTCAGTGCCCAGTCCATCGAGGCGGCCATGTCCTCGTCGATATGCTCGAGGTCCTCGACGAAGCGCACCTGGTAGCCGTAGCCGGTGAACAGCGCGGTGAGCTCCTTGTCGTCCATTGTGCCGTAGATCGTGCGCTCCGAGATCTTGAAGCCGTTGACGTGCACGATGGGCAGCACAGCGCCGGACTCGGCCGGGTCGATGTATTTGTAGCCGTGCCATGCGCTGTGGGTAGCGTCAGATGGGGAGAAACTTGGATGATGGAGAGACTCACGTTGCGGTGGGACCCGTCTCTGCTTCGCCGTCACCAACGACGCATACAGAGACGAGGTCGGGTTTGTCCATGATGGCGCCGAAGGAGACGCTGAGGGCGTATCCGAGCTCGCCACCTTCGTGGATGGAGCCCGGAGTTTCTGCATTGATATGGCTGCACAACGTCAGCGGGAGCACAAGACGGCGAGACAGACAAGTCACCTGGGGAAACCTCCGGGGGCACTGAAGCCCGAGATCAAGTGATGCAAGCCATGTTTGTCGCGGGTGTTACTGGGTAAGAAGGCACGGAGAGAGTTCTCGAGCCATAGGCAAGCGAGGATGGCCGGGGCGCCATGGCCGGGGCCGACGACATAGAGGGCGTTGATGCCGGTCTTGCAGATGAGGCGGTTTGTGTGGGCGTATACGAGGGAGAGGCCGGGGCAGGTCCCCCAATGGCCAAGAAGGCGGGGCTTGATGTCGTCCGGGGTGAGGTTGCGGGTAAGAAGGGTGTTGTGCTTGAGGAAGATCATCGCTGGGCAGTACGTTGAGCACTAGTGTTGTGCGTAAGAAGAGCGGGGTACATACCTCCGGCAATGTAATTGGCAGCGCGGCGGAACTCGGAGATGGCCTCGCGCTCATCGGGAGTAAGGACGCCACGAATGTTGAGCTGGACACGATAGTCGAGGATGGAGTCGGGGAGCTGCGAGGGCGCGGGCGGGGGGTTGGGCCGAGCGAGCTCCTGGCCTGGCATTGTGTGTATGGGATGATGGGGGGAGAATGAGAGGATGCGTTGGAGCGGGGAACGGGCGGGATGGTTGTTATATAGGTAGGATAGGGGACAGCTCGCGTCATCTCCTCCTAGCTGGTATCGCTGCAAGCGCCGGCTGGCCGGACCCACCTCTGGTAAACACGACTGGACGCAACATGCCGGCTCACGCGTACCAAGCGTTCGTGCCACGTTGCCCACCGCTGCTGCCTGCAGTGCTCTGCTGGAAGCCACCACTGAAGCCGAACTTGAGTCGATGACGTCGGTGATGTCGCGTCCAGTCACGCCCTGTGACACTACGTTCCCAGCCAATCGCATAGCCGCGATCCATCTAATCAGCAGGGCCGGCCATCTCCGAGGTATGTCCGAGTCCTGCAGGCCTCGTAGCTCGCGCTCGCTCTCGTCGTCCGCTGCTATATTCTATACGCCTGCCGTCAGTTCATGCTCAAGCATTTCAGCTCACCACGCTCCCGAAGGCTCCCCATCGGGTAGCTAGGCATGCAACAAGTCGTTCCACCGTCCGCAGTTCCTCTAGGCCATCCGTGCGGACGACATACGAAAACTGCATCACGACATGTTCCACACACCGAGACAGTCCCACCGTAGCTGAAGAGGTAGGTGCCTTTCTGTACCCGAGCCATGTAGTTGGCGTAGTCAGTTAATCTCATCCGTTTCACCGTTCCACCGCAGCTGCCACAGCATTATCGCGCGAGTCGCAAGACCAGCATCAGAGCCTTCAACAGAGTGACCATCAGTACAACATAAATTGTCACCAACCGCAACGCGAACATAATGATGATATGCATAAGGATATCCAACATACCAACAGATATCATACACCCGTCCAATTCTGACATTTGACCTTCAACCCTTTCACTCCCTTACTTGGCCTCCGCCACCGCCCCACACTCTGCACACTTTCTGGCCGCCGGGTCGCTCATCCAGTGTTGGATGATCGGCTTCAGCTGCGTTCCGAGATCCGTGACGTGCAGCTTCTCCTCGCGGATGATGGTAGGCTTCGCGTGCACCGGCGCCTTGCAGTACCACCGCAGGCGGTCTGTGCGCGCGAGTCAGCGCGGAATCACAGAAAGACAAAGGAGGGTAGCGCACCGGTGGCGTCGTCCGGGCGGACGCGCTCGACGACGAGCCCGATCGTGTCCGCGAAGCGCACAGGGTTGTGCGGCGTGTTCGCTGCCCACCAGCGTCAGCCCGCGCATACAACCTACGAGTAAGACTACAGAGAAATCACGCGCACCCGGCAGGAGGAACATCTCGCCCTCCCCGATCCTGATATCCCGGAACTCGTCCCCATCGACGACGCGCAGGAGCATCCCGCCCTTGTGCTGGTAGAACCACTCCTGCACCGGTGTTCTCGCTTTTACTTCCCCGATTTATTTAAATAATGCGTCGAACGGCGCGCACCTCGGTCTCGTTGACGTGGTAATCGTTCCGCTCATTGGGACCCCCGACGGCCATGACGATGAAGTCGTGCCCGGAATACAGGCAGAAGTTGTTCACCGGCGGCTGGAGGCGCTCCCCATTGTCCTTGAGCCACTTGGGGAAGTTGAGCGGCGGCGCGATCGGCATCCTGAGCACACAAATTGGGATCGGCAGTGGCTGGTGGCTGGTAGCTGGCGCGCTGGTGGTTGCGGTGAGAGTAGGTGAGAGCGCCGGCGCTGACTATGATAGGACTCCGGACTCAGATAATCGCAGATTCGACTTGCGTCATGTGATGATGTAGCTGCGATCGACGAAAGTGCATCTGGTCGTAAATTAATTCATTCTGTGCATGCAATTGGGACGCATACGGACATATGCTGTTCAAAGTTATTTTTTAAAACATGCGGTGTACATCTCGGATGTGTGCAAACGCAAGGTCACGTGCATGCCTCATCCCCGATGTCGATCTGCGTGAATCGGAATCTGCGTTAATCAGGATCTGCATGAACAGAATCAACATGAATCGGAATCTGCATGAACAGAATCTGCATGAATGCCCGTGAATATAAGAGCGACACCCTCTGTGCACTGGCATTGACTTGACCCACCCACGCATACCACAGTCCACTGCAAATGACATCTTTACCCTCCTCAGAATCATGTTGCACAAGTGCTGCCGCTGAGTGCAAGGTATGGATTATCTAAATACTCGCATAGAGGACGCGCACGATTGAATATAAACATTAGGTGCGATGGCTGCCTTCGGAGAAGGACCATCTCGATCCCACTTTGATACGTGAACTCATTCACACCTCCTTAAACGAGTAGCGGGCCCTAAAGATGGCGATGAGTGTTCGGGCGAACCCTTGTGGTGCGCAGTTGCGGTTATACAGAGACGCCTTGAAGAAGTGTGTGGATGGGTTTCAGAATGCCGACGATGCGGTGGCTGCTTTGGTGCTCGAATCTGCGCTGGAGCTGGATTTTCGGAGAAGCGGGATGCATTGGACGCGGCCCTTCCAGCTCGAAACGAGTGGCACACGCAGAAGCTTGCGGCGGAATACCGGGTAGAGTATTGCGCTCTGCAACTTCAGAGGTTTAGGAGAGCTATGTCGTCCTGCCAGGAGCAAATCGAGTATTGTGCGGATTTACTTTCCATTTTTTCCCATCTCTACAGCACATAGGTGGGGGTAGGCACATATTTGTTTTTCCTGGAGTTGTCTCTTTCATCTCCACCAGTACCAGCATGTAACTTCACTGGCATATGCTTTCTGAAGATGTTATAAGATGTAGGATCCGGAATGTACTAGATATTTTTTGAGCCAAATTGACAGGTACCGGACCTGGTTGGACTGGCGCACTGCAGATACGATTTTCAGTCCTAAAATTGTTTCTTGCGTTCTATCGTCAGTTAACGGGATGACCATGGTATGTTTTGCACATTCCTGTGATTGAATCCCAACTGATTTCCTGTCTCTCGGCGGATGAAAACGTGAATATAATCGCAGATACTACTTGTGTCATACCACGTGATCGTGTTCGATGCGTAACAGACGCGTCGCGTCTGTTCGCTGATTCCTCTGCCTGGGTCTCTGGGGCAGGCGCGCTGCCATCCAGAATCAAAATACAGAACATCCCCGAAAATTTCTGAGATCATCATTATATTATACCGAACACAACACAAGCACCAGCACCAGCACCAGCGCAAGCACAAGCACCCATAAAATATAGCACAATTGTAACGACCCGCCACCAGAGCAACAGATCAGAACTCCTCGATATCATCCCCTTCCAACCACCCACCACCGTGAGCCTCTCCCTCCCCGGCCCCCTCCGTAAATCCAATGTTCTCATCTCCCAGCATGTCCTGCGGCACGTCACCCTCCTCGTCGACCTGCACAAGCGGCCCCGCCTCCCGCGCAAACTCCATCTTCGAAAATAGCCTGTGCGATCCCGGCGGTGGCGCAGCCCCTCCTGTAAACGCGCGTCCCCTCAAGGGTGAACAACGACGCACACACATCCCCGCCATCAACGATGCACTCACCCGCATGCTCGCGTGCCCCCAGCACCCCGCCCAGCTCCAGCGCGACGTTCAGGCGGCTCCACCCGCCCGCGCGCCATTCCTCGTGCTACACGCGCCCACGCATCAGCACACACACTTGACCATGCCCGCGAAGGGGACTCACCCGCCGGAGCCACGCCTGCACGTCCCGTACACTGTCCTCCGCCGCGCGCTCGCGGTGAAGCACCTCGAAGAATGCGGGCTTGTACGCCTTCTGCCCGCGCCGGGCGACCGGCGACGGCAGCGCGTGCAGCGTCCCCAACGCCAGCAGGTGGAAGTGGTGCGGGTTCGCTTGGTACCACTGTCCCGCCGTGCCACAGACAAGTCGTTGGGGGCCGTTAGAGAGGACAGGGGAGGAGAGAAGGGGAAATTTCTTACCGCCTCACCGCCGCTCGCGTCGAGCCAGCTCAGCCAGTCCGCCTCGGCGTCGCACTGGTCGAGCTCGTTGCAGTATTGCGTGTAGTTCTGATGGACGTAGAGCGAGAGGAGGGACGCATCGATCGGCGTGTCGGCGTACAGCATCTGACAAGGGACAGTCAACTCAGGCTATGCGAGAAGAGGAGAAGTGCCACCGACCTCGATATCAACGCGGCTCGCCCGCCGCTCATGCTCCTTCAGGTGCGAAGGGAGGGATGGCGGATCCTTGAGCCTCGCGTCGATCTCTTTGTCGCGCTGTATATCCCTCGCAGCAGCAGACGCGTTTGGTGGGTCGCCCTTTCCTACGTGCCCCGTTAGATTCTTCGACTACATAATCCAAATGAAATACGCACGTTTGTTGTACAGCAACTTCCCAAGCAGATGGAACAGCGCCAAGCTTTGCTCGCGCCGCGTGACCGCTTCGAGGAGCACCCGCGCAGACGGGCCACCCGCCTTCCTGCTGCGCTTCCCGCCGCGCCCGGGTGCTGCCGCTTCTGCAACGCACGCGAACTGCAGCGCCATGATCGCGCTGCGGATGTCGCCGTTTGCAGACTCGACGACGGCATTCAACAAGTTCTTCGCAGGTGGCGCACCCACGGCCGCCGCGGCAAAGTGCGTGTCCAGCAGGTGCTGCAGTGCACGTTTGAGGAGCGTCGGCGCTATTGGGTTAAACCTGCAATGCGCGATACCATCAGCAATGAGCCAGTGACGACGCTGGCACCACACGCACCCGATCTGTGTGACGCACGACGAGTTCAGCAGTGCAGGAGGGAGCACGCTCCGGATATCGAGCGCCTCCCGGCCGCGCGCCCGCCACGCGCCGCCCACGTCCTCACCGTCTTCACCCCGCAAGCCCGCGTCGCTGACGATCAACACCAGCGGCGCGACGCCTGGCTCCGGCACACCCGCGAACGCCTCCAGTGCCGCGTGGAAAGCTGCCTGCGTGCTCGCGTGCGCGATGTTAGGCAGGTCCTCCAGCAGGATGATCTGCCGCCGGGGGCCGGTCGCCGCTTGAGATGGGCGAGAGGAGGATGGTTTGGTGGTAGTAGACGGAAAGATGGAGTTGCAACTCGATGCGCGCTCTAGGAAGGTGCGGAACTTGTCCGAGAGCCCCTCGTACTCCATGTCCTCTGCGAAGTCATCGTCGCGGGAGAACCGCTCGTCCATGGTGTTCCGCCATTCGAGAATCTCGAAGCCGAGCTCGCGCGACAGGACGCGTATCGTCGTCGTCTTGGCCGTGCCCGCCGGGCCCGTGAGGGCGAGTATGCGCTGGGTGAGAGGGTACGTCATTGTGTGTGCGAGGGTGACGTAGAAAAAGAGCGATGTACGCGATATTTCTTCAATTTCCCCGAAGGCCCGCCATCGAATGCATCTAGCAGCCATTGACGGATTTCCTGGACCTTCCGCTTGTGCACAGCCAGATCTGCCTACCCCAGTAAGTTGAGACCTTGTCGTCATATATGACAGGCAGCATCTACCTCGGTAGTAGGCTCATACTTGTCCACCCACATGAGATCGTCTGCATGCACAATCTCTCAGCAAAAGCGCACAGAGGACGAACAAGGTTACGCACCGAGCTTCTCATGCTCGCTCAATCTTGGCGTCTCCCTCTCCTTCCCCTTCTTCTTTGGATCACTCTGCGACGACAGTCCTGGTTGGCTCCCAGTGAGGCCGAACACTGGCGGCTTCGCAAGCTGACAATACAGTAGTTCAACTATGACAATGCGTGAAATATTTCAATGCGACTCACGGATGAGAGAGGCTTGACCTTCTGTCTCTTTGTCGGAGGTGGGCCTATCAGTGGAGGAGAATCGAGACGGATATTGCTAACGCGAGAGGGCTGTTTCTTGGGCCTTTGTGCCTTCTTCGGCATTACGAGCTCAAATGTTCCTGATAAAGATCCTCTCCGACAGCGCGAGCCTCGAGGTTGTCTGGCAATTTCGCGGTCATCTGACATGTGACTTGGCAGTGACATGTAACTGGTAACTCGTCACCCCGACGCGTCACGGCAAATCCACAGTGATGTCATGGCGATCGTTGCTTCCGTCATATTTAAATCATGCAAGTCCATTCTCAAATTCCACGTACGCTCTCAAACTTTACCAGCCTCATTTGATGCAGAACATGGACGACAGCAACTGGCAGAATTCCAAGGCGAGCAGCCACGAGTGAGGCCTTAGCAGTAGCGCTCAGGCGTTCGACCAGGGACAGGGGGTGGGTGGCGTGTACGACCAGACCAGGCAGGCAGGCCAGGAGACTATGGGCGGCGGACATGGGTCTGGCGTCGCTGGCGGCCCCAAAGGCTCCGAACAAAAGCAGTCCACTCAGAGCTCGGGCCAGAAGAATTGGCCGGAGCATGGAACTGAGGCCGTTGGCCAGAAGGCCGGCATGAACATGGTGAGTGGTGAGCCGCGATGGTTTGTCCGCTTTTCTAACGAGGGTTATAACCCAGAGTGACCAAAATGCAGCGAGTGCTTCTACTTTTATCGACGAGGAGACACCGGAGTATTGTGAAGGTGCGTGTGTTCTCCAGTCGGTCAGGTTTTTTGCTCATCTCACAGGCCATGGCCTTCCTGGCGTGTGAGCTCTTCGAAAATTCGGGCGCCATGGAGCTGTTCGGTGGATCTCAACGTGTATTTCCAGCAGTCAGTGTAGCGAAGTATAACATTAATATTGTAATTCTACTAGCTTTGGAATTGGTTCATGTGTGTTTGTGTTGATATTCAATTTGTGGTAGGCCAGTGGTGAGTCCCCATATTATTTCGTCGAGCATCACTGCACCTTCCGCTCGTCGAATTGCGTATGAACCCATATTGTACAGTACGCTGACGACCGTCCGTGCAAGTTGATCGATTGGCCAATCAGGGAATTCCAGATCTTATGTCAAGGATCCAATCCTAGACTGGGCGCTGGAGTAGACGCAGGCATCGTTCATACGTCTACTATCAATGCAATCAATCCAGCGCAGAAGGTCCTGCCTTTCAGACAAATACCATCACAGCTCCCTTCCGTTCGACTTCCATCATGTCCGAAATCACACCAGAGGGTCGAGTTCCTGCAGAAATGATTCCCCCATTGGATCCGTCGCTGTTGAAGTTGTCCGATGTGGAGACGGAGTTTCTTCATGCGACCATTACTCAGGACGACGAGGAATTGCAACGGAGAATCCTCGGAGTGCAGAAAGAGTGAGCCCTAGATCTCCTCCAACACTATGCCAACTAATCATTGTGTCGATAGAGCATAGTGGGATTATCTCTGTCACGTTCATGCGCTCGTGGTATATTGACGAATTTTTCTAGTGACATGTATCCATACCCGTGCATCCGCGCGTTCCACTATGTCAGCCTCATGATGTGCGGCAATTCCATCTATCCGATGGTACTGGCTGCTGGGAAGTCCGGAAATACAAGGTTCCTCGACTTGGGGTGCTGCAGTACGTGGGTTCTTTATTGCGAGCGCATATAATAACGCATACTCCTCTGTCAAGTGGGGAGCGACGTTCGGAAGCTGGCCTACGACAGCTACCCCGTCGCGAACATTCTTGGATGTGACCTCAGGCAGGAATACATCGATACGAGTCACAAACTTTACCAAGATGTGTTGACGTCCCCCATCCACTTCTTCACCTCCAACATCTTCGACGTCCCCGTGTTTTTCACTGCAACCAGTAACGCCGTACCTGTCGCAGGTCACCAATCTCTCCCAGCTGCGAGGTACGGTAACGCACATCTATACAGGAGCGTTGTTCCATCTGTTCTACGAGGCGACGCAGAACGCGATCGCCCTCGGTCTGGCTGTACTCCTGAAGAGGGAACGCGGGGCCATCATCTTCGGGAGACATTGCGGGTTGGTGAAGGAGGGTATGATCGACGATCACTTGGGCCGGTGAGGATCGCCTCCCTTTTCATCTAGGCATGTACGGCTTGACCTGTGACTCATGTTATTCGTGCGTCAGGACGCGCTACGGCCACTCCCCGTCATCCTGGCATAAAATGTGGAAGAACGTGTTCACTGAAGCTGAAGGTGCCGAGTTTGCGGAAGAGAAAGTGGTGATCAATGCAAATATGGTCGACGGCGATTCCTCCATTGTGGCGCATCGCGGAGATTCCATGTTGATTTGGAGCGTTCAGTTGATGTAACTCATTTAATTGAACTGGGGACACGAAAAGTGTTTGTCATACAGACCATTTGTTTATGAGATAAATGCACCTAGCCCTCTCTCAGACACGTTTCTAATGACGCGTCGCGACGCGTCAGTCATGTGCTCAGCGTTGTGGCCTAATTTCATCATTGACTTCTTCGTTCGAGTCGCATATATATATACGCATCTGTCGCTTTGCCAACTTGTAACCTTTCTCTCAGCTCGGATTGAATTTGTACGCATCCGAAGAACGTTAGATCGCAAGTCAAGGTGAGTTCCATAAATCACGCGAAAAACCTCATCAGAAAACTTTCTCTGTAGGATGGCCGAAGAGGCACCCCGTATATATACCTACAAGGAGCTCCGCCCAGAGCTCGACGTTCTATCCTTCAGTAACAGTCTGCCTTTAGAATGGCAGTGGGAGGCCATGACAGACAGCGGTTCCCCGTGCCTCCGCAGCCTATGGATCAACAGACAGGCTGACGAGCTTCTAAAAAAGGGCAAGTATAAACATGCAAAAGATAAATACATCCTTGCCATGAGAGCGATCATTCCGCGCGACTTTGCACTTCCCGCGAAGGAGTATATCAATCCGAGGTACATGACACTCCTGGCGAGCGAAGGCCACTGGAAGGAACAACTGGACTTAGTGGAGCGCTGCGAAGGAGTCGCGCGATGCTGCCTGGAGATGGAAGAGCTAAATGGAGTACGTGTGTAGTGTATTTACGCAGAGAGATGCTGATGTGCCACGGGCAGGCGATGGACTGGCTGCAGGAAATACAAATTCTCTTCATATGCCAGACGACGGCCACTCACCCGGATAAATTGCGCAAGTGCAGTCTTTGATCTAGTGCTATAATACCTGATGGTTACCGCTGCAGCATTCATGCACGTCCAGGTATATTGAAAACCACTATGCAGTAGGCTCTCAATCTTCGCAGAGTGTGCCGTTTCATCACGCTAACCAATCCTCAGTACCGGATGCAAGCCGAAAACATGTACTCACGCATTATGTGTAGACTCGGCAACACGGCGACGCACGTTCTTCACGCACCGCGGCATGTGCATCGGCTGCATGGTCAGACAAGGCCTGCCACGTACCGTAGAGCTGAAGCGCGAGTCCGATGCCGTACACAAAGTGCAACTCCGCCATCCCGAGCCCACGTACGTCGATAAGTGGTCAATCACGGGAACCAGCCTCGCAAGTTCGCGGTGCGTGGACGAAGCTCGACTTCACAGGCGGGGCCGTGCCTCGAAGCCAATTCGGGTTCTCTACCTGGATATGGAAGAGCAAGCTTTATGTGACTGGCAGACAGCCCTAGACACTGTCGGACCACGTCGATCTTTGGTGAGGATGGCCACTACTTGATGGCAACGTAAGCTGACCCACCCAAGGTGTCTCGATCTTGCATCACCCACAAAGAAATGGCGCCGCCTTGCGGACCCTCGGGCGCCACATCTCAATCAAGTAATGTAGGTATGGAACAAAGCATGGATGTTCTCCGGAACCACAAAACAGATCTTCGCCTTCGACTGGTTACGGAGAAGTGGGCGAACGTTCTAACGGAGTTCGCTGGCAAGTCGTGGCCTTATCTCAATAAAGTGACGGAATACTGCATGGAGATCTTCGAGGATGTCATGTACGTCTTCGGCGGAACAGACCGCTTCGCAGAGCTAGGCAACAACGTCCTCATGGCACTCAACCTGCGTACGCTGATATGGACACACCTAGGCGGGACTACCAATACTAAGGCGACGAACACCATGCCGATGTTGCGGCGATTCGCGAGCAGCCGGGTCATACCCGCCCAGAAACGTCTGTACATTCTCTACGGTAACATCGGGCGCCAGTCCGCGTACATCGCACACAGGCCGTACGGAAATCTGGAGGACTACAACTACGAGGACATGTGGTCGTACGACATCCCTGGAAAATCGTGGCGAAGGGGGCGCATCCGCGGGAACTTCCCGGCCCCCCCGCTGTGAGATGGCATGCACATACAACTCGGTGCTCGACCGGGTCTGCGTTTATATCGGGTATAATTCTCGTGGTCTTCCATCATCGGGGAGCTGCATTATACTTACGCATACTTTGGCGACACCTTCATGCTCGACCCCTCAACTGGAATCTGGAAACATGTACTCACCCGCGGATTCCCCTCGTACCGTGTACAGGCCCAATCAATCATCGACGAGGATACAGGTCGCATGTACCTATATGGGGGCAAGTCAATCACAACATTGTAAACTCTCCTTGCTGATAAGCGTGTATGCTACACCAACTCAGAATTCGTGCCCTCCAAGCACGTCCAGAGTCGCACATTTGGAGATGTCTGGCAACTGTCAATAGACATGCCTGGCGGGTATTTCTCTGAGGCTGACTTGGAGCGGAACGTGCGCTCGCCAAAGATGGGTCCGTGGGCCCGCCGCTTCACCTGCGGTTCTGTGAGCAACACCTGGCGCAAATGCGGCTCCTGCGGGGGAAAGTACGTCTTTTGCTCGACCGAATGTCTGAAGGAGGGGTGGAAGGAGCACAAGCAGAAACATGGGTGTCGAAAGGTTTGAAGACGATTTAGAAGCTGCCCTGCTTCAAGTGGCTTTGCCTCTGAATCACCTAGATCTTGTCACGCAATAAATGCCGGCTTCAAGCTCGTCCGGGCACGCTCGGACGTTCCAAGCACACGTAACATGTAATGTGTATCAGCAAGGTACAAAGTTCTGTCGTGTGCGTCTGCTTGATGCAAAATAAGCGCTGCTGTTATCTCCTCCTCTCGGCCAACCGTCGGTCTTGCCTCGGCCCAAGCTTCAAGAATCTGTATGTGAGCCTTGGGTTATACGTCATGTACGCCGTTGATCGATGCGGGTTTGAGCTACGCTTGCGTCGTGTTGCTCCTGCAGGAACCTCCGGCGATGCTGAGATCATGCCGATGCAGATGCAGATCGCACTGCATCTACATAATCATTCTATCGTTCACCCTGATACCTTGAGTGTTTTCCCAGGGCTCGTTATGGGGAGTCCTTGAATAATATGTCTTACCAGCGCAGAGATTGAACGCGACACCAATGCTTTGCGGGTGCAGTGCAACGGCGAGGAGAAGTTTGTAGATGATGCTGAAGCTTGGAGTTCCGCATCCATAGATCTATTGTCCGATCAGATTCATGTCCGAGCTTCCACTGCTATCTCTCCCGCAGGGCACGCAACTGGAAGCAGAAGATGTCCGGGGTTCTCGCTCGCCGATACTGGCTGCCCAGCCTTCGTCAAATCGTTGTCTCGTAACCGTCCGTTCACGCGTACGATCCATCCGGCACTGAGACCATGATGCTCATACGGGTGCCGAACAGCATCGCAGGGTGTTCGGTGGTGAGCGAAGTTACTAATATTGCTCATGCCTAGAAGCCGACAGACTCGGACAGAGGATGTATATAAGGTCGTCCAGGAAGCGGAATGAGTAGCAGCAATTCATAACCACAACCACAACGAAACATGTCCTTGCCCAAGTCATACAAGGCATACGCATTCACGGAGAAGTCGGGCCAGTTGAAGCCCGTCACCGTCGACTGGCACGACCCAGTGGACGGTGAAATCGTCGTCAAAGTCCTCGCATGTGGCGTTTGTGCTAGGTATAGCCCCTTGTTTACTGCTGGACGAGTAAAAGCGCTGAACACAATGTTCCTCCTGGGCAGCGATGACATTGTCAAGGAGCAATTTTTGCCCACGGGCTTACCCCGCATTCCCGGACACGAAATCGTCGGCGACGTCGTAGCAGTGCCGCCCACCGAGAAGGTGTGGAAGGTCGGGCAGCGTGTCGGCTCAGGGTGGCATGGCGGTCACTGCAGCACCTGCTCCCGCTGCCGCTCTGGCGACTACGTCACCTGCGAGAAGCAACAGGTCAATGGTACGACGGCTCGCGCTAGTTAGTTGACAGGCTTACCTGGCTCCAGGTGTCTTCACAGACGGAGGATTCGCTGAGTACGTGACCCTCAGGACAGAGGCCGTTGCCAGTGTTCCAGAGGAGCTTGACCCCGCTGAGGCCGCCCCACTCTTCTGTGCGGGTGTCACCACGTTCAGTGAGTTATCTCCTGCCATCGCTTGAATTCCACTCATACATACGTCGCAGACTCTTTGCGGCATATGAGCGCCCTTCCACCCGACGTCGTCGCTGTTCAAGGAATCGGGTGAGATGAGCTGTCAAGCAACAGAACTGGCGCATCTAACATTCTTGCAGAGGATTGGGGCATCTCGCCATCCAGATGGCTCATGCCATGGGCTACCGCGTCATCGCCCTCTCTTCCTCCGACTCGAAGCGCCAGCTCGCGCTCGAATTGGGCGCACACGAGTACATCGACGGGTCAAAGGTCAACCAGACCGAGGCGCTTCTGCAGCGCGGAGGGGCTAAGCTCATCATATGCACGGCTCCGAACCCGCCTGTCATCGAGAGCCTTGTGCCCGCTCTCGCTGTCAATGGTGAACTCTTGAGCTTGGCGATTGTACCTAGTGCCAACGTTCCTCTGGGTGCGTTCTTTGCCTGGTTTATCAGCGATTGTCACTGAGCTTGCTCGCTAGCCCTCATGGTCAGCAAGCGTCTCTCGATTCGCGGATGGCCCAGTGGGACGGCGAAGGACAGCCAGGACTGCTTGGAGTTTGCTGTGACCAACGGCATCAAATGCATGGTGGAGAAGTTCCCGCTTGATAAGGCTCAGGAAGCGTACGACCGTCGTGGATCAGCAAGGTTCAGGGCTGTCATTGTTCCTTGAGCTGCTGGGATTGCACGGCGTAAATATGAACATGGAGCCACCCCGTATTGACATAGATGTTTATATTCCAGCGTATATGGGTCTGCGCGTGGGGCACCGATAATACAACTTAGCTTCGACTGCGACTTTCGGAAACACTGTACCTTCGGCTTCAATCGGGATCGTTACAAATTCTGCACGTTGCACCATGTTATGCATGCTATTGTCAGGATGTGAGTGCACAGAAGACGTACTGATTGACGATAGACCGTGACGCTGGGATACAAGTTATGACCCCGCAATTGCCGCGGTCCAGACTTGGCTCTACGGCATCCGCTTGCATCGTATTTTATAATTTCCGTGTGACTGAAGTTTCCTCAGCGAGGAAAATGAGGGAAAACCCGGAGGGAAACGCTGGACGGTCAGACCCGGATATCCTGAGAGCCAGTCGGGGTCAAGATACATATGTCTTCGTGAATGGTGGCTGTCGCCTGCGACGCAACTTCCCCGATCGCGGACCTCGACTGGTGCTCGGCTTACTGCTAGTCTCGGAACCAGCCGGTCGAGCCACCTAATATCCTCAACACGCCCAATTTGGTAACCACTAGGTTGCTCACTGAGTGACGTCTGGACTAACTTACTGCCACCGACAGCAAGAATGAGAGTGCGTATTCCACTTCTAATGACATCACTTTGATCTTTTCTTCATTGTTACAGTTCTCTACGAGATATCATTGATTTGTAACCTCACCGAGGACCGGGCGGCGATTATAAAGATCAGCTATGCGTCATTGTACGACGGCGCAACTTGGAAGGCAAAGACCAGTTCGGCCTGGGTTGCTAATCCCAACCTCCCAGGGTCACGGATAGAGTCGGGCGCTGGCGCAGATATATAAACCCGCACAACCAGCGTAATGTATTCATCAGGTCTCGAGCATCGTTCCTGAACAGCCATGTCCCACAACGACCATCCGAAGACATACAAAGCGTACGCATTCACGGAGAAGGGCGGCCAGCTGAAGGCCATCACCGTTGACTGGACGTATCCTCAGGAGGGGGAGATTGTGGTGAAGGTCCTCGCATGTGGGGTCTGCGCTAGGTATGTGTATTTCTTCGACTGTGGTATGTGAGGAACATTTCTTGATCGCTACGACCGGCAGCGATGAGATGGTGAAGGAACAAATATTCCCGACGGGCTTCCCGCGGATACCCGGTCATGAGATCGTCGGTGACGTTGTCGCTGTGCATCCAACAGAGAAGCTATGGAAAGTCGGTCAGCGTGTCGGTTCAGGATGGCACGGTGGTCACTGCAGCATATGTTCACGTTGCCGCACTGGTGACTATATGACTTGTGAAAATGAAGCTATCAACGGTGAGTGAGGTTCCATCAGATTTCCGCAGTCACCGATGTTTCCTAGGTATTTTCAGAGATGGAGGATATGCCGAATATGTGACTCTCAGGTCTGAGGCCGTTGCCAGTGTTCCGGAAGAACTTGACCCAGCTGAAGCAGCGCCCCTGTTTTGTGCGGGCGTCACCACTTTCAGTGAGCACTGCTTCCTCTCCATCGGTGTAGGACACTGCTCAGAGCAGCTGCTAGACTCCCTCCGGCACATGAACGCTATTCCCCCTGATTTTGTCGCCGTTCAGGGGATCGGGTATGTCGAATCTTTACATTCATCCGGTGACAGCTCTGACAATCCCGCAGAGGGTTGGGTCATCTTGCCATCCAGATGGCGCGCGCCATGGGATACCGAGTCGTGGCGCTTTCGTCCTCGGGCGCCAAGCGCCACCTTGCGCTAGAGTTGGGCGCGTACGAATATCTCGACGGATCGAAGGTGAACCAGGCGGAAGCATTACAGCAGCTCGGCGGTGCGAAGGTCATTATGTGCACTGCTCCCAACTCGAGCGTCATCCAAGAGCTCGTGCAAGCTCTTGCCGTTGATGGAGAGCTCTTACTCCTGGCGCTCACGGAAAACGTCTCTGTTCCTGTCGGTGCGTATGTCTGTCTCCGGCTGGTAGCAGTAGCTGAGCGTTCTTGTTAGGCCCACTTATTACCAAGCGTCTCTCCATTCGTGGATGGCCCAGTGGGACGGCGAAGGACACCGAGGATTGCTTGGAGTTCGCTCTGGCCTCTGGAATCAAGTGCCACGTCGAAAGATTCCCTCTGGACAAGGCGCAGGACGCGTACAATCACCGTGCATCTGCGCGGTTCAGAGCTGTTATTATTCCTTGAGTATTAACAATTGGTGCAAAGTGAACAAGGCGAATGCCAATCAAGTGTAGTTATGGGTAGCAATAAATGATATCTGTTAGGTGTGATGAAAACCGTACATGTCCTCCTTATCACAATGCGTCCATTGCCAGACATCGAAATCTCAGTCCGAAGCTAATCAGTGTTGTTACTTTGTTCCGTTGTAAGTATGGTCGAGGATCAGTCCTCGACAACGACGATATCGGTGTGCAACATTCATTGTATCATGATGACCAGTCTTGCACGTGGACATTACTAGGAAACAAGAGCGGATTTACTATATAACCCCAAAACAAGAGCGTAGAGGGCATTTGGTGTTGGTGTTTTGAATCATAAGATCTTGATCGAAGTGATTCAGATTCCCTGTCGCCTGCGACGGCACAGTGTTACCAGCTGGAACGGCTGCCGACTCGTATTCTGTACTATGGACACCAAAAGCTCCACGGATACTCCCACTTCGGATACTGTCACGAGAAATTAGTCCGCGGACAACGCGAAGCCTGGAAAATTACTCACTGCATCCACACGATGTGTGGTCATCAAATGCCTCCTGTATGTACAAGGGTGCGCGGTGGTCGTCCATCCGCAGTTCTTCAAGACACAGCGCGTTTGCACCGCCTGCATGTGCGCGTGGAAGACATGGTCTGTCCGACTGGTCGCACACAGCAACTTGCCGCACATCTCCCCAGGTTTCGCAGGCCAGCAGCAGAGCCATTTCTGATCATCTGGTGGATGAACCACGTCGAGATGCATTGCGAGATCGTACCAGGAAGGCTGGTTGGTGAAGATATGGCGGCAACCCTCTATGTAGCAATGGTGTATTGATGGGCGGTTGGGATTCCAGCGACAAGGGTTAGTAGATGTCCCAGGCAATGTTTCTAGCGGGAACTCGATATCTTCATCACTCTCCTCGTCGCTATCTTCGTCGCTCTCGTGTACGTGAATAACCACAGACTTCCGAAGACTGGTGGAAGTTGACGAGGCTAATGTTGTGCAGCGACCGGGGGCGACACGTTCCGTAACTGCGGGAGCGTCTGATCCGGCAGGACGCTTCTGCGCAGGCCGAGATGAGGAACCGGGAATTGGGCCTCTTTGTTCAACTTGAAAATTTGTATGAACGGATGCCTGAGGCGGAGGCAGATTCGGCCAGCATGGCTTTATGGATCGCGAAGGATTCCTCGTGCAAGACAAGGATGATCCAGGTAAGAGGAGCGAGAGTGGATCAACAGTGACCACTCTGCTGTTCGCATTTAAAGCCGCGCTGTTCACTTTGTAGACTCCATAGAAAAGCATCTTAATGCACTCTACCGATATTCCGATCAGAGGAGGATCCTCGGGTTTGGGTGGGATGTCTTTGGCACTGTTGTTCATGACGCCACTCGGTCTGAGAAAAGCGTGTGAGAAAGGTAGACACAGGACGATGAGCGGAGAACTTGCTGTATAATCTCAAGTGTGCGGAAGAGGTGTTGGTATGCGGATGATAGGTCTTCGCTGGGTGCTGTCTTGATTGAACGAAGAGAAGAACGGTTGCTGGTTATATAGACTGAGGTGCACAACAACTCCTTGTACGACTCTGTACGGCTGTGTGCCATACATTGACCACATTATCCATGCAGAATACGCGCGCCGGTGGTTGCGATGTGAAGTGGGTTAAAGCCGTGTTATTCTCTCAAAGGCACAATCAGCTACATTGTCAAGAAACAATCGGGCTTGCCTTCAGTGGCTGATGACATCATGCGGCGAAAACAAATGCGGTGAAAGTCTCAACAAATTGATTGACCCGTTCTACAATATCTGCACCGAAATAAAAGGAATGACAAAGTTGCCTTTAGGTGTCGAGCGCGAGGAGGCAGCAATAGCAACATGCAAGGAGATGCAGCAATATTGTGGCGAACACTCGGCCCTCGGGTAGCCCCGATTTGGGGTTGGCGCACAGCAGTGCGGACAGGGTCGAGTCTTGCCCCACTCAGTCTTTTTAACCTGTAACCGCCACCACACTGCACATGCGCAGTCGATGCACACCTTCCTACCAACCACTACAGAGTGACGGCTGGCATTTATCGGGATCAGCTTCTCCACCGTCCGCACAGCCTTTTCAACCCAGAAAACCGAACACGTCGGAGACGATAAGCTGAGGCCAATATGTTCAAGAAGATTGCACATAACACCACCGTACCTGCTTTGGGAGGCAACAGAGACCTCCGGACACTACAGGACCTTATCACAGCAGAGAAGGGTGTGCTCAACTCGTATGCTCAGTGCATTCCGATCTCCGCAGCACCTCATACATCTAACAGATTACACAAACTAAGTTCTGACCTTACGAAAGCATCGGAAGCTTTGAAAGTATGGGGACTTGGAGAGGGTGATGATCTAGGCGTGAGTGAAGCAGTCGTGTGTCGTCTTTGGTGGATTGCCCTTATATCCGCATGCGCACTCCACAGGATATCCTGAGCGCGTCGACCGTACTATTCAATCATTTCACTGCCTCTCTGACGACATTTGCCAGCCATGAAGTTTCTGTACGAGAGCACATGAAGGCCCTCCGTACACGCGAGGAGAGCCTTGACGAACTGCGTCGCCGCCGCAAGGCACACGCCGCGAAGGCAGATTCCGCCGACAAGAAACTAGCCAAGATGAATCCAGATAATAAGAATTTGCAGGGCCAGAGAGAGTTGGTCTACAGACTTCAGGAGGAGATCCGTATCATGGACACGGATATCATGGCGGAGGAAGCGAGCCTGAGCGATTTCAAGCGGTCAACCACCAAGATGTGGATGGGACTCAAATTTGGAGGGCTTCTTGAATGCTCCAATAAAGGCGTCGTGAGTGTTGTCTGCTCACGAGTATGTCAGAGTAATCACTGACGTTATGCAGATTGTCGGAGAGATAGGATTGTTGGTAATTGAAGTAGGCATGCTATAGTCGCCAGTCCAATCCTGCTCACCTTCTCTCTGCAGGAAATCCCATTGGAAACGACAGAGCCCGGTCTCCCGCGTGCCTACTACCAAGGGCGTTCGAGGACAGGCTCCTTAATTGCAGAAGCTCAAACTGCTGTTAGCAGCGTTCAATTTCCCTCCGATCCCTACCAACAAACTCTAACAGAATACCGCACTAGCGGAAATTCTTTGAGCGAACAGTCTCCAATACTGCCGCCTCCTCAGCGCAGACAACCTGCTATGATGGATAACCCTCCAGTGGGCGGCATTGGCAGCCCGCCACTTCACCCAATGTCTATGCCCTTACCGACTGACAGACCGCGGTCGACAACATCGTCGCGACTCAGCCAGGGCCCTATCTCACCGACCAACACTGGTTTTTCGGGCTACCCGCCGGGCCCGCAGGGGAACTTCTCAGCGGACTCTCCCGTGAGTCCAAGCCCTCACATGCCGCAACCTGATATATACCCAAGCGTCACGAATGAGTTCGGCGCGATCGCTCCCGGACAGTTTTCCGCGCGGTCCAGCTCGGTGCGCAACCCAGACGAGCGCGAGCGCGCGGGGGGACCACGTGGCGCGCGGTTCGCCACATTTCCGACGAAAGTGGGTGGGCCCCGCTCTCCGCATGCGCCGCCGCAGGAAGGGGACAGACCGCCCTCGCTCGACGTCAACGCACCGGAGGACGACTTCTCCTCGAGCGTCGCGGCAGCGCTCTCGCAGCAGTGGCAGCTGGATGGCGAGGCGCGGCGTGCATCCATGTCTACGAGGAAGCCGCCGCCCCACGTGAAGAGCGATGACTATTCGCATTCGACATATACTTCCCCGCCCCCGCTGTACTCCCCGCACGATTTACCGCCGGGGGCTGCGCCGCCGCAGTCGCAATACGGTGGAACGTGGAATAGTCCTGTCATAGCTCCACATGAAGCAGACCCAAGTTTGCCCCCGCCACGGGAGGGTGCTGAGGAGGAGTCCTACGTTGGACTGGCGTACATGTCTGGGCAGCATATTGGGTCTGAACCTTCTCTCGCAGGCGTTGACCGTGGGGACAAGCGAGTTAAGTTTGAGAGCGGAAGAGAGGAGACGGGGAAGCTGGATACGGATATGGGCGCCCAGATAGCAGAGGCAGCCCCGAAGTTGGAGGTCGCAACCCACCTACAACCCGCTGAAGGTAAGGTATTCACCTCCAGCACTCTAGCTTCAGCTAACCATCTGCATCCAGGGGCGCAAATCGAATCCCCAATTGCGGAGTCGCATCAAGAGGCGGATCCGCACCATTCGCCTATCTCTGACCACCCACCCTCCCCTCGAGTGCCTTTGCCCGAACATGACAACCAATCATTGCATGCTGCCGCTGCACGCGAAGTGTCGAGGGAATTGGATGCACTGATGCTCAATGGCGCTACTCCGCGCGCACCGTCCCCTCTGTTACCACCGCAAGCGCCATTCTCCAGACGCGCGGTGTCGCCCAGGCCTGAGATGGAAAACTCCTCGTCGCAACCAACTAGTCCAAGGCTGGAATACATCCGGGAGCGCAGCAGAGCGATGAGCTCTTCAGCCTCTAGCGGTGATCCAACTGGTCACATCTCCGAGCCTCGGTTCACCGGAGAGCGAGATGCACCCCTGCCAGCGCCCGGGATCAAAGTCTCCAACATACCTTCGCCAACCTCCTCTAGCATATCTACCAACCCCTATCGCGCGTCCCCAGAGCACTCGCCCGCAGTCGGTACATCTCAGCCGACGTCCTCCTTCTACAACTTGTCCGCGGTGAGCGGCTCGAATCCCGTGCTCGGCACCGGCGCGCGCACAATACCTGCGTCCGCCTTCAGGCGGCCCCGTGCACCGACGAGCCCTGCGACCGACAGCGGTGGGTCTTCTGGGGCGGCAACAGATATCAGTCCGTTGGTGGTGAAAAAACGGCCGCTGCCGCCGTCGCCACATCCCGCCGCGCCGGGCGTGCGCATCCCGTCTGCGCCTTTCACTAGCCAGTACACCCAGAGCGCGGTAGACCCACGATTCCGTTCTGTATCTGCAGAGCCAGGACCTGGCGGTGGCTTGGCCAGCCACCAGACAGTGCCTGCACAGCCTCCGTCGTATGGAGAGGTGCAGGGTGCAGAGGAAGAAGACGAATATGATTTCGTTGGCGCGTATGCGCAGTCCTCTCATCCGCCACCTGCCCATCGGACGGAGGCCGAGGATCCGCGACAGTCGGGCTTGGGACATGTCAGGTCTGCTGCGAACATGGACCGAGATGGGCACGAGGAGGGACTGCGGTGAAGATGATGTGCGAGCCTGTGCGTTCTGTGCTTTGTAGTCGTCAAGGGGCCGTCTTGCTTTGTGTTTTCTTCGTCGTTCACGATATTTATGACTGGTTGTGTTGCAACTTCAACATTACCATGACTGAGTCGCACATGTTCAAACTGTCGCGGAAATTCCACCGTGTCCTTGTACCCTTGTGGAATGTTGTGCGTCACATTTGTATTCATTAGCTTTACTATTGCTTCCTCCCACTAGAACGTGTCGAGTCACTACACCTTATGGCTGATCCCTTCCAACTGCGGGTGTCCCAACACCAACACTTGAATTCATTATCCGGTACGTGGAGGAAGGTATCTGTATAGCTGGATATATAGTTATCCTAATCATATTGGTTGATCACCAGCATCTCCGAAACTGGCATTGCACAATATGTTGAGCAGATGAAATTTTTAGGGTAGTGTGAGTGACCAGCAAAACTGCGCTCTGGTGCCGACGTGCCTGAAGGCCTGAGATCCTACGATCAGTCTGATGACTCCAGCTTCGCTGCCAACTGGTTCAGCAGGTCCTGATGGGATTGTTCCAAATTCCCCGCAACGAATGGCATCACCAGGAAAAACGCCTGCATGACAGACGTATCGAACTCAGCTGGCACTGAACGCAAGTTATACCAGTGGGCAAAACAACCACAGACCTTTATCGTAACGACCTCCGTCACTTCTGTACCACCCTCTACTGCTCTGGCTCGCCAACAGTCATTCAATGAAGTTTTGAGTCCAGCTTCCGTACGACTGTCGAATCCATCCTCCACCAATTGAAACTTTGTAGTGTATTTGGTCGGGATGCGGAGCCCAAGCACAGACAGTATGTCGGTGACATGGTATAGATTTGGGTCCGCCGCATCCGGCGCAACATCGACCACCAGCGGATTGAGCTCGATTATGGCTTGTGAGTCGTGTAATGTGCGCAGCACGTCATCAACAGGAACGCTAATGCGCTTGTTCAATGAGACGGTGCGAGTTAGGAAGAAGAGCGACATAATCAGGAGTGATATAGTTGGAATGAAGTTTCTGAGCGTTACCAACAGGTTATATACCTCAGGCAAGCACCGAGGCTACGTGGAGTCTCTCAAGATCTCATTACTGTAATATTTGTTGAAACGGCGTGTGAGACGCGTTTCATGAACGCCTTCCAAAAAGAGGTTCGCACTGGCTCCGGGCCGCATTTTCTAGCAGATACACTATTGGACAACGTGGCCTCAGCCGTAGAAGTGTGCGGACGTATTGTCAACGTGGTGGGATTCCAGCTAGCGGAGATGCTGATTCGGTCGCGTCTCTGTACCCGAATTCGACGTGCGGGCGCGGAGCATAACCCGGCTGTGATGCAACTCGTTGACGATGAGTCTGCTTCCGTGGCCAGACACGGATATCCTGAGGCACGAAGGTTGAAGCAGAGTGTCAGTCTGCCTTTGGGAGACTACTTCCGTGGTGACGCCTTCATTTTCGCAAGCAATTGGTCGTTCTGCTTTACCAGAGATGTTCGGCCTGCAACGTCAACAGCAGCTGATCCACGATGCCCTCGTTGCGTCTGTTCTGTCAAGGCGAAGGACATCATCTCGTTTCTGGCCCATTCCTCTGTCGGTTCTACGGTTGTCCAGTGCCGTACTGCTTAGCGGTGCTGATAGTTGTTAACCCGAGTGAATTTAGATGAGTGCGACTTCTATGTACGAATGGAATTATTTGCAATTGAAGCTCTAAACAATATGTATACGTATCGTCGCAGACCTTGGCTGCTGCCGATGTTACTCCTGCGGTCAAGCCAGGGCGACAGGCATCAAGCCCTCAGTCAGGTATCATATGCAGTGGATTGTATATGTACAGTATACGCATCCCGCGCAACAAGCCGTGGCGGAAGAGGATTGCAGGCTCTAAAGAGGGATCAGATCCGGAGGAAAATTTTGTTGCCTTCGCGCTTGGGGTTGCTGCCGAAGTATCTGGCGTTCTGGTAACTGGATGGATAGCAGCTGCGTCAGCGCCGTGGCGTCGCAATGTCTGTGTCCAGACACGTACCTCCAGTGCAGGTTCCCGGCAGCGACGTCCTTGCAGCCCTGCACGTATCGCAAGAGTTGCTTGTCGAGCTCCTCGTTACCGGTCGGCAGGGGCAAGCGCTTTTCTGCATCCTCGAGAGTCTGGCGCGCCGTGCACACAAGTTCGCAAGCGCGTTCAATGGCTGCCTGCAATGGGATCCTGTGCTCGATCGCGAGCACCGGCACAATATTGTCAAGCTGGTCATCACGCTGCAACACCAAAAGGATAAGCGAGGGCAAACGCAACGGCCGTAGAAGTAGACGCACGAGTTCTTTCACGAAGGACACGATGTCGTTGATTCTAATACCAAGGACGAAGGCATTAACGCACGAATGAGCATTCCGTACATGAAAACACTCACAAGTGGACAATTAGGCATGCTTGGGTGAATATCGTTTGCAGAGATTCGTGATCCAGGATCGACGATGGGATATTGAGATGATAAATATAACTGCGAAGGTATGAACGTGTGCCCAACGAGCAGACCAGGGTGACTCACAGTGGTAGGATTAGACTTGGACCAGCCCCGCCACTCCGCGCACGCTGCGCCAAGAAGTTCTCGCGACTGAAGAGCTCCCGGTCTCCCTCGATGCTCCGTCTGTACGGCAGAGCGCATGCGCTGTCTACATATCCTATCAACTCGTGCAGCATATGGGAACGTGCATCTATGCATCAAGACCAACAATTGGTGAGTTCGACTTCGTCATACTGGAACACCGAAGTCGTACCCGGGGTGCTTCCTGCTGCCACCTTCTCAGCAACGTCGCAGAACGCCTTCATCATCGGGGTCATCGACTGACGACTCCCATTGAAGGGTTCGGAACCGAGTGTGGAGTTGAGGCACTCGTCCGTCTCCTTCTTGAACATCGCCACCTTCTCGAGATCCTTCGTGAGGGGACCGCAGTCGAGTTCTAGACCAACCTGTGAGCGACGAAAGCAATTTACACGAGGTGACGTGCATACCATCGTCCCATACGAAGACCTACGGATCGGGGTTTGGTGAGTATCGATCAAGTGAAACAGCTAAAGTTACTTACCCAGAGGTGATAATAGGCGGCCATGAGGTATTCTTCCTCCTCGGCGTCCGGATAAAAGCATCCAGCGAGCATGGCGAAGTCAGCCAACTTCATCCGCCGGCAGTTCTCCTGGTCGTCCACCCAGCTTGAAAGAAAACGATTCAGTCCATCGGAGTAGAACACGAGCAAGCGAGCGTACCTGAGCATCCACTCATCCAGCTTCGTCCTGACCGTTTCATAGTGCTTGTTTACTGCGAACCGCCAACCAGGGAGCAAGGCATAGAGGTCTGGAATCATGACTTGAGATCCCTTGAACTCGCCTAGCCAGTCTTCCTTCGATCGCGGGGTTGCGAGGGAGGGATCGACGCCCTTATGGAAGGGGTGCAACAGCAGGGAGATCTTCGACAAGATCTTCCTGAGCTTCGTGGACCTCATTTTGAACGGCATGATGTCTGGAGAGCTGTGGGAGTAGGGAAGGACGGCTGCACCGGACGAACGCCGTGGGGGATGCAGAATCTTTATACACGGCGCATGGCCCAGCCTGTAAGCTAAGTCTACGCACCCTATTAGCCTGCATTTGGAGAGGGTTAGTTGGATCTTCGGAAAAAGATTGCTCAGCCTAGTCCCAGGGCTTGTTGCTTATTCGGCATAGATTGTGTTTAGGCACCGGTTCCGAAACTTGACATTATTAGAATACATCCGGGGTTCCTTCTGCGAGATCGCACTAGACATGCCCTACTTCCCGAGCCCATCGAATGTGCGCAGGTCCGTGATGCGTTCAGGTGGAGGTATAACCTTGATGTCAAGCAATGTCATATCGCCGGAGACAGAGTGAAGCGCTTGCTGGTTATCAGCACTGGAGGACGATGTCGCCTTGCCCTCTGGGCCTTAGCCAACGGGTCAGTCGAGGCCGAAGTTATTTCGCGGAGTGGAATCGATAATGAACTGATGTATGTGCTCACCTTGCCGATGGCACACTCGATCGTCAATGTGACTAATATTAATATGAGTAGCATTCTGTATAGAAAAGCGACGTGATAGTCGACGTGCTCATAGTGCAGCCTCCAACCACCGCCGCCGGTATTCGACTGCCTACATCGCCAGTGGCGAGAGGCTGGTCAACTCTGACGGACAAACGATAAGGATGATATCCTTGCTGGCGTATCGTCATTTCAGCGTGACCAGGAGAAACCATGACAACTGGATCTCATCAGGCGATCGACCCACGTGTACTGCCCCAACAAGTCGGACTAGGAACAAGGCAATAGAACTGAATTTGAAACTCGACGGAGGAATTGGATTTGCGCCGTCCACATTGCAACATGTACAGATTTCGGACTCCACGTGGATCAAAAGTTGTTACAGTGCGATAGCAAATCCGGCTTCGTCTCAGGTGTATCGAGCATGAGGCCTCGAGGCCGCGTACGATATGGCCATCCATGCCCCCACCTCGACGATCTGCTCAGGGAAGCAAGCAACGCATGGCAGTAAGATGCCCCGAAAACGACCAACGCACACGCAGTCATCTGCGCTTCGCTCACTCGCAGTTCCGGGAAGCGCAGATTCTGAGTTGAAGCATCCAGGAGATCGAATATCCTCCTTTGCTACACACGAGGTTCCGAAGCACCCGAAGTCGCGCATCGATGGGCACACCAAGCGAGACACTTGCCGCGCCGCTATGCTGCAGAGGCAATTCTGGACGTCCGACGATCTGTCCATTTAAATAACCCACTTTAGCTTCGTGTCGCGTCCGGAACAGCACAGTCGAGGTTGGGACGCACAGGTGGGTGCGCTAGTCCCCTCCCTCCCCAGTCCTGGGGAACCGGCGGGAATCAGATAGTGTATCACCGATTCGCAAGTCGGAGCGGATATACCCTCGATGGCTGGCTGGACCCGCCGGGTTCTGACGTGGGTTTGAGCATAAAGGACATCACCGCCGAGCGACTCCTGACGAAGACCGGTTGTCGACTCCGTCTGCACCGCAGCCAAAGGGACGGAACGCGTACAGATGTGGACATGGGGATACAGATTGAAGGCGCGCGATGCGCATGCAGGTGGATCACGAATGTCGACAACAGCCAACATACGGTCGACGCTGGTGCGGGCTCCCGCAAATTCGCCGAGAGCTGCGGCCTGCGCCGCGTCGAGGGCATGACTGATGCATTCTGGAGATACTGAAACTGTCCTAAATATGTGACCCGGGATACATGCAAGACTTCGACCACTCACACTGTAGCACTTCGTGAGCACACACGAAATTGGTCAACCAACTTCGCATTTGCATTGGGAACTTCGGAGTTGGGAGGCGATTGGGGAATTGGATGTGCGGCGTCTACAAATTCACCCTTCATGCGCACGAGACATTGCGTGACATTGTGATCGTGCGACATCCAGCATTCAGCAAATCCGAGTTCGCCTCAGGGGTGAGCACCGCGTCGAGACACGACTGATGTTGTCGTGAGAGCCTATCCGCATCCTCGAGATCCTGGCGCCTGCAAAGGAAACCTGCGCGACGACGTGATACGCACCAGGTATGCAGACAGGTCTAAGAGGAGAGGGCGTAAGATGTTCGTCCTGCGTAGCTCGACCTGACAGGTACGGGGCAAGCAGAACATGCCGCATATTGTACCTCCACCTACCTACTCGCGTAGGCATCGCCGCATCTCTGGGCAGGGCGAGCAGGGCCCGAGGACGAGCGCCATCGCATTGCCGTATTGTGTACACTGTATCGCCGCCCTGCATAGATACCAAGCTCGAAGCTGCTGAGTATAGCTCAGGAGTGTCGACCATGATACTGTGCAGGTGGGGTATCCTGGTAGGACTATCCTATCAACAGTTATTTGCTGTTTCAAAAGAGAACTCAGAGCACATCGAGGACTGCGCTGAGCTTCATGCTTTGCGCGAAGTTGACAAGACGTTCTGTGCGCTTGTCACGCCACGGGCGTTCCGCACCATCTATGTCACAATAGACTCAAGACTGCTCGAGGTCTGTAGAAACTGTCAGAACACGTCCGAATGTCAGCTAGGTGCTGACGCAAGTCTTGAGTGAGCTTGCAAGCCGAAGAGGTTGGATCACCCTGAGGGTCAATGCACGGTGTGCTTGAGGTGTGCCGAAAAGCGCTAGCCAGAGTAGTAGTTACTAAGCTAGAGCATCCCAGGTAGTTATACGAGCCTCTCCAAGACGGGCTCCTTGGGAGTAAACTTAGGTCCGCATGAGTTTCTGGGATGGATATTCTGAGAAATATTGGCTGGTGACTGTAAATCGTGAGGTTCCGATATGGATAACGTGGCAGTCCCGTAACACTACTCGGGGAGTTTGCCCTCTGGCCAGCTAACATTCGGCGGAGTGTTCACCTCTCACTTGATCGAGGGTGTTGTGTTGTAGATGCAATCTCGTGGATCACTTTCTACGATACTTTCCTTTTTTGTTTGCCCGCTCCCCTAAACTACATTACACACGCGCTACACGTGCTCTTACCGGTCCTTTCTCTACACTGGAGTCTAGTAGACTCTACACGATGGAATTCGGAGAGTAAGCACATCCCACTCGTGTATCGCAGCCTCTCATACTGACTCTCTACCTGTAATACTAGTCATTGCCTTCGTCCGGTGTTTCTGAATAGACTAATCCCCTGAAGTAGACATAACTTTACAATAAATTTTCTGTAGCTACCATAACTTTAAAATAAGTCTCGAGCCACTTATGAACTTTTTTACTCTATCTTTCACATAAGTTTTGTGTAATTCTCGCCAGTTTATTGGAAATTGCATCCAGTGTGACGTTGACAACGATCGCGAGAGGGCGCTAGGGAGCGCTGGCTGTCCCCTTTTGGCTAGCGCTTATGGCCGCCCAACTTGAAGGTGTGACCAGCGTTATTCAGTCATTAGAATCCAAAGCCTGGTTTTCTGCTCATGGAGTCAGTCTACTGAACTTCTGGTTCGAAGCGACGGCGATGTAAGACAAGGCCTCATTGCAGGCGTCGTATAACTTCATGTTGAGTGAACCATGGATTCGACGCGTTGCAGCATCTGCCAGGTATGCGTGCCTCTAACTCGCTGATACGCCGTTGACACCTCCTTCAGCTCTGGCACATCTGCAGGCTGTTTCGCAACCCATCCACGATACTACTAGCCCACTGTTCTTTAAACTTTACTTAGGGCGTTCCCCATCCAGTCGCTGTAGACGATTTGAGATCCCGCCTGTAGCGGACTACAGCGCTTTCGGTGGGTCGTATTGTTCGCTGACATGTGAAACCAAGGCTGGGCGTTCTTGACATTTCCGCAGAGCTTTCTGGTAAGTAGATGCCGCGGTGCTCGCCTGGCCATTTTCACGAGCTCTGCTTACCATCAACTCACGCGAGAACATGATCTTGCTTTTTTTGGCTCGACTTTGGCTTGGATCTTCACTCTTCCTCTGATTTCTCTCTGCTAATATGCTATACGCAACGACTCTTTCGGCGTCAACGCTGATAAGCTGGTTCTCCGCCGAGCTCTGGATTCACCTAACGAGTGTTCGCTTGCCGCATGCTTGCTATCAAGGGGAGTAGAGGTATCGTGTAATTAGCCATGACGTCCACGGCGATTGAGCGTCGTTCTGCAGGCGACTGCCTCCGACTTTGTCTACAAGTACGTACTGGTTTCTTGTCATCACCGTTGTCGTCGTCATGTTCTGATATCTGGATCCACCCAGATGGGGCAGCTTGCCTGCCTTTTTAGGTTAGCCAATGTGGAACATGTCGGGGCTCATTTTTTTCCTGCTAATAACTCGCCCGCCTTATACACACCGACCCGCGGATGGTTCTTGAATGATTGAACGTTAAGCTGCTTCAAGCTTCTAGTGGTGCTCGACGGCGTATCACGTACTCAGGAGTACTTGTTTTCATCGTGTCCCCGAACGATCCCGAGGATCTTCAAGGCTCTAGCCCGGTAAGCCACAGACCGCAAAAGCCAGATTTATGACCGATTTGGGGCGCTCACGAACTATTACGGTGATCCGTCGAAATCCTGGGTTTATCTCGGGGCGGATATCCGGTAGTACGGTTTCGGGTGATACAAGCAATACAACACGATGCGCGAGTACATTGTTCTAGAAATCCACTGCAACTACACCTTGCTCAAACACGGACGTGCGCGCCGTCCGAGGGAGGCTGTGGCGTGGTGAGACAGGCGAGCGTGGGCAGGCAGCGAAACGGGACGTACTGGAGCGGTGATACCGAGGACGCGGGCGAGGGCGTCGAACTCGGTGGTGGTGGGGTGCTTCGACCCCGTGCAGACTGCGCGCGCTTGTCAAAATCAAGATCAGATGGCGGAAAGAGGAGGCGCACTATCGACGACGTGCTGCTCGGAAGTGCCGAGTTGAGAGGCGATCTGCTCATAGGACAGGCCTGTATAGGGTTGTCAGCGTAGAATAGCAGGGTGGCGAGGGAGCAGACCTTTCCTGTCCTTGGCGGCGGCGAGGGCGGTGCACTGAGGATTGGGGGCCATGGTCGTGGACGGGTGTGGTCGTGGTGCAGACGGAGCAATTAGATGGCGAGACTTTATAGCAACGGACTGGCCCAAGACTGATCTTATCCGAGCGTCTATCTCCGAGCCCGGTATGGGCAAGGGCCTTCTCCTTTTGGACGATGATCGGCGCGTGAGATCGACTGGGACGAAGGTGGGAGTCTGCTTCAAGTCCTCACGGGTGTTCTCTCTCATCGCCCACCGCTCCCAGTCTAGCACACGATGGCTGCCCCAGCAGAGATGACCACCCTCGACATGAGCGGGCACTTCACCATGGTCCGTCTTCCCCTCTCCCGCGCGCATTTCTCACAGCCCCGACCCGCGCCCGCAGAACACCTCGCTCAGCGACGACTTCGACACCATCCTCCGGCTCCAGGGCGTCGGCTGGTTCACACGCAAGGCAATCGGCCTCTCCACCCTCCACCTCCACTACAGCCACTACACCGAGCCCGCCCCCGACGCCCCCGCCCTAGAGTACCTCGACGTCGCCCAGTCCCTCAGCGGCGGCATCGGCGGCACCTGCGAGCCCCGCGTGCTCGACTGGGCCCTCCACCCGTACGAGGACGACGTCTTTGGCCCAGTCGTCTTCCGCTCCCGCCGCCTCCACCTGCGCGCCCCCCCGGACGGGTTCGACCTCGGCGCGTTCCTCCTCGATGGCTGGGCGGAGGACGTGCACGTGCACGGCGCCGTGTACACCATCGCGGAGAGCGCCGCCGCCCGCGGCGGACGCGCGTGGCGCGCAGTGCAGGTGCGTTGGCGTGTACCCGTGTCATATGTCTCCGTCGCTGATGCAGGCCGGTGGCAGGTGTGGGGGTTCAAGGACGTCAACGGCGAGCGGCGGCACGCCCGCCACATCGACTTCACCGGGCCCCAGGGCGAGAGGGTGCTGACGAAGCTCGTGTATGACTACCGTGCGTTCTCTCCTCCCTGCTCCTGCGTTTCCCCCCAGCAGTTTCCCGCCTCTCTCCTGCGACCGTGGACTTACGAACCTCGCAGACGGCCCCGTCCGCGCATGAAGGCCCCTTGCTTCAACAACGGAGACACACGCGTCCCCGTTCACGTCTCTAAATGCAGTATAGACGACAGCGGAGGTGACTTGGCGTGCATCAGATAGATACCAAACGCGTGCGCTACGGACACCAGACTGCAGATGAGCGCATGTATGTACACCTAGAGCGACAGACATTTTGTACAAATAGAATCATCGATGCACCCCCCGCAGCGGAGCGTCCTTCCGCGGGTACGACGTGCCACGCCGTCCCGCCCGCCAAAGCACACGGCGGTGCGATACCGCGCAGCGCACTCCCCCACCCGCGCGACGGGGTTATACAAGCGGCGAGCACGGCAGCTTCAGCCTGAGAGCGATAGACGGCGGAGCCGGAACGAACGGCAAAAGTAGACTGAACAGAACGCGGTGGCGCGACGGGCGGAGAACGCGGACGACTCATTGCTGGGAGGAAGGCCGACGTTCGCGCCGCCGCGCACGCGGGAGGGGTGGAAACCTCAAGAGTGACTCATTGCAGGTCCCACGTCGGTGAATGACACCTCGAGCACCGTACATCGCCACCAACGGCACACTGCTGGACCGCGAAGCTCACACCGCCCGCGCACAGCCAGTTCAGCGTAACCCGCACATCGAGCGTCCACTTGGAGTTCTGAGTGCCATCGCACATCCTCTCGCAGGCCGGGAGCTCGAGAGCCACGGACCGCGAAGCCAGCGTGTATAGCAAAATTGACTGAACACGACCAGAATACGAACGTGCGGGCGGAGGGGAGCCGCGTGCAGACGTCTCCGGGCGAGTCGTTCAGCGCGAGAAAAATCTTCCCGCAAATTCGCCGGGGAGGGAGGAGGGAAGAAGGGGACGGGGAGGCAGAGTCGCGTGGAGGTAAGACTGACGCTGCCGCGAGCACTGCCAGCGCGCAGCATCCTCGGCACCTCGGACTCTGCAAATGGAGACAAAGGCCAGACAATCTGCGAGACCCTAAGAGTGGGGTCTAACTCACTTTGTCAGGGCGTACGTGGTCCGCCCCCAGGAGCGGTGGCGTGACGAACACTGGGGACAGGGTGTAAGATGTGGGTAGCCTTACAGTGGGGCGTAGCGTATACACTACTACAGGGCTGAACGCAAAAGATGGAATGCTGGCCATTCGGTAGGCGGGCGCTTAGTCACCAGTATGGCCGCCTGTCGATGACGGAATTCGCACTCACCTCTAAGCATTTTGACGGTTTTCGTAATAAAGTGGACCACCGCAACATCTGCGCAGGACCGTGCACACCATGTCTGGACAATGAGACCTTACCCAGAGCTCGACACTACGAAGCTGGAGGGCTCAAGTCTAAGTGTGTGAGCAAAGGCACCCAGATCCTACCGCAGTACCTGATGCAAAGCAAAAACGCCATGAGAGATTGATTCGCTTGTTCAAGCGTGGTCTGTGAGTATTATGCCTGCGCGTTCTGCACCTACTGCGGAACTTTCCCGTCGATTGACCGAGTGCGACCCGGACTCTGCCTTGCCGCCGTTCTCGCACCGCGATACACCTAGTCTGCCTTCGTTCGAAGGGTCCGAACCGTAGTACACGATTTCGGAGTTACATAAGCAAAATGATCTCCGAAACGCGTCCCGTAGATCTGGTGTAACGCGACGCGTCGCCGCCCTGTGGTCTGGCGCGACCGTCGGGCAAAACTTACTGTAGTACCACTTCATTGTATGCTCGCTCTAATGTCAGCATGGACACAACTTTCATCGGACCGCAATCTTTTCAGTTCAGTTCACCTGAAGGATATATTTTATGTCGTCATATCCTCTCAAATTTCCTACTTTCTTTCTTTTCACACCTGGCTGTGGTAACGTACTTGCACTGCCAGGATCCACATTCTCATCATTCTTTCATTTTTGTGGTCTAGTTGGGGTCGCAGGGGTCTGCGGGATCGGCCTACGATGTGGATGCGGACTCTGCGAGATGGACATGGGGAGTAGGGAAGCAGGGGATGGGAAGGCGTGGCGAAAGATGCAGCACCAAAACCAACTGTCGGGCCATAGAAGGTAGGACTTTCCGAGTGCAAATATCGGCTAAGGGTTGGACTAGAGAAATGGTAGGGAGTACTGGATGCAGACACAGACTGAGGTACTAACAAAGTAGGAGGCGCGGTATACATTGAGTCTGTGGAAGACGAGAGAATGGAAATAGCTTGCAGTGTATCATAAGAAGGCGCATCCTCAACAGATTTATCTTGAAATTGACTGGGAAACATGCCGCAAGTGCACGGTTTGCGTGGACTCGTCGACGCGAAGAGCAGCGTCGGTACTGTACATCTCACGTTGGATCTCTTTCGATCAGGAACTCGCGGCCGGCACTGCGGCCAGGGCTTCGGCATCGGCTCGGCATGTTGAATTGCTGTACTACGGTTCGAGGGGCGCGTTCGAAAGCAGACCTTTATTCTGACCGTCCTCCCCACCTCAACAAGGTCGATATTGGTTTGCCTTCGGGAGACTACGATACACCACCTATCGTAGCGGCGCGAGCGCTATTCCCCGACTCCATTGGAGGCTGACGCGCGGTCACACTTTCACATGAGGGGTTGTGATTAATACGCAGTAAGTAGAAGTACATAAAGTAGTAGCTACGAAAATGTGTGTGTTTCAAGGGAATGCTGTTCGTAGCTACACCAATAAAGCATCGTCATCACTAGGTAATGAAGTTAGTGGAATAGGTATAGTGTCTATAGTGGCAAGCATCTATTTGAACAAGTGAACAACCATAGATGCACCTATTTTCCAGCTACACTGGTCAGAAACAGTTGCAAAAAATGAGAAAACTATGTCTTCAAGAGAGCAGGTCCACGTAGATTCTACATGGTTTAGTGGTGGATCATTAGATTAGTAATAATACGAGAAGAGGAATACACGCACATGCAAAACAGAATGATGTGCAAAGGCCCCGTAACGTTCGCGAGCGCGATCTTACGTAAATAGACCTGTGCTCGAAACAAGTCCAGTGCAACAGCGACGTTCGCGACCAGTACTTAGTCGATTGTTACCACTCGCTTGACATCTGTCACGACAGAGAACATCATTCTTCTTTGAAGCTGTCACAAGCTGTCACACCGGAGTTCTTTGGAAGAAGGATGTCATTTACCACGTGATCTTGGCAAAACGAGACAGGCCAAATTGGTCGGCCGACTTTCCTTTTCTCTGTCGCTGTACTACACACCGTCGGTACCGCCAACGTTCTCGGTACCGTCGCTCGGCACCGCCTTCAGCATGCTCCTGCTGCTCACTGTGGTGAGAACGGTATACTGTGCCATGATATCGTCTCTTGCAATGCCTCCTGCCCCTCCATGGTTTACTCTTCGTCTCAGCTTGCTGCGATAGCTGCAGCCGAGCAAGCACTCCTCTCTGCTGAACTTACTGCCAATGATCTGCATGGACATTTGAATGGTCATGACTATACCCCCCACTCTAGCTCAGTGTCACCACCTTCCGTGTACTCCGACCTTACTCCGCCTCTCCCAGCTCCTGCATGTCTTTTTACTGCTCAAGAGATCTCTAGCCACCTCAACCGGCTTAACCGGGAGTCTGTCCTCCATGCAATTGCTGATCATGCAATTGGCACATTGGTGGAGTATCCGGAGACTGGAGCTCTTCACGGCGAGGCCCTCCTTCACCGCTTTCATATTGATTCTGACAATTTCCTGCATCCAAAAGACAACTTTCAGTACTCTCTGGGCTCTAACGGTGGCCATCCCTCACTCCTGTGTTTTTTCCTGACTGACCCACAGGATGGCACGCCAGTGCCATGCTCCCATGTTCATTCCAAATGTGAGTAGACCTCGCAGTGTGTCTTATTTGGACCATCTTACAATGTGAATAGGTCAGGGATTGAAGACGTGTGATTTTCATGAGCACACTATGGCGACGGCGGGTTTGCAGCTAACCATACATCATTCCCACTCCTCTGATGCACCATCCACTGCTCTCGATGCACGATGAGAACTTTTTGAGAAGACTTTTGGCTTCTACTGTGCGATCCGGGATGCTGGATGTGCCTTTGCAGTTGAACACAACGCAGGTGAGAGTATGGCTGAGGTTGAGGAGGATGGGAGTGATGATGGTCTGAGTGGCGATGAGGTTATGGAGATGGAGCGTGATTGTAGGGCACCTGAATCTAGGACATGCCGCGGATGCGTTGTTATGTGCATAGATAATTATAATCATGCATTTCTACAGTGAGATTTCAGTTGCATCTAAGCTCTATGATCTTTTTGAACATATGCATAAACCAGATGTGAACATCGCAAGAAAGGCCAGCGTGCACATCTCATTATCCGTGACCTGACGGCCTACAATATGAATTATCTGATGGCCCTTTTTCACAATGATCGGGCCAAGTTCGGCGAAATTGAGCTTAATGCTCTCACGTATGGTTATGGCCCACTCGTTCCTTGCAACTTTGCGGACTCCCCTCGCAATCAGAAACAACGTTGCCGTGAGTTGGCTTCACTTTCAGCGGAGCCCAATATTAACCTAAAAGTTGAATGTCTTCTAGCACAATGGCATCGCTACGCCGATGGCTCTCTCCGACGTGGAACATTACAGCGGCATATCAAATGTCACTCAACCTTTGATATCTACGTGCCTCACGACATTAAATCTTGTGCCTACATCGTTATAGTGTGTCGCCATCCACACTCACATCCAGATCCGCTGTGCACCAAGACTCCCCCTCTCTACCTGCATATCTTCAGATCTCTCCTGTGTGATCTACAGTGGCGGCTTGCAGATGCAACCCCTCGTAAAATATCTACGGATGTCAGCTTTGTGGCTGGGTTGCGACGTGTACTCAACTGGACCACAACTCACGACCCTGTCCTCTCTGACCTGCATCCATCTTTTGGGAACCAGGACCATGTGACGCGCCTCATTGATACCTTGCGCCAGGAATATTATCCAATGGGAACAGATTTTGAAGGTACAGCAGACAAAACCTATCTACCCTAACATATTAACGTCGTCTAGGGGTCCGGCGCCTGGCCGAGGAACATTCCAGACTCCCCCTAGCTGACCAGTACATTCGCACTGTGCGGGAGGTCACATTAGTTGGGGACTTGCGGCCCTTACAGATTGTGGTCTGCATGTTTCCTGAGATGAGCAGTCTACTAATGGACTCCAAACGTCCATCGATAGACACTTCATTCCGGCGGGTTTCTGGGTGGGAGGAGTTTGAGATTCAAACATGGAATGATGAAACTGCCAAGTGTAAGGACACTTTTTTTTCTTCTCATGGAGGTCTAATTCATGGTCATTGCAGCCGTGGTGTGTGCTCGAGCGTTCATCACATCTCAGTCAGCAGCGGCACATCTTACTCTTTTTAAACTCATCTTCGACATTGCAGAGTCTGACACAGGCCGCTCTGTTCACTTCTTTCACATCCATGGTGTCGGTATAGATACTGTATCTGCAGATGCACACAAAGGACAAGCCTTAGGTATGTCTCCCTGACCCTTTTTCATCAAATGACTCAGCAACTCTGTAGGCTTTGGTCAATTCCTTCAATACCTCTGTCAATCTCTGGTTGGCATGTGCCCCATCGAGCCAGAATGACCACTCAAGTCCCTTGGACCATATGAACACCTGAAGCGGTGCTTCCGTGTTTGTAATATACATTACAAATGCGGGGTGTGGGTCAAGCGTACTCAGTTGACTCCGACTGTTCGTCAGGCCATGCTATCCCTTCTGTCTAGTGATGACATTCCGGACTGGGATGGAATATTGGCTATTATCCGCAATGGAGGCAAAGTCACGCAGGGTGCGTTCTTGCATAATCTTCTAATGGTCTGACACCAGACAATAACGGCGGATGATCCAGCATGGCTAACTGATAAGGAAAAGACACCGTTCGCATGGGCGACAATCTATAGGCCTAAAAGTCTGATCTCTCGTGAACGCTGGCTTGCGGCACCTCCGGATACCAACAGTAATGAGCAAGGGCACCGTGACATCAACCGTGATGGTGTTCAGCTATCACTACTCGCTGGGGTAGAGATCGGCTCCCACTATGATGGCCGAGCAATCACCGCGTTCAGGCCCTTGCTAGCTGGGTAATGAATAGATCGGCCTAGGCGATATGGTTGGTCGATCCAAGGGCGTGCTCTCCTTCAGATAGCAAATAGGTGTGAGCACGCGGGAAAGCCCGATACAGTTGCGCGTCTGCCACATCAGGCATTCTCGATACCAGCTACATCCCGACTAGCTCAGTAGTTCATCATATGTTCGGCACCTCTAAATACATCAAATTTTTACCTGTCAAAAAGTTACTGATTCATGCGCGAAGTTGCTCGACTTCTGAGGTGGGGACTTACGTGGCTTCAATCTCGAGTGAGTACTAGTACTTTGACCTTTCCCGTCAATCAACCACCTCCTCGCTGCGCATTTGGGACCCCACACAACACTCACATTGGAACTGCAATACACCCACATACGAAGTAGCCGTGCATATACGTACGCTGTGTAGTGACGCGAAGGAACAGGTCGCGCATTACACTTAAGGCTATGTCGCACGCGAGACCGGTATGTCACTAGCCTGCACAGCGACATTTAGCTCACATGATTATAGAACACAGGCCGGTACAGGCTTGTCATGTGCGATTGCATCCGTTGTGGTGGATTGGAGGTACCGTACTACCTGTGGCAACAGCACAAGGAGCAAGATGCATTTGCGACCACAGCCTTTGCTGCGCGTGGACGTGCAAACGTAGCTTCCGCATCATCGCATGTCGTAACAGGTGTAACCATGGCCTCTCGTGGTCGAGGACAAAGGTACGGACCCACTGCAGCACTACGCGGATGAGGGGTATCACTTCGAAGTCAAGGTGTGGGCCGAGGCAGCACCCTCCCGAGCATTCCACGCAAGTGATCGAGTTCACCTTCATTTCATTCGGGTCCGCTTCCACACCCTACAGCTCGTGCAGCACAAGCAGCATCTTTCCCACTCATGGGTGATGTTCCTATGGAGCCTCTTGGACCAGATATTCCCGATGATTCCAACCCTTTATTCGACATGCGCACCCCTTCACCAGTCACATTCGCGGCATCAGTTGACCCAGATGCAGTTGGAATATCCCCCGCTTTGCATTCCCACACTCCTGTTCACATGTCGCGAAGTCCTAGTCCCCTCCTTCAGGAACGCGAACTGGGATATTATGAGGACCCCGATGACGAAGAAGTCCAGCGTGTCCTTAGGATGTCTGGTCTGGACCCGGAGAGTGTCCCTGTCATGGGCAATGCTGACATGTCAACTCCAGAACGACAAGAGAGCGTCACAGCAGCCGGTGCAGAAATACGTGCGACCTGTGTCGCACAGCCTCCAGAGCATGAGCTCGACGATCCGGATTCATTCATAGATACAAGGAAGTTACCGCCGCTCGGAACGCGGCTATCTGATGAACGCGCATATCTCGAATCCCATCCGAAATGGTTCGTACGTGCAATATTGATGGTTGTGGGTATCCTACACACAAAGTACCATGTTACCTTTCGAGCGTCGTCGTTGATTCTTTACGCAATCCGCGCGATTTTCATCGCACTCCGCCTGTTAAACAAGGACGACTCGATGCCTGCAACGCTCACCACTCTCCTGAAACGCCTCGATTTGAAAGATCGCTTCCATGTTCTACCTGTTTGCAAGGCATGCAAATCTCTCTTCGAGCCGACGATCAACCGCAAGTCAGCATGCCCTAAATGCGGGGAGAAGTTGTTTCCTCCTAGCGAACATGCAGCGGTTCGCGAGCTTCGACGTCTTCTTGGCAGAGATCCACCCAAACCTCCCCCCATTCTCGCGGCTCCGTATGCACCACTCTCAGCTGAGATCGCCGACTTCTTAAGTCACCCTGGTATGGACAAGGAGGTGGTGGCATGGGAGACAGAACCTTCACTTCCAGGCAGGTACTCACGCATCATGGATGGTGATGTTTGGAAGACGCTTCCGGGTCCTGACAAGAAGCCATTCTTCAGTAAGGACGAAAGTAGGCTTCCGGAGATTCGGATTGGTGTGTCTATGAGTCTGGATTGGTACGTTGTTCTCTGCGACATGTGTACATAATAATGGGGCTCATGGTAATCATTATCAGGTTCTCCTGCTCACGTACATCTTTTGCGCCATCGCATTCTTCAGGCCCGATGGCCTTTTGCGTACAGAACCTACGCGAAAGTGTCAAGTTAGTCCCGTTTATTTGGTGTAACTTGCATTTGTACTTGCTGATTTCTCGCCAGATATCGACCACAAAATATCCTCGTTTGTGCGATGACGCCGGGTCCTACAGAACCAACAGCGGAGCAAGTACAAAATTATCTCAAGCTTGTTGTTGATGACTTGTTGAATCTGTACGAGAACAGTGTTATCATGAAGACGCCTTCACATCCAGATGGTGAGTCCACTCTATTTGTACGAAAATATTACCAACTAACATGGACTCAAGGTATCTGTGTTCGTGTTGCCCTCGTAGCTGTTGTCTGCGATCATCCTGCGATGTGCAAGGTCAGTGGGTTCGCCGACAAGAATCATGCTGAGGTACCGTGCACGAAGTGTCATGTGAAGCAGAACCAGATGTTCTCGGACGAAGGGTTATCCAATGGTACTTAGTCATTTCCAACTTGGCATGCTTGGCTGACACACCTCAATAGGTTTTCCACTGCGCAATGGTGAGGATCACAAGCGGTTAGCACGAGAGTGGAAAATGCTGTCATCAGAGGCAGAGCGTGCTGAGTTCTTCAAGGCTCACGGTGTTCGCTGGACGGAGCTTGCTCGCCTACCGTATTTCGACCCAGTTCGCATGACCGTGATAGACCCCATGCACAACTTTCTACTTGGTGAGCAGGGAACAAGCCTGCGTGATTATATGCTTATCAGACTTCACAGGTGTTGTTAAAAATCAGTGGTACGGGCGATGGATAAAGTATAATGCTCTCCGTGCAAACACTCCAAAGATGAAGCGTGAACTCGCTATCATGCATGAGTTTCTCGAGACGGTGAGTGCAAAACGATGTATACAAATCAACCCTTCTGATATAAATTATCAGTTTGAGTCACCTCCATGGGTGGGACGGCTTCCGCTCCATGTCGGCGAACCTGCCGGTGGATCGCTTTCTGCAGATGAATACAAGGCTCTAGCTATTACCGTTGGCCCCCTGATTGTAAGTCTCTTTTACTAGTGCTTCGTGAATAAAGAAGCATTATTTATTATTCTGTAACAATGTAGCTACCGGTGATATGGGAAGAGTTCTGTCCAGAAGCAAAGGAGGACCATCAGAAAGCACTGAAAAAATGGAGAAAGGCAAAGAAGAAATGAGAGAAGGATACACAGGAATGGGAACGCATCCAGCATGCACAGGAGACATCGGCCAAGACGACAAGGGGTGATGTCACTGCATCATCATCGACAGCAGAACAAGTACCCCAAAGCAAAATCGGCCAGGAACAGACATCAGGAAGAGTTCCGGAGGTGCCTAGTTCTACGGCAACTCGAGAGGGAGCTTCTTCAAGTATGGTTGCATCCACGAAAAAGGGCAAGAAGGTCAAGGACCCTGGTCCGGCGCTCGAAGAGCCTCGTCCACGCCTGCAGCCTGAGGAGATGCAAGCTTACATGAAGCTTGCAACGGCTTTAAAGATCCTTCTCAGCGGTTCAATCTTCACGACACAGATTGACCGCGGTGAAAGTCTTCTCTTCAATTACTTGCGCGATTTTAAAAGGGTACGCACGCACATCACATATGAATGTCTGTGTGACTGAACTCAAATTTCTAGCTGTATGGTGGTGACGGGCTGATGCCAAACCATCATTTCGCGGTTCATATAGCCGCACAGATACGAGATTATGGACCAGTCTACAGTTTCTGGTCCTTCCTACCTGAATGACTCAACAAACTTCTGAAAGGTTTTCATTTGAACAATTGGGGTGGCGGGCAACTGGAGATCAGCATGTTGCGTGCCTTCAAACGAGATGCACAGATTCACTCTATGGTAATTTACTTGTTTTAATCTGTCCTTTTGATATGAACCTCGCTGCAGGTTCATTACGTATCGCAATCTAAAGGTACATCAGATGGTGATATATCTGCTCACATTGCACAGCATCTCCTGCACGAAAATCGTGAGGCCCGTGGAACGGTTGAGTCCATTGCGCAGGAATTGGCATATGTCGCAGATGATGGTAAGATTCACCATTATGTAGTCAGCGACACTCACTAGCGTTCTTCATTAACAGTGCTATCTCTCTTGCCAATATCGCTTGACCCTCCTTCAAATCAAGGTGTCAAGCTGTCAGACTGCACTAGAGCTTCCCTCTATAAGCTCTATAACCATGATCACAAGCAAGTCTACTATCCGACAGAGGCAAATGTGCCTCGCAGCGCACACTTTCTGCAACAGTATGGTCAGGTGCATGACTATGCACTGGTTGATGGTCGACGAATTATGCCTGTGACACACTCTAGCAAATTGTCTGCTGCGTCTGCCATCGTCAAAGTAGACCTCAATGGGAATATCCTGGCTGGTGAAGTGATGTCTGTCTTCGAGCACTTTCAAGGTGGCGTTACTGGCGATATGGTCTTCGCTGAGATGCAATGGATGAAGCAACTTGATCGGGTTCCCATTTCGGATGACATCTGGAGTGATTAGTGCGTTATTATCCCTGCATTTCAGTGGCTAACTAATTTAATAATCCCGAGTCCCGAGCTTGAGACTGAATTCTGGGAGTATCAAAAATACCATGCAGATGCTGATGGCCCACCTGCGGTCATACCACTCAGGATGATTCGTTGCCAGCTTGCACGTGGAAAATTTCATTCGCCCAAAATGTGGATGACAATGTCCCTGGAGCGCGTAGGTCGTGTTTGTTATTTAATTGCACTTGTATTAATCATGTTCTATAGCATGCTGTCTCATTCACGACAGAGGATTAAGCAGAGACTTAGAACCCTTCATCAGCATCGGCATCAACAGCGAGGATATACACAAGCCGCCCTCCTCTTGGCTAGAACAGAACGGTGTCAAAACAGCGCCCTCACTGCTCATTGGCCCAAGTATTTCAGTACGTGTTCTGTATACTTCAGCCTATGCACCGTTCAAATTTGGTAACATTTGATTTCCCTACAGTACTTATTACATCGATGTAGGAGACATGAACAATGCGAAAACACGATCAGGAGTGCTACTAGAATCTCGAATGGATGCAGAAGTGGCAAAGCAGGAGAAAAGCGGCAAAGCAGGAGAAACTAAGTGCTCATCTCGGAGTCATTGCGAGATGACGATGATCTGGATCGAGATAGAGAGTGCGACGAAGAATGACGTGGAGAGCAAGTCTGAGAGTTGCGTGGAGAGTGGGTTTGAGAATGGCATGAAGAGCTTGAATGTACATCCGACCCAGGGATCAGCTCTTCCTCAGCATCAGGACTGACGTCTACTCCCTGCCGAGTTTCATTTGCACGTGTTCCGAAGCCGATGGGGTCGCCGAACGAGAACCAGTCATGCAGCATGATTGAATGCGGGTACTTATCCTTGTGTTGCTCGTACCAGTCGCGATTGATCCCAAAGTCAAATGGAGCAATAGAAGGAGGATCATCACTAGACCTATTCTCCGAGTGCACCCGTTGCTTGAACTCCTGCCGGTCCTTGGGAGGCAGGTCCTCCCAGAAGTAATCCCACAGCTTGTGTAGAATATCAGAGTACTGACGTGGTGTGTACGTCATTCAAGTTTATCACTAAATTCTTGATGCTATTGATGCACCTCCACAGAACGCCAGTTTGGCCTGATTATCTCGAAGAAGCCAAGTTTGTCAAGAACGGTATCAGGCAAGTCTCTCATCCCGGCTTCTGCTGCCAGTCGCCTCTTCCAATCCTCTTTCAGCTCGCCTGCATCTGTATCAGGTCCAGATGCCTCGTCAGACATCATCTCATGGGTAATCAATTCCGTAGGATCAACGCCATGGCGTTAGATGTAACTGGTAATGCCAAGTGCAAGCTTCTTCGACTTCTACTCATGATCATCAATAAATGTTTGCATGAGGTAAAATGTTCATTACCTGCTTGCAGCACTGCATTCTCCTCGTCTTTTGCTGATTGTGTCGCAGTAACACACGCTTCCCATCCTCGACCTGTCCACGGTAGGCCTCCTTGTACCCATTCCATGATACCTTCGCAAGCTCATACACGGTGTCAGCCGTAATTCGCATCGTTGTGTTGTTCATAAAGTCCGGGCGTGTCTTCTCATCCTGCGTACAGCGGTAAGTCAATTCCTTGATCAATGTTCTCTGGCGTTGATAAATTCTTACTGAGAGTTCAGTGTAGATGATGTCGCACACTCGTACCAGCAATCTCCAATTATCTGTATGTTTAACATCTCTGTGGAATGCGGGATTAATGTATGTTTCGCCTGTTTGCTCATTTTGTCTCTCGGGCAGGATACCGTCAACTGGAATGGGCCACTTGTCCTTGACTCCAACCTCAGTGACATTGCGGATGCATGACGAGGTAAGTTTCTGCAAGATCAGTGAGCATTACTCATCGCTATGAAGTGCATATAGCCTACCAGAATAAATGTTCTAGCTTTGCGTTGCTCTCCAGTCAGGTCGGATACCTTTCCCTTCATTATGTCTACGCATGGCTCATTCACAATGTTTGCAGTGTGGTCTTCAATGTTCTCATCCGTAGGATTAGGATGGCGACGAAGGAAGCTGCGTTTAGCCACGGCAGAGGTGCCTCGTGAGGCAGAGTGAGAACCACGTGCAAAGGATGTAGCAGCAGGATCAGTGATACTCATGGTATGTCCCTGGTGTATGCTCTGCCCTAGCTGAGCCTGACTGACACCTGGCACTGCTGGTGGGATGAACCCCGCAGCATTTTGCTGAAGCAGGGTGGTTATATGCGCAATGTTAATTCCTGGAAGAAGCTGTAGAAGTGCGGGATTGATAGCATCTCCAGGCGGGGGGGCAAATGCCGGTGGAATAGCCCCCTGGTTAGCTGGATTCGAAGGTATGTCTGTCTCGTCCTGAGTTCGTCTGCAAGATGGAGATCTAGAGCGCGAGAGCCGTTGGCGTCGACTCCTGCCACAGCTAGTGTGAGTGCAGTCACATCAATTGAACTATTTACTCACCTTTCTTTGCTTTTCTTTTTCTTCCTATTGCGTGGCTGTGTCTGGTCTTCCACATGTCGCTGCCTGTCTTGCCTCCCGCGGGTAGGTCCACTGTCTCCTCTCTAGTTGTGTGATGTGGCTGATGACTCTACAGTGGAAGTGTGTTCGAAGGGCATCCCCTGTGGTTCTCCGGCAGGTTGATTTCTTTGCCATTCTGCTGTGCATTGCTGACGGATCTGCATCAGGTACTTCTCTTGAATCGCAGCTGACATGGTTGGCCAAAGTGCTTGCATTACGGGATCTAGGATATTGGCTGGAATTGAGCTCATGGTGAGTGATATGCAGTTCCGTGTCTGTTTGTCTGTGCGCTAAGCATCCGGCGAGTGTAGGGTGAATATTAATTGTGAGGCCTGGGGGACGCGACGCTGTACGGTCACATGATCGTATATTATCTTATCTTATCTGTACCTATATACAGAAATGGATGACGTTCTCACAATTGGTCTAGACATGAATCCGTAGTTACTTCGAGAGGTAGTACACAAACTGTATATACATGCTGATGATTCAAACAGGTGAGGGAAGATTGGCTGGGGACATCTATTTGGATGCTAAATGCTCAGGCTGCCGGGAGTGCAACAAGTTGAATAATCTGGACCTAACGGCAGGTAGACAGACACATTTACGCCACGAATAGATGGGCTTATCGTGCACTAATTAAACGGAAAATTTGCGTGTGTTCAGACCTGTACATGGCGCAAGCACACGGGTCTTGAACGCGGTGAATGTCAGCCTACCGTCTCCATCAACATGAACAAGTCTCCTTTCATGATACAAGGTCAACGCATGCACATCGCTCACGCCGAGCAATTCTGCGAGCAGGTTTGTCATGTACCTCTGTATCATTCACAATAACATACTGAACTTCATTCATCCGCAGTAAACATTCAAAGGCGCCAGGTAGATCAGGCGAATGCTCACGCACTGGAGCTCAAAAGTGCACCGCAGAATCTTCATCCTCAGATCGCTCGCCAAGCTACACTTGTGGCATCGAAGCGAGTTGGTGATGGTGATACACAAGCGATTGAGCGAGCAGTCAAGAGGTTGAAGTCACTGGAAGATCAGCAAGTCAGTCTTCGTGCAGATCTCCACGATGCTCTCAACCGTGGTTCGGGGCGGATCAGTCACCTGCCTGCCCCCCACAATTCTGTGGCGCATCGTTCAGCCAGTGGCACTAGCACAGCATCGTCTTCCTTACAGTATATCACGTCCGTACTACCATCTCCTCCTACGTCTTTGCAGTCATTTCACTGGCCCGGGGTCCCACCTTTTCACGCTGGCGACCTAACGCCTGTCAGGCCTAGTCTGAGTCCTCACACTAGCCTCTATACCCCTTGGGCTCATCAGGCTGTGTGCGGACTCACTGGGTCCTTCCAATACTCACCGCTAGCATTCTATCCCGTGAGTGAGGATTCATCCCGCAGCTCCTCAATACTTCACGGCCGACTCTGAGACGTATGTAGAGTACTACAAACTTCTTGTTACATTGTACCAGAATGGGTGTCATATTGTGTAGTATACGTAGTTTAATCACCCGAACTTATTGCGGGGGCTCACGTAGCACAACGTGAGGTGACTTTGTGACTGAACGCGATGTGGTCTCTGGACTTTGATTATATTATATACCATATCTTCCTCCTGTGCATGACTACCACCATCTCGGCCACCTCTAGCTAGCAGTACTATGGCATGAGCATTGTCGAAGAGAATGCTACAATGACTCAGGCATGGGACTTCAGGCTTACTCTAGGCTTGCATTCACCTGACGTTCAGTCCTCTAAGGTGCCCAGTGCTCTGCCGTCTGCTGAAGAACTGATCGCGTTGTATTTTCTCTGTCTCACAGAAGCAGGATTGCGGTACATTTGGGAGGATACCGGTAATCGACCTTACTGCACCGACACATCTCCAACTCTCCACTTCCACATTGTAATCTAATGTATGACATAATGACCCTGCCCACAAATGCCTCTCTCTGCTGCCTACGTTCTCTCTAGGGATACCCCACCATATCGGGTCCTACCCATGTGCACTGCATGGAACGTCATCACATTGCAGGTGGGTGCATCTGCTTGCGGCATATTGATACGTACACTTTGAAGATTGAGACACACATGTGATGCTCTTTCACCGGAAAAACATGAGAATATATTGACCAAGCGTCATGGAAACATGCCACAGGACTGTATTATGGTGGACGTAGGCTACATTACTACAAGAATACAAGATATTGAGTCGATCAGCACACGAGAGTGACATAAGCTGCTTGTTCAAGAGCGCAGCACAACATAAATAGCAGGCACAAGAAAGAGCACAATACCAAGAATGTCGATGATATGTTTGTTTTATGTATCGGTGCTGTGAAGTGCATCTAAGCATGTTATACACAGTCTGCAATGATGGGGACATACCCGACACGATACTGCTCGTACGTCCAATACGAATTACCTAGTTGCACTGACCCGATGCAACGTGCAGTGCATAGGCTCGCTTCGAGAACCAGCGAGAGCAGCGGTTGCATGCAGCTGCAATCTCTGGCATCTCTGCCCATGTCAGCCCTTTATCAGAGTCAAAACGGCGCAAAAGTTCATCCTGTGCAGAATGCTGAGGCCCTAGCAGCGGCGGTACATTGTTAAACATAGCCTGCAGAGCGTCATGCACGTCAGGCAGTGAGAACTCGCGATTGGTGTCAGCGCGATGCTCAATTTCGTCAACAAAATTGAGCGTGGCGAAGATATCGTCAACTGGGTGTTCAGTCAGATCGTTGTGTACATTGATATGAGTGTGCATGACTTACCCACGGGACTCCCAGATTGAGAGTTTATCGGTGCAGAAACCGGTGAAGGTGGGGGTGGGGGCAGCATGGCTACTGAAGCCAGAGATGATGGCAAAGCAGGAGGGGATGATCCCAAAGGACTAGAGGACGGTGGAGAGGGAGGTAAGGAGCTTCCAGATGAAACCACGGAGATCACAGTGATGTCTGGGGAAATGTCTGGCAAACTGACTTGTCGCTCTGGCCTGTCACTAGACATGGGCCTTGCTAGGGGGGAGTCAATCACTACGTACCTCTGCGGGATGAGAGTGGAGACCAACGGTACCTATCGCACTCTTCAAGAGAAGAAGAGCCTGCTCTGAGGCTACATGTGCGCTCCAGTGCCTTACCCTTCCCGATGCCTCTGGTAGGGCGTGATGCTAAGGTAGGCAGTGGGGGTAAGCTCAAAGGTAAACGGTGGGGATTCTCCGGGCTCGGAGGTGACAGCGGTGGAAAGTTCTCCCTCAAGAAATCGTCAAAGGCCTGAGAGTCGGACGGGGGTGACTGAACAGATGCAAGTGTCAGAGCCTGTGCAGGGGGGGTCTGAGGCATTGAGGATGTTGACGCGATGTAAGGAGGGGGAGGTGGCATATAGAGAGCCGGAGAAGGAGGGACGGGAGTCTCGGGCCACAAAGGGGCCGATGGAGCAGCAATGCTCGCCCGATAGAAAACGGTGTCATATGCTTTCTTCGGTATGACTATGTGTACCATTAGTCCTGTGCTTCCTGTTCGAAAACCCACGTAATTGTGTACTTACCGAAGTAACCACACCGGTTAGGCTGATATCCACAAGTGAGAATATATTGGCCACAGAGATCGCTGTCTGGCTTGCGAACTTCCACACATCGAGCACGAATGGCAGCGCCTTCTACAAGCGTGCAGAAACAATAGACGGGAAAGTGCGTACGACGGTCCTGGTACCACATTTTGAAATGTTGAGGCAGGACGGGATGTCCATTCTCACAGGGACTAGCATGGCTCCATTAGTCAGAGCAGGCTAATGAATCAGAGGATCGGTCAAAAGAACTCACTATGCAACACGAACTGTCGCTTGATCTTGTAAGTCAAAACTGATGAGGTCAGTGGGATGACAGCTCTGGAATAAAATGCAAGGGGCTACAATGTCGCAGTAGTTGATAGACTCGGAGCATTCGTCGGAAGTCCCAGCATGATTGGATGTATGGGAGTCACCAAACATGGTAAAGTTGGCGGAAGCCTCCTGAGAGCGTGCCAGCGGAGAGGAGAGCTTGGACGGAGACATGAGAATCAAGGCTAACGGGTGCTGTTGTACACGAAAATTCTCCACAGTCTACCTTTATATATGGATCAAGAGTAGTCATTGTCTGATAAACCTAACAAGTAAGTAAATTGTTATCGACGACATGTCTGACGAAATTGACACACCATTGGCCCCTCTCGAGCTCATTGTTGTCAATGTCCCGCCCTCGATGCGGCTATGGTCAACCTCCAAATGGAAACGATGCTCACCGGGGAGAAGACAATTGTCAGGGCCGACAATAGGACGGGACCGACCCGTAACTACTGGCATCTCGGTGCATCGCACAAAGAAGACTGCTCTATATGGTAACATGCAGGAGCACGCGCCACGCCCCCGACAATCCTACTTTGTCCGAAACCCGACACCTGCCAGATCAGTGGTAACAATCGACCCACTACTCGTTCGCGACCGGAACCCTAGACGGAGTCAAGACTCAAAATCGTAAGTGTTATTACTCAACTTATTTACTCATGTTGTTTTCGGGCAACCTCACTCGCAGAGGCGTCTGCCGTTTCCCCTTGCCAAAGCCCTCCTCCAGTTCCTGGAGTCGGGGACGACGTAGCTGACCTTTGAAGACGTGGGTGACATGCACGCGGGATGCAGAGTCTACGACACGACGTGGATGCAGCGGGCGGAGGGCACAACAGAAAGCAGACACTGCATGGTCGCGCGCCAGATACGAAGGGAGAGAAACGGAAACGAGGAGAGTTGGCCGCGCGAGATGAACGAACACCGGCAGGAGACGCGGACAAATGCAGACATACCAGACACGCAAGTGCAGATGTGCAGGCGAGTACTCTTGTCACTCTGCGGCATGTTTCGACTTACGGCTGAACATGCAACTGCTCAGCAGCTCAAGTTTGTGCATGTCACCATTCAACCAGCTATATGCTTATGTCTGCACTCCGCAGTAGTGGAGAAGGGGGCTTATGCTTGTGAGATGATGGATCAGAGCAGATTCATGTGCTGACACTGGTGGTGCTCCTGATGCTAACTGAGGATATATGAATGTCTAGAGCCACACAACTAACGGATGCCTTCCTGCAGGATCTGGAGACTCTCCAAATCATATGTTGGAGGTTGAAAAGAACCACTGTGTTGGAACAGCAAGATTTGCAAAACCACAGCAGTGTGACATCAGTATTTCTAACTCAAGTTTTAGAGTCAGACAATAAAAGCGGAATGATATGAAGGGTGGTAGCCAAGGAGGTCAGGTGTCGACATGGTGAGAGTCAAGATTTGCATTTCAGAAAGATGTTTTGAGTCTGCAGAGAGGGTACACCCTCTGCAGGCAGCAGGTCTGACATTTAGAAATGGGTCACTACATTCTCATGCCATGCAGAGATCAATCTACTGACATGCTGCAGTGATTTAAAGACAAGTTTTACTTTCAACCATTTCTATATAGCTGCAGAAGAGCATCCAATAAGTAAGTGCATCATCTAAGTGCAAATAAACACTGCTGGTACAAAATGTGATGAAATGTGACAAAAATATGTGATGTGACACATGACACATAATCTATAGATTTTTGACCAATCTAGACAGGTTTTCCTTTTTTGGATGGTTCAAAAAATCTCAGAAATTCCCATAAATTGAGAAAAAAATTGCAAGTAAGGTGACTAAAAACCATTGTGACATGTGACTGTCTGGATTGGCCATAAACCTATAGGGGCTTTGAGCATGCCATGACATGACTAGAGGAGTTACTCTAGCTCTCATATAATGCAACAAGATGGACAAGAACACAAAGAGATATGTAGAGGCATGCTACAATGTAGTCAAGTAGACCAACTCTGCATTTACTGTACCAGCCTGTACGATAGCAACTGTCACATGTCACAAAGCCTCCAAAAGTTGCTTATTTGAACCTCAGTCACACATCACGGTGGAACCTCAGTGACATGTCACAGCCCTTCAGTTACTATTTTAGATGTCAATTTTGAGTGTCACAGTCATCCACCCATTGCTACCATACAGACTGGCACAGTATTGCTGAAATATATGGCTGACAAATACAAATATTTGTAGTCATGTGATATGTCACAACATGTCAACTTGATGTTGATTGTTCTCCTCTGCTCTCATCCTGCCCATCACCATAGTCATACCATCTCCCTAATGAAGTGTGCATCTTGATTTTCAATTCATTAGTTTCGAGCACACCTAACATGGCATCAATTTCTAGCATTTTTATTCTACGTCAAAATTAATGCGACTTGTCAGTTCAAGCAGGACACCTCCAGTGACGGTAGTTCTCTCATTAGAAAGTACCATTGACATCGCAAAAGATGTGATACAACCAGTTCTCATTGGTTGTGAATAGGAGATGTGCAGGGCAAAGTTGAACAGTTGGACGATGCTCTATCAGGTGCGAGTTTTTTCTTCGTTGTTTGAAGTACATTATGATGCACTGGCAATGGTCAAGTTGTCTACATTGGACGCCATACTAGTATGCATGCAGTGCATCTCTATGTGCCACTTATGTATGCTGTTAGCCCATTCCGTTGACAAATTTTGTGTTTGACAGCACACACAACTCCATCTGCAGGCAGCCAGAAACAAAGTAGCATCCAACAACACTTGCTTCAACCATCAAAATGTTGCTTACCAGTCGTCATGGGGAGAACGGCTTTGAATGTCGCTTCCAGAAGTGTGCTGGTCGCATTCAAGAAACATACCTTGATCTGGAATCACATGTGGAGCTTAGCCACTTGGTCAGAGTGCATTTGCCATGTCCTGTGCAAGGTGAGATTTGCACCTTGAATAACTCTGCCATGAAAATGAAGATTGAATGTAGTACACTTACTAGGATGTTCGCAAATGTTTGTTCGTCATGGACAGGTTCCAATACATTTCCAAGAGAATCACCCTCACCTTATTGACAGGATTGTTCCATTTAAATCGCATGTGCTGAAGCCAATGTGCCAACCATCATGTATCCACATTGGCCAGCTTGCTCCAATTCCGTCAGAAACAACCACCTTATACCCTCTTCTTTCCTATCCTGTCGCACGAGCTTGCAAGCGTGCTCAGCTGCTCTCCCAAGAATCACGGATCTCCCGGAAATGGAGCCACATGATGGCATCACAGGACACCGAGGATAGTGCAGATGCCCACCCATTTGACAATCTCAGGAAGTTCGACACCGCAGATATCCCTGAACCCATCGATTCTGTTGTCCAGCAAAAGCTGCCAGAACCCTCGATGCAGCTCTCCCGTCCACAGTATATCTCTGACCTGCCCATCCCCGAGGTTCCTCCGCCACTCAGCATGAGCTACAAAGTGTTCTACGTAAAGTTCCAGGAGCTGGAGAAAGCGGGAATGGTTGATGGGACGGGGGAATGGCAGGACCCTGGATAATCCCCACAAAGGTCGTCACCAAATCCGGACAGATTTTTGCGAAAATCGACCTCACGCCGTCGTCATGTCCGGACAAATGGACCCCCTAAGGACCATGTAGCCGTTGTACTATCCGGACATGGAACTGTTCTGGGGCAAAAATCGCTGGAAAATCGCCGGAAAAAGCCGAAAAAGGCTAAAAATTGCCACAAATTGCCTAAAATGGACGTCCCCAGAGCGAGGATGTCGCTATTTCCGGACAAAAAACTCCCTAAACCGGCCAAAAATGGGCCGGACAGATTTTTGTAAATTGGGGGGGTTTTGGCGACGACCTTTGGGGGGATTATCCAGGGTCCTGGAATGGCCCGAAAGTGATGAGGACGAAGATCTCTTGTTGCCGAGGCCCGGCGAACCACCACCGCCAGAGTCGAGCCCTTAGCTGCCTCATTGCCGGTACATACTCAGTCTGATCTCGTGCAGAGAGTCACCGTGCATGCACGTAGCTTTGTCTTGTCCTCCCTGCTTTTGCGTGATACCCCAACTGCTGTTTTGTGTTCGTACAGGTTAATCGTTGCATCACAATTGTAGTCACTTTTTTTGCACGCCATATTCATACGAGGGAAGTGCTGCCTCACTGTGGCAGAGGCCTTGCTTGCAAAATTTGCCACCACACAGATTTGAACTTGAGCTTGAGAAGCTGCAAGTTGAGTCGGGATAGGATTCAGACACACGGAAGGAACCAGGAAGTCGAAGAGTGCAACAATTGAGAGGGTGGAGAGACTTTGTAGGCAATGTAACACTTGGTATTGAAGCAGAGTACCAATATCTGCAATAACAGTATGATACATGCTGGGAGAGATTCAGAAATACGAAGAAAACAATCCTGCCCCGACGACCTTCGTATGGTTTCCGAGAGTACGTCGACACGTGGACTACGACCATACTCACGGAGTATGGGCCCGCGGCATTTCACGGCCCTGTCAGGGTATCCGGGCAGCTGGTCAAAACAAAGCTGGTAAGAACTCCCTTATTAGGGACGGCATACTTGACGACGAGGAAGGGCTTTAAAGTTCGCAGGCATACCTACGTCTCGCGGACGTCTGTAGTCCTGAAGATCTCATTGAGCAGAAAGAAATCCTGGCGAAACACCGCATCCGGCGCGAGCTCATGGGCCGTGTACAGGTCGGCTCTGAAGTAGAGCTCATAGGCGCCGAATACGTCACCACTGTCGACGGCGTACGCAACCTGGTCCCAAATATCAGTACGACTGGCGCGAAAGGAAGCGCGCTGAGGGTACAGTAACTTCAATAAGTTTTATTTGCGCACCCAAGCTATAGCCGGGCAAGCTTTGGGCTACGAACAAACTCGCCGGTCATCCAATCATCCAGCTTGGAAGCGCACCGACCGAGCAGCACCTTCATCGCCTCCGCTCTCCTGGAATGCGCTGAAAGACATCAAGCGGGTCTTCCGAGTGGAATCAAACACCCTGCGGAGCCTTCAATTTGCAGAAGGACAAACACTAGTGCTTGAATCCTGCCAAACTGCCCAACCTGTAGCAAATATCTATTGATAATAGGGCAGCACTTGGGCTACGGCCTTCGATGGGGTCCTTGTTGTTGCCGACAATCCCTGTCAGCACTTCGTCCCCAGGTGACATTGGATCGGCAAATAGTTTGATCAGAGAACAGCGCATCTGGGGGCTGGAGAAGATGGGAGCTTCCTTGGCTACGACCGGGTTACCCTGCACAGCATAGAACGGGCATTTGTGGGCCCGAAATGGGATCCTTCCACGTAGTATGCAACCGAGTCCAAACATTAACCAAACCAGAGGTGTAGACCAAACGCGTGTTGCCAGCTAACCCGAGGCGAAGTTGATATCAGGGCACTTAACGTATCGACTGGATGCTCACCAGCAAAGTGTAAACTTCCCGCACATTCTCACTGCACGATATAGACCGTAGTAGACGTAGTAGACGCGACTTGAACGCTTGGACGCGACATCCACTAGGTCACAGTGTGACACCAGTCGTATGTGACATCTTCACGACAACTTTTGTTGTCCATACCGCTCGTCTACACCAAGCTCTTCAAGACACCCCAACCCCTACCATGGTATGTCCGTCTCCACTTTCTCCATACTCCTGAAAACCGAAACAGACCAATTTCGTCTTGCAACTCGATGGATTGACTCGCTGACTTCTGGATGCACTTATTGTAGCCCCCCAAGAAGACCAAGGCGCCAAGAGAGGAGGCCGCTGTGTCCCTCGGTCCCCAGGTCGCAGAGGGCGAACTCGTATTTGGTGTTGCGCACATCTATGCATCGTTCAACGACACGTTCGTTCATGTTACGGATCTGTCCGGCAAGGAGACTATCTCGCGTGTCACTGGTGCGTCCTATTCTATGCCTATACTTCTCTCTCAGTCTAAATTCCTTACCCTTGATTCCGCAGGCGGCATGAAGGTCAAGGCCGACCGTGACGAGTCCTCTCCCTACGCTGCCATGCTTGCCGCCCAGGACGTGGCTACGCGCTGCCGTGAAGTGGGCATCACTGCGCTGCACGTCAAGCTCCGTGCGACTGGCGGCACTGGAACCAAGACTCCCGGCCCTGGTGCGCAGAGTGCACTGCGCGCTCTTGCCCGCTCGGGTATGCGCATCGGCCGTATTGAGGACGTGACTCCGATCCCGACTGACTCGACAAGACGCAAGGTCAGTTCTATATGACGTTTGTATATGGCTCCGATGCTGATAGTATCACGCGTAGGGTGGTCGCCGTGGTCGCCGTCTCTGATCTACCTACCTGCTCCGATTCGGGTCGTGGACTGGGGTGGTCGGAGTGTACAAAACTGTCGTCATTGTCGTGTGTTCTGCGTATGGCAATGATAAATGTCGCCGCGTGACGCGCAGCATGTTCTTTGGCGTCGTAATGACCAGAGACGTGCCCCGTGGTCGCTGCTTTTGTTCCACTCTGCGTGTGCATCTCTGTATGATCGTGGTTGATGTGGCTACTTCGATCGAGTGACTCCGCATTCAAGTCTTGAGTACCAAAAACCGCTGGCTTCGCGTTGGGAATTCCCATCTTGTCGGACCTACGATGAGCGCTTACGGCCGACAAATTGCCTTGTCTCCCGCCTTGACAGACGCCAACAGTAGATGGAACTTATGCTCGTCTATCGTGGCCTGCGCCAGCTTTCCCGCTGGGCTCTTGCGTTTTACTCTGAGGTACACGTCGACGGCAAGGAGAATGTCCCTCCCGACGGCCCACTCATTATGTATGTTTTTCTTCAATTTATTCTGCCGAGTGACGTGTCATGGTGTGGCGGGAGGACTGTCTGGGTCAACGAGCGCGAATAGATACAAGAAAGGCGAGAACAGGATGCAAAGACTGATTCCATACTTTTCTGGACGTGCAGAGTCGCGTCTCACCACAATGAAATCCTCGATATTGCGACCCTCGGTAAGCCTTATCGTTATCCTTCAAGTTTCATCATTACTGATACATCACAATTCGACATTTCACCGATTTGAACTGTAGCGGTCACGGTCCCGCGTGATCGCATGGTCAGTTTCTGGGCCAAAGCTTCGCTCTTCGCGCACCCGCTCGTGCGCGCAATTCTGCGCTCGTCCGGGAGCATACCGGTGTATCGCAACCCCAATAGCATGTACGTGGCAGATACTACTGCCTTCAACGGCAGCACCGGCGTTGACGCCGTACTCAATAGAGACAGCCGCGAATCACAAGGCGATGGGACAGCGAAGAACTCAGTGAAGAGCGAGGCGCTTTTCCATGCCACGTTCCGCACCCTTGACGCGGGTGGCACAGTGGGCGTTTTCCCCGAAGGCACGAGCTACACCGAGCCGGGAATTGTACAAGTAAAGGATGGCGCGGCCCGTGTAGCACTGGAGTACTCGAAATGGCTTAAAGACGAGAAGAATGTTGTTGCTGAGGGGCGCAGAAGAGAGTGTTTGAAGGTCGTGCCTGTGGGCATTGTGTACACGGACAAGACGCGGTATCAGAGCCGGGTGAGTGCCAACACCGTTTGCGCTAGACGCGTCATTCACACTTGGTTAGGTTTGCGTACGGTGCGTTTTACTCTCTCTTGCTATGCTGGCTACTCATGAATTTGCCCTGATAGATACGGGAAGGCGATTGACCTCGCGCATTTCACGGAACTGTACCTCTCGTCTGAGAATGAGAATGACCAGAGGACCGCGATTCGGGCACTCACGGGTGAAATTGAAAGACACCTCGTCGAAGTTACAATCAATTCGCCGGACTGGTAAGTTCCGAATACACTAGTTGTTCATATTCCCAGTACGCAAATGCTCTATGTAGGGACACTCTACATACTGCAGCAATCGTGAGGAATATCTTATGGGGGGACTCGGACAGAATCCCTGCGCAATATTTTGTGGCAGTTTCTCAGACGTACGTCCTTTGTATTCTTGTCCCGTTTTGATACTCAAGTGATCAACCGCCTTTTTAGCCTGATCGACCTGTTCTCAATACCGAATTCCTCTGTCTCCTTCGTCCAGGCGAAGCGCGCCCTGCTTGCATATCATGCCCTTCTGACGCATACCCGCATATCGCACGCTTCTCTTCCTCCTATTTCCGCTTCTCGATCTCGCGCTTTACCTTACCTCAGTATTTTTACCCAATTGGCCAAGGTCGTCGTGCATTTATGTATTTCTTTGCCCGCGTTCCTTCCGCACCTTCCTGCTTACACGCTCGGCCGCATTTTTGCACGTTTCTTTGCCACACCTGACGCCCAAGAGACGCGTGCACAGTATCTTGCGGTCGGGGGAATTGTAGGTGCTGGGCTTGGATATGCTGGGATAGGCTTGGCTATTGCAAAGATACATGCGCGAATAATGAGCGAACGAAGTGGAGTGGGACTTGGAAGATGGCTCGCCTTTTTCTGGACCGTTAAGGTCATTTTAGGGATTTGGCACCATGCGGTGGTCAAGGGTGAGTTGTAGCCTACGTTCCGTTTCACTATCATCGGTCTAATTTCGATCTTGTGCCTCGCAGATAATTACAAGCAGTGCGTTGTCTTTATAAAGAGAATTCCCACCGTTAACGTATACTCTCCAGGCTACAGAAACTGCATACTTCCTTCATCGTTTTACTTGGTGCCTTCTCGTCAAGCGTACCAAAGAATGACCTCGTGCAATACGCCACACCACCGCCTCCACCGATCAACCCTCTCATTCGTCACACCGTTGAGCCAACGGAACAGACGCCGCCGCCGCCGCCGGTGCCCGCACGCAAATTGGTGCGACACGTCCTGGACGCCCGTGCAGAGGCAGTCGATGCGCTTATGGCGTTTCTGAAGGAATCTGAACACGAAGTCGAGATGGGAATGGCGTGGGTACGGTCACGCTGTCCGATTCTGGCGCGGCAAATGACCGATTTTTGGAGAGGATGACCGCGCGATTCACTGAACTGGATTGTCCTGTGTCCTGTTGACCGACTCAACTGTATTATCTGCATTCAGGTGCAAGTGTAGCAATTTTTGATACGATTCACGATCCACGTGTCCATCTTGACTGAGTCTGCCGTCCTTGAGTTTTCATATTTGATATTGTGCTGCAGTCTCTTCCCTACGTACTTGGCTCCGGTTCAGCATACAATCCAAATTCCAGAGAGACTACCAATACATGAGGCTGTGGCATTGACTGGAAGACATTATCAGCGGGTTTTCGAGGTATTCACGCGAGACATATTACTTCGACTTCCGGGACATTGGTAGGGGAGTTGAGGGCACGGTCTAATGCCAGCGTGGCTCGCATGAGTTCGTAGGAGCCTCGGACGAGTGTCAACAGCTAAAATTAACACGCAGCCTGTCGGGCTGTCGACTTCTTGCACACCTTGGTATGCAAGGTAGGCCCAGCTTTCTCGAAAGGAACCGGTCCAACCCACGGAACATCTTCAATGGTACGTTTGGAGAGGGAAACACAAACGAGAGCTGGTGCATGAGATGGGACAACCAGCCAGTGCACAGTGTCGGTACGTGCCACCAAAAGAACCGGTAGTTTGGACAACATGAAGCGTGCGGAGTTGTTGCACAGGGTTTTCCATGTAGTGCAGAAATATTAATGACCAATTTTCTCCTGCAGTACATCCTACACGGCCAAAACGGGCAGGCACTATAAAGGCATTAGACGAAAATCTTTGTCATAGCATAAATGTCCCCTAAATACACCCATAATATTGTGCCATTTCAGTATTTTTTACCAGCCTTCAGAGAGGGTTGGATGTGAGTCGTCCGAATCGCCCGTGATTTGAAAGGCCATTTCTGGCCGGTGAGCGGGCGAAATCCTGGATGTGAGAGGGCGGTTTTGATCTGTGCCTCCGGTCTGGTTTCGGTGCTTCAGCAGTGGCCCTGGTTCAGCCATAGTCGTGAGGCATTGATCCAGTGCCAATGCGACCCCTGTTTGGCGTTGCAGCGGCCTCTCGGGATCATCGTTACGAAATAGATCAATAAGGCAATCGGAAGGGAAGACAATGTCGGCAACATGGCACGAAAGCTGGCACTGTTGACTATGGAAATCTCACTTGCGCTCTGGGCGCGCATGGCTTTCCTCGTAAGGACGAATACAATTCATTTTGTCGTTGTTATTGACTATATTTTTCTACAGCGTTCGGCGGCAATCAGCTTCGACTGCATGCCGAAGAAAGTGCTGCGTCTTAAGAAGCAGACTGCGATGCAGAGCCCTGGCGACTCGGAGCCAGCCGTACCAGCTACCAATGCCGATATCGACTCCTGCAATGGTTCAGAAGAGCCTCGGGCTGCAGACGGCGGACACGATGCAGACGCTGGGCTCAGCAGTGGCACGTCTGAAGTGCCTGGTCCATCTTCTCAGCCCGGACCTATCGAGGAACCTCTATATCTAGCCAGTGGTTTTTGGAACTATGTTGACGACCTGCTCGTGGCCATTTGCAATGATGCGGGTGCCCATGGTGGGACCCGGGAAGAGCAGGAAGATGCGCTCAAAAGGTGAGACTATGTCGAGTCTCTCTTTTGCGAACTAACATGATCTACTTAGTTTCTTTACTGCGACATTCCAAAACGATCTGAGGGCATTTCGTGGCTTGGGTGCATCGGAGAAAGGGGAGGTTGTGACTGTTGACTGGCAGGTCGCAATCCAGGACAATCTCATGTGGTGAAATCATCACTTCCTCGCACGTTTATTGTTGTCGGTGGCATCGCCATAATAACTTTTTCATCTCCACATGGACTATTTACTATGCATATTCCTGTCCTGCTTTGTTTACACTATGTGCTGTTAATTTCACGGATATGAGGATATTATGAAGCCTGCAGTACCCGGGTTCAGAAAATATAAAAAAATGAACAGCCAGCTCGAGGCTCACAGAAGCCATAGAACAGGCCAAAACCAGCAGCAGAATCGCACCGAAGTGAACAGCTGGATGGGTAGTCTCGTGACCAGACGTTCACGTGCGACTTACCGAAAACGGACAGAAAGAGAGGGTCGCACAGCAGAACGTCTGGTGATCTATGAAAGTCGCTCGCTCAGCGCACTGAAAGAAAGCCAAGAACAGAAGTGCATTGCATCAGTAAATACGACGAGTATGATATGAGAGGACTGGGTAAGGAAAAAATGGAGCTACGCATAATCCAGAGCTACGACTAGGGCGAACCAGAGCTGAGAGAAAAGCGACGGAATGAAACAGCGCGATAAGAAAGGTACTGCGAATAGACGACGAAGAAAAGGATGCAATGAAAACGGGTGTGCGAATATAATGGGCGAAGCCCACTAGGGGCCTTCCGATGCAAAGAACAAAACTCCGGGCATCAGGAGATCCGAGAAACAAGCGGCGATCCCCTTTACCAGGTAGGAGATCAACGACGCGTCAGCGCGAGCTCGGATACCCCCAAGACTAGGAGTTGATGCTTACCTAGCGCACGGGAGGCATGGAGTAGCGCACCAAGGCTTCATGGATCGCGGGGACGGCCTGCATGTAGGGCGCCATTACTTGCATGTGTTTGCACAGGTATAGGGTGAAAGCATTGCTCTGCCAATGCCCTTTTGACTTCACCACCTCGAATGCAATACCCCACAGTAAGTACTCGAGGGTACTGCCTATGCGAATGCTGTGGCCATGAAGGTTGAGCGAGAGGTCCTTGCTTGCTCTGCTGATGTGTTGGAGGAAAATCTGGCATGTGAGTGGGTGAGAGGACAGTCCGTGCCAGTAAGCGAAGAGGGGAGCATCGGCTGGAAGGCGATTGATGGTGAAATGATTCTCGAGTGCCTGCGCGGGGTCTGTCAGACCGTTCTGCCTGGCCCAGAATATGTCTTCACCATGTGGGGCCGCCTTAGTCACAGGGAGGTGGAAGATGGTTTCTTCAAGCCCATTTCGATCTCTGGCCACGTGGATGTCGGAGCGTTTGACGTGTAAAGTGGGATCGAACGCGGTGAGATTCCGAACTATCACCTCACCCACCCTGGCAACTGCATAGAAGGCAGTTGTAAGGCAGGCCCACACCGCAGCATCGAGAGGCTCGGAGAGTGAGAGTTTACCGTGAATGTGAGCAAGGATTTCAATGGTGAAAGGCTCACGTGGAGTGCACTTTGACGAACTGGGAGTGAGGACATCAGCGGATTTGAGAAGAACATCCATTTCGTTCTTTTTCATGACCCAAGGAAGACCATGAAGGAGATGCCATGCACGAATGCCTGTGATGTAATTTCCGATGGTCTTGCCCGAGTACGCCTCTGCAAGTGTTGCAATAAAAGATGCCATGAGGATGGAACTGGCAGGGGTGCGCTCACCCTTGGGAATGTCTTTCATGTCGCAGAAGATGTGGAAGACTAACAGACCTGAACCATAGCTCTCAGCCGTGTTTTCTGACCAGGCGAAGGCTGCGATGGCTTCAATGTGAGTGATGTCTTCAGCGCTGAGGGAGACGGGGGCGCCGTGTGCGTCAAGCGGCCGCCACGAGGATGGGGGTCACCATGAGCAGAGACGCTCTCGCGCCAGGCAATGAGGACGCAGCGGGGAAGATAAAGGAGTAAGACTTGCACTGTATGGTTGAGGTCAGCGATGAGTGGAACTATGTGTGGGTAGCGGCACATTGAGACACCAATTATTCGCCCCAGTATGAATCGTGCCAGAGGAGCTCGTCGCTCTGGCGGTCGCGTTCGAAGTTGAGTGAGGCACGCTCTGCGGTTGGCCTGTCGACATATGTCTTGGTGAGAGGAGCGACGCAATGACCTTGCTGGAGGAGGTGACGCTCAGCCGAGGTTGGGGGGGCATTGAAGTCGACGAGGAAGGGGCGTAGCTCGGGAGGAATCTCGATGGCGGGAAGAAGGGCAAGGGACTTGGGATAGATGCCGCGGGATGGTGCATCTGCTGGGTTGTTTTGGCTGGGGACATACCTGGTGTGGATGGAGGAGCCGGCAACACCAAGAAGGGAGTGTAAACACTGGAAGACAAGATTGACCTGATGATTGCGGCTGCGTCCATTCCACCATCCGTCGACGACACCCTTGTTGTCTCCTTAGACCTTGAGGTGATGGGGGGAGGAGGGGAGTGAGAGGAGAAAGCGTACGAGGAGCTTGAAGCCGACAGCTTCAGCCCAGCTGATGTCCCGAAGATCTCGCTTCCAATCTGGTAGGAGGCACCATGTGCGCCATCGCTCGCCGATGACGACACCAATGCCAACGCCCGAACTTGCATCGGAGTAAGCATGGACATCAGCCAGTTCGCAGGGGCCTGGGATTGGTCTGGATATGGTTGGTTGCCTGAGTGCTCTGGTCCACCACTCAAGGTTTGCGGTGGTGCCAGAAGGTGGGTGGAGAAGCTTGAAAGGACGATCACTGAAGAGACCGAGCATGGCCTCCAGGTTGGTGAGGTAAGCACGTCCCACGGTAACGACCAAGGATGCATGGAGCAATTTGCCGTATAGCTTCTGGAGATCGAGCAGGGGGTGCGTGTGCGAGCACGACCAGTCCTTGATCACTGCACAGTATTTTGCTGCCTTGGCCGGAGGAATGGCCACGGTGCATGATTCGAGGTCTCAGGAGAAGCCTGTGAAAGGAAAGCATGAGCTGAAGGGGATGTCCTTCTCCAGTTTCCAGGGGATGCCCAGACGCGAGGAGACTGAATCGATGTCATCGAGGTTATAGGTGAAACGAGCATCGTGCTCTGAGCGGGGGGATTGCTGCGAAAGGTCTCGCAGTGGTGAGACCATGTCCTCGTCAAACTCGTCAGTTCTCCCGTCCGGCAATAGATCTCCACCGAACCAGAGATGTCCTCCCGTGTGATGTCAGCCACCGTGAGCATCAATGTGAGTGCGCCATTCCTTGCGCCTGTGATTGTAATCAGTGAGGTGAGAGCGGAGCAATCTAATGAAAACGTGGTCATCCACCCACTTGGAAAGTGGGCCAATGCCTTGGGAATGCATGATGTCTGCTCCTGCATCTGCGACGCTGCCATATACGCCCGCATTGGAGCAGACGCCGAAGGCGGCACTGGTGTCCAGAGCGAATTCGTCGCGCTCGGATAGGCGAACGACGGTGCCAGGCCACTGCGATGAGGCAAGAGGGATGATGCGATAGGCTTCGGAAATGTTGCGAACTGCCCCTTCAGAGCCCGGAGGAATGCGCCAACATAGTAGGGAAAAGGCTGTGAAAGTTCCCCAGGTGCAAGGGTAATTATTTGAATCAATATGATAGTTAATAGATGTATGAACTGCGGAAGGAGTGCGCGGAAAGGAGAAGTCTTGAACGAGCCAGAAAACACCTGGTTTGTGAGGTTTTGGCACAAGAGATAGTGGAGAAGATTGGAAGGGGCTGATAAGCGATTCGACGGTGGCGCGAGACATGGGACCGAGGTAACGGCCTTGCTGCAACTCGTGGTGCACAATGTTGTGAAAGGCGGCATCATGTTCCAAGAGGGTGCGACTGTTGGAAGGCGTGTTGGTAAATGAAATGGGTTTGATTCTCACGTCGAAGCCGTGTCTGATAGAATGTACAATGAAAGAGTAGCGCGCGAGAAGGCCTGCATTAGATAACAGCTCGTGCCATCCCTCAGCTCGAAGAGGGGTGAGGGGATAGGAGCGTCTGTGTGAAACGGCATTGATGAGCATCGTGAGATGAGTCCCCGCATCCCGAGCACTCGTGGCGGTGGCTCTTTGATGTACAGGATTGGGGGTGTTGCCAGTCGGTACAGATGGTGATGCCATCGGGATTGATGATTTTTCCCTTTGAGCTGCGTGTGCACTGCGAGGGGCCACCATTGTTCCATCGCATCATCGCGTTGCAACGAGTGATCTGCTCTGAGGTGTGGCGACCAAGACAGATGGCGCAGATATGAGTGGCCGACGAACCTGTGCCCTGTCGAAAAGACTGATTACTGTCACGTTGGGAGTCTTTTGAGACGTGGCTATTAGAGAACTCGCGATGATGCTTATTTTTATCTCCGTATCCCAACTGAGCACATTGGCTTCGCATTTGAGGTGATGCCGATTGACGACTACGAGACATAGAACTACAGGCTGCAGCTCCTCGTCTTCCCCTTAACTCTTCCTGGATGCAGGATTGCAACACTGTCATCTGGTTGGACACGGTTAGGGAGGGGAAAGGTAGGCGGATGCGGAGGACGTAAGGTGCATGACACCGAGAGCGCATGATGCATGACGCAAAGATGCAGGACGCAAAGATGCAGGACGCAAAGATGCAGGACGCAATGATGTGAGATGCAATGATGTGGGATGCAATGACGCAAGATGCGGTGATGCAGGACGCAATGACGCAAGACACAATAATGCAGGATGCGATGACGCGAGATGCAATAATGCAGGATGTCAGACGCATGACGCAAGACGCAAGATGCAAGATGCAAGACGCAGGACGCGTGATGCAGGACACGGGATGCGGGATGCAGGATGCAGGATGCAGGATGCGGGATGCCGGGCGGAAGATGTGAGGATGTGGAGTTGGAGTGAGCAGTGAACGGGGCGCGGGGGCGCGAGATGCGAGAATGCGAGGAGAGTGGGTGCGTGGGCGAACGGAGCCCGACGACGGAGAGTAAGTGCGTGAAAGGTGGCGTGGCCGAAAGGGAGGACATGGAGAGATGAAGATAGGTGAGCTCAAACTAGGGAGTAAGAGAAAGGGAGGATGACGGACCTGTCTCACGGCTTCGGAACAAGCATTTTCACCTCGTTCGTTGAGGTAGTTAGTGAGGAGAGCTGAGTTGATTTTGACGATGTTGAAGGTACGTTCGTCTCCCCGTGCGAGGGAGTCATGCCATTCTCTCCGGATGCGCGCTTGATAAATCAGGAGTGCGGCTTCACCGTGTTCTCTCCTTCAAAATTCGTGGTTGGTGATGGCATAGAAAAAGGCGAGGAGGGAGTCTCGGTGCTTTTGCGGCCACCCGGCTTTCTGGATCTCGATGAGGAAAACTGCCTTGCCCATTGTCATTTGGCGCCACGAGAGGTCGTGGTCTTGGAGGGCGTTGCGCGATGCGTGGCAGGATGCCATCGGTTTGAGGGCCATCATGTTGTCCAGATGGGCGATGCTGAACGCCTCGTCGATGGTGAAGGATTGGCTGTCGTGTGCATCCTGGCAGCCCTCTTCAGTGAAGTACCATAGGCCGATGTACTCACATTTTCGGAGTTTTTCCAGAGCATAGACGGACAGTCTGGCGAGGAGGACGTCCGGGGGGGCGACGTCCTCATCGAAGTCACCGATTTTCGGCTTTTTCTTCTCCACTTCTCGGCATTCTGCCTCTGCTAACTCTTCATCCGCTCGTTTTGCTGCATCCTCGGCGGCAAGATGCTGGGCTTCAGCAGCGTCTTCAGCATCCTGATCTGCCTGACATTGTGTGGCCCATGCCAGTTTGCGCGAGTCGTTTTCAGCAGTCCAGACGTCAGTGAGCTGCTGGGTTGCGACATTGGGCACGATTCCTTGGCTCAGCGCGAAGGCTTGGACGATGGCATTGTATAGCGGTGAGGAGAAGTTCGGGCAGACTTCTAGACTCGGGTCGGACTGGAGTCTGGGTGGGGGAACCCCGGGTGCTTGTGCTAGTGCCGGTGGGGCCAGAGGGGCATTGCCTGGAGGGTCCATGATCGGGGATCGAGTAGAACAGTGGATTCAGAGAAAAGACAGAGAGCAGCAGGTCAGGAGCACTGCGAACAACTGAGCACTAGCGGACGTGGTGGAGGATACGATGTTAGGCGCCCGCTGATGCTGGTACATAGACCTAACTCTAGGGTTAGACTTGTGCCTTGCCTCTTCCTAGAGCGTCAAAAGTCGTATAGAGGGGGGGGGGTATGTAACGCTCTCCTGGCTGTAGCTCCTGTGCCGCGCGTGTCACGCTGGTCATCCTGCATGTACCTGCACATCTCCTGCCTCCTGCTGATAAATATTGTTCATGTATGCAACCATATATGCACCCCGAACCCTATTCTAGCCATCAATGGCCCGTGAATGTGCCATGTTCGAGTTCGCATGTCTCGAGTTTTGGCTGAGGTCACGCCCATGTGACATACCCCCCCCTTCTATACGAAAGTCACCAGATGTTATGACGACCCTCCACACAGATCCTAAAAAGGGTCGAATCTCAGAACGGCTGGTTACGAGACTACTGGATGGGGGGTCTGACTGCTAGCCCTGGAATGGTGCCGCATTCGAGCTCTTATGGTCTATTTGCGCCGGTGTATCGATCACGATTATCGAGGGTTTAGGCATTTGTTTAAATTACTATCACAGCATTAGACAAAAATCTTTGTAACGTGGCCGAACACGGGCACATGTTGTGAGGACTCCACTCTCAGGCCCCGTTTCGGTGCCATAGAGTTTTGGCCATGTACACCGCCAAACAGCATATTCCTTTTTTTAACATCTTGCCGGGCAGTTTCCCAGGGAGCTCCGATCGAATGTCCAACAGACTACTACTCAGCCAACATCCGTCAGACATCCCTTCACAGAATCTCCACAGCATGTACCATGTAACATCCAACGGAGATCCCTCACCGCCTGTGGAGGCTACAGCTCGGCTCTTCCGTATTGCATGCACACTATATACAGCTCTGGCTCTTTCAGCTAATTACACAGAATAATTCTGGTGTAAATAGATCACATTTCTGGAGCTACTACAGAGGTCATGTCACAAACTGCCTACAAGACAAAATAATGTACATAGGCAGAAAATTTGGGCCGCCAAAGGGAGCCAACTGCATATAGAATATCTTTAAAGAAGGCCTACTTTGTCTGATAATAGAACATGTGGCATGTTGGGAATGAAGGATGGCTGATGACACTCTGAGAGAGACCATCATGGGGGGCGGGAGAACAGGACGGTGAGACAATTGGAAGGCAGGGAGACGTGACAGCGAGGCGAGGCGAGGCGAGTTTAGGGCAGGCCAAATTTGACTTCTGACTTTTTGCGACCTTGCCCTTGCCGAGCATGCCAGTGTTTGTGTTGTGGCTGGACAGGGATCTCCAGTGGAGAACCTCAGCAAAACGTCCTGGAAACCTCGCGCCGGATCTCCGAGTGTCATCCAATATAACTTCAGCAGAAATCAGCCGTGCGGAGCTTCCATAAGGGACCGGTATTACATCTCTCGGAAATCAAGGCATTTGTTCTTCTGAGGTCATCAATCTGAGGTCCCAGAAAAAACTATTTGGAGGTCCGATCAACATTGGCTAAGTGGTGGTCTAATAAACATTATGTTCCAGTTGGGCATGTAGTCCATATGGACTGCACCGTAAGATCTGCAAATCCTAAGAAAAGTGTTTGAGTGTAAATCACGTAAATATATGTGTGATATTGCAGGCGAATCACAACCAAATTGTGACTTGGCTTATTCTCTGGGGAAAACAGGATATCTCCTTTTATGAAAGGTGCGCTGTCGCTTTCAGACAGTGGCAGATGCACCCCTGCCTCATCGACTGCTTCATTGTCCATCCTCGGTCTCCCCGATAGCTTAGTATTTTTGCCATAATGAACCATGCACCCCGCATTGAAGATACAGATTTAATTGACCCAGTACTGCTCCTGAATGGGAATGCAGTGCAAGTTCCCAGCCAAGCCGGCCCTGTTCGCACAGTGCAATCACGTCGGAGTGGTACGTTCTCGCAGTGGGCTGCTCGTTCTGACCAAGGAATTTCATGTACCAACTATCAGGTGGCTCCCGAGGTGGTGCACAAGAGCACTTAGCCAAATCCAGTGTCTAGTGAGTAGTATTCAGACTGCCACTCGTAAAGCTCCTTACATGGACATTTTTTGTGATTTTTAGCTGGCCACTCAAAGTTCTTCGACTGAAGGAGAAGCTCCGAGAATGGTCTCTGCCTGTATCGGGCAACAAATCTATTTTAGTAGCGCGGCTCGACGAGGATGACCGCCAACGTGCTCCCTACTCGGACACCCCTGATGCAGAAGTTTTGGGCATGGGGTATGTATTAGCAACGTAAGAATATCATTATATCATTTTACTGATTACATGGCCTCTCCAGAGGACACACAGGAACAGGAATTGACGACGACCGTGTCACCCGCGACTTGGGGGCGCTATGCGACTCCTTTGGATGTGGACTCGTTGGAGAGGAAGAATCTGAGGATGAAGATCAAGGAGAGTGCGAAGAAGACAAAGACGAGGAGGTCGCACCCACAGGCATGCAAGATCAGATGGACGTTGACCACCCCGGTAAGTTTTTGATGTGACTCCATCAACTGATGCCGGTGCGATAGCTGATTATAAAATAAGAATCAGTGCACTGCGCTGGTTCTGCCGCAGATTCCAAAGCATGGGTACATATTTCCTTTAAGTATCTGTAATACACCTCCCCTGATTGGTGTCTGCAACAAGGTCGATGCATTCATACTCAGTACTCGGTGAAAGAGTGGGCATCAAACTGAGAGTAGCGTGCTCGGCCTGTGGAAAGTGAGCCAAAGTTAATTACATGAACTGTGTGCTCTAATCTCTCGAACAGTGTTGGGTAGACCAGGCGCTTGCTGCAGGAACGATATCCGATGTGGTGATCGACTCCCACCACTTGATTGAATACCTGAAGTATGCAGCAATGCGGAAGTTGCTGACAACTCGAGGTCTCGAGCGACTGGGAGATCAACGGCTTTCTGCTGTAAGTATCCTCTAACTTCTCATCATTGTAAGTTATGGCCAGACTCACCGCCGTCATTTCCATCTATAGTCATCACTCAAAAAGATCATGATGATGCTGGGCTGCGTGCAGAGACAACAGGTCGACAACGACCCACAGCTCGACCAGACGCGCCCCGCCATGACTTCTCGCACAATCGATTACTATCGAGCATTGATGGTCACTGCGCAACGTTTGCGACTGGAGTAAGTGTACTCATCCTGTGCTTTTCAGGCTGACTTAATTGTCGCAATGAGACAGGGCTGAAGACTTCGATGTTACCTCAAACACCATTCTCGACTCGCAGATGCTCCCCCTTTGAGGAGATCAAGAAGTCGATTCTGACTGGCCTTGATCAGTGTGAGTGCGGCAGTGAGATCTCGCCCATCCAGATCGAAACTGATGGTTTCCGGCAGTGCCATCTGTCATCAAGGCGCACTTCTCGTGGACGTGGCAATGCACCACACTCAATCGCGGTGACGAGCTGCTCAACCTCCTCCTCTGCTGCATCCAGCCGCACCAGATCTTCATCTCGAACTACACTACTGTCGATGGAAGGCGAAGCGGCCATGGACGGTACGTCTTTGGTGTCCTGTCTCTCTACCATGAGACCAAAGTAGCAAAACCCGGGGTACGTCATCCAATCGACTTCCGCTGAGATCAAGTCTCACATGATTGTCTCTGAGTGCAGCAGCAGGAACCTGACTACAACTTCGTCCTCCCACATCGAGACCCACTTCGTTGCTCGGTCGGTGCGCTCTCGCTACTCCTACACTTCATATTCAACAGGGAGAAGCTGGTGGACAGCATAGAAGGATGGGACTGGTCCCTTGCTGCGTCATGGCGGAAGGTACATTTCTCCGGTTTGCTCTCCCACTCAACATTCACATCACTCAAGTTTCTCCTCACTTACATCTTATGAACAGGTAAAGCTTGTGTATGGATGGAAGGTGCACAAGCCATGCAGCCAAGATGCGATGCAGAAGATGTACAAGACATTCCTCGAGCCAACGAGCATCAAATCCTCGAAGAAACTTCATCTCGCTCGGCGTACCCTTCCCGGGGTTATGGAGGATATGGGGTAAGTGATTGTATCCTCTTGTGATCGAGTCTTTGGCATGACGGCATCTGTTCTAGTGTGAATATGGATGAGATTGATGGTGTCGGCCACTGGACGGGCAATACGAGATGCGAGGTGTACGCCTCGAAGATACCGAAATTGGTACAGTTCTCACCCTATGTTTAGTTCAACTGCGGCTAACCTTAGGCTTGTGATTACACAAGGCCATGACTGCACTTGCCGGCTTCTATGTCAGTGAGCAATATGATGTTCCATGGGCATCTGTGAAAGTTCTGCAGGGCTTGCAGATGCAGCTCTTTCCATTCGTTGAGGAGGCTCTCATCCATCTCAAGGCCCGTGAGAAAATCAACCATGGTACTGTCAACTTCCTCGAGCTCTTGCAGCAGCTTCGACCTTTCCTTTGGCGGGTAAGTATTCTAGTGACATCAGGCTGTCTACTGGTGGTACTAGCTAATGTACACTAACAAATGAAACAGATCATGGGAGCCATCCATGAAGCATTTCCCGAGTCAGCATTGTTCAAGCGGCTGGAGGTTTTGCAAAGCGATGAAGCACGGCTCTTTCTCACTCACTGGCCGGCAGCCCATCAGGTGAAGGATGTCGAGGCACAATGTGCCACACAAGCCGCTGCGGTGTTCGCAGAGAGCGTGACACAAAGCACATTCATGGCACTTTCCATGGGCTCACAGAACGTCGAAGCCTCGCTGCGCGAACAGTCACAGCAGCTCAGCGTCATCTCTCGGTGCACCGAGCAGTTCTCTCCATCGAAGCAGGCACCTGCGCGGTGCACCCGGAACCATGAACTGACGCCAACACCCTCAGTGCATGTTGCGAACACTCCACAAGGGGGTCGATGTGCACTTTGTCACTGTGGACACTTCTGTTCACCGACGACAGCAACGTCCGAGTTGCTGCTGAGTATGCCTGCTCAGGGTGTTGCCATGATGAGAGCCGAGATTGGAGGTGCTGGCGATGATCCTTTCAGTGATGCAAATTCCATGCGAGTTCCCATTGCTGCGACACATCCTGGGACCACTGCTGGAGTGCCCATGGACATTGATCACACTGTCAACATCCCGATGTCAGCTTCAGCTGCTGTTCGTTGTGATGGCAGGCAACCAAACACGCTGTTGCATGGCGGCACTCGGGTGCCAGATGGACCAGCCAGTCTCATCCCTTATAGTGTCCCCCACAATGGTATGAGCTGCAACATTCTCCCACTGTCGCCCGGACCCTCTCCCCCATGAACAGTGTTCGATCCGATCTTGCCAGAAGCTGCTGCATTCCATGGCGAGAATAAGCCACCTCCCCACACGTACCCTCTTTTCACAAGTTCATCCTGCTCATGGACTGCTATACTGCCTCTCATCCAGCGCCCGGACCTCATCTGGAAATGCTGGAAGCCGGGAACCCTCAGTGACTACCGCACAATCAGAGATCTGTGGGAAGTATGGATGGAAGGTGAGCGGATTGACGGTGTCGGACGGAAGCCACCCCTGCGGGAGGTCGACAAGCTGTGGGGCATGCAAAAGAACAAGGTGACAAACAAGGGGCGCCAGCAAAGCTGGCGGCCTCGCAACGACGCCGCAGTAAGTCTTCAACATTCTCATTCATATCGCGGCAAATCTTAATGCTGCACGTCTCTCTCGCTGCTCGCGTCGCGCATGGTGGGTCCCTCAGGCACGTCAGCACTGGACCCAATTCATGTACTTTGTCTCTCGCGTCGAAGGCCTGATGGACCAGGGAAAGACATTGTCAGAAGCAGTGCACCAACTCGAGCAACAGCGCGGTACCCTGTCACTCCACCAGCTCCGCAAACAGACACAGAGCAAGCGCAAAAGTGTCCAGACCGGGCCCTCGCTCGTGGATCCCCCGCCTGTTGGTGGCACACAGCCCGCTCCGGCCACCACTGCTAACGTGGCCACCACTGCTAACGTGGCCATCAGCGCGAACGCGGCCATCGTTGGCAGCGGTGGGAACAGCGCAGTCACGCCGTCGTCGGGGTCTGCCGCGCACTCAGCGGACTCGGGCCAGTCTTGAGTCCAACGAGGCTCACAGTCAGCAGGCAGCCTGCATGGCACCCTGTGTTTTGTTCACGTCTACATCCCGTCCAGTACATAGTATGTTTCCGTGCCTGGGAGGAGCTCCTCGGGGACCATAGTCTTAGTGTAAATGTTGTGCTCCATATTTGCACCTAATCTCTACTGTATATCTGACTACTTCTACTATACTTTATGATAATTGTACATCCGAGCCCGAGCCCTGCATGCGAAGACCGCGAGAGCTTTCCCGGTGAGACAGGGCAGTAGGAGGACGGGAGGAGGCACTGCCCAGCAAAGTCGGGGGCAAGCGAGCAAAGTGTTTGGCGCCCCCGCAAAAACCGTGATTTATTCTGTGAAACGGGGGCCCCGAACCGTGAAACGCGCTCGACTTTGCTGGCGAAAGCGTGAAATGCCCGCCAGAAAGCGTGAAACACTGTGAAAACGGCCCCTAGGCACGCAAAGTCTTTGGGCACTCGCTGGCGCGCCCTTGCCCAATCGGGCCATGATTCGAACTCCGACCGTGATCCGGCTCACGACACTTTGCCTGAGACCTCCAGTATCGCTTTCCAGATTCTGCAAATACTTTTCATAGGCTCTCCGTAAATTTGAGTGAGATCACACAGAATTTTGAGAAGAATACTAGGTGGCAGATTTGGGAGTGGCCCAGCCAAACGTCTGCAAGCTCCTGACTCCTGACTCAATGGCCGCCGCTACGACGTTTCCGACCACCTCACTTGCTTTCCAGAGAGCGATAGGTAGGTAGGTAGGTAGGTAGGTAGGTAACCAGCATTGGTCCCATTCAGGAACACCGGGTTGTTGTAGTTAGACTACAGCGGTCCACTCGTGCACAGCAGATTACCGTAACCTAAGGTACAACACATCCAGGACACACTCCGCTCCGATCAATGCATACTACTCTACGCTACACATTACGCCAGTGATGGGTAAGACCCCCAAGGAAAACCCAGTGGGAAAAACCCTGGTAGGCATTAGAAGTGGCTGCGCACTTGACTGATAAGACTCACCACAAGCCAACGTGAGGTGGAGAAGCGCACTGTCCCACGAAGTCCATCAAGGATGCATGAGACTGGTAGGGAAGCGCTCAAGCTCTTCTCTAGAGCTGACAACAATAAGATTTTCGTGGGCGAAAATCTGAAGTACATCGTGTGCAAATTTCGCAAGTAAGGCGATGGAGTGTTCCTGCGCTATGAGCTCCCGTGTGAAAGCCAGTCTGGATAGGGTGTTGTATGCAGTATGGAGATGGGTCCGCTCTGCGAACACTGTATTGAGGAAGGTATCGCAGAGACTGACGAGGTCGGGATGAGAGGTACATTCAAAAAGCGCATGTACAGGGTCCTCGATGATATCGCGGTGTCGGCATAGCCTGACGAGCCACGTACCAAGCCAAACCACATTGCGTGGAATCCAACCTTGAGCCAACGGTGCGGCTTGTGAGCACTAAGTAGCGGAAAATTGGAGTGGACAGTGGCAGGTACCTCTGTGGTGGTGTTCGGGGGCCTGGGGTGTGCCAAGGGTGAGCGCGAGGATCGCCCGCGGCACGCACGAAGCTACTATGTAAGAGAATGTGTGAGGTAGTGGGTGGGTGGGCAAAAAGAATCGTTATTGATGTTTTTGAAGAGGGATGATGGCGGTAGAGGGTCAAGAGTGAACTGTCACACTGTCACACTTGCCCGTCTGTCAAGACTGTCACGAGTCGCAGGACTCGAAGGGACCTTGTCACGTTCGAGTCCTCTCAACTCGTGCCTGAGTCTTCCGGACTAACTGAGGATGTACGGGCTCTGCTAGTAGCTAAGTGCTAGTGGTGGGTGAGGCCAGGCAGTATGCCCGCTCCCGTGCACCTCTGTGGTGGTGTTCGGGGGCCTGGGGTGTGCCGAGGGTGAGCGCGAGGATCGCCCAATGCGAGACGAAGGCTCTGACAAGCGGAGAACTTGGCAAACCCCCAGGAGACGAAGCCGAGCATGCAGCAGATATGTAGCAGTAGAAGGGTGTAATATAATACAAAATGTAGTTTCGTTGTCAAACCACTTTGAAAGTTACATGTTTGCGGGATCGTGACTTTGAAGTCGAAGGTAGGAAGGGCTGTACACGCGGTGCAAGAAGTTGCGCGTGGAGGGGAACGATGATCTCGAGATTACGCCAGTAGCGCAGAAAAGCGTCGGAGGACCAGCGGCCCATCATCTTTACTACGGCTGGGTCCACTCCCTTCATTAGAAGTTCAGTTGTCCCACCAATGCGGAAGGAGTGTCCTGTGGTGTGCGCAATGCCGCGTTGCTTCCAGATAGTGTTGCATACCCGGAGGAGAAGTTTTCGAGTGAGACATACGAATGAACCCGAACGGTTGTGGTAGGTGAAAAGGGGGAGATGGACCGGGGCGTCATTAACAAGCAGGTGGTGTTGTAGTGAGGCGATTGGATCGGAGGAACCTAGTTGGCGCGTGACCGTCGAGTTGTCACCGGCATACTTCTTCGTTTTCGTCCAGGGGTAGTGCAGAGTGCATGCACCATGCTCAGTGGACGGAGAGGATAGGTGCTGGCGTGATGGGATTTTCCGCGGATCGTAAGAGTGCATAGCGGGTGAGAGTATTTCTCCGAGTCGCGATTGAGTCCAGAAAGCGGTGTTTGCAGCAGCGACGATGCAAGCATTGAGAGGAATCGAGGTGTCGAGATTTTCGTGGAGGAGCTCAAGCATCACACGAGTAACTGGGGGACATGGGGGTTTACGATCGGGTGCTAGATTCTCAACCCCACGGAGCACGTAGGAGAGGCGTAGGCCACCATTCCAGTTGACACCTTGGATGATGTGCCAAGCACGGACGGCGGAGATATAGTTTTGAACAGTGTTACGGGGGCGCAAACCAGCCTTAGAAGCCGCAAAACAACACAGCAAGTGTTCGCTGGCGGGTAGGCGGAACAGAGGCGGGACACGTTCTGCGTCACAGAATCGGAAGAAGGAATTAAGAGAGGAGCGATAGTTCTTTGTGGTGGAGCTAAGTGGAGCAAACGTCGAATTGTATGTACGCTCAGCGAGCGACGGAAGAAATCCGAGACATGATGATCCTCAGGCCTCAGGCCTGCTGGTGAGGAGATTTCCGGGATGTTGAGGACCGGAAGACTTGTGCACTGGCTGCGTGGCCCTCAGGGGCGAAATGTGGCATTTCCTAGGCCGCAAACAAGGGAGGCCTTCGACGCGGTTGGACGCAAATTTGTGAGGGTGAGGAGGAAATCGACGCAACACAGCATGTGAGACAAGCCAGTTTGCGTGGCGGGTACCTAGCAGTTGCAGCCGACGCAGACAGCGTTTTACGTGAGACATACCTCGGAGAATTTCATATCATCATAACGCATCACTCGTCGTCCTCCACCGAGTCCCATCGTGACCAACCAATTATTCCAAGGATCCCTTAGCTCAACCAGATGGCCGCAGCAGTTTGACCCCTTCAGAATGAACTCAAATATCGTCCATTGGATACACATTGAATGGAAGATTCCAGCAGTCATGAACGACGTCCCAGTATGCCGGAGGGCTGAACATTCGATGAACACGCGCCGATATTCTTGAAATGAGTCCGCACAGTTCCTAAGAGTAAACCTCAATTGACCGTGGCCTTCCAATCTATCGCAAAAGAGGTGTAGAAATTTTATAATCAGAAGGGAGCAAGGCGGTCAAGAATTTTATGAATTCCACAGACAGAGGTAGCGGTGTGCAGGAACTTGGAGCAAAACGGTGACCAAGCCAAGTGGCCGCGATGACTTCTGGTAGCCGCCGGCGTCCACCGAAATTGTTTAATGGCGAGCACCGCACCTCCGCAACCAACACATTTCTCTCTGGTCGTTGACACCGTAGCCTCAAACGCAGATGATCTGTTCGCCTATTTCGAGGGCACAGGCGACATGGAGCTTGCTTACAATCCTGGAGGACAATCCCAGCGGGTTTCGAATTCTTCCTGTCATTCTTGCGGTGCAGAAATTCTGTGCACATTCTGGCTGCTGTTTGCACATCCTAGTGAATGCTCGCCTTGGTGCTGTCGACATATTCCTGACCTCGCCGCTGGGGGAGTTGCAGCCAGAGCGCTATACAATGGCAAGGGCTTAAGGTGGCCCCTCATTTCCATCGGGAAGAACCTCGAATCCTACAGGTGGCCACAGTGTAACCGGAAAACTGATACGACATTTCAGCAGCCATCAATTCCTTGCGATGGTTTGCGATTCTGGTGCGGAGGAAGCCGACTTGTGGATAAAAATATGTGAGTCTACGCATTCCCCTTGTTTTGCGATCTGGATTATCCTCGCCTGCACACGTTTGAAGTTCTGAAAGATGTGGATGGAGGTCGTCGCCTGTCTGCGACCTTGTGGACAGCGGTTTGTTGGCTGGATCACTCATTTGGGTGCCTCCTTCGTGCTTGTTGGTTTTCTCCTACTTGCGCTTCTGTCATGAGAAAGGCCTGCGGTGTCACACATCACACGCTGTTTCAGAAGTGGTTGTTCGTGAAGGACAAGTTTCATTGACTTGCCTTCGCGCCCATCCGAAGGCGGGTCACGCGTAACGTGACGTCGGGTCACGCGTTGGTGCAAGGCTCTGCATGTTAGAGAGTGAAGCGTGGGCGAACCCGGAGAACAGCTCATCCCAATTTAATTTATGGAAGGAAGACGCAGGCAGTCACTTCCTTGGGAACTGCTAGTTGTGGTCCGCTGTGGACAGGATCCTGTGAGCGTGGAAATTTGCCGTAATGTGCAGTTTCGCCGGTATATCCGTGTCGAGCAGGGTTCGAGAGCAGACACGAAGCAAGTGGTTTTGCATTGCTTGGGAGATATAAAGGCATTCCGGTCGAGGACAACTGAAAGTTAGACATTATGTGCAGGAATTTGTACAGAGCAACAAACAATCGCTCGCGGGCAGTGGAGAACCTGTCAATCCATGCATTCTCGAATGTACTTGGCTATACGGCCGTGTCTGTCACCCAGATTCGCCTCGATGAGTTGTTCAACATGTTCGCGGAGGCCGATCGACGAGCACGGAGGCAGATGCTCGGGCGCGGAGTCAGAATTTGGAGTATGGCGGTTGTATCTGGGAAGGACGCATCGCAACATGATGTCCGCTAACCCAAATCAGCTTCGAATGCCGTCTTTTTTACGAGATGATTGTTTCTCCCATGGCCTCTCCGCACTATTTGCTGAACACTGCCAGGATCGCACTCTCTTTTCAACCACCATCTTCAGTCACAGTTTGACTGTCGTTCTCTCTTTGTCGTCTACCCGTGGCGTCGTTGCTTTTGCTCTTGAGCCTCGCGGTCTCGGGCTCGGTAATTGGATACTGCATTTGATATTCTTGGATACTCTTTCGCTTGCCCGCTCGTCTTTTATGCCTTCCACGGACCACTACCCTAGGCTTCCCCCGTACAACTCTCGTGCTTGTTTCCGATATCATCCCTACCCGAGAGTTGGGCGACGCTATGATCTAGTGGAACGTCTTGTGGTGTGTTGTGTATTCTTCACCAATTTACTTCAGACAGATACACGGTCGTACATGTTATTCAGAGTGCCGACTATGAAGACGACATCGGGGAAATAATGAACTCGTCTCCACCAATTTCTCTGGTACGAAGGGATGATATTATGTCTGCAGTGACTAAGAGTGACACTTTTCAATCGGCCTATAGCTTCCTTCCAGCATGATTAGCGCTACTTCAAATGATGACGTGTCAACTCTCGAGTTGGACGGTTGTGCTTTTCGGCACGAGGGATCTGATGTCGGACGAAAGCAGGAAAAACTGCGTGCTGCGAGGAAGTGGTTCACCGTAAGTGCTGACGTCCTATTATTCTGCTATATCGCTTTACGAACCCCTGGAATTAGAATGTCGTACTCGTTGTATGGCGCAGGTGCAGGACGCTTCCCACGGTGCAGTCGTGCCTCCCTGCCAAAGCGGAGTAGCTCGTACAAGCCAATGTTACTCGCTTGATTCCTCTAAAATCGAACGCAAGAGGCCGTTGTTCTTCTTGAATATTGGCATGTGTCTGTATCCATAGTTCAATCTTCGTGTATATCGTGCATTTCGCGAGACTGATGAGAGTCTGTGAAGCTCAGGTATGCAGGAATCATTGTTTTCTTTCGGCTGAGCGCACCATGCAGAACTAAAGCGAAACATCAACGAGTCCTTTCAAATACCTTTGTGTGTTGTTCAACTTCACCCCCCTCTATTCTCATGTCTTGTTGCTATGGTCAACAATAAGTGGTGGATGCCAGTGCGTGCCACTTATGTGGCCTCCAATCAAAACTTTACACCAAAGAAGAACTCTGCGAAACTCGCACGACTTGCAATTGTCCTGTGACAATACCGTCCGCTTCTCATGAATTGCTTGACCAGGTCTGCATAGCAATACCGCTGATTCGCTTTGTATTAGAATAGGTCATGTCGCCATTGTTCCGTTTTGTTTACGCCACACATCTCGAGGTGGCCACACATGTATAAAAGCGGCACTGGGTGTCAGTTGCCGCGCCACACCACTGACTTCCACTCAACATCGAATATCACAGACCCCACACTCATCTACAAGTATGTCTGCCGTTACGAGCATCATCAATGACTATGTCTAACGTATTGCGGGACTTGGTACACTATAATAGGGATGAATGAATTCCACTGGCGCTCTCGGTGCTACAAGTATATCGTGGCCGAACCCTGTACTGTGGCATCCATCGCTGAGCGTCTCAATGCTCTCTTGAACGGCATGGAGGGCTACGTCCCCCCTCATATCAAACAGGAGTCAAACTCGGACGGGGGGCGCGCCGATTTTGTCAAGAGGACTCTCGAGGATCTCGTGGGCCACATTGACTTGTCTTTCGCGCTTTCTGCGGTTCCCTCCGTGTGGCAAGCCGTCTTTGATGTCGCTGGACAGTGCGGGTTCAATACCCACGAGTGTCGTGCACCCGAGAATATCTGTGATATCTGTGCAATGGCAGACCAGTCATTCAACCTTGTCCTAGCCAATGTACAGGTAATCGATAGGCAATATGATCTCACTCCGCGGGATAGGTTCGACAAGAACGGCAACTGGAATCCGGATCCTCGTTGGATGGCGGCCTCTTTGGGGGCTGCAAGCCTTCTCTGTCTGGGTCATTCCTACTCACCGACCGTCTACTGGGCGGTGCTGAACGACACGCTCTGCCGGAAAACACTTAAGGCTCATCAGTTTCTCCAAACCTCTCCGATGGGTGGTGAAATGTACGGAAAAGAAGGTGGCGGGAGAGAAAGTGTCTGGGATGGAAATGGGTTTGACACTGAGCGCATAGGCGCATGTATCCAACTTCTTGCTGCAGGCAAGCAGATCCAGAAGTACTTCAAGAACGGCGGTGACATTGAAGAGGTTCCGGCTCTCGGTGAAAAGACTGTCTCTGATGCCAGAGAGAAGAGCCTAGCGGACGTCGAGCTGAAAACGATCTTGTATGGCTTGGAATGGCAGCAGCTCGGTGCTCGTCTTGAAGTGGCAAACTTGCTCGAGGTGAGTTGCTGCAATGTCTGCCACTTGCTTCCGCAAATAAATCTTTCATATCTACTTCAGCGTACGCGCCAGCACTTGTCAGTCAGGGATTCCAATTTGACTGGGCCTGAGATCGCACAATTGATTGCTCGCGTCAACTGGGGGGAAGTTCCTGATGAAATTTCTGCAGACAGACTCTCTTATCTGGTACGACGATTTCGAGCGCTCATCCCAGATGACGCTCAGTAAAAACCGGAAGTCAATTTAAGTCAGGTATTGTTAGGCTGAAGTCAATCAGATTCAAAATTTTGGCACCATTGTCAGGTAAAGTCCAGAGAAGTCTGTTTACAGTCACCAAACTCATCATGCCAAGAAATTATGTGATCAACTGCCATCAAATTATAGTCTGTAAAAGTCAGACACCACAGTTGATCATCTCAGAATACATGGCATTCTGAAGTTCATATGTTGCTTTTTTCTGCACTGAGGGGTTGGAAAATAACTGTACAGACATGGTCTAAACAATATGAGGTCATGCACTACAGAAAACCGTAAGAATAGTCACAAGTAGTCATGTAATAGTCAAATTTGCCAAAATTTTGAAATTGGCCGACTACACTTTGACTTCCCGTTTTTACTGAGGATGACGCGTGACATGTACACAAGTAACACTTGCATATTGTCTGTGATCACCTTCTTGCTTTCCATTGATCGAGGATGTTGTGTGGTTTGATGCGCGCGCGTTGATGTATATATCCTGTTCTCATAACTGTGTTAGTGGGGTTGTCACTTCAGTGCTGGGGTGAAGTAGTTCTCTATTGGTTCTCTAAGTACGCGTCGCATCACGGTCACGTGGACACGAAGTCACAAGCTGTTGCTTTTAAGTACTCCTCCTGGACGAGAGGCTGAGGGTCTGGGCAGATCACGATAAACACACTTTCACTTCACGTGGATCGCCTGGCGACCTTCTGTACAATCAACTGGGATATTTTCTTTTGCCTGGCGCCGATCCAGTAAGTATACGTGGACTTCTGCCGTCCGACCGAAGTTGAACTATCCGAGAAGTACAGTGGGTCTGTTCAGCTTTCGCTATTAGTAGTGGTTCCGAGTTGGCGATTGAACTTACTTTACGCAGAGTTGACTCAGCGCTGTCGTTCGACTTTGTGAACTTTGCGATGAGGACTGAGTATACTGCCCAACGAAGGCTTTCTGGTCCCACAATCTCATCTCTACTGTTCTCGTCCAGCTTCCTCATGTATGGCCTATTTTCATATCTAGCTTGATTGATATTAGTACTAACCCATCTCTACATATGCTGGCGTTTTGGAAAATATTTCGTCAAATTCACAAAAGTGCTCGCCGGCTATTAGGTAGAGGGTGTGAGCTCAACGTCACTGGCAGGCTTCTAGCTTGCGGTCATTTTACCCATACCCCAGGCGATTGGGCAAGTTCCGGGAAGACTGCTGCTATCATGATGGTTCTGCCTCGACATCATGATGCCACCTCGCGCAGAGTAGGAATGTCTTGCACCTCGTGCCACGTATTAAGACGCAGTGTTTCGCCGATTCGCGGGTAGTCTGACCTCTCCTTGAAGCTTTCTGCGGTTTCCTCTGCCTGCGAGGTAGCCCGTTCACCCCAAGCTTCTCTCAGTGACCTTGTGTTCCTGGGAGCCACCAGTGGTAATTGCAAGATGCCTCACGAGTCGTTCCTCCTCACTCTGATCAGACTGAAGGAAAGCAGCAGGTTGGATGGCTGCTGACCTTGGCACCGTCAGCCTGTTGTTTTGGAGGGGATTCTTTGTCCAGGAACGAGGGTAGCCGTCTATAACACGAAATTGGTGTTAAAACTGAGGTCACCGCGGCAGCAGCCAGGACGACGACGAACCGCTAAACTCCTCGTGTCGTGCATCCTAATCCTTACTGCGGGAAAGCAACCAGTCATACTTCGTGAGGCTAGATCTGAAGGCAACATCGGAAATAAAATTTTCGGAAGCAGACAGACGCCTGACCCTACGCGGTCCTAGATCCTGTCGTTTGGAATCACTTTTCGAGTCACATCTTTGCCCGTGGTAAGTCGTCTCTGTGACTCGTGATTGTCAGAATTTGGTCCTGATTTTTCTCAACATACACGCAACCATCTGCTCAAGAGAAAATTCAAGAATATGACAGGAACCGAGAGATTGCCAAAAAATTGATCTGGGGTTGGACAGCTCCTTCATCTCGTTAACCTTCGGCTTCCCTTACCAAGTTGAGTAAATCGGCGTTGTAGTTGCTGTTAGCTTCCAATGTATGACGAATGCTGTTTGCATTCGCAGGTTTGATTGAATGTTTTTCTTTTTCTTGTGCCAGTTCTGCACTCTGATGAGTCCACGGGATTCCGTTCGTTAGTACTAGTACTTGCTGCAGCGTGCCAGATCAATTGCTCCTTCAATATTCGTCAGCGCGAAGCTTGCCACCTGAGAGTGATCGGAATCCCCAAGCGTGGAGAGGGCTGCCTTCCTCCGTCCTGCCACGAATATGTGTACTACAATACCATTCGTAGTGGTAGTATCCACGGGTACAATACATAGAGATACCAAATCATCAGTGGGTAACTCGTGCTACTGTGAGCTTGAAATACAAAATAACACATCTTCACGTCTTCGCATCTATCATAAGTTAATAATGAAAATACCAAACCACGGAAGTAGAGCAGAAGAACAATGCCGAATAATACACCAACCATCAATATTTCAACCATTCGCCTAGTTTGTGTCAGGCATTACGACCATTGCCGTCCGCTATTCCACGAATTCCGCAGCCCGCCGAACAAACTACCCGCGCGGCTAGGCACGGGGCGCGGCGCGCGGATCGCAGTCTCCTCGCCCATATTGGCTACAGCATCCATCGGAGGGTATGGATAAGCAGGCGCATACTGGAACAAGAGTGATCCCTGCCCAACCGGCGCACCGTAGCCGGCAACAACTGGGACAGGAGCAGCGGAATACGCCTGAGGAGTAGGGTAGACAGGTCCATGGCTTCTACGGCCCTCACTGGGAGGGCGAGAAGAGGAGGACGGCCCTTCGTGGTGGCTGCGGTCGGAGATCACAGATGGCTGGCTCGAGCGCGGAATATGGCTCCCGGATGAGCCTCCTGCGCTCGTCGCGGACACGAAGTTCGACGACTGGCGGCTAACTGGGAGCGAGCGACGGCTGTCGCTCGCACAGTGCGTGTAAGCCAACTCCGAATCCGTGACGCTGCCGCTGTAGGTCCGATTCCGTGAGGTGCTGCCCGAGGCAGCACTGCCGGACACAGACCTTCCTGTGTGCGCGTGGTGGTTCTGTGTATTGTACGGCTGGTGATAAGGGTAAGGCCCTGAGGAACCGTAGATCGCAGGAACTGCGCGCGGTCCTGAGGTCACTTCTCGGGCGCTCCCAATGATTTCCTGCTCTCGCAAATTCGTATGCGACTCGGAGGAGCGTCGCGAAGAGTGGGAGCTATATATTGCAGGCACCGCGCGGTGTCCTGAAGTCACCTCACGAGCGCTACCACCAGTATCCCGCTCCTGCACATTCGTACGCGACTCGGAGGAGTGTCGTGAATCGTGGGAGCTACGAGGATGGGGAGTACTTGCGGAGACGGCCCTCGTTGGGTTGGCATATTGCGTCGACGACTGACTGGCCGTGGGCAGATCCTCGTTTCCGTTAATGACATCCATGTGCTGCGCAGAAAAACCTAGGGACAAGCCCAGTCCCGCCTCTGATGGAGGCGGTTCGGACGTCGCTGACAACATGGATGGACCCGAACTGTTCCTGTCCCGCGGTGTCCTACGGCCATAACGGTTACTCTGCTCTGCATCCTCTATGGCTGAGATATAATCGCGTCGATGGCCACCATCTTGTGTGGAGCTGGGAGCTTCTGTCCGACCAGAAAGGTTGTTCCTGGTAACCCTATCCCTTCCGACGAAACGCTCCTGCCACGTGTAAGCGGGAGCATCGTCGGAGCTGTCGCGTTGATTACGAACACTGACCTGGTCGCGATTAGTGTTCTCGCTCCGTGAAGGAACTCTCTGCCAGGGTTGTTGGGGAGGATCGACGATCTGACGCCTCTGAGGACCTGCAATACGTTCCTGGGATGTAGCAGGACCGTGATCCCGCACAGGAAGACGTTCTCTAGTAGACATAAGTTCACGCCTGTCTGCATCTGTACGAGAGCGCCGACCCGGGTAGGCCTGCTCACGCCATGGAATGCTGGATGGCTGATAAGGTGGCGGCACCTGGATGGGGGAGTCATGGATCGACGCCTGACCATCAGTTAGTATCTGCTGTGACATATATGCAGCTTCATCACGCGGGAACACCCTCAGGGCCCCCGGTAGTGCTGCCACGTTCAGATTCATGCTGGACTGTGTCGAGGGCGCGTCTGACAATTGTAAGGACGAACGCGATGTCACAGTGCCCCACGTCGAAGCGGGAGACACGTCCACAGGCCTTGGAGTAAGTCCGATTTCGAAGGTAGCATCCTGGACGCCCTCTGATGCCGCACGCCACCGGGACTCACTTGGAGGATTTTGTAACAAGGGCATGCTCCCGATACCGACACTAGACGAGCTTCTGGTCGTCGTCATCGGTCGAGTTCGCCACACTGGCCTCTCCTCGTCGTCCACAGACAATGTGTCGGCTGGAGGATTGTCTCGCGAGTAAGAATCAATTGAAGGACCTGCGTATGTCTCCGTGGACCCCTTGTCACCATAACGCGAAGACCCGGGATAGGAGACAGATGGTCCAGCGCCTGTGTTCGGTAACATGGGCTGGACAGTTTCTGGCGTAGGAGGGTCTTCGACCCAGACAGATCTTGAGCTGTAAGCTGAAGAGAACGCACCGTTGAACGGTGCTAGCTGGGAGTTGGATGGTTTCCTGTTCTTAGTCAGCTCCCGTTTGAAAGTCTCATTCGCATCCCGCTCTTTTTGCAGCTGCAGACGGAAGCCTTCTATTGAAGAATCTTTTTGAGAAATCTGCGCGACGATCGTCAGCAGGATATGCTGACGCAGCATGATACCGTTACCTTCCTGGGAAGTCAAAATATGAGCCTCCAAAGCTGTAGACGAAACCAAAGTACTCGCGTCTGCATAATCTGCATCTCCTTGACCATACTAGTTTCGACCACGCGCGCCGTCCTCAAATCCTGTTGAGTGACAGCCAGAGACCGCTCAAACTGATGTTGCATCTGTTCAATGGCTTCCTTGCTATCCGCAGTCTCTTGTTGCAGGTTCTTGTACCTTTGCAATCCCGCGACTGCAAATCGTAAGGCCCGATGCTAAGTCGTAGTATCATATCAAGCGCAATGATGAACATCACGGGCTGTACGCAAAGTCAAAGGTGCACCAAATTTGGATGGACTTACCGAGGACTGATTCGTCGAGGGCAAGTTTCTCGTCCGCGAAGTTGGAGGGTGTTGGGAAAGCCATTCATGCACTTCTGCCTTGACAGCATTGACCTCCTCTTCCGGTGTGTATTCTCCGAACACGAAGGCCACGCGCTGGAGGAGCTCATTCTCTTGTGCTTCTAGAACTGGGTCCTGACCGTCACTGGGCACAAATCGGTCGACTCGAAGCTTTTTTGGGACGTCGAACCTAGTGCGGCAAAGGGGACACCTTTTACGATTCTCCGGCTCGAGTTTGTCCAAGCATCTACGACCGCTAATGAGCACTCAAGGTATCGTTGGCTGACCGACGAGTCGGACGCACGACAGACAGAATATATGACCACATGGGACCGCGTACGGTGAACACGAAGCCAGATCGTATGGTTCCAAGCAGATGTCGCAAGTCGAGGCGGGGTGAATGAGCAACATAGACACCCTGACACCCGACTCGACACCGGGAATGCGTCGTACTTAGTATGAACAGAGTCACAATTACGATGGAAGGCTGAGTGGTAGAGCAGGATCGTCCACATATGGCAAGTCTTGTATCCAGATGCCTCCGCTACTTTGCCTCCGTCTTACGCCAAATTACCAAGAAGGTCGTTAGAGCAGCACTAGTACTGATAGATGACTACTGAGACACATTTTACGAGAACGGCGCACCCAGACATATAAAAGGAAAATCAAAAATCTGGCACGGCATGCGATCAGCGCGCCAAAGGGAAATCGTTGGTATTAATGGGGTAGTATTATGGCAGGAGTGGTTGTAAATGGGATCCATGAATCAAAAGGCTTGAATAACTAATGCATCATGTATCGTCAACGTTGAATAAGCAGCCTTTTACAATGGGCTTGAGCACCACACTCAAGAGGCCAAGAGGTTTCCACCCCGCTCACGAGGGAGAAAACACCGGTCAGCAAATACGATTCGGTTCATGGGAAGACGATAGTTACAGAATGCCGTGCTTTGATGACGTCATAACCGAGTAGAAATGCCCACAAGATAGATGCCATGTAAACTTCCTTCTCCGGATGCTGGGTAATAGTAAGCACCATGATTGTTTGGAGGCATCCCTACCCTTAAAGCTCCGCCGTGTGTTCGGAACGAGGGGCGGGTAATCTGTGTGCAATCTATTGACCATGCAAAGGAGCAACAGCATTCTCGGGGGAGGCATTAGCACGCAGTTGATTCGTCATGAGGTATGGTGGTCTAAAGAGTATGCCTGGGGCAGTCATACAGAGAAACGGGCTGAATACTCATGCCGTCAAAAGCCTGTGTGAAACTGTCTGTCTGTTTTGCCATGTTGTCAGGGAAGTCGTGATATAATAGTGAAAGACACGAAAAATCTGAACCAAAACTATGGACATTGGAGCATGAAAACGTCGCACGTGGCCAGTAAATGTTACGGCCTTACACAGTGCAAGTAAGTCGGGGGCGAATCAAAGGAGCTGAGTTCTCTTGATTAAGATGCTCACGAGGACATTTCACTCGTGCGCGCAAGATACGACAACATATCATATAACACCCGTAAGAGAGGTGACCGGCAACAGGGACCACCGGGTGAACACACTCTTCAGACCGCGGAGAATCGATCGCGACGAGACCTCTCCATCTGAGGCGTCCAACGTCACTAGCACTCACCAGGTAATTTATAATTTATTGAAGATCGGTCCGTGGGCCGCCGCGCCTCGCTCTATCGATGGCCGTTCAAACACAAGCGATTGAGATCAGATAGGTCTGACCAATGGCCTGTGTCATATGGGAGGTTTCCAGGATCACAATGCCATGTCTGCCATGCGGTGTGGTCGAGAACTTGCGGGGAAACTGTAGGTTCCGGGAAACGCGCCTACTGTGGTGATTCGTCAGCTGGAGCTGGACTGGGGGATACCCGCTGAAGATATGGTGGAACATGAGGCCAGCAGGCACGCATCCTACATGTGTAGAAACGCTGCAAGATCGAGATCAATGGTTGAAAGGATATTTCATCTTTTGCGAAGGAGCAGCCTCCAGGAGCGAATGTTTAAGAGCCAAAATTCAACACAACCGTACATGAATGTTCACCATTCGACTCCCGCACCTTGATCGTGGGCTTGTTATCTGGCGACGGGAAATGTTTGCGGAACCTGTAACTGGCTCCAAACCTACCCACCCGTGCCAGATTCTGTGAAAGCGACGGCAGTAACATAGGTCGCATAAAGCAGCTTGCGAGTGGCCGGTGGTCAATGAAATATCGGGATTGGAACATCAACGGACAAGGGGACAGAATATAAAGTATGAACTGATTGACCTCGCATTATCCGAGTGGATACATCCTGTCACTGAATCCAAGGTATTGGACTGTTCCAGGACGAAGGCATGTTGTCGTCCGTGCGAAGATTCCAGTTAGATTGCTCAACAAGGAATTCTTGCAGCCCAGTCAACGGATACGGCGAGGGGCCAGAGCCCTCATGCAACTGAGCGACGTTGGAACTTCAGCCACTTGAGATCGTGAATCTCAGACATCAATCCGAGTCAGACTGAGGCAGGCCGCCGGCGCATAAGTATGCGGTAACTGTTTGAAAGAAAAAGCGTGCAAAAAAATTGGTCAGGACACACAACCAAGAAGATCAAAAGGATATCACAGAATCCTCTTTTCGTTTCCTGTTGTTGCTGGAATTATAGCCCTGGCAGTCCGCAAATTGGAGAGTAGTCATTTCCTGTCACACTCAGTAAAAACGGGAAGTCAAAGTGTAGTCGGCCAATTTCAAAATTTTGGCAAATTTGACTATTACATGACTACTTGTGACTATTCTTACGGTTTTCTGTAGTGCATGACCTCATATTGTTTAGACCATGTCTGTACAGTTATTTTCCAACCCCTCAGTGCAGAAAAAAGCAACATATGAACTTCAGAATGCCATGTATTCTGAGATGATCAACTGTGGTGTCTGACTTTTACAGACTATAATTTGATGGCAGTTGATCACATAATTTCTTGGCATGATGAGTTTGGTGACTGTAAACAGACTTTTCTGGACTTTACCTGACCATGGTGCCAAAATTTTGAATCTGATTGACTTCAGCCTAACAATACCTGACTTAAATTGACTTCCGGTTTTTACTGAGTGTCACACGTAACAGCATGTCACACTTTCGAGTCATTCCCTTCTACTTATTTTGTTTCTTTCCGTCTCACTCCATCCCTTGCCTGGCCGCAGACTTTCTTCTGACTGCTTGGAACGCTTGAATCTCCCTTGGAATTTCAGTATGGTTGCACTGCTGTTTCGGTCCTTACAGGCTCACGAAGTCGGGATTGGCGGAGTTGGCCCGGGTTACCCAGTTTTCAGGCCAAATAACAGCCTCCTCTATGTACGAGTCGGGATAGTCTCACTTCCTACGCTTAATCTGGCAGACAGCTAGTTCTTTGGCTGTTCGAGAATACAATTCTCGGCCGATGTTATCAAGGAAGGAGCCATTCCACGACCCCCCAAGCACACCTGCCGTGCGTAGAATTATCTTTCTTTCTCTCGCTCCAGTTACTTCACTGTCATACGCAACGCCGCATGCGCAGTTTTCAATTTATCAATATTTAATAACTTTTACTGGTTGGTACAGAGGCTAGAGCTAAGTACCCCGCAGCATCGAAGCTGCAAGAAGATCGCTGTTATTGCCAATTTCCTATTACAGAATATGCCTTTGACGCTCGCACAAGAGAAGAGCGAAATATGCCACTCAAGCTCCTCGGCTCTTGACCTCGTGTGTGCGCTGTTGAAGTGCCACTTGGATCCCGAGCGCAAGATGAGGAATTCCCTTCACGTGCAATGAGAGGTCTCTTCTCATGTTCTAATCTTCTCATGTTCTAATCCAGCCCTCTGCGGCGAAGGGAGCCATCTTCGCCGTAGAGAACCTTGTCACGCACCGCATCTGTTGTGCGCTTCGCACTAGCAAATACAATGATCTAGTTCATTCGGTTCGGTTCGCCTGTACCGACGTCTGTGGGTTCTCTCTATCTCCTGTCTCAAGAACTCTAATGACTTTGGATGTTTCTCTTATTGAGGACATTCGCATCGCTTAGTCTTCCCGCTACCCTATTAAGTTATCTCGACAGAGCGTTTTAAACGTGGGTCGGCTAGAGTATATGATGAGCGAAGACTCGCTAGATTTGACCTTGGGAAATTCGGCTCTTCCTTATCCCTACCACATCCACTGCGGACTTCTGGCTGCCAGTGCCTGATTCTCTATCCATGAACGAATTTTAGAAGTATTAATCTGGAGCGCAAATATTCCAGGTATGCACTCTTCTCCGCCAGCACGCTGACTGAATGCGTTATATTGCCGTCAAACACCTGTTCTGCCACATTCATCACCTGCCCTGGGAACATCGTCATTTATTGTCACGCACTTGGTCGCACCTCCGCGAACACGCTGAAAACACGAGGGCTTGCCGATCCGATTGCCGATTAGCAACCTCCGCTATTCCTTACTTGATCTGTCTTGGTTTCTTGCTCCGAAGCTCCCCACAGGCTATGAAGCCTCCTACGACTGATTGTTTCCACAACGTAACGCCCCTTTAGCAATATCCTGAGGTCCGACCCTTATCGCTGGGGTCATGCAGCATCCTTCTCTGGCAGGCTCCGATGCTGCGCCGATAGTATGGTAGCGTTTCCCCAGCATTGGTCCGCCGTCTGTGATTTCGAAGACCGCAAGGACGCATGCGCACTTGTCCAGATAGAGTCCCGATTCCGCCGCCTCGTGTATCTTATGCTCATTTCGAGTGAATGCTCACCGAATTCTGTCGTCTGTGGTCTAGCCGGCACGCGATACACACTAGGCGATCAGAGTCTGCGAGCTTATTATACCGTGGCTCCCCTCCAGTTCATCACCTGCCGCTTTCGCGCTCGTCTTGAACTTCGCTGATCATGCTCGTCCTGCACCCCAGCTCGACGTGCGACGTCTGCCTCGAAGGCTACGGTGGTCGCAGCTTTCCCAATGTCATTTCCTGCGGCCATTCGTTCTGTCTGAGGTGCTGACTTTTGTCATCGTCGTTATCTGTCCACGTTAACCTTGGTCGATCCAACCTACAGGTGTCTGCAGTCGTTGACTCGACAGTGCTGCCCTCTATGCCGCAAGGCCTTCGCGGTTTCGGATGTTCGGAGATTGCACGTTGACAGAGCAAACTCGTCTTCGCCACTATCGCCCGACTCTTTGGATGTGACAGAAGAATCTTCTCAATGTCGCCGATTTCAGGATCGGATTACGCGCATCGTATTTGAGGGCGCAGACAATACCGATATCGATCTCTTCAGCAAGGAAGCGGACAGATGGCTCAGGACGCAACCGAGCGATGAGGTATATATATACTCTGATATCCAGCATCGACAAAATTAATTCTTGTCATTTAGCATGCACACCTACGCGCCGTGATCGTCTTACTTCGGAAGCACATCAACGTAGTTCCTCTCTACAAGGCGGCACAGCAGGATCTTGCTCAGCTTCAAAAGGTCTGTGACGATCTGAAGGAGAAATTCCAGACGGAGAAGGAGGCTGGGCGGGCCAGATACGAAGAGCTGGAACAGTCCAGCGCGCTGGAATTGGAGAATGCAAAGGCAGTGGAGAACAGCTTAAGGGAGCAGCTGGACTTCTTGCAGAACGATTGGACTTCGTGAGTATTCTCTTGTCTTTCTCGTGATTAAACTGACTTTGAGGTTCAGGAAAGTAAGCAGGTATCCCTTGGTCTTCCAGTTATGCTCATGCCCACTGTATCTTACTCAGTATGAAGTTTGCCTCGAGGAGTGTCGCATGCTCATAGAGCAGGTAAACGAGCTCAAACGGAAACGTCACAATGCACGAGCGCTATCTCGAACGGTGGATGCTCGTTATCTCTTCGAGGATAGGGATCATCCTAACAAGGAGTTTATGACCATTGCGACGGACGATGTGCCCGATGCGACAAGTATTCTGAAGAGTCATCAAGTCGCAGGCGATGACGGCTTCCGTCTTTCGCCTATACCCCCAGACCTGCCTCTACCGTCTCTCCCATCTGGTATTTTCCCTGCGCTCACTGAAGAGAGCGATGATGATGATGGCGCTAGCAAGGCGCTGCTCCAAAGATCTGGTAATCCACATTCTCGTCGGTCTATCCCGGTTATCCCAATCGCGTCGAACATCCATCGAATGCACAGTAACTCTTCCTTACTGAGCTCCCACGACATGGATCCAGTCTCTCGTTCGCTGCCTAGAGCTCTTATGGATGTTCATATGGTGAACTTCTCGTCGTCGCCGAATGTACAGGGATACCCTTATACTTCTCGAGAGCGATTTGGAGATATGATCTCTAGTTCTCTGGGCGCACACGAAGGAGGACTTGGGTTACGCATCGCTGGGATGGGCCGTCCATCTGACGGTCCAGAGCCTGATGATCAGGACAAGCAACGTGAGCGATTGCGCGCGGAGCTCCGGCGAGTACTCGAAGATCCTCCGCCAACGACCATCGTACGTCGGAACACTGTCTCGGAACCCGAGCACGTCCGAAGGACATCTGCTACTGCGTCGTCTGTTTTCACGCGAAACCCCTCCCCTGATTCGACTAGTCCTCCCTCTAGTTGTGCCTCTGCAGTAGCAGTTCCTTCCTCCTCCGGTGCCCCACTACCGGTGAGTACAGCCCAGCATCAGCCGGTCTCGCGTGCTAGTACAGCGGCGATGGCCGCCGAAAGGGCGCGGGCATCAGCGGCGAGCAGTACGAGTACATCACCAACGTCGGCGATGGCAAGCAGGGAACGTGACGTTACTCAGCCTCAGCCCCAGTCTTATTCACAGACAAGGCCTTCCAATCCTCGCCGGGTGTCTACAGACGGCACGAAGGCTAAAACCCTGACTACCACAACTGCTACGGCATCGAACCTTACAAGGACCATATGGGCGATGCAGGAGGCGCAGCGGATAACCCAACAGGAGGTTCAGCGGGTGTCGTGAAATTCATTATGCCAATCGCTTGCCTTTGCGACACTCGTCGCGACATAGATCAAGTGTATGACGGGCAAGCGGGTCCGCATGGATGTCGTCATTTAACTATTGCAGTCTGCCTATCTAACTCGTTCACAGCTATTTATGGACCTCCATAGCTATGCCTATGTACTTGTGCGTGTAATAAGATTAATGCGCTAGCCCCTCTATGAACCAGAACCCGCCGCTCTTGTCTTCTGTGATTGGAACGTTGTAACATTCTTGCCGGTACTTGCCTTGCATAGCGCATCAGAATCCTGTCTGCCACTTCATTGCAATGAGGGAGGAATAGGGTCATAGCAAGATTGACCATCATCTCCGCCCCGTCCCTTCCGCGCTTTCTGGCATCAGTCCTCCGAAGGCCACGACGCGGGAAACAACGCCCTTCAGGCGTCGCTCGAGTAGGTGGTCGACGCATGTGGATCATAGCTATCCACCAATCGCATTGGACAGAAGTCGGACACTGTAGCGGAGAAACATTGGCCAGACCATAGTAGCGTAAAACCGAGCCTATATACATACTGCCACTCGTTCGGACAAATTTGACATATCGCGTCTATGTTGACTGAAGCACCGCCCTGCCAAGTAGTCTTTTAGTATATGTATGAGGCAATTCAATCCTCCGTGAAATAGGTGGCCACGAGGCAAAGGTGTGGCAGATAAAGCGACGACGGATGGCCCTCCTTCCGCATCAAATCATATGATATATTACGGGAGGATGGAGGTGTGGATCAGATACGATCATGTTCCCAAGAGACCCTATGCAAGACGTCTTGTGTACATAATTTAAGGATATAGCCATGCTTCAGATCGGTCTGTACACCAGATGGGATGGGATAGAACGTAAGAAGACTCATAACCGACAGGTTTAAGGTTGAACCACATACCAGGGTCAAAGGGAAGGTGCTGAGACTGATATCAACACAAAAACCACCGCATCCTCGAGGATAGTAAAGTTTTGTGTCGACACCTTCGAGAAACTCCAGCCTTGCGGAGTGTGTATTCAACAAGTGACAACGCGCGAGAAGCCTCTGGACATAACCAATCGCGGCCAAAGGCACGATCAGGAGAAGTGTGACACCGTGCAATGCTCACAAAGTTTTCCCCCAGTGGCACAGAAGTCTCGCGGAAATGACTGACCCGAGTGTTCCTGGTACGTGGCGTTGAATAGTCCATGTGAGCCGTGCCTCGGACCCGGAGCGGAAATGACGATCACAAATAGACTAAATGTGGTAAAAGCGACGACACAAGGCCAGGTGAACAAGAATTCGAGGAAGGTAATTGCGTGCTAGAAGTCAACTATTTCCTTGGTTGCACGGACTGCGTTTGGGGTTCATCGACCGTATTCAGCGTCACAAACATTCACTCGCTTCGACAACGTCTGAGGGCGATAACGGGAGAAGAAGGTCATTCCTGCTGGTTTGCGGGCTCTTTCGTGAACACACGGGGTATAAGACATACGCTGCGTTCGACCGAGTAGTACTGAAGAGTCCGAGGTGCTAACCAAGCTTTGCTATAACAAGTTTTGACTACTGATGGATGATGCATGGTGAGGACTCGTCACTAATATTGACATTTTTGGCGTGAGGTCGCCCCGAAATGTCGCCAGAAATAGATAAGTTAACACCGTAAGGAAACGGGAGGTAAGTTGCACCGCAGGCAAACATGGACACACGCACCTGCTCAAGGGCGGGAGAAGAAGGTAACCGTTATCTGTGTGCCCCCCCGGAACGTGGAGAGAAGGGCCTTGATGTCATCTTGCGCAGGAACAACCTGACGCGTAGGTGAAGAGGGTAGGGGAAAGTTTGCCTGTGTAGCTGACCCTAAAGGCTTGGCCCGCCTCGTTACCTCCACACGACTGCTTTCGTACAGCCACACTGTCCAGTGGAATCTGTGGCTACTGGTGCATGGACGTCTAGAGTCTGAGATAACAGGAAAAGTGCCACTTACCGGCACTCTGTTGCTACGTTTCGAGCCGCTTGAATAAGCAAATTGATGTGAGCGAAGTAAACGTCTTTTCCGCGGCATTGAAATACTTGAGCATGAGCTTCGGGAGAGATCGCATAGAGTGCTGCCATCAAGATTGGTGATCCCAATTCCGCGAGCATCGTCTGAGTTGAACGTTGAGGATTAATGTTGCTGGGGTGCTCTTCCTAGATACTTCGTGTCCACAGCCTTGCTTCCTGACGAAGTCTTTCGTACGTCACAGGATGAGTAGTGTAAAGCTTTTGATTCGGTCGTTCCAGTCCGGTGAAGGTCGTCTGAATTGACACCTGGCGCCACCTAATCCCAATAATGTGATTTCCTGCCGATTTGGTGAGCCACGACCGTCTTGCTTCGTGATAAGGAATACATTATCGAGGGGCACCAAGGCTTTTCACTGAGCTCGAAGCGTGGACCATCGGAGGACATGATGTCTGTGATAAGCTCATACTGGGTACAATAATCTCAGTGAAAAAGTCCGCATCGAATTAGATGATACAACCTAGTACTACGATAACTTCGACAGATTGTCAGATTGCAACCCAGATACTCGATGTGAGCGAAGGGGTCCGCTGAAGTACGAACAATGAAGCAATGTCTCAGTTGTCTCTGCCAGCGGGGGACCATAATGATGGGACTTGCGATTGAGAAGTCTGAGAGATGGCAATCATCAGGCCTCAAAACTCATAAAGACTAACTCCCCAGGAGCAGGTAAAATTGGCAGTTCAGCAGCCAAAACTGAGTGATTCAGTAACAAAAAGACTGGTGTCCGCAGCTTAGGTTTTAAATATAATAACACAAAATAAGGAATGAAGCAAGCCTGGGTCGAACGGCGGTTGAGTACACCGCATTGACTATTTCTGGTTACCCACCCCCCAATGCAGTGTACTCCCCTTACCACTTCGGCCACAGACCGCTGAACACATGTAATCAATAATGATATCCATCACATTCGCCCACATATTATTCAAAACTCCAAGCATGACAGCAGGAAGAACATCCGTGTCCTCACATGTATTCATAAGTTATAGCTAAGTTCTGGGAGAGTGTATTTTGATAGCTATAGACAAAATGTCCCCAGCTTCATGTAAAGTAAATGCGCCACCATCCCTCCCATCATGCCAAAATTAAATACATCCTGTCAGAGTCAACTTCATCGCAGGCTACAACAGCTGACCAGTGCCGATGGACACCGTGTCAGACCCGACTAATGGGAGCTCGCCTATTTTGTGAACGCACGAATGATCTTCGCAGAGATGTGAAGGAAGAAAATGGAGGCAATGAAGGAGAGTGATAGAACGAGCACGATGAACGGGTCTCTGGAGGAGAAGCGAGTCGTCAGATGTTAAAGAACTGTCTCGTGCGCGTATGTAGGGGGGGATGTACTGAATAGAGACTTACACCCGGAGTCCTGGTGAATCATCCGTGTAGAGCTTCAGCATCGTGTTTGATGACCCGCCTGCGCCCGCGGCGCGCGTGGAGTTAGGTTTCGCGACCGGCGTGCTCGTCGCTCTCCGCCTGATGGCAGCAAACATCCAGAGCACACCCAAGAGATGTCATATAAGCGTCGAAATACAGGTTAGAACTGTGTTCCGAGCAAAGACAGATAGCATACGCACCGAATTTGCGCCCCTGGGGGCTTCGCAACACCAGAACCAGCGGAACGACCGGTTGCAGCGGGTCGGGAGACGTCTGAGTCTGACTGCTCGAGTAAATTACAGATGCAGTATTGCTCTATTAGTCAATTGAGATAGCGCAGAGGGAGAGACCCACCATGGTGTTGTGGCAAGTGTGCTGGCAAGCGCTGAGCGTTCTGTATGCTCCACGTGGTCCGACGAGCGTCATTTTGTCACACTACTCATGCTGGTAACGGTCAGGCGTGACAGGGAGGTACCGCAGCAATTGTCCGCCGGTACAGTCTAATCTCCACCATCACGTCGCAATGTCTCTTGTAAGTGCCCTGCCTAAGTCATTTGTTGCGAAAAATGTCATCCTTTATATTAGATTCATGCGCTAGTAGCTCAAGGGTCCACCATCCTTGCAGAGCACCAAGGCGGACAACGTGACTTCTCGCAAGGTGAGTGTACATTCGAAACCCATGTAGTAGTTGATCTCTGGCTTAATGAGCGACCCAATTAGCGACTCAAACTATCTTGTCGAAGATTCCACCAAATAACAGCAAGCTGACGTATGTGTGGGAACAATACCTCTTCCATTATGTTTCCGAAGGAGGGTACACATACCTGGTCATGGCGGACGACTCCGCAGGACGGTGAGCATTCGCCTACCAGCGCACCATCGCCTTCTGACATATATATCGTAGGCGGATGCCTTTCACCTTCCTGGCTGAGCTCCAGCAGAAATTCATTTCCTTCTCCGCTGCATCTTCCTCCTCACTCTCCACTTCGCCTGCCTATGCACTCCAGGGAACTTTCGGACCAGTCATCGCGCAACTCATGAATACATATAACACCACACCTCCTGCCGACGAGCTCACGCGCGCGCAGTCGGAGCTGGCGCAAGTGAAGGACATCATGGTGCAGAATGTAGAGCAGATCCTCTCGCGTGGGGAGCGCATCGAGCTGCTGGTGGACAAGACAGATAACATGGCGAGTCAGGCGACTGCATTCCGCCGAGGTGCACGTACGGTGCGTCGGGGTATGTGGTGGAAGAACACGCGCATTATGGGCTTGAGCGGTGTCGTGGCCTTGGTTCGTACATTGTCGCATTCTTGCATTCTGATTCACTCAAAATCTCGCCCTTTGTTACTCAGGTTTTTATTTGGATAATCACTGCTCAGTTCTGTGGTGCTGGCTTGAACCAGTGTGGGGCGAAGTCATAGAATTCCGCTTTGATGCGTTATCCCATCCACTTCGAAGATATCTTATGATTCATGCCGTACGTTGCTTAGTATTCCTTCTTGTCTTTGTTCTTTCGACCGTTATATATGAATCACTACAATTACGGGAAAGTATATCAGTAACGAGTGAAAGCATAGATATCGGTATGAATTCCAACTGAATGGATACAGTCATCCTGTTTATTGTCAGCTCATGCCTGTAGTGACAGATTGGTGAACACGGGAAATCCAGTACAGGGCTGAATATACGTCCGATTCGACCTTGGACCTATATCCCTTCGACATCACGTGCTGACCGCGTCGCGTGTGTGGCGAGCTCATTCGCGGGAATGAACGCGACCGCGCGAGTTCTTCGCCCACTCTGCCAAACATGATATCGGTGGGGGGTTAACGAGTGTGCTGCTAGTGCTACATTGGTAATGTGGGTGTACACGTGCACCGTGATCTCTTTGTTTGCTTTCTTCATTGTGCACCAAAAGTGGCCACGTCGCTCCTTATGCTGCACCCATTACAACTTGGTTCAACATTACAACATTGTTCATCATTGTTCAAGCTACAACATCATTTTTCGCGAAGAAATCGCCATGTCTCCTCCGGTGAGCACTCTCCTACGGGATGCCATTTGTGCCTCACCATTACGGGACAGATCCCACCAAAGCACTGCGTTCGTTGCCACATGATGTACACCACCAACGGGGAAGGGGGCTGCGTAATTCCGCACATCTTCGACTACCGTGATCAGCACGAATGGGAGATGGACGGGATCAAGGGCCGTGTATACGCATCCAAGTGTTGCGGCGACGAAGTCCGGGTGTTCGAGCGCGGAGCCGGGAGCGATTTCGTGCTGGAGGATGAGGGGCCATGTTTTCGCGGGTGCCATACGACCTCGGCCATCGTGGTGGAGTACAATTTGGTCAACGTCTTTCCGTGCCAGTTGGATAGGGAAGAGGAGTGTTTGAAGGAAGTGCTGGATATGACCTACCCTCCTGAGTTTTGCGAGGATTCTGATTACGACTGGGTGCCTGACGGTGAGACCACTCGCTCCAACAATCTGACCGATTGGCGTCGCCTTCGGCGATGCTGGTCTCGGTTGGCGACCCTGATCAGGGCCTTTGTTCGTTGTCTATATCGCTCTTCCAGATTATTTTAATTCAGCGTGTATCCGGTTTTGATGATGAGAGCTGTAGGTTCGGTTTGCTGCTCGGTGCCACCCTTCTGGTCGGGAGCCCAGAATGGAAGGCGCGCGGAAAAGCGTCGTATTTTCTAAGCGCTCTGTTCTGTTCTTTCATCTTTCGACTCTGAGGCTCCCTGTGCTCACGGCAGCCCACCGTCATCCCCGATTTGAACGATATCGAGACTGTATTTTTTTGAGTTCTTGCAGACTCGGCGACTAACAAGACTTGCCCTATGCACGAGAAAATTTTCAAGAAGGCTTCTTCGTATTTTGTCTGTCAGAGACGGTCTAAACACGCTATGGCGCTGGCTGCAAGGAGGTAAACGCTATATGAAGTCCCGTCGGTCCATTGGGCTCTAATTACCCAAGTTTCTGGGTATGCATCGGTAGGTGTAACTTTGTATTCCAAGCCCTGTCGCGACATGTGCCTTTATAGAGAGGAACGACTCTTTTTTCCTATCTACTAGAGGCTGGTTCACGAGCATAATATGTGCCCACTAACCGATTCTCCTTTAGCCGGCTGGACACCGGCCGACTTATCAACATACAACATCGGATTCTCGGACGAACACCATATGGCGTTCTCCGGTATACCTATTGTACCCGTGCGGAGAGCAGATCCTGCTATTCTCGAGAATACCGACCTGTCAGGCGTCGACTAAGATGCATTTCGTGCACTCCCAGCCTAAACGCAAGACCTTTTACGGGAAGTGAATTCCCTCGGTGCCCTCACAGATTTGCGTATACCTTGACGCAGCTGCTCACAAGATGGCGGCCTCCGTACTATCAGGCGAAGACGTGTGATGAGCAGATGTTCTTCGCGCGTGGAAAATCTGTCGGTACTATGACGAAGCGATCCATGGCGGATAAGTCTCGTTACGTCCAATTTTCGGGCCAAACTACAGTGCGTATACTCTCCCCCCCTTCGTCAAGTCTGGTTACCCCTCATGTCAAGCTTTCGGCATCCGATGAGAATCCGGAAACCAAACTGGATGCACTTGCAGCATACGGGCAAAACAAGCCGAGACGGGAGAAAGTCAAGCTACCGTCCGTCTTGTCGGAAGAGTTCGCAGGCGTACCCTTCCGTGGATTTGCACCAACATTTCACAGCCTCCCCATGACCTTTCGCGCGCTGCCGCCGTAGGGGACGGGACTGTAGTCCGTGCTCCAAGGGAAACAGGTGTGTGTGGATGTGTTCCACCTGTGCTAGATTTGCACCAGTATCGGGCGAAAGGCGTACAAACTTTGGATAACCGTCGTGTACTCTAGAGCTTCAATGTGTTCGTCGATTACCTCTATGTGAGTGATGGGTAAGACCACTGAGATCATTTTCCTCTGCACCTCGCATGACCCTTTTCTACGTGTTCAGATACTGTTTTAAATATCTTGACATGATATTGGTGTGAACTTATCCGGATTTGACCCTCGATGGTCGTTCCTTTTGCCAAGATTACTTCAGTCTCGGGGCCGGCAAGGTAGATGGTAGTATGACGTCGACTATACATACGGCCATGGCTTTTGCTCATTTGGAAAGGAGTCTCAACGGCGGAGGACAAGGAACAGCAGTTAAATATAAAATATATTCCTCCTCGTACCGGCGGGCGAGGGCATTGATCGATCTGGAAGTGTCCGCATCTTGTCTATCATCTGAGATCGCGAATCTCCTGTACTTCTTCAGCTGCGACGACAACAGTTGAAATTTTCATCCCTTGCTCACGTTGTAAGGACAAAGCATGAGGTTACAGATACCTCCCGACTCTGCACCGTAGCCATCAATCACAGCTCTGGGGCCGAGATGCACCTCATGCAGCTTCTCGAATGAGATCAAAAAAAAGGGGCCGATATACATATATAGCTCTTTTCTCCAAGCGAGAGGAAAAAAATCATGATCTCAATTACGGGGATCTTGAAAAAGTCCAGACCGCACTGTACCTCAGTAGCGGGAATCATCATCTATCTTACCAATTGGAGAAGGTGTGTTTCCATATTGGGAACTATGGGAATTTTGCGATCCACGAGCGAGTCACACTGACCTTATGTGGTAATAAGGCCATCACGTTGTCATGTCCACTCTCAGCGAGCCTGAATGCTGCGGCCGCTCTCCGGTTGAAATCGCACTTGTACGTGTGCACGGTTACGATTTTTGTTCGCCTGGCGACTTGGACCCCGTTTTTCAAGAGATGTTGATCATCGTACTTCGTAATCTCTATCTTCAGGGCACATATCACTGTGAGTAGAAGGAAATTGGAAATTTTCAGGACATTGAAGGCTATACAAGACGATGACGACGGCTTTTCGCATCACCATGGCACTACACGCCCATTCATTCCACTGGTGCGTAATCGACGACATACTACTTTGCCGCACACGCCACGTACAGTAGTTTATTCTGTCCTGGCGCTAAGTTGCATTGTCTCCGAGGCAAGTTCCGATGAAGGGTGCGTTATGAAATGCGCGGATCTTTGTGTCGGCGCCGGAGACAAATTTGCCTTTGCTTCGTGTTTCGCCTGTCGCGGCGCTGCAGGAAGACTGCGGGGAATCAGTGCTAACCCAATGGAGACATGATCTTAGGCTTTGCTGGTCGGTGACCTTACGGCATTGCTGATCAATGCATGTCCGAACATCCTCCTCTCCTTGACTTTTTTTGGGGATGGTGAGCGCGGCAATGCACGCGGCACAGTTTTTTCTATGCGTCTTTATATTCGTTCCTGCTGGCATCTGCGATTTCCTGGCCGACCTGACCGTCGTCCCCCAACCCCTCGCTCCTTACAACTCAGCACACGATCATCGTTATATTCTTGTTCACGCAAGCTATGCCTCGACTGCCTTCATATCGTCTCAGCCACGGTGTGCGTTATCATCCTTTCTCTAGATGCAACCGCCCTAAGGACTCCAAGATGGTGTGTGGACTGAGTCTCTTGTTAGCGTTATCTTGTAAATGTCCTGATCCTTTTCTCTTGGTTCGTGATGCTGGCGTCCTTCTGGATCCCGTGTGCACTTAGAAGAGACACATGGACACGCGCGTCCTCGAGGATAGTTTTGACTTCAACTCGTTGCCCCGGGTATTTCTGGTACGTGTATCTGTCGGCCTTGTCGTCACTGTTTTCCCACTCACCGATGGGCATTTATAGCGTCCTGCACGTTACGGTGAAGATTCTGACAGCGACGTCTCGGTGCTGCATCTCGACATCTGTACCACAAGTCAAGCGGATGAGAGAATTACGAATGAGATAAACAGGCGACCCGGCACAGCGCTGGCAATGGTCAAGTCAATACTTTTGTTGATTTTGCACCCACCAATCGTTTTGTCCCAAGGCCCCTTCTCAGAGGACATCGTCCCAAGGCCCCTTCTCAGAGGACATCGTAAGGCTCGCCCTTGTTAGGTGCGTTTGTCGTATGACTATGCCCATAGCTCCCAGCCTTGTCTTGAAATCCGCTCACCTTCATTAATGACAGTTGCTTTCGGTCTGTTTTTGCCCTTGCATTTGTTTTGTTTCGTCAGATGCCTTCTTTTTGTGCGTACTACACTTTTCTCATAATAGCGAATCATATTTCAGATTTATATGTCTAGCGTAGAGCCTGTCTTCTTACGAGTGTTATATTGTAAATACTTCTGTGATGCTTTCTCAGAATTTATCGGTCGAATGATCGCGTTTTGAGGGCAGTGCGATCGAAGATGTTGAAGATCTAGATCTGACTGAACCACGTAGCCACTTGCATTTTCCCCGGGCCTTCACTCTGCATAACAAACGACTGTATCTTGTCTTCACCGCTCACCCATCGCGCCAGAAATTCCGCGTAACATTCCTTGCTTTTCTTTTGCAACAGCTTGAACCTTGCCTGGACCCAAAGAGTCCCAAACTTTCCACGAGCTTCAAATCAAGACCAACACCCGCGCACACGCCGTCACCGACATCAGCATTCGCCATGTCGAACAGCGTACAATACTCAGTAATCGTGCCCGCTTACAAGGAAGCAAGTAACCTGCGCCCGCTTGTGACTCGCGTCTTCGCCGCGCTGCAGCGCGACAGCTCGTCCGTGCCCGCTGAGCTCACCGAGATCATCATCGTCGACGACAACTCGCGCGACGGTTCCGTCGAGGAGGTGTTCGCGCTCCAGCGAGAGGGCTACAACGTACGCATCATCGTGCGCACCACCGAGCGCGGTCTCAGCAGCGCGGTCGTGCGCGGATTCCAGGAAGCGGCGGGGGACAATTTGCTGTGCATGGATGCGGACTTGCAGGTGCGTGGTCGTACTATGGGCGTCGTTGTGCTAGACTTGACTGATGTAAGGGATACGCAGCATCCGCCAGAATATGTCCCACAGATGCTCGCAGCACTCTCGCCTTCCAAACAGTTCGTGCTGGGCACGCGGTATGGCGGCGGCGTGGGCGCGGTCGACGACGGCTGGCCGCTCTACCGGCGCGTCATCTCTGGCGGTGCGCGTCTGCTAGCACTCCCGCTCACCCCCGCTAGCGACCCTATGTCTGGGTTCTTCGGGATCCGCAAGGAAGCAGTACGTCTCGCGTTCCCCCGCCCGTCTCCATTCTGACTGTAACGCATGCACGGCCGCAGTTCCTGAAGGCGCGCAACCTGGACGCGGGCGGCTTCAAGATCGCGCTTGACCTGCTCGTGAAGGCGCCGCTCCCGGCGACGAGCATCGCGGAAGTGCCGTTCGCGTTCGGCCTACGCTCCGCGGGGGAGTCCAAGCTCTCAGGCAAGGTCATGCTGCGCTACCTCCGGCAGCTCGCGGAGCTGTACTGGTTCAAGTACAGTGCGCTCGTCTTCCTGTTCTGCGTCTGCTTCCTCCTCATGCTTGTGCTACTTGCACGGTGGATCATACTCGGCGGCCCGTGGGTAGAGAGCGCGCCCGTCATGCCGGGGCATATTGCGGGGAGTAGGGGCAAAGCGCGTGGGCGGTGGTAGGCACAAGTGGGCGCAAATCGGGTGACGTTTACGCATGGTGTACTCGGGCTTGCGAGTTGAATGCAGCTCGGTGAGCTCGGAGTGGATTCCCGTTCTACTTATATTGTACAACATACAGATCCGGAACATTATATACATAATGAAAGCAGGCAATTCATTGGTGCGCCTGTTGCGGAAGGAGGCGTCCGTGTACGAGAGCATGAAGAAGGGTGCCATATCAAAAGAGAGGAGATCAAGAGGAAGATGGGTCATCGGGGTGACAAACCAGAACATGACAAGCGGTAAGTAGTTCGAGAGAGCGACGGAACGAAGCAAGCGGCAGTAACCGGGGAGAGCAGATCGAGTCCTGGAACTGTAGGTAGTACAAGGTGGACTGGAAGTATACGTATCTTAACGACGAGGAAGCGGAGGATGCGACGGACTAGATGGACGATGGCTACGTCCTACCGGGGTCGTGCGCAACATTCCCCAGCTGCAAATCGCATCTGAACCGCGAAACTTCAGAGATCGGAGATAAAGGACAGGTACAATCCGACCCTGCTGAACTCCTGCATCCCCTCGAAACGAAGAGCCACACGGTCGGCTGTTCATGCTGCCCGGGAACTACTGCAGACACTCCGGCGACGATGAGACGATCGCAAACCCGAGCGAACCTCCGCGAAGAGGGCCCTGCGAGCACGAAACGTGCTGTCATGCGCCGATCAGGGGAAGTCCTCCATTCCCGTCCACGGGACCCACCCTCCACACTTGGAAATCGGATCTGCAAAAGCACCACCGCGCTCGGCTCCGACTCGCTCCACAGACGAACGAACGCGCTGCCAGACCGAGACTCGGGACTTGAGACCAGGAATGAGACGAAATATCATACATGTAGCGAGTCCAACAGTAGAGGTAGATGACAGAACCGATGCAGCAGAGATGGGGCGGATACGAGGATATGACAAGAGACACGACATACGACACGACGACACGGAATACAAGAATAGACGTGAGACTTCTGGACGAACGAGAGGAGACTGTGGGATGGGGCGAGGTGGGTAGGATGCTGGTGATACAAGTGGGAGGAAGGTCAGAGAGCGAAGTGGAGGGACCTGACGAAGGTCGTGGCCCTGCGGGGTAGTAAAGCGTGGCGAGAGTTGGCGTTAAGAGAGGGATAATCGAGGGAGGGGGTTACGTCGAACTATAAGTTCTGTATCTGAACAATCAGGAATTGCTTCTCGTCCTACGAAAGGGAAATTAGCAACGAAGGGGTGAACAGTGAACACATATAGGCGTACCGTGAATTGTTCATCTGTGAAGTGAAGGAAGGTTGTTGAGTGTACGAAGGAGGATGATATGACGGCAGAGTAAGAGGGAAAGACACGCACCCTCCTTATCGTTATGAAAGCCCTTGAGGAATTGTAGGAGTTTCTCCTTGTTCCGTCGCAGAATACTTTCAATCTGTGGTGGTTTCTTCGGGTTCGCGACAAATACCTACATTGCACCAAATACATCAGCAAGCAATTTGAGTAGAATAAAGGATAAAGCGAACGGCACCTTGAAGACGTGGAACGCCTCAAATTGGATGTTCCGGCTCTTGTTCCGCAAGAGGTTCATCATGAGCTTGAGATTCGTCTCGCTCGCGATGTAGCGCGTCATGACGCTGAAGTTCGCACGATCGAGCAGGATCTCGCCAAGGAGCTTCAATGATTGTCGTTTAGTCACATAGTTCTCCGAGTTGATCAGCGTGGTGAAGGAGGCGAAAAACTGCTCAACCAAATATCAGCAACAGATGCTCACCGCCTAAGATCTCGCGGGCTAGAAGGGGACGAATAGATGACCCACTCTATCGTAATTCTTGTCGAGATACTCAGCCACCATGGTCTTGTGCCGCGTGAGCGTCTCTTTGAGGTTTGTATACGCATCACACGAAACCCCGAACGTCGTTGCCTCAATGTAATGTGGGAATGTGTAGAATCTACGGCAGAACACCGTGTCAATCATCTAACCTTTACGCCGCGACATGGAAGACGCACTGATCCGAATAGAGTAGGATCTTCGCCAGTGACTCGTGGCGGAGCATCTCGCGGAGAATCATGCCCGTATTAAGCGCAACTTCTTCTTTGCTATACCCGTTGAACGCAGCGAAAAGCACCTCCGGGCGCCCACAGAGGTATTCGACCGTCGGGAAGCGCGCACCGATCTGGCGCCGAAGGAGGTTGTTGAAGATCTGCACGACGTCCTTGCGCATCTCGAACTCGAGCTTGTCGATGTTCAGCAGGAGGCTGTGCAGCAGATCCGTCGAGTACGTCTCCTGTGCGAGCTGGGCGACGAGCTCCGGGAGTGGGTCTGAGGGAGTATACTGAGTGGGCGCAGCGGTGCAAAGTGAAGATAAGGGTGCGCGTACCACCGTCTCCATACAAGATCGCTTTGATCTGCTGCAGATTCTTGACCACGTCCTCGTTCGCCTGTGCCCCCGCCGCCGCTCTCGTCAGTTACAAGCTCTCCCTCGGGCACGGCGCCACACACCTTTCGCCTTGTCTCCGTGCTGGGAGGGCCCGCCTCCAGCTTGGACAGAGAGTCACGCAGACCGCGGACGAGATCTGGGGGAGTGCGCTGCTTAGTCTTGAAGAAATTCATTGTGAGAGCGATATGGGGAGTGCCAAGTGAGGAGGAATGAAGGCGTTGGACCTCAGACCAAGTGTCTGTGGTGTTGGTATGTCACGAAAGGCGTATTACGAGTTCAGGCCGGGAACTTTGTCAGCAAGCAAGAGGAGAACAGATGGGGCATGCGACGACGATATGCCGCCGGGAGAACACCAGAGCAGACGATAGCTGGAAATGAACGATCCAGTGGCAGAGGCTCTCCGAACCTCGACCGATTCAACCTGCCACGTGATCTGGTGTATGTCCATATGCAGTAACTTGGAACACCAGGAAAGAAACCTATGTAGAGAACTTAATATTTCATCCCGGACGACACCAGGTTCACACCCGATAACCCCTTGGTCTTACTGTCGAGTCCGGAACAAAATTTTGCGTAAGTTGCCGCAGCTGTGAGTTCGTCCAGTCAAAGAATGAAGGATCTCAATGCAGGCTTGGTGAAAAACTTATGGGGTCGGACGGCTGAAGTGACCACGGCCTGATACTGTCCGGACCACTGGTCCGGAGAATGATTACAAAGAAGATATGCTGGAAAACCGCGCGGCACTACTGGTTCCCAAACGGGTCGGGGGACTGAATACAGGACCCGAGACGAGTCGCTCGATACCGACATTTCAGGGACTGTAGGTCTGATTTCATCCGGATATTTGACGGCCGTACTAGGGGGCTCCGGAGTTGATATTCTGTCAACCAGACACCCTTTCTCCCCCCGCTTTGGAAGTGCTACCTCATCCGAGCGAACGGGCAATATTCTGCCTCAGCCATTCGGAAGGGGAGTATTCTACCCAGGTACTCGGACGGACAGTGGGGCAGAAATTTGGCAGACGGGTTCACCTCATTAATTCCGATGTTCGAGGGTCAGAATGCCCAAATTTTACCCGAATGTCTAGGCCCGAGTCCGAAGAATCGGATCGGCTGCTTGCATCTCTTGTCGCGGGTTCTTTGAAGAAGAGTCCAAGTGCCCGAGAAACACACCAAGATTAGAAGACACCGCTGGCTGGTACAATATCTGGAACTCATTATTGCTGTCTTGTCTACATTGGTTAAGCCGTGTGCGAAATAAAGTATCAAAGGCTGACACCTCCACTCGAATCTAGCCTTTGCAGGAACCTACAACAACGCTCGAAGGTCTCAGAAAAGGTACGCGCCGCACAGCTCTATGTGACCAGCCAACATCGAGGCAATGTTCGGATCATCCACAAGCGAACAGACCAGTGTCACTGCATTACCGAGACTCTACAAAGAGGACGCGACGGACAAAGAGGCGTAAGTGCTAAGTTAATGCAATCCATGCCAAGGTAAAGGAGTTACCGTGGGGTATGGTAGGAGGCATAGTAACCCGTCATAAGTGGAGACCGTGAGCTCCGAAGTAAAACCAAAGCCTAGTATTGTAGCGAAAATCAAGATAACAATGGATGCAGCCATAGAGCTGTACACAAAACCATTGATCCAGTTTTGGCACGGCTCAATTTTTGGCGAGATCTTGGTGCAGCGGGACGCGTCGACCGTTGCGGACCGCCGAGAGCACCCACCATGCTCACTCAGTACGGCCCGCCGCCTCGCCGGAGACCGAGTCTGTCCAGTGCAAAGAGGAACGGTCAGTTGCGCCACATGGTCGCCATAATGTCCTATCAGAGACCCTATGAGCAAGTGGAGCGGTACAAGTCGCACAGACGTACCAGGACCATGAACAATAACCTACGCCGGCGGTCTCTCAAATCATCTCCACGCCGCTCGTGTCTCGCAGCAGTAAGATCGAGCATAGGAACATCGCCGTTGGGATCCTCACCACCGCCACTCACGGCACGCTGCAATCTCCATCGGTGAGCGTCAAGTATCCCGATATGGAGGAACGACGTACCAGAAATACGGGAGGCGGAAGGTCCTCCCGTGTATCCTCTTCATCGTCGATATCCTTCTGGAATATCAATTCAACCACGGCGATGAGGACAACCCAGGCCGAAGGAACGTTTATAGGTTGTCGATTACTGACCATGTCTGAGTCGCGATACAGTCGGCGAAAATACGATGCATACGGATGGTACCGTATTTCGTGATTGCCGCGATAATTCGGCAATCGAGGCATTGTTGAGCGCGACGAGCGCGTGCCCGAAGAAGTGATGCAGCGAAACGACACCTACAGGACGCGTCAGAGCAAACAAAGAAAATGCTCAGCGAAAGGGAGACGTGTAGAAAACGAGGCGACGAGAGGACCAGCACGCGGTTCGCAGGGGCAAAGACGGTGCTGGTGGTCGTAGCTGGTCAAGGTGCAGACGAAGCAGAATCCCGTGTTCCACAAATTTATAGAATCACGGACGAATGTGGCAAAAAGTGGGTTTTAGCCCGGCCGCGCCCTTTTCAGGCTAGCGAGAGGATGCTCTCAGTCGACACGTTCCAACCCACATCGACCACAGAACGACCGCTGCAACAACGACGAAAGTCGCTTTCACACGGCTGGTGCATTGTCTCCCTGTCGGTTCCGCTCTGGACCTGGCGCCTCACAGACGGGGAGGATCAGGTCGAGAGAGTTGATCGGCACCGGAGAGCATCAAAGAGGACCCAATTGCAGATAGGTAATCTGGCCAGGGCGGCCGTTCGAAGTGATACGGAGGTCTGTCAAACTCAGCCTATTAACAATTTCAGCCAAAACGGGCACCCTCCAAAAGCAGTGAGCCGTCGTCACGTCCAGAATTGTGAAAACGGATATGTTCCTGCGTTTCAGAAACAGCCATTGTCCGACTGCCCAGCGCTCCGAAAGTTCAGATTCCCACATCTCATGAGCCACGGCCACGGTTCTCTCTTTTCTGATTGGCCTCTGTCTCCCTGCTGCACGATTGCAACAGGGACAAGAAGCCAATCACATCGCCTTCAGTCGGAAAGCGGCAATTTCCGACGGAAACAATGGCTTTCTCAAGTGGATGCCTTTCCAACTGAGCACCCAACCAGCATCGGCGGTATTCCGCAGAGAAAAGATATGAACAAAAACTTTTGTTGATGTCCACAAAGACGACGGTACTCCGTGATGTCCCCGTGTATAAGCCTACAGGCGGCGGACTCGAAGGTCACAGAGTGTGTGACGTACGCGTCGGGGTGACGTCACGTTACGCAGCCCACCAGGCAAGTCGCATATTATCCTCTGCATGAGCTGACTGATTAGCGACGAGCCCTTGCCTCCCAAGATCGGATAAAACAAAAATTCGTCGAAAAGACGATTGTCCTCCAGCGCATCCCATACATTTTGGAAAGCGCCCGCGATTTAATCCACGTGACCACCTCGCTCACCACTCGCCGAAAATATGTCGAATGCACCTAGGGAGGAAAAAGGTAGTATGAGAGTACTCACCTACCTCCCGTCTGAATGACGGTTTGTGTGCCCGGCAAGGGTTGCTCATTGCAGCCTATGATGGATGTGCACGACGGGGTTCGTCGGGACCTGCTTTGTGACTGCACATTCCGGCCAAAAATCTGCGGACACACAATCTGCAGACACTGGAGACACAATCTGCGGACACAATCCACGGATACAGATACGTGTCAACCCGGCTAAGGGGTAGCACCAGAAACATCAAGTAGAGTCAAGAGATATCCTAGAAACAGCACCACAGAGGTAATTCTTGCAATCTTGTAGCATATAGCAGCCATGATAAACTGGAGCCCGGAGCAGTCCTATGTTCTTGCCGTGATAGCCAACCGGCGGATGGATGATCATCGGACAAGAGGACAAACAGGCCGCGATTGCGCGGCGGATTTCTGCTTGTAGCGTCGTGGTTGTGGTCGTCCGTCTGGCCCGTCACATCGATGAACATATATGGGATGGACGCGGCGCTGTCGATGTGTCTGCAACAATTCCCGCGCACCATCCGAGTCTTGGGCAATCTCCCGAGCGGCTGAAAGCGGGTCGTTCAGGGATAATGCTCCTCGTGTACTTAGCGAGCTTGGGCACCAGTCCAATTCGGACTGAGTCGCTCCTTCACCGTTGAGGTATCCGACACACATCAAACACTAGATGCCTGTCCCTGCATCATCTCCCATCTGGTATACTTGGCCACAGTAACTCAGGTGGCTGGTGCAATCCACATTCTTCACTGCATGGCAACAACTACTGGTGCAGATCAACTGAGATACCTTGGACACTCGGATATTGGTGTATAATCCACAATGCAGTATACAGGATAAACTACACCTCATGTTGATCGTCCCACATTGTCCCAAAGATGCAATAGCTGCAGCTATTATTTCAATAACATTGCTGCCCAGAGAACATGATTATCGCACAGTGCCTAACTTCAACCTTTAACAAGTGCTTTGACATGTTTTCTTTCAGAGGATTCCACCTATCATTCCATTCTGTGGACAGCAGCATGTGAATGAGCACAATCTTAGTGCTACATATACACCTGCATCACATCATCACTCACACCATCTAGCATTGCTTACAGTATTTTTCTGTTGTGAACAATGGTTCAGGACAATGAAATATTTGATTTTGACTGCTATCATCCTAACTGTGAGCTTTTCATTGCCTCAGAATACCAGAAAACTGTTCTTTATCCAGGCAGATCAACTAATTGGTGCATCCAGAAATATTATGACATTTTTAAGGACATTTTCACCGTGCATATTGGTGAATTATCAATGAGCTGTTAAGCATGCAGGAATTTGAAGTGATCATCAACTCCATTAACACAAAAGGAATGGGGACACAAAACCCATTGCAAGTGCTCAAAAAGACACAGATTACATTTTCTCAGTGTCTTCACCGCTAAAAATTTACAGCAGGTGTCTCAAAATTTGATGGTGGATGGCAGTGGACAAAGAGTTTGGAGGACATGCAAAGCATAGATGCACATGACTACTAAGCACCAGCAGAGTTTTGGGGGTGTTGATGTTGGTGTATTACAGTGGAAAGTTCAACTTCTCTGCCAGCATCCACCAATGTCTGTCAACATTCCTCAGCCAAGACCGGCAACTGGTGCTGCATCATGTTGAGTGCAACTGGCATCTGATGACTAGGCCCGGGTGTCATAAAGATACTCTGGCATCTACTTGAATCCTGTGCCTCCTCTGCACTTAAAAAAATTGCAAAAATGCTCCTTTGTTCGCTATAACACCTCTGTATACATGCTTATAGGAATTCCCTCTCAAAAATGCATTGGCGATGCTGCTGCAATACAAACTCTGCTGCAAAAAATGTGCATGGGTGCCTATCTTCAAGCAATGTCCGTCCGGTATCATTCAGTACTGGTTGGATCTAAATGTTGCTTATTTGTGATGAAAATATTGGAAGGGAACATATCATTTATCTACGACATCCGGAAGGCATTGCCCATTAGCAGACTATACTGGATACTGATGGCGAGGGCTGATTGGTTGAAACCCAGTGGCAGACGGCAAAATGTAGTGGTAGTCAGTGAGGTACATGGCGAATGACAACAACAGTCACCAGCGACTGACGGACTACAGTGTACTTCGCTGGCGGTTGCTGGACGTCAGTGGCCAATGACTGGCATGCAGTGGATGTAAACTGACTGCCGGTGAACACAGCCGGAATTCGCCGGCGGCCAGTAGCTTTGCATATTACTGAGTTTTGGCGATCGGCAACCTCTCCTAGCGACTTTCTTGCACACGCAGAACACGGTTTTGAGACTTAGGCACTGTATTCTGAGCTTTAATACTACTGGGCGGGGCAATCGGCGACCTCACAATTGCTGTGCGCTGTAAAGCAGGCTGAAGGAATGATGTCTGTTGGCGGAGTTTCTGTTGGCGAAGGTCCCTTTGAGCATCTCTCAGTGAACCTCTGCTAGGGAATGTCTATCGGCGCATGTCTCTATGGGCCGGTTCAACGTCTTCTAGCGGTTGAGTCACCTGGCGGATGAGCCTGGCGTAGGCATCCTGGCGGCGAACCTATCCTGGCGACCTTATCCTGGCAAACATGTCCTGACAAACATATCCTGGCGAACATATCCTGACAAACATATCCTGGCGAACATCCCGTGCCGAGCACTGATCCTGGCAAACATCTCATGCCGAACACTGATCCGGCCCAACAGATCCTGGGCCAGTGGCGAACAGATCTCCAGTGGCGAACATCCCGTGGCGAACCTGACTTCTCCCAGCCGGCGAACGTATCTGGCACCGAACGTATCTGGCGAACAGATCCTGGCGAACGTCTCTGGGAGACAGCCATCGTCTCACTGCCAGCACCACCTGAATTGACTGTGACATGCCACGTCTCCGTTATTGTCTCTCGCTCGTCTTGGCGATGTGCAGCGTCCATTCCGATAGCATTATGTACGGCGGCGTCTTCCCCCGACGTGTGCATGGACTCGCAGCCCCGTTGGAAGCAGTATAAAAACCCTGACTCCCTCTCAAATTGCCCTCTCGGACGTTGTACGTCGCGACATGCTACCAGTGGCTTAAAGATAAGTATTACGATGCGTGTCTCCTGGACGTTAACCCAGTTCTTCCGCCTCCCGCGCTTCGGTCTGACTCACGGTCGTCCCCGCCAACTACACGTATCGCCGCACATCTGCCACGTACATACATCCGCGCGAGCTTCGCAGACAGATCCGCCAGTAACTAACTCCACAATGTACCGCGTATCACATCTGTCAGACAGACTCGCGTCTTGGGCGGGCCTGGCCACGTTGTCTGACACACGCACCGCTCAATTCAGTTACTACGGCCGCTGGCGTGCTCTGCACAATTCATTTCGATTTCATTGTTCGATTGCTGTGGCATAATGGCAACGCCGCCGTCAACCTGAGGCCCGATGTGGCGCGGCAGCTGTACCCCTCTGCACCTGGACGTTAACGTTGACGGTAAGCCTGATCCTGATTGCAAGCAGCGACCTCGAAGGATAAGTAGATTAAGCAGACTATGTACTTTTTCACTGCGAATTATATACTGCATGTCCTTGCCCGTATCTGTGTGCCGTCCAGCGCCGGAGCGCGTCCAGGCTGGGCAGGGACGTAATAGAAAGTCCAAAATACGATACAAGAACTTGGAAGCGTCCGATAGGATACAAGACGGGAATCAAAGCGTCCGGGTATGCGGGGAAATAACAAAGCCCAATATCGAGAATACGTGAGAGCGTGAGCGTGCCCCAGGATACGCTATGCACATCGGGCACATGAGCACCTGAGGGCGGGGACGGGTGGACTAGACCGCGCTCATCCGCCGCACACCTGGCGCAGTCCGCACGAGCAACGCATTGTCCGTCACAGATGCTGTGCCCGCGTCGGGCTTCTCCGCCTGCGCTGTCTGCACGTCGACGGACGGTGCCGGACCTGCAGCCGGAGCGCGGGGAGCGGTCATGGTGTGCGCGCGGGGGCGTACGAGGGGCGTCCCGGTGCGGATGAGGTCAAACAGCCTCGTGTGCTTGCGCGCCTCATTCAGGTATAGGTGCGTGTCAGTGATCTTGATGTCCGAGCTCAGCTCGATGCGCTCGAGACCTGGGTTTAGGCAAATCTACCGGAGCACACACCGGGAGTTAGTGGGGGCGCGCTCGTCACGTACGTGGATATACACTGACCTCCAGAAGTGCACTGTTCCAAACTGAGGGCAGCACGGTGCAGACGGTGCGCAGCGCGGGTGCTGCGATCAATGCGGCGGTGAACTGAGTAAGGGAGGCTGGTGGCGAGAAGCGGAAGGCAATGTCCACAGTTTTCTGTGGCACAAGTCTCATTAGCACGCACAATCAAGGCAGCGTAGGGGGTGATAATTGCATAACCCGGAAACTCAATCAATAAGCAAGAGCAGAGATATCCGAAATATTCCGACAGGGGAGAAGAGTATGACTCGACGAAAGCGCACGAAATGACGAAACATACCAGATGTTTCCACTCGGCGATCGCCTCGCTGAGCTTCTCGAAGAGTAGGGTGGTCCGAGGGAGGGTCAGGTACGCATATGCGGTCTTACGTATGGTGAGATGCTTCAAGCTGGTCATCTTCTTGAAGCTAGCACAAAAGTGGAGTAGCTTCTCGTTCATGACCTTTACGTCTGGTCCCGGCGCTCCACCCGGAATAGTCGCAGTGGACACCGCACCATCGTCGATAGTCATATCGAACTCCTCAAGACATGGGCACATGGCGACAACATCCTCCAGACCATCGAAGACACCCTCGACACAGATGGAGCGTACCCAGTGACCGAAGTCAGGGTTCGCACGCAGTGTGCTGGCCAGGAGGGAGGTATGACGTGCGGAGCGGAGTACGACGTGACGGTAATGCAGCGGCGTCGCGATGCGTATCCAGGTGTGGGACACGAGTAGCGCGGCGATGTGGGTATGACGGGAAGCGTCGGGAGACGGTACGTCCGCAGATAGGGTAGGAGCAGGACGAGTCATGTGCCATGGAGGGCGAGTGGTGGAGCAGTGCACGGAGGGGGTGACGACGTGTTCGAGGATATGCTCGAGGAGTTCCTCGGGTATGGACGAGATGGCACCGTGCATGTTGCTGGTAGCGTGCGGGGTGCGTGCTGGTCTCGCGGGAATGTAGAGTTTCGGAATCGAGATGATGCACGCTTTAAATGCTAGATAGACGCGAAGAATCAGCTACAGATGATTAGATGCTTACACAGAACAGGATATGCACGTACCGAGGTACGGAACGGCACAAACTGGGAGGCTATCCCGCGAAGGCCCAGAGTGGAACCGGCGGAGCAGTATCACCAGGCACCGAGGGTTGTCAAAGGAACGATGTACTGCCGCCAGCGACTCTCGCTTGAAATTAGGGTATGAAGATGCCAATGATGAACTCCAGCACCTGAGCTTCTACAACGAGGAAAGAAATTTTTGAAAGAAAAAGGAGAGACTGGGGTATTCAGATGGGTATCGATGGGTGGGTCACTCAGCAAGTTGGCGCATCTATTGCCAGCTCGCAGGTGGGAAGAAGACAGCAGCAGAGGTCGGAAGAGTCTTCGGTAAGGTTGCTAAGTAGCATGTGCGATGTCCCGTCGGTCAATTTCTTGAGCAAAAACTTTCCGCGAAAATATATAATTTCAGTCTCCGCGACACGCCCCACCTAGGAAGACGTGCAAAAGCGGAAGTCCCATCGGGTTCCGGACACTCGCATTTAGGGAGGAGAGAAGGAAAAACATCTGTTTCGAGGGCAGGCGCCCAGGCCGCCACTCTCTCCCGGTCAGACTTCCTTCAAGAAATTGCAGAAGCCCGTTTCCGATGATTTCCAGAACCTGATCAGGTCAAGGAACTGTGACGGAATACCGAAATTCTCAGGGATTCAAAAGCTCAAATATTCACATCGTCTCAAACCTTGTTGGACATTTGACAAGACATAAAACTCGACGAACAAGGCCATGCAATGCGCAGCGCCTCCTCCTTTTGTCGCATTTGTTTCAGATAAACAATTGCGCTGATCTTCGACCGACTCATCTCAAAATCGACAGATATAGGCAAGGTGTGGGCGAACCTGCGGCTGTCACGTCTGCTATCCCCTCACTGGCACTGCCCGACTTGATGATGCGCAGTTGACATCTCTCTTCTGATCTCGACTGATGATTCACCCGAGGAGCCTTCGACACAGGATCCAGATCACGTTAGGCTCGAGCTCGGCAAATTTCTCCACCGTTCATCTCGAGGGCCCTGGTACCAGCTGGTAGCGTGTCCCGTGGAATATTTAGAACAGAACCCTCATTTTGCGTCCTCTTACGATGATACTAATGATGCTAACGCTTATCCGCGTCAGCTGCCTCTGCGCTGTCCTTGCTCGAAGCGAAGTGGAAGTGTTCTCGCGCTTCGACGAGATATATGCATGATACGGTCTCCTTGCGGTCTCCCCATAAGCTTCGCGATAGGCTGGCTGGCTCTCCACGAGACGGTGAGAACGCCCGAGACAGGCCAGCGTCTTCCTCGAGTTCTTGTCTTGGTCACGGTGAAATTCACGACCGCTGGCAGTCCCGCCCATACTCTCCCTAACGGCGTGCGCAGTGAATATCTCAGTCGCTGCGCCGTGATTCGTCCCTTCGGGTCCCTTCTTCTTCTCGGCGTACACGCCTGTCCATGTGCGGGAACTTCTGCTAATTCCAAGGCTTCTGCAATCATAGCAGGGTGAGGGCACTATGCGTTGCGCAAGCTTCCATGCCGGCGTGCGCTATATTTACGCATATGCACTAAGCCTAGAAGGCCGAAATCCGAGCCAGTGATATTGGTGAGCTTTACTTCGATTTTGTTACTGTTGTTTCCTGACTTCCAATGTGGCGCGATGGTTGCATGTTTTCTGCTTGCCTGAAGATCCTGGCGAACGTGCATGCAGCTGTTGAGCTACTGAGATTCTTCTATGACCCAGCGGATACTCGGGTTCGCATATAGCAACATTGCTGGTCGCGAAGACCTGCATGCAGCCGATAACTGGTGCGAATTGTGCGATCTCCGCTAATTCCCACTGTTGCTTGACGCATAACAGCCGTTTTCGCCAGCGAATGGCATGCATGTGGCTGCAGTTTTATTTGTCCTAGAGATCTCCCACCTTCTAATTTGGCTTGTTAAAGACTTTGCATGAGCTAGTCGTCTGCATTTCGTCATCTTGCCAATGCAGTCGCGCACTGCACCCCGAAGACCATCCCGATCGGGCGACAGCCATTCTTCGGGAACATGCGATGTTAGCGTCCCAACTCGAAGAGTCGCAGCTAAAATCAGGCACACGTCTTGTTCCACCGACATTCATGGTTCGCCACGGTAGTTGCGCTACAGCGTCAGAATCGCGTCGCAGATGCGCCCACTTCGATTCTTGTGCCAGTCAATTCAATTCAAACTTTGTATCGCGTGGACTTAGTACCATCTGGATGGTGCGCTGCGGGGGCTATGCGCTATGTCGTCGACGTCGTAGATGTGACTAGATGACGTCTGCGTGCCCGGGGAGCAAGCATCATTCGGAGCCACCTCGATACCGCCTCGATATGTGCCTGATAGCACTTCAATACTATACCTCTGGTGACATCAGGAATGCCAACGTAGGTACAGATCAACTTTGTCATGACTGCATTCAGCTTCGGTTCAAGCTTCAACTGACGACGACGACACTGAGTGGTCGAAGTGATTACACCGTGCTATGGCGTTTTACAACATTACAGTAAGGAGTCGGTACATATGCTACAGATAATAATGTAAATGCATCCGGGCAGCAACGTCAACGTTTTACAACATGACAGTGAGGTGTCAGTGCATACGCGACACGTAGTGTAAATTTGTCCGCGAAGCAAAACGACAGTCTAGTCTTTGCGTCTCAGAGTCCGGATCCGATTGAGAGGAAGATGCTTCTTCAACCACCCGATGATCGCTTGTCCACGAATACGGAACACGTAGGTGCACGCATACGTGGCGACAATCTATAGAATACTGTCGTCAGCCAAACTGCAGCGCATTGCCGAAGGGAAGACGCACATTGAATATGATATACACGAAGAAGAGGCCGAAGTCCCGCCAATGGTACTTATAGTACATGTTGAAGGATTGTTCCAGGAACGCATCAGCGGTGGCGTATGCACAATAGCGGCAACTGCTGGTGGCGTTCCCATTCGTCACGTATCCGCCTTTGGCTGCAATAAACCGACCCAGGTATTCTGTACACGTCAGTCCGGTAGGTGGGTCGACGGTAACTAGTTCTGCGGCACTGCACACGATCGGTTTCTTGCCAAGTGCTACAAGTAAGCGGATTAGTAGGCTTTTTGATAGGTATGTCAAAAGGGACACACCCTGCGTAAGCAGTGCTTCAATCAGATACGTAAAGGGAGTCACGTGATACATCCATCGCCACCAGCCCATTACACGATATGGCTGCAACACACCATTACTAGAGATTAGATGACGTGAGCCAAAGATCGGTGCAATAAAATAATCAGGCAAAACTGACAATGCAAGCACGAAGGTGAACAGGAAGCTGAAGACGATACCGGCAATCTCAGCAGTGGGAGACATCGCGGCTACAGTCTGTGGATGACGGATTAGCGGTTGCGATCGGTGGAACACAGAAGACGCAGAAACGGTACCTCTCCGATGGTGACGTAGTAGAACGGATACACAACGCCAAAGAGCAGATATGTGAAGCCGGCGCGCTCTCCAGGAAGGGCCACGGTCCAGTACCAGCACAAGAAGAATATAAGGGAGCCCAAGAAGTTGAAGGGTATCTCGACCAACATCTGGGCAGTCACCAACGCGGACCAGCTGTACATGTTACTGTGCTGCTCGCGGATCTCGTAGATATCCCTCATCTCGATGAAAATCACTTGCACCTGGTGCGTAAGACTGACACTCAAAACCGTGGACATGAAGATTGACTGCAACAGAATGAATTGGCACAACTGACACGTTCGATGAGTGAATGTAACACATACGAAGAGTTTGTCCTGAGTCCCTTGTACGGTGTTTTTGGACTTGAAGAACGTGAAACCAATGAAAAGACCGCCGATGACATTCAACGCGAGCTTCGCCATTATATACATAGGGTTGCGCCACTGGCTCTGCATGCACCGTTGGAACACCATGGCAAACTGGTGGAACCATGAGGTCGGGAACGTTGTGCCCACGGTCAGTCCAATCGGCGGGCCCTTACGGCCTTCAGCGTGGAGCTGCTCGAGTTCTTCTTGTAACTTCTGGATCTCCTTCGAGTTCTTCCAGATAGCGAACCAGTCTCTGTCTGCAGTGGCTGTAGCACCTGCACCGATGACATCTAGGATGTATTCCGCACTGAGAGCAAGCGTGAATATTTCGCGAATGGATGTCATGCTGCAGACTCACGGGTTCTCGGCTTCGCCACAAGGCCGTCCACCGTTCCTCTCAAAATAGTCGAGAAGAGTGGTGGCTCTCTTTCCAACGTCTCCAAAATAGACGGTTTCTCCACCTTTACACAACAAGAGTAGCCTGTCGAATACCTACGCAAGGGAGCAAGCGTAATGAGTATCATAATTTCGTCCTCCAAAGGAAGGGTTCTGACCTGGAAAAGTTCGGCAGAAGGCTGATGAATGCTGACGATCGGGAAATCGTTTGTCAATTCATGCGCAAGAAATCAAGCATTGCAACTCACGTGCATACAATAGCTTGGCCGCTATCAGCCAGATCGCGCAAGAAGGTCATGATAGCCCACGCGCTCTGTGAATCAAGCCCAGATGTCGGTTCATCAAGAAAAATCAACGAAGGCTAGAGCAGAGTGCGTCAGTATGCACCGCAAGACAATGTAAAGATGTTACACACTTTCGCGACGAGCTCGACGCCGATAGTCGTCCGCTTCCGATGCTCCACTCCCAGAGAGCCTACAATAGCATCGGCGTACGGCATCAAGCCACACATCTCCAAACATTTTTCAACGCTATACACACGACAAAGTCAAACCAGCACAGCCGGACGAGATGCCCATACTCACTAGGCGCATTTCTCTGCATACGGTGTCGACTGCGGCTGACGTAAAATCGCAGAAAACATCAACGCCTCACGCACACTCGCCGTCTCCAAATGCGTATCTGTCTGTTGGCAGTAACCACTGGATACAACAATGTCAGTTACCCAGTGCCGAATTAAAAATGAATCATAGCATACGTCCTAGCCTTGAAGTCCGCCGGCAGCACATGGCCATTCATAAAGCGGTCGCCAGTGACGACGCCGCCAATTGTCCGCTCTGCCAGTACATTAAGCAGAGTAGTCTGCGAACGTCACAATAAGTGTAGATTCATCAACAAACAGAGTACACGTCCATACCTTCCCCGCACCCGTCTCACCCATCAATGCGGTCAATTTCCCGGGAGGTACATATCCAGAAACGCTATCAAGCAACAACCGGTCGCCGTCGGACGTGTGAACTGTATAGCACAGGTCCTGGAACGAAAATGTCTCGGACGGAGGAGGAGCCGCACGGGTCGCATTCTGTATCTCAGCCTTATTCTCATCCTCGACCGAGCCCTGGATTGATGGTTCACTGGCGGGCTGCTTCTCAATGTCCTCACCGCGCGCGGCGGCCTTGGCTTGCTTGAGCGCCTCCGGGTGGGATCCGCGCTTGTACAGCAGCACGTCAGTGTTGCCCTTCGCACCGGTGTTGATCTCGGTCAGTATGAGGAGTATCACGAGGAACCCAATGAAGAACACGATCGTGATACCAACGTTCTGCAACACATCAACTGACGTCAGCTCAGCTCGAAGGCGTGAAAGCAGAAGGGGGTGAGTGAGAATGGAAGGAAGGTAAGACGTACCCGCCAGAGATGTGAATGAACATATCCATACGACATCTGCACATACCGGCTACCCGACACCTCCGCCTGCCCGGGAAGCGAGCCGAGTGTAGTGCAAACCTGGTTCGCAAGCGTGACATTCTCATATCCATCGCCCTGGGGAATCAGCGTCGAACAGCTGCCGTAGAGATTGTGGAATTCGTTGACAACCATTGCCTCAAAGCCGTACCGAACAGGCTAGGCAAAGGTGAAGACGATGTGAGTCATTTAAGATCCAGCAACAGAGACTGAAAGATACGCACGTTGAGGTAGGTTAGCCACCGTAGAGCGCCAATCATGGCTGGCTGGGGTATGGTGAATCCGGTGTACAGAGTCAGAACAAGGACGGAGAAACCGGCCGCCGTCAGCGCAGGCGGTGCGACGCTGAACGACGCGGCAAGGGCCCGGAACCATCCTTTCATCGTAATCGTGACTAAGAAGATGACTAGCAGGAAGATACTAAATACCACAATTCAAATCAGCGGGTAGAGATATCGGGGAACAGTACGCAATACGCACAAGAACTGTCCTGCGGTCCGCTGCAGCCCCGCAAGGAAATATAGCACCACACAAAACAAGACGATGGTAAAGAATGTGATGGGAAGGTCAACGAGGGACAGTGCAAGCGAGTCGACAAACGGGTGGTACATCGCGGCCTTGGAGTGCCTGAGCACGATCGGGCGCTGGGCGAAAAGCGCAGGGATCTCGGCAGCCGACGACAAACACGTGAAAAGGATGGCAAAGAACAGCACACTGTCTCGCGAGAAGTACGCAGCTGTCGTCTTAGGCATTTTCAGGAAGATCGTGCCAACGATGATTGCCTGCAGGACGAAGGAGCTACAAACACGCGTGTCAATCACACATACTCTAGCCATAGAGGAAAGGGGAAGGCGAGACATACATAGTCCGGATAACCTGCGTGCCCGCCGCACCCTTTACGATCTGGGTCCTACGCACCACGAGCGCGCGCACTTGCATCGGGATGGAGGTGATGAACGAGCTTCTGGACCCCAGGCTCTTGGAATGCTCCGCGAGCGCACTCGCCTTGTACTCGGAAACCCTCTGGGGCTTCCCGACGAACTCATCACAATACGACTCGATGTCTGCACGGTTGAGCTGCCCGAGCTCGGACTGCGAAAAGTATGCGGCAAACTCCGACGCGGTGCGCGGCACTCGCTGCTCATAACCCGGCCGCACATTACGGCCATTCGGATCAGTGACTACACAGCAGAAAACGTCAATAGGTCAATGGAGCTTTCTAAGAGATGACCACGTACTAGCAACGAGGAAATCCGCGGTAGTCTGCCGGTGCGCGGGCTCATACCCCATGTCGATGAAGTACTCCCGCGCGTGGTCGGCGGGACCGAAGTACGCCATCCTGCCCTCATACAGGAGACATACCTTGTCGCAGAGCCGGTAGAGCGACTCGCCGGCTTGATACGCCGAGATAACGGTCGAGCTGTGCATTATGTCCGTCGCCAGACGGAGAGCTTGGATGAACTCAAGGGCTGTTGAGGCACTACAAGAAAGGTGATGAATATATATGCTGCAGGGAAATAGGTAAGTGCGCACTCCAGGCCTCGAGTAGAGCTGAAATCATTGAGTGAGTATGTTAGTCGGGTACAGAAATGGATGGACGTACTTATCCCAACACGTCAACCGACTCCTGGTAGCCAGCGTCTCACAGATGGACACCCGCTTCTTCTCCCCTCCGGAGACACCTCTGATCGAGGCATCTCCAACACGGGTCTTCTTCGCCAGTCGCAAGCCGAACATGGTCAGCAAGATGTCCGTTATAATCTCGATATACCGATCACGCGACATGCCGCCGATGCGCTGCTGAGGGGCACGCGTACGCGCAGCAAACTTAAGGGTCTGCTCAACGGTGAGACTCGGGAAATGATCATCCGTCTCGGGAGAGTACTGCACGTCGCCACGGTAGTGCCGGTGGATGTCAGCTGGGCTAAAAGAGTCGTAGAAGACATCGCCATAAACGCCGTGATACTCCTCGCGCTGATTCGCAAGAACACGCAGGAACGTACTGCAGCCAGCGCCAGGACGGCCCAGGACGACTGAAAAACGCAGAGATGAAAATCTGATCGATTAGATAAGGAAAACGGTGCGTACGAAGCATCTCTCCGGACCGGACTACGCCTTCAAAGTCACTGAGGATATCGCGAAGGGGTGGATGCCGGAGTCTGAGTAGGGACTTCAAAAAATTCCAAGGGTTCAACACCGACCCGACGGTGGGTTGGTGCAATGCCGTGGCTCCCAGTCCTACCACGCGCAGGTTTCTGAATGCGACGCCAAGTTCTCTCGTCTTGATATCGGACTCGTCTAGCCTGCACACCAGTTATTCACCAAACAAACTCGGAGATAAGTGAATGGACGCACATGCTGATGGCACGCCTAAGAGCCTTCTCGAGGTCAAAACGGCCTGCTGAGGACAAAGTGGGTTCGGCAGCCGCAGAGAAGCTCTGTCTTCTATTGTGCGAACGGAGCAGAAGGTTACGTCGAAATAATGTCTTGCGGAGATGGCGCACGCCTTCGGGATCGAACATGCCGATGTCTACGCTGTGTGCGCCCATGGAGTTGCGGCGGGATAGCGCGTCATCGTCTTCGGGTTGGAAAGTGCTCCCGTCCATGACGGGAATGGAGTCTACAGAATGACCTTCTTCCAGATCGCTGGCCTGATCGTCAGGCTCAGCATGCTGGTCGTCGTTCATAAGGGTAGAAGGAAAAGGTTATGAAATAAGATAGAACGGGGAGTTGTGGAGAGTTGTAGAGAGCATCGTCGCAGACGCGCGCCGCTGAAAAAGAGAAAAAGACGGTGCATGCGGGGCGTTGACGAAGCTTAGATGTGTAAGTGGAGTGCTGGTCGGCGTGGTGCGCAGTGCACGGAGGCCTGCATGAACGCATACCTAGTACTGGTGGAGAGCAGCCCAGTGCAGTCCCAGCCCGACGAATGACCGAGCTTGCAGTCCCTCGCGGTCATGTGCCCCCCAGGCCACTCCAGCCCTGTCACACTGTGACCGCTGACTCCCCGGGCCGCGGTCACGGTGGCTGCGATCCGTGCAGGGCCGCCCGCCATCCGCACACATCCGAATCCTGCAGTCAGAGCCCAGACAGAGAGCATCGACGTGGCAGTGCCTCGCGCGGGACATCGTCGTCGAACGAGGTCCAGGCCTGGGGTAATGTGCGTCATGTCCCAGAGATGTGCTGGAGGCCGAAGGGACACGCAAGGATTTCACGTTTACTTGTAAAACAGCTTTACTCACCAGGCCATGTCGACTCAATCACTGTACGCGCTAACTTTACACGAATGCGAACTCATATTACACCGCAGGCGCCAGTCGAGGCTCGCAACTTGCTCAGACAAAACGGTGAAACGGTGAAAGGAACGTGACGTAAGGGGAGGTGAGTTGCTCGATATGGTAAGTTTGAAACACACAGAAGAATATTGGCCATGGGATCCATTTTCGTAGTCTCATACCAAGTTCCGCTCTGACATAGTCGAACCTAGTGAGTTTCGCTGAAAGCGCTCAACTCAGCTCTCCCTCCTGTGCTCGGGCGTTTTAGATCTCATAATCAAGCCCCTCGGTGCAAGACAGTGGCATGGGCTCGAACTTCAACTTTTGGAAAGCGGTAAATTATAGCCTCCCAACCCATTATGGAACGGCACACCTAGCCGTGCCTTCGAGCAGTGTCCCGATTTCACCGGAATCCTGCGCCGTCGTTTCGGTACATCCTCATTTCGTACAAGACCGTAAATTTGTATGTGAGGGGGCAGAACATGTATTATTCGCGTGTTCTCTTCTTCATTGACACGAATCGTGGACAGGACAAAAAATGCGTAGCAAACTGCACGTAATGCATCTGTATTTTCCGTCCCTTTCGGTACGAGGCAAAATTTGACATATATATCTTTCAAGGTAAGAGCGAACATCAATGCTTAAACATACAAGTCCGGACGAACGTCCAATTACAAGCTAGGTCAACAAACTCACGGTAATCCCTGGAACGGCTCTGGGATATCTGCGGGTACAAACCCTCAGCAACTTCGCCAAGCACCCGGGTGGAGGCAATCGAAGTGTGCTTCGAAACACTGGAAGACGGTACGCCGGTTATTCAGTGAGTGCAGGCCTTCCGTCCAGTACTGCTGCACGTCTGGCACTGGCGGGATGCATCTCCGCACAACAATTTCTGGCAGAGCAGCCCGGGCTACCCCATCGTCATCCGCAGCGAGCGAAAGATCGTCCGTGGAACGTTGGTGCGACTCCACGGAAGGTGACGCCAGCGAACTCTTCCGACGAAACAGGGATTTTCTTGAGCTGCTCGCGTATCAGCTTGTTATTCGTACATGCCGATCGTATCCAGTATAAGCCCGCGCCCGAACGCTGTCGTCGAATTCGGACTCAAGGCTGTCATGCAGGGCCAGTCAGTAATGAAATCAACGAGGCGAGAGTAAACGCACCGTGGCGGTTTCCCGTACAAAATAAATTTAGCCATCATCCTCGAACGTGGATAATATTTGCCGACAAAGCGCTGACAACTTTCCGTGCATGAGGAATGGGAGAGCGTTGTACGTGCGCGCAATACCGTGCGGACGCCGACCCTGTCTGAGGTACTGCGTCAAATTCGACGCGGAGTCCGCTACATAGGGACTCTGTCGTTGTGCTGCAGACGGCAAAGTCCCGAGTAAGAGCCATCTCGAAGTGGTGATCGCGAGCCCGCATTTCGGACAAACTGTGAGAGCATTACTGTACTACCTCCGCATGATGATCGAGTTACTGGAATATGCACGGTTCCGTCTGAAGTTCCCTCCACATACACAGATCCGCCATGACTATCGCGAGCATCTCAATCCCACCACTGAAGAGAGCACATCCACATACCCCACAGCGAGGCGCTCTAGCCTCCCACGTTAAGCGAGCAAACCCTCAAGCTTGGGATGCTTGTGTGTACGCAAGAGTGTCCGGACGTCGTGAGTGAAATGGGACTTTAAAGTGAGGTGCGATGACAGAAGAAGTGTAATCGAGGTGGATGCATCATCAAGAATACGCACTTCGAGAGGGGAACATAAGACAGACTATCGTGAACACCACTCTGTGTCTGTCCCTATGCGTGCATCTGCGTAAGGACAGACATAGAGCGCTATTTGGGATGATGTCCTGGATGATATCGCCGGAGGGGAGTTCATGACGTGACTGCGCAGCTGGAAGGCTGGAAGGCCGGAAAAGAGTGGGTAGAGCAGTTGCCGAGAGAAGAGACGGTGCTGATTGGGATTGGTGAACGTTCTTGTTCATAGCTGGAACGCGGTTAGGTCGTGCATTCATGCGTTATGGCGGCCAGTCGTCGTCTGCGTGGAGTGATAGTCCTCGAACTTTAATGGCAACTTTGGTCACTACACACATTCCCGTACAGCAGCACTGGTCTCGTACCCCGACGTGAGCGAGTAACGCACCCCACCACCGCCCTCGCTCTGACGTCTGGGGCATTTCAACCGTGACACCCCCCTTGCATCAGGAAAACCCCACTTTCCCTTAAAAGGACACTTAAATAACTTAAATGGACTTATGGTCCTTATTTAAGGACCTAAGGACAAAAAGGGCCTAAGGCATATTCCCTGAGTGTCTGAAATTCGACTTATTTGAACACTTATGGCCTTAAATAAGGGTTCTCAGACCCAAAAGTCTAAATAAGTCCATAAGAGAAAGTTGGGTTTTCCTGATGTTACCGAGCGCAGAGAGGTTTCTCCACCCCTGAAATTCCGCAGCAGCATGCAACAGTAACCCCCGTACCTCTGCATTGGAGAATAATGATTGGTCAGTAATGCTTTGCGCATGTTTAGCTTGACATCACTGCACGAGCTCGGATCCTCAACTAATAAATATGACTCATGCGACCTAAGTGTTGCCAGCATTTCTGCAGTCTCTGAGCAGCCACTGTTCTCTGTAAATTGCCCAAAAGGAAGGAAAATATTAAATGATGAGCTCACACTCATCGCGTAACCATATATTTATATGTCCCACATTCACTCACACGAGGTCAGTGTGTGCTGCCATGCATGCGCTTCGAGTGCTCTTATCAGCCCTAAGCGAGATTATCTGAGCCCGTGTCATCAATTGTCCTGCCTAAATCGGCAATTCCTCTATGCTTCCTCTGACTTTCAAGCCATGATATCACCGCGTACACCCACTGTTGTAGCAGTCATTCTCTGTAACTAGCATAGAAATACTATCTTGACAATGTACATGTAGTTTAATGAATTATATGAGTGATTGCGGCCACAGAAAACATGAACTAACTGTAGACTCTACTTACTTTCCTTGGTTTCTCACAGAGGTGTCTCAATCTTACTCATTCCTCTTGTGAGGAAGCTCATATTGCATCACTTTTATATTTCTGCATGATTACATGGCCTCCTCGCCGGCAATGCCCTCAAAAGTTGCGTATGAATCTCGACATCGAGTCCCTGTGCCTTCCCGAAAAGGCAGGATGATTGATGGCAAAGGCTGAGATAATCTCACTTAGGGCTGATAAGAGCAAGGGGGGGTGTCACGGTTGAAATGCCCCAGACGTCAGAGCAAGGGTGGTGGTGGGGTGCGTTACTCGCTCACGTCGGGGTACGAGACCAAGCAGCACTAACAGTAGTAATCAATCCAAGGATACAACACCACATCCAGTAATCACGCATATGATCGAGATCGTGAGCTGCGACAGACATGTGGAAAATATCCGTACCAACTTCATGCTTCCGGAAGTATCTGCACCAGCTAGATCCAAAACTAATGAGGCAGCTCGCTCGCATCCACAGCACTCAGAAGTGACATGCAGCGATGCCCAACAGAGCCTTTTTAGATGGGCAAAAAAAAATCCTCTGCTTGCGTGGAGAGTTCGCTCAACGGTTTTTGTCCGAGTGCGTGTAATCGAGGGGCTTGAGAACGGCGGGATCTACCCTCTCCCGGTAGAGTAGAAGAGTCGAAGAACGTCATGTAGTCTTCGTCCACAAATTTAATATTATACGTTGCCAGGTCTGCCTGCGATAAGTAGGCCAAAGGGTAACCAGTGGGTGGTGCCATATCGAGAGTTAGCAATAAAATGTGATACCTACCAGCTGCCGCAACTTCCTTGTATGAGGTTCAGTACACGCCTGTTTTGTGAAGGGCTGATAATCGGCTGAAATGTGTCACGTCGCCAGAGCGCCCCGCCGAGGTCGTGGGAGTCACCCAGCCAGGTGATTGCGAGAGTGAAATCGTATATGGACAGACCCTTGGCCAAGAGCTATCTGGCCAGCAGCTGAGCGGGCAAGGTGTGACCCAGCAGACCACCCACGCAAGCCTCAGATGGCTTGCTGGGCTCAAAATTACGCGAGATTTCGTCGAAGTACATCTTCTTTCTCGGCAGCCCGTGTTTCAGATGTATCATTGGCGCAGCAATCTACCGTTGTGAACCGGGTTAATCCATTGGTTCAAAAATACAGGTGTTCGAAAATTTAGAAATATATTGCATGACAATGCCTACATAGGTACAGAATATCTCTACAAAACAAATCTGCAGATGAAATTTCGCAATCCGGACTGTCCATTCTGTCAAAAACGCGTGACATTTTTCGCAGAGCATCAGTTGGCAGAGATGGAGCGATGGAGCAAGGGAGTGATGCATACTCACTGGTGATGATCGGAACAACCCTCCAGAGTATTCTGTGAATGGCTGAGTGCTGCACACAAATGAGACGTAGGGAAAGTAACAAACCCCATAATGTGCGATGGATACCAGAAAAAAAAACATGCACCTTGCAGCTGCGTCGAGAGAAAGGATCAAGTACAAGAACAAAGTACTCACCGTCGGGCCATGGATGATAGCTGGCTGTTAGGCCAGCTCACCTTGAAACCACTTTTGAGGGGAGGCCTTGATGTTGATATGACAGTGCTGGAAGGAAACGCATCGGTAAGGTAAGCGCACACGAGCCGTCAGGAAAATGGGCCATCACGGCACATTTGAGATTCCGCAACGGCGCGTTCGGCTTGGGCATTGGCTCGAGAACACTTAAGTCCATTCTCTCCTTGTGTAGAGCACTCAAATTTGGGTGTGAAGACGATTAAAAAACATGAGAGGATAGCTGTAAGGTGCATCTAAGCTTCTGGCTACTAGGATTGATGCCCAAACACAAAGAATATGGCCCGATGGTGAGTAGATTCCAGCCCGATCTCGGGGCAAGGCCGGAAGCTGGCTGGACATATCCTGCGGAGCTAACTGCGGGATGTCCTGTCCAGGCGATGACCAATCAGCTGGTCGCCAGATCTTGTACAGCCCAGCCGCCAGAGCTTTCATAAGCCGAAATCTCCCTGAATTGCTCAGAGTCGGCCCATCCCATCGAGGGTTGGGCGTGTACCATGGGGACCGACATGTGGTTTCCGCGCAGATGTCAGCCGGAAACCATTGAAGTCCCGGTGTCCACTAATGATGGCCTTCCATTCACTAGAAACAAATGTATCGGCAGCACGGTGCGCTCACATCTATCCAATAACACAGACTGGAAGGGCAACATCATTGTTGATCCACAAATTTGCCGCCTCTGTACTAGGTGCCACAAGATGATTAGCTAGGGACGCGTCCAGATTCAGGGTTAGAAGTGAAGGGTCTTATCGATGTTTGTTTACGTGCAGAATTTCGCAGCACGACAGTAGGCTCATAGATACAGCCTCTAGTTACCTGCAGGAAGACAGTCATTTCTTTGTGATAGAGCACGACAGCAGCTGGCAAACCGACGGTAGTGAATCTCCTTCCGGTGCCGCTGTGTCTGCGAATCTTGGACCGTCTGAGGCAAAATGCGAACAGGTTCTATCAAAGATTATTTAAGGTAAGCTTTTCAAGGATTGAGAGGAGAAATCTGCAAGAATTGAGGAGATTACTTATCGTCTCCGTCGGGCATGTTGTTGAGGTGTCAGGACAAAGGAAGTGAGTCCTGAGCGCCGTACCTCGAGCGCCCTTTCCTTTTCTGGCCAACGCTCGTCTCTTCCCGCTGTTGACGAGTATTTGGCTCCGAATACAAGCCGGCACAGCGCAATAGGTCGGCGTCACAGTAACATCCCAGACAAATCCTCAAGGTGAGTGCGAATCCACGCTTGTATGCTTTCACATTGTGCCACCGATGGATGGGGGACATCATTGGCTATCGAAAGAGGGGCAGAAGTCGTAATGGGAGACGCAGGTTGGGGATGGATGGATGGCGGGAATGGCTGATGTCAATTTGACCTCTATCCGCTTTCAACGGTTACAGCTCGGTATTGTATTCTGACTGACGTGCCTTCCGTTATTCCTGTGCTCGGTACAGATGGTGCGTGTTCCTATGCTCCGACAGTGAAAGACAGTGCTAACCAGCTGTTTCCGAGTACAGAAGGTTGAGATCGACATATTCTCCGGCTACCGTATCTACCCCAGCAAGGGCAAGCTCTTTGTCCGGGGGGACAACAAGGTCCGCACCGCATCCTGGCCTTTACCTGCTCCACGACTCAAACACACCTCTGTAGATCTTCCGGTTCTCAACCGGCAAGACCGAGTCTCTCTTCCTGCAGCGCAAGAACCCGCGTAAGATCGCGTGGACACAGGTGTTCCGTCGCATGCACAAGAAGGGCATCACAGAGGAGGTCGCCAAGAAACGCTCCCGCAAGACCGTGAAGCACCAGCGCGGCATCGTTGGCGCCGACCTCGCCGCCATTGCCGCACGCCGCAACCAGACCGCCCAGGTTCGCGCGCTGCAACGCACCACCGCGATCCAGAAGGCGAAGGCCGAGAAGAAGGCAAAGGAGGACAAGAAGGAGAAGAAGGTGCGTCTGCGTTTGCCATTGGAGCAAAACACATGTGTGAACCTATTTCTACGCTATGTAGCCCGCAACACGCGGACCCGCAGTGACTGGCCCGCGGATCTCGAAGCAGCAGATGAAGGGGGGTAAGGGGGGCCGCTGAGCTTGGGATTCTGTCTGCTTCGTTCACTTTGTCACGATCACATATGCTTTCGACGTCATGCTCATGCACAAAATGATCTATGGGTCCAGCATGTCCCTTCCGCACCGCAACTATGCACCTGTTGTACTGGTACTGGTCATACTAGTGTCATACTCGCCTCGCGCGAGCTGGCGTCGTTGAAATTGAGCTCGGTATCATCGAGCTCGGCATTACCACCTCCTGATTTTGCTCTTCCGTTGTGAATCTATAAATGTGAGGTCCTCCTCTTCTATCTTAAGAAGTTGGGTGTATGTGAGGTACAACCACTACCTCCTGAACAACAGTTTTGGCCTAACTCAACTGCACACATGATAAAGATGCATGAAGTAAGAGCCAGCAAGCCAATACTACCGACAAAGAAGCAGAAATGACGCCACGGCGGCGGCGCGGCACGGTGAGTAGACATGGGAAATAGCCGGCTTGGCAGGCGATCGTCGATCAGACAGGCGCCCGCCTCCTTCTCATCCACCGCACAACATGCATGGCGCTGCGTCGTATATCTACCCCGGCCACTCGCCTTTCCTCATTCCACCATATCCTTCCCTCCTCCCGCGTGCACGCCATGGTCGCCAACTCTCCCGTCCATCCCGCCAGCCTTCTCGACCCCGGCGAACTCAGACCATCCGCGCCCACAGTGTTCCCCAAAACCGGAAACCGGAAACAGCGAGACCTGCTCCCCGCGCGGAACAGCGAGACTCAGCACCGAGATAGGAGGGTGCACCTAGTAGGTGGCAAGAAGACAGGGGCTCCCTCAAGCCTCTTCTCTTCTGACTCTCATCGCTGCCTACTAGGTAAGTGCATCCCAGCGAGTCGCAGTCCGTCCTCTTCTCGTATTGACGAAAGTCATGTTTTGTTACTAGTATAACTAGCCGGCCACGAGGCAGTCAATTAAATATATATTTTTCCCATCAAACTATTGATCCGCAGCCACGGATTTGTGTCGAGAACCTGGGGAATAGACCTGTCCTCCAACCGTACCAGTGATCTCCACTGCTTTCGTCTCTACCTCCATCGCGATCGCCATGGCTGACAGGCACGAGACTTTCCGCTCCCCTCCTACCACCACTTTCTCGGGCGTTGGCCTCAGTGCTTCCCCCGCCACGGGAGATATGCCGCTGCCGCAGAGCTCTTCCCTTACGCTCCCGTCCCCTCCGTCCGAGATGGAGGCGAAATTCTACTACGCCGGCCTGCCCTCTGCCCCGGTCTTGGTCGCTCGCACTAGCACGACTCGGTGGGAGGCGCCCACAGGCCCGGAGGCGTACCGGAAGCTCAAGGAGCTGCGCGCCGTCGGCAACCACGCGCTCAAGGAGGCCTGGGAAGGCAACCTGGCTCTCAAGCTGCACGCCCTTCTGGACTCGATGAAGGTAAAGTGGACTAGCACCGACATCGTCCGCATCGGGAACAGCGGAGAGTCTTCCGCGCCCATCATCCTCTGGATCGGCGTGATGCCCGCATCTCTCTCTGGCGATGACGGCGTCGTCGTGGCCTCCAAGTGCCGGGAGCTTCTTGTAGAATACGATATCGTCGACGTCGACGTCGAGATCCGCGAGTCGGTTGTTACCCGTTGGGCCGGTCCCGAGCTCTTCACGTCCACCTATTCATCCGACCCCACCGTAGATGTCCGCGCACGTCTTACCACTACGCTCGGTCTCCCCATCTGTGCCCAGTCTACGCCTTGGTCTGAGGGTACCAGCGGCTTCTTCATTACCGAGGGCGGGAATACCGAGAGGCTCCTCCTCGTCACCGCTCGCCACGTCATCTTCACGCCGGACAAGAACGAGAACAAGCACTTCGAGCGTAAGAACGACAGCCAGCGCCGTTATAACGTCACGCTCTTCGGCGATGCGGCGTTCAACAAGTACGTCGAATCTATCAAGGCCGAGAGCGGAGGTAAGGCACTTATCGCCCAGTATCAGGAGCGACGTATTAGGGCGATTGAGGGCAAGAATGACCCAGCAGCGAACAAGGAGCGCCAGAAGGCCCAGGCCGAGTTGGACGAGGTGAGAGAGGCGATGGAAGAGCTCAACACCTTCTACCAGGACGTTTCGACTCGCTGGGCCACCCCGGAGAGCCGCGTTCTAGGCCATGTCATCCTCTCTCCTCCCATCAACGTCGGCGTCGGCAGCAGCAGCGACGAGGGTTATACCGAGGACTGGGCCGTGATTGAGATCGATGCCTCCAAGGTCGACGCGAGCAATTTCAACGGCAATGCCATCGACCTCGGTACCCGCATCCCAGCCGACGAGTTCACTCATATGATGTACCTCAATCCCCGGAGTGCCCATTCCTTCACGTATCCAGGCGACCATCTTCTGAGGCTCAAGGGCACCATTCCGGACGAGGAGATGCGTCACCCGACTGCACTCGACGAGAACGACGACCCGTGCCTTATGGTGATCAAGCGCGGTAACACCACTGGCCTGACCGTCGGCTGTGCCAACGACATTTGCTCCTACGCCCGTAAGTACTACGACGATGACAAAGCCAAGACCTCCAAAGAATGGGTCATCCTCCCGTTCGACTCCAAGTCCGGCGCCTTCTCGGCCAAGGGTGACTCGGGTTCTATTATCGTCGACGGCCTCGGACGCATCAGCGGCCTCCTCACCGGCGGTGCTGGCGCCACGCCTTCCTCGGACGTCACCTACGCCACGCCCATCAGCTTCCTCCTCAAGCGCATGCAAGACAACGGACTCCGCAAGCCCAACGTCAACACGGTCCTCACCGCCTAGACGCATTCACCAGATTGACTCCCAACGAAATTCAGCAATTTATCCCGAAGACACTGGCGAAGTGGTGAGAGGCGAAGCCGTCTCGTTTCTTTTTCCTTTCCTTCTGCAACTACTACTTCTTCCTTCTTCTTCCACCACTCGTACTTGACCTTTGTGACGTACTTGACCTTTTGCGAGAAATGATATTGTGACTTTGTGTGTTTTAACTTACGTGCAATGGACTGAAGAAAGGCTGATGACCGCCAAATTGACACTGGTCCACCAGCGCCTAAACCCACGAGCCTCACGCGCGAGCCTCACGAGCCGAGCAGTGCCGAGAACATCAGCATTTGTCATCTTTTTCTTACCTCACTTTTGCATCTTGATCAGCCTTCATCAAGGAAATTTAAGATGATTGTGCCTCTTATTTCTCCTTGGCGACCTTGATCAAGGAAAAAAGGTAATTTAAGAGTAGAGATCGTCTTAATCAAGACACTAAGTAAAAGGTGACAACTGCTGATGAAGGACCCTGTGAACCAGAGGCCCGCAACACAAAGGGCGGGGCACAAGAGGCGTGCAAGAGGGAGCAGCACGGGAGGAGCAGGCAGAAACTGCGGGGGGAGGATGCGCGGTGGGCACATCGAATATATCTGCCCTTTTTCTGAGCCAGGGAGGGCCAGGAAGGAGGGGCGCATTCAGTAGGGAGGGTTGGGGAGCCAAGACAGGCGCCCTGGCATTGCTCAAAGGGGGAGGCCCCATAAGCACCCCGCTGGACTGTAAACACGCCCGTCAGGACTGTAAATCTGGCGACCCGAAGCAAGGTGGAGTGGAGGCTGAATCTTGCAGAGAACTGCACCACGGCCTCTCACGAACGCACGGCTGACTGACAGATTTACAGTCCTCAAATTTATGTCCCCTCAGTGAGCTCCCCGGCATCAAGCATCAGCAAAACTCCCCTCTACTTTTTGTCTTACTGTCTTAATTGTCTTTTTTGCAATTTTTCTTACATTTCTGAAGGACATGTTTTCTGGAATTCTGGAGGTGTTAGGTCTGGAATACACATAAGCAAAGGTATTCTAAAACATACACTACATAGATTTTTATTATGTCTTGTTTTGGAAAAGTACAAGACAGGCCAGTCTTAAAATAATGAGGTCCACCTCCCAATTCAAGACAAGTAAGATGAAAAAGGCCCAAAAAAGGCAGGTAAGACATGTAATGAGGTCAAATGGAGTTTTGCTGATGCAAGGCCCAGTGCTACTTCCTGCCAGAGGTACTGCCCAAATGTTTAGCTTATGATCTCATTAATTTATTATATACCTAGTTTACTATGTATATATTTTTCTACTTGTAGTACTCACACCACCCTGCCGAGGCCTTATCTACTGCATCGTGGCTCACCAATGTTCACGTGCAGCATGTGCATGTCCTCTCACATTTTTCTTTCATTTACCAAGGCTGGCTGGGGACTCACGCTCGCACGACATGCATGGATGGATTAGGCAGGAGGGACCGTAAATGGACTGTAATTGGCCGTGTGACCTGTGTCACAGGACTGTCAATCTGGCAGAGGAAGTTGGGTTGCGCACGAAACTATTTACAGTCCCAAGTGTGACAGCGTGATGTCATGTGATCATTTGCCTGAAATGGAGGCGCACTCAAGAAGGGCGCGAGTTTGAATACTGTCATGTCAGGACAGAAGCAGGCATCCTGAAAAAAATATTTCACAGAGATGCACTGTTCAAACCTGCGGGTGAGAAGAAAGAGGGAGAAAGAGCCCTGCAGGGAGCTCAAGAGGCCCAGAGGGAGAAAAACTAGGCTATGAGGGCCTGAAAATTAGCTGAGAGGACTGTAAATTTCTCATGGGGGACTGTAAATGGGGCGAGAGGAAGCTATCTTCAGCATGGCAGCCTTCACACCAAAATTTGGTTGAGGATGATCATAAAAATGATGTGCAACACCATATTTCATCAGGAAAACCAAACTTTTCCTTAAGATGACACTTAAATGACTTAAATAGACTTATGGTCCTTATTTAAGGACATAAGGATATAAAGGTCGTAAGCCATATTCTCTGAGTGTCTGAAATTTGACTTATTGAAACTTATTTGACCTGAAATAAGGGTTGCCAGACCCAAAAGTCTAAATAAGTCTCTAAGAAAAAGTAGGATTTTCCTGAGGTCCACATTTACAGTCTCATCGACAGTCCCAGTGGCCTCGAGGCGAATTTTCCATCACATGCACTTCTGAGCAGTTGTTATACTGTTATTTTCATCATATAATTAGCCGAGGGCGATAATCTACCCACCCGTTATGGATTTCTCATGCATCACACCTGCTCATGCACCCACTGTTGAGTAACACCACCCACTCGTGCCCTCTGACACATGCTTGGGAGTGCACTCAATCATGTGCTTTGGGACCATAGCATGAGAATAAAGGACTGTCGATAGACTGTAAATGGGGCAGATGAAGCATGATGTCTAGGTAAGGTCGACTTGGACACTTAGTACTCTAAAGCTGCGGAGCCTTGTCTCTCATAATTAACAGTTTCAGATATGACTTCTTTCTTGATGATTTTGCCGCCATGTATGAAGGGCCCCAGCAGACAAAATTATCAGTTCTTGCAGTAGCGTCGGTCTCTCACACTCCATTTTCGCTCGTCTGTTACATTTTTGCTGCAACATAATAAATGTTGGAAAACTCTTAGTGCTCATATGATGTCACATTTTTGTCACACTTTCTTTGAGCATCCTTGACTTACAAATTTCTTGCCTTTTAGGGCCATTATAAAGTTTTGTCCCAAAGAAAAATGGTTAAAATGGTACTCAATGTAAATGTGACCAAAAAATGACAGTCACAAAACATCACATTTTCATTGAGTATCATTTTAACCATTTTTCTTCAGGAAAAAACCTTATAGTAGCCCTAAAAGGCAACAAAATTTGTAACTCAAGGGTATGCAATGAAATTGTGACAAAACTGTGACATTATATGGGCGCTAAGGTTTTTCTGACAATTATTTATCTCATTTTTGGTTAGATCTGAATGTGACAGATGTCACCGCTGAAGGGACGCATAGCGTGCTGAGGTGGGAATCATATCCGCGAAGCAGTCTTGTATTTTGGAGATACTACATGGTGCTACACAACAGACCTTAGTCCGACACCAATTGGAAGCTGGTTATCGGAGGAGGGAATGCTACAAGCCCGAAGGCTACTTCCAACTCCTCGACTATGATCTGCAACCGTCTCAACATGCCATCCGCTAACTCACGTCTACAGGTGATTCCGCGCATGACATCGTACAGTCCACGGGCTGCATCGTGCAACGTCTCAACCCGAAGGCGTAACGTTCCTGAGGGCAATAAAAGATAAGGAATGTGATTCCAGGAAAATAGGGATAGGACGATCATGCACCAATGTCAGGGAGACCATCCAGCGGGTGCCTCAAATCAAAGTCCTCGTGGACAGTGGGGTCATCATACAGAACACGGGCAGTCAAATCATAAGAAATGACAGCAGGAAGGTGGTCAGCAATCTGAGGTATCATCCGATGATCGACCTCTATAGTGCGAGCCATCGCAAGGTGTATTTCCACTTGGGAAAGGATGGGGATATCACGCGAAAGGGGTAGGATGATCCCCACGCTGGTCACCTCAGACTGAGCTTGGACCATGAAGACCTGAGGGACATGTGAGGGTCAGACAGCGAAGGAACATATGGTCGCAGGACTCTCACCAGCAGGACGTGCATCCGGACTGCCCATGCTTTCCACAGAATCGGGTCGAAGAGCTCGGTAAAGATCTCAATGCAAAGAAGAGCTTTCGCGAGGGTGTATTTGCGAAGGATGATGCTGACATCCATGAATGGGAGATTGAGTTCAGGATGGGAGATATGCCTCCGAGGCAGGCGGGTGCTTATTAGGCGCTTAGGCGGGCCTGGTGATGGACGACCCCTCAGACTGAGTAGGAGTGCGAGCGGACAGGATTGCGAGATATGGCGTGATGGGCAGTGATTCAGCAGAATGATTATTAAGCAGATGTGGGCAGTATCGGGAGGGCAGGAAAAGGTCAGGATTAGTTTAAGTATGATAGAAGGGGAAGAGGTCAAAAAGAACCTGATCATCCTGGAAGGTACACTTGTGAAAGCCTCATTCACACTCCCATCCCATCCAGTTTGTGCATCTTTGGGCATTCTTTGTGTTTGTGCATTTTCTGAGCAGTTTAGCATTTTTGCATTTCAGCGTTCTCCTTAGAGCAGTGCGATTTTACTCTGATGCGTTTCCAGCGATTATAGTGACTACAAAGATTTTCCTAGCTACACTTTTGGGCTACCCACCTCATACCTCTGGAATAGACTTTTCTCCTTTATTGCATGTCAGGTCCCACGTGGACTTGATTCTGCTCATACTCCACCTTTCCGGCTTGCGACGGAACTACAATCTTGTCAGCGGGGATGGGGGCATGAGTGGAGCAGGTTGAAGTAGCTCGCGCGATGTCGCAGGAGCTCGCACGATGGCGAGGGTGCTCACACAACGTTGAGCATAATCACGCTGTATTAAATCATGACAATACAATTATTATACAGTGGCTTAAAATTCGACTAGATGTGAAATGCCTCGATTCTCTCGCTTGGCACTGTGCTAGCCTGTGACCGCGTTTGATTGGGCTCGCTCAAGATCGCATATAGTCCAAATTCTTGCAGCTGGTCGCAGCTGGTCACAGCCATGACCTTATGCAACTTGCTGCGATCTCACAAGATGTGTTTTCCACTGGGGGTCACATTTTGCGCCGTATGAAACGTGACTTGAGTTGCACATGACACTTTTGGCTTGTTCCCACACTTTTAGCCAAACTTGCATGGTTTGTAGCTCACTCAATTCTACTCGGATTTTTAACCAGGATCTGATGGTGTCACTTTCAGAACATCAGAATCACTTTCTGCAGTGCTACAATCTATTTTCTCAGTTTTCTCTCACTTCTGCTTGTTTCTTCAAGGAAAAACAAAAGTGCACTGCCTGTAATACATAAGGCGCCCTATCCAGCATGTTTATGTGCATTATGGGGTGATTTCAGAATTTAACTGGCATTTTTACGATTTTTCTACACTTTAGACTGAGCATTCTAATTCAAAACTGAGGTATCTCAGCCAGTTTCTCTCAGATTTACTTGGTTTAAGAGAGTATTCTGCACTATTTTATGCATAGATTTCAATAATACTCAGGTATACATCTTGGAATTACTATGTGCTTCTCTCACTTCCCTAACTATAATGCATCAGCCTCCTGTGGCTGCTGTACCACTTTTATTGAGCTTTATTTGTGCAGGTCGCGTTGGTTTTCACTACAACTACTTTGAAACACCGACTCTAGTCACGATGTAGTTCATTAACACCAGGGAGTACAAAATTTGTAGTCTGACCCTAGCTAGACCTAACCCAGAGTGCTGAATTCAAAAATTCTGTCCATTTCACTGCCTCACTGCTTCTTGCTATAAAACCACCATCATCAACTTTGGCCTTTGCATCAAGCACACTCCAGTATATTGTCTCTTCTTTGGCTGATTGCCATTGCTATCTACATATGTCCAGCTTGCTATTTACAGCATGCATTGGTTGATACACCAGGTAATGTAGTATTGTCTAATGACTTGTCATCAGCACTTACTTCTGCAGATGGTTTTATACTATTTACTACCATCTGGGTACTGGCATCCACTATTGAAAGTGACGTGCTATGTAATGGCAGGGTACTAGTGTCCACCCTCGCAAAAAGAGACATGCTATGTAATGATATGGTACTGGCTAGTGCAGAGCAGGGGTTAACCCCCGGGTGTCCGAACATGTACCCATACCCATACCTGTGAGAGTATGACACTCACATTCAAGGGTACAGGTGTCTCATGAGTTTGCACGAGTTTTGTACCCTTGGCAGGTATACTCATGGGTCATGCTATTCGTAGGCAGTATATAACTATCTACTTGGGCATAATAATGCTGTTCTATCCCTCTGCAAGCCCTTCATCTTGCCCCTCACCCTCAGGACCAGACACAACAGCTAAGATATCACTATGATGTATGAGCCCAAGCCAACTCCACTCTGCAAGACATAAGAGAGCATGCACAGACTGCACCAATGGCCCGTTGTGAATGTGTGGCAGCAGAAGGTGGCCCATGCTGAAAAGCCACTTGACATCTACAGATGTCGCTGTCGAGGATGTAGTTAGTGTCAGAGAAGTAATGCTGTGAATAAAAAGACTCACCCGGAATTGTCAGATAGCTCATGGCCATCCATAAGAGGTGCAAAAACTCCGTGCAGTGCACGTACCACCAAGCAAGTGCATCGTGAACATGTTCAGTCTGCGTAGCTAGATAACGTGTTAGCTCACTGCGTTCATTTGGGGCCTGCGAGATGTTCTTATTGAGGAGGTTGTCGAACATGTTGGCTGAGGGCTGTTGCATATACCATTGTGAGTGAGACAGCAGACTAGTCTATGGCTATGCACTCACCTTGTGAGGAGCAGGGGCTGCCTCAGCACCATTAGTGTTCAAGGCTAGATGGGCAGCCACACGGTGTTCGTACTCATTGTGCACTAGCTTCTTGGCTGTTGTGATCCACTCGGGCTCTCATCCTGCTTGTCAGAAATATGTGAGATTGTGTGCGGGATGCAAGACTGTACATTACATTATTTGTTAGTATGAATGGGATATATAAAAGCTGACTTACCCATTGCGATCCAGTACACATTCGAGTGATTGGTCTTGTTGTAGTACCAGTTGAGTGTCTTCTTTGCAAGGCCGATTGCAGCGTAGATACAGGGCTTGTAGCAGCCTTCAAGGGATTTGTCAGTGAGATTCTCATTGATAATGTCCATGGCCGGTATGACCATGGGCAGGTTGGGAGTGTCACGAGAGAAGTACAGAGTAGCATCGTTGAAAATCTGGTGACGCGTGGCATGAGTAAGTGACAGGGACCATTGATGTGTCACTCACCCACAGAATGTCACGCAGCTGACCAGTCATCTTTCACTCCTCCTGGCTCATCTCATACCTGCACATTCCCATCGACTGATCCTCCATCAACATAATGATTGCTCTCTGGTATTCCAAAGCAAACTTAAGCATCCAGAATGTTGAGTTCCAGCGTGTGGCAACATCCCTCAGCATCATTTTCTCGGCAAGCTGCAAGCTCTCAAGCACTCTTCACCAAGCCGGTAGGAGCTTGGTGGAGGAGCAGACAATGGAGCTTGCAATTTTTCGCAGCTACTCCAGGCTGCATAGTAAGTTCTTTATTGATGGCAGAGAAATACTCACCTTCACGAGGATGAGCTTAACAGGCTGAATGCTCATGTCGAGCACCTTGCACTCCTCAGAAGTCAGTCCCAGGCATTCATCTTTCCATCCATTAATGTTATTGGGGGCATTCTCTTCATGTCCATCTTCCTCACCCATGTTCAAGCCCTTTGCCAGCTCGATCAGTGCACGTTCTGCATCATCAAGTGCATCCTTGGTCTTCCCTTTCGGTACATCAAATTGACAGAGAAAAGTCTTCGCCATGAGGTTCATGATGTGGTTGAAGCAGCGTGCATGATTGGCCTGGCCCTGGAATGACTCAATGAGCTTTGCCAGCTCGTCGATCATCAGGTTATTTGACATTGCATTGTCTGCAGTGACACCAAGCATCTGGCTCACCATTGGTGAGTCTCTTGCTGTCATAGATTCTTTGTTGCTGAAAACTCACCTTTATAGAAATATTGAACTCCTCGATTATATTCACGAACATGGTGGCAAGGTTCACGCCGCTGTGGGTATTCGCGACTTCGACCACGTCCAGTACCATCCGCAGTGGTACACCCTTGTGCTGTAAGTGCATGGTGAATGTGACAATAGCCTTATTATTGGGTGATGTCCATGCGTCTATAGCAAAATTCAACTCACCATCGTAATCCTGCTGGTAAGTCAGTTTTGTGATCAATGGGTGATACAACACTCACCTGCAACATTTTTTGCCACCCTTGCATGACAGCATGCAAACACCTTATGCACATTGCACATCACAGTTCAGCGCGATGGGATCCAGTACTCCAGGCGCCCTAGCATTGGAACCCACGGTCCTCAATGATTGCAAATGGCCGCAAGCTCTCTGCCATCCAGCGTATGATCTTCGCCCTCGGGCAAGTCTGTTAGCAACTTATATTATATTCAACGACATCACGCACCTTGATTCTGTGTGTGAATGCTGCCGATTCGAGTAGGTGACCTTTCCTTCACCCTTGTGCTTGAATGGCAACATGATAAAACCCGAACGTGCAAACTTCTCCACTGCAGGGCATGCATCATCAGCATTTGACATTTCATCTGCAGTGGCCAATGCCTCTTCTGTTACAACAGTATGCTGCATACCTGTCTTTTTTCTTTTTTTCATTATGCTGTACTATTACACGTTGACCCGAAACTTCGAGTCTCGACACTTCTCGACTTGATCCGGACCCTCCCTAAACCATGATGTCATAGTTTAGGACTTGTACTTACTCATCCTCCACCGCGGAGGTATTCGTTGACTCATCCCTCACTGCGAGGGTACTCATTTACTCAGCCATTACTGGCATGTCTTACTCAGCATGTACTACTAGTATATAAGACTGGGATCGTCAACTGGAACCCCAGTCTCAATCTGGTTACTTTACCTCTCAATACATGGGATTATCACTCAGTCCTTGTGTGACGATCTTGACCCTCAATTCTTGACTCACATTTACTTTGTCATCGAACGACTTAGTACTTGCTCAACGAACCTTAGATAAGTGGTACACCCCAGCGTAACATCTTCACTCCAGCAAGATTTGATATATTTTCTCATGTTACCTGTGGAGCCCTTATCACCTTTGTCGAGCCACTATGCAATCTTCATTCTGCATCTGCAGTTCACATGGTGGAAAATGTGTGCACACTTCCCTGATGGATCGCTCTCAATGGAGACCTTGGGCATAAAAAATATGTATGCCATGGACTTCCAGTCCTGGTGCAGATGCTCTGCAATCTCGGTAAGTGATGATACGAAACTGATCACACTTTTTAACTTACCTAGCTCTTCCTCCGGAGTCTCCAACTTCCTCTCAGCAGCCTTTGCCCTACTCGACTTGGTACTACTCGACTTTGCACTGCTTAGGCGAGTTCACACCCTTTGGATTCTCGACAACAACAACATCATCCGAGTCATCGCCTTCGCCCATCGCTATGTCATCTTCATCCAAAACATCTTCAATATGTGCACGATGATCGCGTGGCACATTTGATGGATTAGGCTCCTCTGGCACAATGTGTGCCTTCTTTGCCTTTGAACTCTTTTTGGATGATGTCGCACAATGTTTTGGCATTAGTATACTGTAGCTTAGGCTGTGCTAAAGTACTCTGAGGTACTCTAAGCTGCTCTGAGCTACTTTAGGAAAGTTCATACTTCCTAGAGTAACCTAGAGCAAAAGTGGTTTTTTTGATGAATACGAGAGCTGTCACTAGAATTACACAAACACATGCAGTCCTTCTAGTCGACTCTCTATAATATTTCACTCTCATTTCCTATGATTGTCTCGCCTGATCTGAGATTTCCTGAATGCATCTCTGATATTATTAATGTACACCTCCATTGGCAATTCTTCTGCAATACTCCCAGCAGCTGCCACACTATTCCTCAATCTTCCAAGTTTCCACCTATTCCTTGAAGCGTCACTGTAGCAGCAAATACATAAGCTACTACACACTCTCAGTAAGTGTTCACAGCCTCAGCAGCATGAGATCATTTCTATAACCAGAGAGTAAACCTCTATCACCACCTAGTCTGAATCATAGCATGCAGAGATGTGCAAACAGGTCAGAAGTGACAGAGACTTGGCCAACCCTATATCTCTATCCTATATTATATTCCTGGCCAATGCTCAGTTTCATGGAAATTTACACTATTTTACCTGAGTTATACAAACTTTTAGGTATATATTGGCTGATAGGTGTGCTCTCAAGTATAGATATTAGAAAAATAAATATATTGTCAGTACACTATCTGAATTAGCAATAAATATCAAAGATTATCTGAGTTTGAAAGATAATTCTTCAACTTGTCACCTGTCAGGATTGAACCCTTAATCTGAAAGATAAGGCACATGATCAAATAACACTAAATACTTTAGCCACTACACTATATCTGCTTATGAGCTTACACTCATATATAATATATATATAAGATTTTGCTAAAGGGACTTAGGCAAATTTTGCCTATCACAAGAGGGTAGCTAAGTTAAACACAATGCAAAGCATGCTTATAATAACATCTTCAGTACATACTTTACAATTCAACCATATTATGATCTCATCTTTCACAAAAAGACACAAGTGCAATTGACCTCACTTATAAACTTAGAGGGTCAAAAATAATATAATAGCTAAATAGCAGAAGCAAAATATGTTATAATGCAAACTATCATATAAAGTAAAGATTGAAATTTTATAACAGCCTTATAAATGCAACAGATTCTTTCTCAGAACATCTCATAGATACTGTAAATTCTATGAGTATTTCAAAGTGGTTTATAGTGCTGCTAAGATACTCTAAAAAAGTACATAAAATCTAGAGCAATAGTGTTTTTCTAAATGAATGATTTGTAAAATATGCAGAACTTAGTAAGATGCTCCTAAAAAAGCCCAATTTCTGAGGGTAGCTTAGGCTGTGCTAAAGTACTCTGAAATACTCTAATCTGCTTTAAGCTACTTTGGAAAAGTTCATACTTCCTAGAGTAATCTAGAGCAAAAGTGTTTTTTCTGATGCTGCCCAAGCTGACCTTGCTCTGTGAAAGAGCTGAAGGAATTGAATGTTGATTTTCTTCAAATTCTTTAAATTCAAAGGCCAGTAAGAAGTACTGAGTAAAAATAAGTGCTGCAGCAGATGTGGCTGCAAGGGTTAGCATAAGTAGCAGAAATGTGGCTCACCAATGTTGCTTTATAGTTTAACAGATTGAATGTCCTCTGGAATGCATGAAAGCTTTGTTTGAGTAATCAAGCATCAGTTTAACTTCCAGTTGTGCTAGGTACTTGTGAGGAGTAGGCCACTACTTTGTATGGCAGAAACGATTCCTGAGGTCCTGTGTTCTTGCCTTTCTCTCCTCATCTAATTGTTTCCACATACATTACTTATTTCGTATTACTCCTTAGTAGTTAATTACTTGTGAAGAGTGGTCCATTGTATTGCATAGCATCTTATAGTTTTATTCAGTATTTATTTAAAGATTTCATCATTCATATTCACTTAAAACAGTCACCACACTTTATAACAATAATATGTTATGTAATTACATAAGTCTTATATGTCTGCTATGTCGTCTACCAACTTTTTGCATATCAGTTGATAATCTACTATAATGTAGATAATAATTTATTTGTAGCTGCCCAATAATAGTCTAACATATTGCTAAGTATCTCAGAGTATGATTATTTGAAACATGGCTTTAAAATGATATTACTCTGTCCTTTTATCAAAACGATATAAGAATGTTACTAAAAATTGTTAGTACGCCTCTTCTACAAATTACCTTCAAAATTGCTTTGAAATGATACTATTATGTTGTTTTGCAAAAAGTCTACAAAAACATAACCAAAAAGTGACTAATATGCATTTTAAAAGACTCAGCTGAAGAATGGCTTTAAAATGATATTACTATGTCATTTTATAAAATTTATACAAAAACATAACTATAAAGTAATTAGCATGCATTCTAAAAGACTCAGCTGAAAAATGACTTCAAAATAATATTACTATATTGTTTTGCAAAAAGTATAGAAAAAGTGACTAGTATGCATTCTAAAAGACTGAGCTGAAAAATGGCTTCAAAATAATGCTACTATGTATATTATTTTATAAAATCTATATAAAAACATGACTAAAAAGTTATTAATATTCATTTTACAAGGATTACCTTAATAGCCTACTATGTCATGTACCTACTCCAAGGTAACTATTTGATAGAAGTTTCTTAGAACTTTAGATTCTACAGTCATGCCATAATTTTTCTGACTTTAAATAATATTTTCTGATTTTTTTCTAAGTGTTTACTTTAATAGGCACGTATGTGACAGCAAAAATGAGTAAGGTTTCACTTGACTTAAATCATTTTCATCCTACAAAAAAATGTCTGAAAGTGTTACCTATATAAGAGTCCACTATGTCATCTAATATCCATTTATAAGTGCCTTACAGTAGTCTGACATACTACCTATTATTTTTAATAGAGGCCTTACAATGTCGGATAATGTGATCTGGTAATGTCTAGTACACTCCTACAATATCTTACCACATAGTTTACTAACTTTTAGCAAGTTGCTCAGTACTCTAATGACCTTATAATAGCCTGGTATGCCACCTAGTATGTATTTGTAAGGCCTCATAATAGTTTGAAAGGCTACCTAGTATCAGTTTCCAGGAGTCTTACAACAATCTACAATGTTATCTACTAAATCCTAATATACCACCTAGAAACTATGAATAGTCTATTATATTCTCTACTGACTCCTAGTATGTCATATAATAAGATCTAGTAAGCATTCTACAATATTCGACTACACTGAGTAGTCTGAATTTATAAGAGCCTTACAGTAGTTTACAAATTCATCCACTTACTCTAATACATAAAAATCACTACAGAACATGACACTAGAAATGGTTACAAATGTGCCTATAAGAATCACTACAAAAAATGATGCTAGAAATTATTACAAATATGCTTATAAAAGTCAGTACAA